TTCCGTCCGCTCACGGCCTACCGCAAGCCGGTAACCAGCGACGTGAAGGCGAAGGTGCCGTGGCTGACCGTCGGCGAGTTCCCTCCGAGCGTGGGTCTGACGACGGTACAGGAGCTGTCGAAGCAGTGTCTGATGGTGCGTCTGTCGCACCTCTACGCCGTGGAGGAGCACGCGACGCTGTCACAACCAGCGACGGTGGACTACTCGACGTTATTCACTGTGAAGAACTCGGTGGTGTCGGAGGTGACGGAGCTGGTGCTGACTGGCACGAAGGAGCTGGGCGCAGAGGACAACCGCGTTGGTCTGGAGTGGAAGACGACGGACGATGCGTACGGCTGGTCCCCGCAGTCGCTCCCTGTGAAGGGCACGACGGTGACGCTGCAGGCGATGGAGGTGCGCGCGTTCCGCGTGTGCTTCTCGAAGGGCGATGTTACTGCTGTGGAGGCGGAGGAGTCTGGTGAAAAGAACAAGGCTGAGGATGTGGAGGACATCGATAACTGGGAGCAGGAGGAGGGCTATTCGTTCGGTGCTGCGCTGCAGGACCTGGCGCAGTTGATCGCGGTTGAGTAAGAAACCCAACAAAGGAAACACGATGCGCGCGATATCTGAGCAAAGTGTAATAAGCGTGTGCAACAACAACGAAGCTGAATGATGAAACATGGTGTGGTGAGTTATTGTGCTGTGTTAACTGTACGAATCGTGCTAAAGTGCTGCCTTACACCATTCCTTGGAAAACGACCATGAGGACGCTGACAACGCAAGTGAAGGAGAATCCGATGCCCACAAACCGCCCGATGATCTGCCACTTGGCCTCGCGCAAGTGCTGCTGAATCGCAAGTGGCAGTGTGTTGCTCGCCACGATATCTCCGTCTTCCCGGCAATAGCCCGTGAATTGCAGTCGGTTTGCACTCAAGAAGCGCCACCAGTACACACCCGCCGCTTTGATGATCATCCTCATTGCGAATCGGTTCGCGGCGAAGATGACAACGAGTACCCACCACGAAGCGCACGAAAGGTAAACGGCCTTCTCAGTCGCACAGGCAAGGTCGTGCTGCAGTTTGCTGACAACGGCTACCCGTCCGGTTGTTCCTTCTGGGAAGCACGACTCGAATGCGTTGGGTGGCGCTAGATAGGGCGCATTCTCACTCAATTGCGTTGCGGTCTTGGAAGGAGTCACGAGTCCCGACGAATTACGCAGCTCACTTGTCAGACACTGGCTTGATAGAGAGGTGTCATCGCTGCTGGCCTGTTCACTGCAATCTTGCAGCATTCGAACTAAAGTGCTGGTTGTCGTCGCGCAGTCGCCGAAATCATCTAGCGCGGCAGACTGGTTCATCCATACGGCAGCAGAGTCCAGCTCCAGCGCGGCGTAGTCGTTGCGGATCGAATCGTTAATGATGGTCGTGTACCTCTCGATCTCATCGAGTGGATCGACGACACTGTTGCTGCTGTTGCCATTGTTCTCGAAGTACGCGCGGGTGATACTTTGAATGACTGTTTGAGAAGCGTTTGAAGGCAATGCAGCTCGTCCACAGTGTTCGATGTGGTCTTGCTTCCACATGAAGAGACCTGCCGTGACGACCGAAGCAGCAGCGAGCAGCAGCACGAACCTCACCAGCACACGCATGAGCTCCGAAGCGTTTGCAACGATGGCGTAGCACACTGTCCAGAAGCTGTGCTTGCAGAGGAATACCTCGCACACGCTCCCGATCGTGTCGGCTGTAGTGATCCCACGAATGTCCAGCATCGGCATGTCCGAGTACGACTCAGAGATAAGCCCCACAGCGAGATCTGCGAACAGCAGAGTGAGACGACCAACATCCACGTAAAAGATCACTTGGGTCACGAAAGCTCCGATGTCCACCAGCGACGCGCGCAGTACGGCCGTATCGATATCAAACTCGTCGCGTTTATCTGTAGATGCCGATGATTTTGAAGCCTGGGGGTCCACGTAGCGTGCTGCAGTGGCCAGCCTCGCACGTTCCGTCTCCAAGCTCGAGTTTGTCGTTCTATCCGGAAGTATGTACTTGCGTTGAATGGAGTTCTCCGGTCTGACACTTTGGCGCTGGTTAGCTGTGAGTTCGGCGACAAGTCGGTCTCCGAGTCGATGCCACGGTGTGAAGCCCTGCGCTACCAGTTTATTCACTGCATCCTGCCAGTGTTGGTGCAGGATGTCGAAGGACGTGGCGATTTCCTGCTGAGCCTGCCCAAAGCTCGTCATAATGGCGGAGCTGGTGCGATTGATCTGCTGCGCAGTCGACTCAGCTGCGTACGCGAGCTCTTTTTGCAGTTGCACGGCCTGCTGCGCTGTGGCGTTGAGTTGTTTCTCCAGTAGCTGCCAAGTACCGTCCACCGTGTCCATGACATCCGAGAGCCCCTCGTGCAAGCCCGATAGAAACTCGAGCGCTGTGTGAAGCGTTCGTCCAGCTTTTCGTATGGCTTCCAGACTGGTAGAAGACGTTGAAGCCAGCGGGTCTGAGAGCTCGGATGACACCACTTTGCTCAGGCGGCCAAGGCGGGAGGCGGATTGTTTGGTGTGGCCCTCTCCGTCTTTGTCCGACAGAATTGGCGCTAGCGAGCTCAGCTGCTCGGAGGTCAACGTGTTCGTGGCGCTAAGCGTCTTGTCGATCGACGTCTTGATCGAGTCGACGGACTTCCACATGTCCACGAGTTGGTTCTCGAATTGAACTTGCTGTTTGGCCACACTGTCGCTCGCTGCTGTGACGGCTTGCGTCGTCAGTAGTGCGCGAACAGCGAGTACCAGCGCCCGCGAGGACGACAGAGCATTTGTTTCGGGCACGCCCTCGTAAAATCTGTCGGAGAAGCAGCTCAGCGTCGAGTTGGCATCGTCCGACGCGGATATCAGCACCTGCTCCTTCAAAGACGACAAGAAAGCGGCGGAACCTGGTAAAAGAACAATGGTGTCATCGGATGTACCGCAACAATTGAGACGTATCAAGGTGGAAGCACTTACATGTCATGGTCGCGTTCCTTTGGTTGAAGAGCACGTCGTCGTTGGCATCGATGATCTTCTGCACCCGTTTACTATCGACTTCGAACTGTAACTTGGCTGCAGCCAAGTACTCGAGCGAGCTCCGATCCACGCACTCCGTCATGGACTTCAACCTTTGACTTGAAGCGACGTACACTTGTCGAGCACTCGCCAGCTCACCATCAACACCGAGCACGCTGAGGGCCCACGCCGTGAGTTTGGTCGAGATGAAGATGCCTCCGACGTACGTGCAGAGAACAAAGAGCAGGACGAAGCTCAACCGCGGGTAGTTGCGCAGCCAGCGAGTGCAATCGCGTTCGCTTCTACCTCCAATTGATTTTGGCAGCTCCGATGCCACCGGAGGCGCTGAGGGCGACGGAAGACACGCGTAGTCTGCTGCAGTTGAATTGGAGCTGCGAGGGTGCACTTTGGTGCTCACTCGTGGCAACATCTTGCTGCAAGCCAGGACATCTACAGAATGGACATACTAACGCAGCGGGGAAGGTTGAGGCATGAAGACTTAAGAGAAGAGTCTGGGTAGGTTGTGAAAGGCACCCATGTTGAAGGGTCTTACAGCTATCACTACCTTTCACTACCAATCTACAACTGCAGAGGATGGCGAGTACTCATTAGAAATGGATTAACTAGGTTGTCGTTTCATCAGGAAGACCACTACAGTACGACCTTCAAACGACGCGCATGTCAAATTTTAATCCTCGTACTCAAACATGCAAAATGTACCAAACCGGAGCGCTCAGACATCCAAGGAAAATTAGGGCCTCAAGCAGCGAGCCGGGTGGCAACCCGGCCGCTATCAGCAAAACACTGCGAATGTTTAAGGGATAATTTTCTTCATCAACGCGCTCCATCCAACAATGCATACAAAACACACACATTCATACAGACATGCAGATACACACCGCGCCGCTGGCGTTCAGAAACACACTCGCGAGCGCCCTCGTCACGTGGCAATTTCTTCGTCTCTTGGGTGTCGTGGAGAACACAACATGAGTAATCCCCGTCGGGTTAGCTCCAAGCAGCGACGGCACGACGTCCGCCATAAGCCGCTGAGCCAATTGCATAACTTTTAGTATGACCATCAGTCCTCGCAAATCCGCCGAAAGCTCCGGCCCGCCGAAGCGGAGCCATCTCCGCAAAGCTTCATCGCCGAGGGAGTCTGCGCTTGGACGCTGGCACTCTCTGCCCTGGTGTCCGGGGAATTTCCCCAAGCCGCCCCCCCCGGGGAGGGGCCCACTTGACTTCGCAATTCTAAATCGTGTTCTGAAGGTGGCCGGGTGGCGGGCAATGCGAGCAGCTCCGATACGCCAGCACCATCCGTCTTCAACGACGTGTGATTGGCCGAGCCGACCGGGGATTTCAGCGAATTGGAGAGGGGTGGAAGATTCCAGAACCCGACCCGGCTCGGGCTCGATGAACGCAGACCCGCCCGAACCGATCGAGTCCATCGATCGGTGGACGGAGGACGCGCCGAGACCCCCACTTTACAATCGTCGTGGTAGGGAGCGTTGAAATTGCCGCTGGGGAGTTTTACTTGATGCAGAGTTGTTGCTGCACGCGGAGCGCGTTGATGAAAAAAATTATCCCTTAAACATTCGCAGTGTTTTGCTGATAGCGGCCGGGTCGCCACCCGGCTTGCTGGTTGAGGCCCTAATTTTCCTTGGATGTCTGAGCGCTCCCAAACACAAATCTACTTGTGCGCATGTACATTTAGTCTGCAGCTGTAGCTGTAGTTTCTAGTAGGACTGCATTGTGTCCGCCCATGTCGCCTTCGGGGCCAGAGCTGAGGGCAGGTAGTCACGCGCCCATGCAGGTGACTACGAACAGCGCTGGCCCGGAACAGGGTGAATCTCGGTTGACGCGCCACAGCGGTTTACCAGTGGCCGAAAATGGCACACTTGGCGCATATTCCATGTTACCTGCGATACCACATACAGTGCTATGACAGGACGCAGGTGCATTGCTATACAGAGAGCTGGCGGGTGGTGCGAGTCATACAAAAGCCAGGTGTGGAGCGACCTGCAATTGGAATGAGTATGCAAGCGACTTACAAGGTTAGACGGGCGATGGGCACGCCAGGTTAGACGGGCGATGGGCACCGCCAGCTGTACGAACGGGTATTGAAGATCGTGACCCTGTGCTGCTGCATTGGGCTGTCAGACAGAATACATTAGTGTTTAACGCTTGTGTCGCTTCACTATTTCAAGATCACCTGCCTAACAGCATTCACCTTCGATGCAGCTTTCTAAATCAGTTGTTGGTACTGGTGCTTGGGGTGACGCAGTGCTATGACGTAATCCTGGACCTCCCAGCGAAATCACTGCGGACACGCAAGCAGTCTCGGGCCAAGAAACCAAGTGCAGCAGGCTCCTGTTGCGCTCCAAGCACCACCGTGGTGTTGCTCAGGCGTTGCTACTGTCGTTTCAAGCGAAGGTCTCGACGCTCCCTTTTTCCGGATCGCAGGGCAAGTGTGCTACATGTGCGAGAGTCCAACCTATCTTTCGTGTTGAAGTGGGCTTCCCTGTACCTAGAGGCTCGGCAGCGCCGAACACTGCAACCTGCTCTCGTCGATGCCGTTTTGCGAGCGTCTGCAATGCATGCACCTTGCCACCTTTCTCCTACCATCGATTCTCCTTCAGTCTGCTTGTCAATCAGTCAGACACTTTTGCCAAAAGATACTTCCGTACAAGTCCCTAAAAGCGAGTTTCAACTGCGAAGTACACGTAGGCAACAACAGATACAAACTTGCCAAACGCAGCGGCGTGGGCTGCAGCTTGCTTTCGTACTCCATGCGCTTCGAGGGCAAATGCAGCGCTAGATTCAGGCCAGCAGCGGCGCGGCCAATTTGGCGGGTGCACTTCAACGTCATCACTCCTCAGATTAAGTTACACTGTCTACGTATAGCACTATCACTACACCTAGCCAGCTGAAGCATTCAGCTTCCGCAACCTAACCTGTTTGGTTACACCTTTCCAGCAAGCGCTTGCTGCCCCGCACGACTGCGCCACAGGCTGGTCCAGTGCTTGGGCCTCCCAGTGGGCAGGCACCGTGGCATAGGATTCGCCACTTCTGAGCCCCGTGGGGCTCACGGTATCAGTCTCTCGTTCTTCAGGAAGATGTTGCGAGCCGCGTTGACATCGCGGTCGCACACGTAGTTGCACTCCGGGCACCAGAACGTCTTCTGCACCGTGATCCTGTGGTTGATTCTCCCACAGTGCGAGCAGGTCTTCGTCGTCCATGGCTCGTCGCACACCACCACCACGCCCCCCGTTCTCTTCATCTTGTAGTCCAGCATTTGTCTGAATTTGTAGTGCGACCAGGTCAGCATACGTCGCGCAGTCACCGAGTTGATGCGGCGGCGGCGCCCATCAGGTCGATTGCGGCGGCGCACGAGCTGCGACACTGGGAACTTGGGCAGCAACACCACATCGAAGTTGACGGACAGCCACTTGGCGACCTTCTGATGCATGTCCTTCACGATGCGCTTGATGCGCTGAAATGCTCGGTAGATTGTCTTGCGCAGTCAGTAGCGCCTGCGCTTTCCGCCCTCATGAGCCAACTGCGACTTCATGTGGTCGATGGCGAGGCATCTCTTGTACACGTAGTTCTCAGCATCGTAGATAGCCATTGCTAGACCAGTGGGGTCGTATAGGGAGATGAAGTCCCGTACACCCGGGTCGATGGCACAGACTCGGAGGGTTGTAGACTGTGCGAAGTCCACGTGTCGGGGAACGCAAAGATAGAACTTGCCGAGTCGGGTAGACTGGAGCCGCACCGCGTGCGTTGGCTCGGGGAAGTCCTCCTTGGTTGCAATCCCTTCATCGCTTCCGCGACGCCAACCAAAGTAATTCGGTAAAAACCGAGCTTGACTAGCATGCCCCGTGTACCCGAAGGATTCAACCTGGATCTCAATGCTCGTTGAGTTGTTCTTCCGAGTTTTGAAGTGCAGCTCGGAGGGCCGTCGGTTCTCTCCATTGTTACGAGCCGCTTCGTCGCCAGCCTTTGTCGTTGTGATCGTCTTGAGGAAGTCTGTGAAGGCCGCGTCCAGAATCTTTTGCGGCACGTCCCAGACCCAATCGGGGAGATGATCTGTGAGTAGATTGCGCCTCGTCACAGATCTGACTGGTCGGTAGTCCGCCCTTAGCTGTGCCTGAGATAGCCGCCGCCAGTCGTCTCCAACAAGATCTACGAGCTTGTTGTACACGAAGCGAAAGGCGCCGAACATTTTCCGGAGTTGACAACGCTCCTCGGGCGTCGGGCTGAGCTCGATCTTGATGCTGCTGTCGATGTCCAGATTCTCGGGAAGGAGCTCAACTGGCATGGCCCCTCGGAGCGAGTGGTTCGTCAGGTTCCTCAACCCCACGAAAGACTTGCCAGCCAAGTGATGAATGCACCGACTGTAGGGCTCGCCGCTGCGCTGGCAGAAGTCCTGTGCTACAGGTAGCCAGGCCTCCTCGGCCAGCATCTCGACCTCTTCGTCCCACCAGTCCGGGCAGTCCGGCGGCTGGCGCTGCGCCTCCATCTTCGCTTGAGCAGCTCAGAGGAAATCGCAATGTGACCTCGCATCGCGCGCGGCGCACAATAGGCGATGACGATCCGCATTAAAGTTCCATCGAAGCGAAGTGATGGGGCTTCATGGGTTGTAGCTGCCGAAGACTGCACTTCACTATGCAAACCGTGCCATCCATCCTCTAAACAGAGGTAGCCGATGAAAGCACTCGTGACACCCCAACTTTTAATGAGAGGTCGCCTTGTTCTCTAAGCGGATAGCTGCGTCATTTCTTGTCAGACCATCAGTTTAATACATTCGGTACATTTTAATATGAACTAGAGTATCCAAAATCTCATGGTATTACCGGTATAAAGCAGCGCAGCGTCCGGATCGATGCTTTTGACGTGGTTTTGAATTTGAAATAAAACTTAAGCAAAACAAAATGTGCGGTTTAATTCACACCCTCGATTAGATGGGCGTGATGTTTGCTGCAGCAAGAACCTAAGTAAAGCAATATGAACGCATGGCGCAGCGAAATTAGCGCCAATTTGCACCGCGTACTTTATAACTGCAGTAACGTGTAAATTGCAGATGTAGTTCGTAAAAATAGAGGTATTTTACTAGGTGCGGCTCGCGAAGAAGTCTCGTTGGATGACATTATACTGGGTTACAACAACTCAGTACTGTAGACCTTGTCAGTTTTCTTCCTGATCGTGGGGTGAGCAAAAAAAAGATAGTAACAGAAATAGCGATAACAATATCAGTTTCAAAGTCAGTAACTAATAGCGGTTGCAGTAGCGGTGGCATTGACAGTAGGGCAGTTGCAGTGGTAGCTGGCAGTGATCGTGACGCAGGCGAACAATTCCAATAGCAATATACCGAATAAAAATTATTGTGCCTTTCACTTATTCTGCCGTGATAATTCTGGCATAACTCTAATCCGTTATCGACCTTAATTATACCCCGAGTTAGCTAATTCCCATGTTAATTCCGGGTCGTCCCTCCGTGGCCGAATTAGGAGCGGCGATGGTGAGGCCGACTCAAGGCGGAATAAGCTAATCCAGCCTTCGTTATTATTATTAATAACTTATTAATAGGCGGAAACAGAGCGATTGGCGGTTTCCTATCCGCCAATCCATGCCATTCTGTTCGTATCTCCGTCGATTAGCTCTCAAATGCTGATCGCGGATGTTAGGGGAAGCGCTCACAATCTTAGGCATAATTAGCACTAAATAAGCGTTGATCACCCTTTTATGACTCTAACTCCGCCTGAATTAACAGCTCACCCGCCAAAATACGTGAAAGACACAATACGTCATATTGATATTACTTACGCAGCAATACAAGTCACACACATTATTTGGAAAAGAGGAGAGTGATTTATAAGGGTCTAGAGGACGATAAGATCATCGATAATGTTTGGATCGCGTCGTTTTCACCACGGTGGACGGCGATATTCAGATGGCATCTACTTATAAATTTAGTTTGAGCAAGCCATGATATGCCCCGTGATATTATGCAGCAAGTCAAGCAGTATGGAGTAGATTTTGGCAGTCTTTCTCAGGCATGAAAAAGAAAGCAGGAGCAATATCATTACAGTGCCATTATCAATGCTGGAGATCGTAGTTGTAGCGTAAATAACAACGGTAGCGGTAGTGGCAGCAGATAATAAACAGTCGCAGTAGCGATAGCAGCAGATACGAACAAGCAATATCAATGACAACATTACTATGACATCATTAACAGTAGTGAAATAGTAGTTGTAGTAGCTGTAGTACAGCTGCTCCAGCTGTAGTTGCAGTAGTGGTAAGCAGATAGTGCCTATGGCCAGCAGTAACGCGCGCCACAGATAGCATAACAAATGCAATATCTTTAACAATAGTGGAATATGAGTAGTATAGCAATATAAGTAGTGATGAGGTAGGAGTAGCAGCAGCAGCGATAGTGCCAGTGTCAGTGACAGTGGCTGAAGCAGTGGCAGTAGCAGTTACAGTAGCAGCCGCAGTAGCTGTAGCATGGCAGTGGTGGCAACAGTGGCAGTTGCAATAAATACCAATTGCAGCATGATGTTGTCAACATCAGGGCCCCTCCAATTCAGTATTATATTGAATTGGTAAAATTGCTTGACAGTAATAATGATTTAAATATGACGATAACCAAAGCTAATTATTATACTGATTAAATATTTCAATTCCATGCGCCTTGACAGTGTTTTTGAATACCCTGAAATCATACGAGCCAATAATACAAATTTCAATATGGCGCTTGCCAATAACACATATTTTCGTCATATTAATTGACAATTTTCATATTGAAATGTTTTATTCATACCCCTGGTCAACATCAATTATAATAGTATGAAAATTTAAATTTCTTGTAGTAATATGAAGCGTTTCATGTATAGTACTGACAAAAATATTGGTGATAATGTTAATAATAGTAACAAGTGCAGAGGCGCGGCGCGTCCTAACCGTTTTAGTAGCAAAAAGCACAAAATTGTTCGGTCTGCTTAGAGACCCGCACCCTTGGATGCGCCACAATGAAGCCTTTCGTGGTTTAAAACACAGCACGACTTTCGTGGTTTAAAACAGTGGAACGTCATCAGATCTTTGCCTCGGGCCTCCGTGTCACTTCATTTCGCAATGCTCATTCCGCAATTTGCGCGCAAGACCCCAGCTTCTCTTCTCCTTCTCCTCCCTCTTCTCCCCCCTCCAAAGCCATGGCTGACCTCTCGGACATCGGACTCTACGGCCTGGCCGTCATGGGCCAGAACTTCGCGCTCAACATGGCGTCGCACGGCTTCAAGGTGTCGGTGTGCAACCGCTCGCCCGACAAGGTGGACGCCACGGTGCAGCGCGCCAAGGACGAGGGCAACCTGCCGCTCGTGGGCTACAAGGACATGAAGGAGTTCGTGGCCTCGCTGGCGCGCCCGCGCAAGGTCGTGATCCTCGTGGTGGCCGGCAAGCCCGTGGACCTGACGATCGCCGCGCTCTCCGAGTTCATGGAGCCCGGCGACATCATCGTGGACGGCGGCAACGAGTGGTTCCCCAACAGCGTGCGCCGCGCCAGCGAGCTGGAGCCCAAGGGCATCCACTTCGTGGGCATGGGCGTGTCCGGCGGCGAGGAGGGCGCGCGCAACGGCCCGTCGCTCATGCCCGGCGGCCCCAAGGAGGCCTTCGACGCGCTCGAGCCCATCATCACCAAGTGCGCCGCCCAGGTGGACGACGGCGCGTGCACCACGTACCTGGGCCCCATCGGCTCGGGCAACTACGTCAAGATGGTGCACAACGGCATCGAGTACGGCGACATGCAGCTCATCGCCGAGGCCTACGACATCCTCAAGATCGCCGGCGGCCTGTCCAACGAGGAGCTGGCCAGCGTCTTCGACGAGTGGAACAAGAGCGAGCTCGAGTCGTTCCTCATCGAGATCACGGCCCAGATCTTCGCCAAGAAAGACGACCTCACGGACGACGGCTACGTCGTGGACAAGATCCTCGACAAGACGGGCATGAAGGGCACGGGCCGCTGGACCGTGCAGGAGGCCGCCGAGCGCTCCATCGCCGCTCCCACCATCACCGCGTCGCTGGACGCGCGCTACCTGAGCGCGCGCAAGGAGGAGCGCGTGTTCGCGTCCAAGATCCTGTCGGGCCCGTCGGAGATCCCCGCCGTGGACAAGCAGCAGCTCATCGACGACGTGCGCCAGGCGCTGTACGCCTCCAAGATCTGCTCGTACGCGCAGGGCCTGAACCTCATCCGTGAGGCCGGCGTGCAAATGGGCTGGAACGTCGATCTGGGCGAGTGCGCGCGCATCTGGAAGGGCGGCTGCATCATCCGCGCCAAGTTCCTGGACCGCATCAAGCAGGCGTACGCCAAGGACGCGTCGCTCATCTCGCTGCTCGTGGACCCGGACTTCGCCGCTGAGCTGCAGGCCCGCCAGTACTCGTGGCGCCGCGTCGTGTCGCTCGCCGTGGCCAGCGGCATCCCCACGCCCTCGTTCGCGGGCTCGCTCAACTACTACGACACGTTCCGTCGCGAGCGCCTGCCGGCCAACCTGACGCAGGCCCAGCGCGACTTCTTCGGCGGCCACACGTACGAGCGCACGGACCGCGAGGGTCTGTTCCACTGCGCCTGGTCCGCCGCCCACCACAGCATCGGCGACGTGTCGGAGCGCATCCGCGGCAACCTGTAAGCAAGCTTCTTGCTCGCTCGCTCGTAGCTACGGCAGCGCGATAGTATCTGTGCAGCTTCACCCCATGCTGCCAGCCGCAGGCCTCGTGAGTTTGATACCGGTGATCAATGCCAGCTTTATTCTTTAACGTTCTCGGGAGGGTTTTGCTCAGTTGTGGTGGTGGATACAGCAGTGAAAGGGTCTATCTACATGCGCGAGAGTGCCGGCAGTCGCGCCAGCACCTCGGTCTCGCTGGTTGTGGCGGGTTGCACTCCAGGCGGCAGCTTGCGGAACTTGGAGACGCGCAAGGCAAGCTGCTCCAGCTCCCCGTCCTTGGCGAACTGCGGGGTCAAGCTCAGCAGCTGCACTGCCGGCTTGTTGACGTTGCGCTTGGCCTTGCCAGAGCTCGGGCGACGGCGAGAGCTCAGGACGCCCCAGCGCTCCAGCAGCGCCAGCGCGTTCTGCAGCGTCTCGCGCGAGCACGACTCGTAGAAGCTGATGAGCTTCTCGTGGTACATGGTCTCCGCGAGCCACTGAAGTCGCTTGAGCAGGTCCTCGGTCGTCACTTCCCCGTGCGGACGCAGCGCGAACAGACTCGTGACGGCGACCCAGTAGCTGTCGATGAACGGCCACATGAGCGTGCTCAGCAGCGAGAGCATCGCGCCGTCCACGGCCTCCACGCGCGGCGCTGAAGACGACGAAGTGGCCACGGGGACGAGCACCTTGCGCGTCTCCAGCTGAGCCAGCGCCTCCACGAGGTGCGCGCGGTCGGCTTCAGGGTCGTCCTTGCGCACGAACTCCATCATGAGCATCTCGTGCAGGAACAACGCGCCGTCGAGGAGTTCCTGGCGGTCCACGCCTGCTTCGTCCGAGTTGCTGGAGACTGAGCGCGCGCTGCTAGCTCCAGAGGGCAAGTTGAAGGCGTCCAGAGCATGGTACGCGCAAGCCAGCACGCCCTCGAGGTTGAACCAGTGCAGCAGCTTGTTGCGGTAGTAGCCGAGGCCGATCATGTTGGGGTATTGCTCGCGCTGCAGCCGAGTAGACAAAACACAAGATCACAAGTGAGTGAGGATGACGTTCATACAGCACAAGGTACAAGGCAACTTCAACTTCAACTCACGCTGGTGATAGCAGGCTCCACGAGGTCCTTGCGTCGCATGGTCACGAGCTCGTGCAGCAGCTCGAGAGCGCGATCCACGACGACAGTAGGCGAGCGGCCCTGAGTTCCAACGACGCGGCCGCCACGACGCAGGATTTCCAGTCGCAGCCAGTCCGCCTGACGCACCAGTTCTTGCTTGGAGATGCCTTGACGATACACCAGCAGGATCGCGGCCACCACGTGCGACATCGCACACGTAGCGTTGTCGATCAACGCGTCTGTAATGGCATAACCCAGATCCTCGACGATAGCAGACGTAGGGACGAACGTCTCCTGCTCTTCGGCACGCGAAAGCGTTGCGTCGACGTGCTGCTTCACGTCCAAGGGCACGCCAAAGTTCACGGAAATGGAGCCGAACTTCTTGCGCACCACCGGCATCGCCTTCATCAGAGCGCTTATCGACTGCAGTCGCAACATTCAAAGCGTATGTGAGCACAGCACTGAGATACATGGCTTGGATCGTACTGAAGACGCTCGTACCTCTCGGATCTTGCCCTCGCCTAAGAGCTCGTTCTGGTGGAGCAGCACTTCCAACGGCTTCTCGTAGTCAATTGTGACCGGTACGATGTATAGCTGAAGAACATAAAACAACACCAGGGTAAGTGAGTACACGTCCTACAGCTTCCCTTATAGCTTCCGCGCAGTGCACTCACATTCTTGACTTTCTCCGACACGTAGCAGTCGACGACCGTGTTGAGGATGCCAAACTTGGGATGAAGTTGCTTGCCACTGCGACTGCGTGATCCCTCGATGAAGAACTCGATCGTGTGGCCTCTAGACACCAGGTATTGTGTGTAGGCTCGGAAGACAGCGGAGTAGAGCGGGTCATCGGAGAAGGATCGGCGGATGAAGTACGCGCCCGATTCACGCAGCAACTTGGTGAGGCTGCCCATATTGAGAAAATCCTCGCCCGCCGCCACGTACGGAACGGGGATATTGTAGGCGAAGAACACGTAGCTCATGAGCAGAAAGTCAACGTACGAGCGGTGGGTGGGCACGAGCACGACACTCCCGCGTCTGTCCGCCAGGAGATCACGAATGCGCGTGAGACCCGTCTCGTCGACGTGGATCTGGTCGTACATGTTGCGGCACACCTTGCGCAGCAACCAGCCGAACTTGCGCACCGACTTGTAATCCAGTTGAGCAGCCATAGTGCTCAGCATACTGGCAGCTTGACGCTCCACATCGTCGATGTCCATTCCCTGAGCTACGGCGCGTTCTTCAATAGTTGCGCGTACGACCTCCGACTCTAGGACGCTGTTGCGAAGGCCACCGATAGACTCCACGTGGGGTCTGGGGACATGCGAAGCCTCGTGATTCATACCCTCCTTCCACCCCGTAATGCCCATGAAACGACCCAGCAGTCCAGACTTCGTGTAACCAGGTTTGCGGCTTGATGTGTACGCCCACGCCACGTCGGAGAGCAAACCAGGGAAGGAGATCGCGTGGTGATCCGGGTCCCATTCCAGAATACGACCCGTGCTCAGAGCCAGCTTCGTCTGGTTGACGCCTTCAATGTCCACGTCGATGACGTCCTCGTTCAGCATATACTTCTTCAGCCCGACGCAATAGTTGACCACGTAGCGCTCCCACGCGATCTCGTGCGAGTCGATCCAAAAGTCCTTAGTTGCCCAGGGTCGCAGGACCTTCTCCGCGGCGTCAGCAACGAAGATCCATTGGTTTTCCGTGAATGGCTTGAACAACTCCACGAGGTTACGCGCGCGCCAGGTGAGCTGCCAGAGCTTAGCTGCATTCTTAATGTGACCAGGATGCCCGCTCTTGTTGGCCACGGTCGAGTACACCGACGACGGCAAGGCGTACGTAAGAAACCATTGAATCTGGAAGCTTTGGTGCGTTGGGATCATCGAAAACTTGGCCGGGAACAGGCCACGTGCTGGCGGGTTCTTGCGGAAGTATTCGGGCACCAGCACGCACGGCACACGCCAGCGTAGCGGGTTTTGTCTTGGGTCGGATGTCCCGCAGTGCACCACCATGGGCTTGTTCACCGACACACCCTTGACCAACGGACAGGGTGGTTCTTGAGATACGCTCGAGCTCTCTTGCTGGTGAATCCTTGCGCAGATAGACAGCAATATACTGTTCACTGCCAGATCGACTGGCACAATATCAGCGACATTGCGCGGGTCGCCGGGCAGCATCGTCAACACGCCCATACCCGCCGCCAAGAAGATAGCGCCGGCAGCAGCGATCTGGTCCGTCCACCCAGGCACAGGCTCCTTCCAGCTCGCACCGATGATGGTCGGACGGTAAATAACCAGCGGGAAGTTGGGCGCGAACTCTTGCACGAGCAAATGCTCCGTCATGGACTTGGTGAGAGTGTATGTGTTGGGGTACGTGCCCATGAGGTTCACCCTCAGTCGCTCCAGTTCACTCGCAGACGCTGTCGTGACGGCCTTCAGTGCGTCGTGGACGTCAAAGTCCAGCGGGTAGAGCTCCTCGTTGATCCTGGCATCTCTTCGGTTGCTGTTCACATAGGCCGTCGACACGTGCAGATGGCAGCGAACCCTCGGACAGCTCTGCACGAACCTGGCGACGTGCAGCGCCCCCAAGCAGTTCATCTCCACCGCCACCTCCAGCGGCTCGTCGAACTGCACCGTGGCTGCTGAATGGATAGAGATCTGCACACTCGAGCGCAGCAGCAAAGCGTCCTCCTGGCTGAGCCCCAAATCGGGCGTCGTGATGTCTCCAGCCACCGCTTGCAGCTTGGAGGCCGCGAACTCTGCGAAGTCATTGGGGCGTTCGGCCCGCAGTCGATCGAAGACGCGGCTTTCGATGATCTCCTTCTGCAGACGCTCAGCCGGCGCCACGCCCTTGCGAGGGCGGATCAATACAAAGATCTAGTTGCATGGGGCAATTGGGAGATGAGAGTTAGAGGTGTTTAGCATTGGAATTGACGCTGGGGAGGGGGGAATTATGAATTGATACCTTGGCGATGTCGGGGGTGCATCGCAGCAGCTTCTCGATGACGGTCTGTTTTAATTGGGGGAAATGCAGTGAGCATAAAGCGGTTGCATTGGCGGACAGTAGGGGGTGGTTGTTACCTTGGCCAGGAAGCCCGTGCCGCCCGTGATGAAGAGGCTCTGGCCCGCGAAGACCTGCTCCATTATTGCTATTGCTGCTAGTGACGCTTTGCGAAAACTGGATGCCTACACGATGGGACGTTACAGCCGAATTTCGGCGAATAGGATGGCTTTATGGAGTCGTTTCAATTCAATTCTTGCCATTCCAAGATGGCTTCAAAATGCGGTACAGAAACTTTTCGTCTGCAAACTCAATGCTGCGTCGAAGAAGTCGAATCGACTTTTGCCAGAGTGAGCAGCTCATATTACAACCGCTCTGTTAGATGCACCATCACTTCTCTATGCAAGCTAAGTCTTTGGACATTTCACGCTGGCAGTACATGTACATCAGCACACGCGATAATAGACGGCAACCGTGCAGAAGCAGGAATGATGAGATGCTTGCACTTCTGCAGCATCGACATTTGATAGCGGCGTCCTGCTCGACAAGAAGTCGATGCTCTGCAGTACCATTTCGTCCTCATTCCTCTAACAAGGCCAGTCTTATATTATAATCTTATACCCCCATCCCGCTTCATTCCTGCAGTACGGTTAGCTCCACATCAAGCTGAGAGCTGGCGCATCAGAATCCACCATCGAAGCTTCTTCGCGTCCTTTTCAGTGGCCTGAAGACGGCGGTCGCTAATACAGGAAGCTTTTGGTCCCAGGCGACGAGGGGACGATGCTGGTGGCATCGTGGTGCTGCTCGCAGTGAAGCACACTTATTCTTTCTCCTCACTTCAGCCCCTTGAAAGCAAAACATGCTCCGGATCGCCAACCTTACAGTTGTCGTTGCGTCTGCCATCGCAGCCATGACGCAAGTGCCGACTGCAGCAGGATTCCAGCCTGGCAGCAGCGGCCGCGTCATGTGGGAAAGCAACTGCGACTTCCCGAGAAACGACTGCCGCTCGGTGAACGCCCTGCCGGAAATGTGCGGAGACCTCTGCGCTGACGACGCTGCCTGCACACACTGGACGTGGAACAACTACAGCGGCGGCACCTGCTGGCTCAAGCAGGACACTCCGTCTCCCAAAACCAGAAGCTACGGAGCGATCTGCGGCTACGTCGTCTCCCGGTCCTCGACAGCTGCAGCGTCGAGTGGTCTTTCCACCTCGGATATGGCGGATATGCTGGGCCGGATCAACTCCCTCCGCGCACAGAATGGTTTAGGCGCACTCGCCATCGACTACAGACTCGTTAAGGCAGCGCTGCTCCACTCGCAAGACCAGGCGAGTCATTGCCAAATGACGCACAAAGGAACAACGATCCGGGACTTCGGGGATCGACTCGAAGCTCAGGGCTACAGCTACAACACAGCGGCGGAAAACGTGGCCGCAGGACAAACCACGGTGGCAGATGTCATGACGTCCTGGTGGAACTCGCCAGGCCACCGCGCCAACATCCTCAACAAGGACGTCGTGAACGTCGGCCTTGCCCTCGCCACCAATGAAGCTTGCGGCGACTACGCGACCTACTGGACGCAGGACTTCGGACGCCAACTATGATACCATTCACTACAGCTTAGATACACCGCTTTAACAGAATAATAATAGTAGCATAGATTGCAGTGTACTTCTGTCGTTGTTGATAAAGGGCCGACAACAGCACGCAAGCGCAGTAGCCGATGATATCAAGGACGCCAGGATGGGCATTCCCAAAGGTCTCGCGAGTGCCATCTGCGCGGCAGTTCGACTACTCCGAAGACACGATGGCGGGGACATCCATTCGCGGCGCAGATGTTGAAGAGCACATGTGTAGCACGAAAGACAGGCTGTCACAGGCTGACAACGTGGCAAATGAAGCACGCGAAATAGTGATCGCATGCAATCGTAAGCGACGTTACTCCCATGAACTTGAAGCAGCGTCAAGCAATTCCTTGAGCTGAATACCAGCGTGAGTATTACACTACCTACCTATCTGTCAGTACTGCTCCTGCTTGAGCCATTTCGACGGGAATCCAAGCGATACTTCCTTTAGGATGCGGAAGTGCCTGTAGATCAACAGTGGGGAGCACGGCGTGTTCTGGATCGGAGTGTCTGTAGTGGCGTCAAGTAAGAGCCGACAGCAGGCGATGCATATGTGTGGGTCAATGTTGACCACCCCCGTCGTCGACAGCGTCCGGCTAGAAGGTGCCTCTATTGCTTCTACACTGTAGCTGGTGCCCGCAACTCAACTACACTGCGCTAATTGATGCTCTCATTCCCAAGCTCAAACAACAAAATGCGCCAACACTTTGTACTGTAACTTATCAACTATTCTTCTCCATCTAGGCCACGTCGGCTCAGGTAAAGAAATGGTTTTGCTCTACAAGAATTCACTGTCCGAATGATATCCGAGGCAACTGGGAGTCCTATAGCGGGAGCTGCACTCCCTATTAGATGTTGCACTGCGTTGTAAAGTTAAGGTTATGGGCGGTAGAGTCCTTATCCCCAAGCCCTGCGGGTACTGTATGGCAAAGTCTTCCTCCGAGCCAAAAGCTTCAACAGCAGGGTCTTCCCCAACCGATGCTTTGATGCCGCCTTTTCCACTAGGGAGGAAGGAGACAGACACCACCGATTTCTGCTGTTCGGTTGTGTGCTCGTCATCCGAATTGATGTGGAGATCTTGGGCCAGACCAGGCCAAGGCAGGACTCAGTTTTCAATTTGACTCGCATCGGTCAATCCCCCAATCTCCACATACAAAATGCCGCGACTGTCCTGTTTTGTGCTCCTGGCGGCGTCCGCCATCGCGTCGTCCTTCACCCCGTCCACCGCCTTCCAGTCTGGCAGCGGCGGACGCGTGATGTGGGAGAACAACTGCGACTTCTACGGCAACGACTACCGCTCGATGAAGGCCATCCCCGAAGTCTGTGGCGATGTCTGCGCTAGCGACTCGGCTTGCTCCCACTGGGCGTGGAACAACCACAACGGCGGCACTTGCTGGTTCAAGAAGGGCTCGTCCAAGACCAAGACGAACAAGTGGGGCACCAACTGCGGCTACGTGGTGAACCGCAACTCGCAGCAAGCTCAGCAGAACCAAGGCCAGGCTATGAACAGCGGCCTCAACCCGAACGAGATGGGCGAGATGCTGGGCCGGATCAACGCCTACCGCTCGCAGAACGGCCTCCCGGGTCTCAGCATCGACAACCGACTGGTGAACGCGGCCACGCTTCACTCGCAGGACCAGGCCAACCACTGCAAAATGACCCACGCCGGATCGAACGGCTCCAGACTCGGCGACCGCATCAAGGCGCAGGGCTACAACTTCAACATGGCCGAGGAGAACGTGGCGGCCGGCCAGACGAGCGTCGAGCAGGTCATGATCTCGTGGTGGAACTCCCCCGGACACCGTGCCAACCTCCTCAGCAAGGACGTGGAGAACGTCGGCTTCGGAAAGGTGGTGAACAACGGCTGCAGCAACTACGCGACGTACTGGACGCAGGACTTTGGTCGCCTGGCATGAAGGGCTTGACCCTCTCGGTATATGTTCGTGTCCATGTCGGTGCTCTTGTGACGTGATGGCTCAGTGGTAAGCCAAAGTATCGTGGTATTCAGCTATCGATCGTTCGACGAAGAACGATTCAATGCGTAAAGTCTAGTATCTAGTGTAGTGAGTAAATTGTCAGTAGCTCCACTAAGAAAAATGTCTACAGTGTTTAGTGCCGGAACAATCGTGTGACCTCAGTATTTTGCTCATCTCATACATGGATACTCCAGTGCTTCCACGATGAACCTGTGTTGTGGTTTGTAAGATGATATTTCACACGTATTTAGAGTTCTCCTACAAAGGTCTACAATTGTAGATGGACGCTGCTTGTTGAGCTGCACGTTTGTAGGTGCTTTGTTGAGCGTAGGAAATCTTGATGTAATTTACCAACAAACTACGGATACCTTTACTAGAAATAGCAACAGCAAGGAATTCTTAGTTCAGGTTAACAATGTATTTCTTGTGCTGCCGAATGCAAGCAGTACTAGTATACTGTATGTGTTAACAACGCGTTGAGCCGGATTTTAGTCGGAGCTCATTGTAGTGCTCAAAGTATCCATCCAGTGACTCCTCTCTGGATATTATTCAGTGAATAACGGGCACACAGCAGGTTTTGCAGCTGTCGGAGTCGCCATGTTTACCATGGGGTTAACTTGTAGGATTTTCAATACAGGCCAAGGAGCGACAGTTTGGCTCTCCTTGCCTCAACAATTCCGTTTGCCTACGCCACCATATCTTAAGCGTTAGGAACGAGCCTTGAAGCGTCAGTAACTCAAAGTGATGAACTCAGTTATTAATTCTCGGTGAGGTTTTCAAAGTTCATGCCGTCTCTATTCATGTACGTTACGTACAGTACGTACGTACGTACGTAACAGCAAAGTCAAACCGCCAACAACTCACGCCATGCCGTTCCGCTTTACCATCAAGTTACGAACCAGCAACCGGGCGAGCGGACGACCACCTAGACATCTGCATACAGGAAGGTCCTCGCGCTAAACTCGCACATACATAACAATAGAATCGCACTCCATACCCTCGATGTGTACGGACTGCAAGAGTCACATGAAGCTCCTTATTCCCGAGCCCTGCACAGCTCCTTTAGCCGCCGCGACGGCCTTTTTACCATAATATTGAGCACGCGATGACACCGGCGCCATCAGGATGTTTAACCGATGTTGCGTAGGGGGGCGGACACCATCGGCTTTTGGCCATCGGGCCGTCCGAATGGAGACCACTATCCAGGCCAACGAGAGAGAGCACGAATCCGCGAGCTCAAAGCTCTCAGTTTTCCTTTTCCCTCGCCCTGATCACATCTCCAGCATGCCTCGCCTCAGTATTTTCGCAACTATCGCCGCGTCCGCGGTCGCATTCGTCTCGGTCGTCCCCTCCGCTTCAGGCTTCCAGCTCGGAAGTGGCGGCCGCGTCATGTGGGAAAACAATTGCAACTTCAACGGGAACGACTACCGGTGGATGACCGGCATCCCGGATGTGTGCGGCGACGTGTGCGCCAGCGACTCAACCTGCACGCACTGGACGTGGACCAACTCCAACGGAGGAATTTGCTGGTTCAAGAAGGGCACGCGATCCACCAAGGCGCAGAAGTACGGCACGCACTGCGGATACGTGGTGTCGCGTAGCGCTTCAGCCACGACCACGACCACATCGCGGACGCAAGCGGAAGCCAGGGGCCAAGCCCCCGCTGCTGCGGCTTCGACTTCCACGTCGACTTTGTCTGCCGTTAGCGGTCTCTCCAACGCCGACATGGGGCTGATGCTGAGCCGCATCAACGCCTACCGCGCTCAGTACGGTCTCAAGGCGCTCACTGTGGACAACCGATTAGTGACGGCGGCTGCGCTCCACTCCCGGGACCAGGCTAACCGCTGCACTATGTCGCACACGGGCTCGAACGGCTCGGGCGTCGGATACCGCATCAACGCGCAGGGCTACGACTTCGAGGTGGCCAAGGAGAACGTGGCGGCGGGTCAGAGCAGTGTGGACGAGGTCATGACTGCGTGGTGGAACTCGCCCGGCCATCGTGCCAACCTGCTCAGCAGTGACGTGGAGAACGTGGGCTTCGGCAAGGTGGTTAACAACGGCTGCGGCAGCTACGGGACCTACTGGACGCAGGACTTCGGCAGTCTCTAGACGGCGAGAGAGAAGGAAATGGCCCAAAGGCAGGCCTACTCGATATCGGCGAGGACATGAGTGAGTGTAGTAGTGCGTAAGCGTAGCGTGCTAATTGTGACGTGTAGATGTAAATGAGTGAACCCGATAAAGTCAATAGTATCGGTGCTCCTTCAATTTAGAGCTTTTGACGTACATGTAGTAAAAGTGTTTGAACAGTGATTTTATGGTGGAGTAGGTACGGATTGATCGCGTTGCCGTCGGCTATTGATGCTGAGCTTCCACTGATTCAGCACCACACGCACACGTTCTCTCCTTTCCTGAAGCACGTCAACGCGATCGTGCGTTGATCACCAGCCGAGCGACTTAACTGCTGCTAAAGATCGCAACGATGTAGGCGCCATATATGGACCAACTTCGGGTTCAACTCAAGGTCTGAGCGTGGGAGCGCGATCGACGACCGCGGTCTCCTCTAGCAACTGCAGTGTAGCTGTTCGACAGCAGGGTACATGCAGCGGAAAAGCTCAGCGACACCGAAGGCGGAATGAGCCGGAGTCGAGGCCCCTCTGCGTGGGTGAGTCGTAAAAGTGATGCATCGGTCCGCTTAGGATCGATTGCAATGCTGTGGACACGTACATACCGAAGTACTAGTAGTCTATTTCAAGAGGTCTCATCTAATTAGTGCAAATGCGGATGGATGCCAGGCAAGACGCTGTGTGCGTTGACTGAAGCTCAACATTATCCATGCCCTGCGACCGTTTCGGTGAGGAAGCACTTCAACTTGCTCAGCCAATGATCGCTCTTGTTCGCCTTTCCATTCGTCGCATCGCAGGACGATCGCCATGTAGAATCTCGGAGCTGCAGCCACCAGAAGGCCGAATGCTGCCAGGCGGGGGGCTGCTTCGACGCTGCCGACACCACGGAAGCGCATTGTTGAGTGGAGTTGACACCGGCTCAAGGATATCTGCAGATGCGGCCCTGGCACATGCAGCGTCAACTGGTCGACAGCTGTTCACCAGCCCAATAGACGAGCTCTGCAACGCTGCAGGTCCCTCCTTTGCCGTCACTCGCTTCCCAACACGGCGTCGAGGATTGTGCGCGGAGTGCTCGCGCGATGGGTCTCTGTGCTCTCTGTTGCCCACTTTCCAATTCGCCGGGTAATACCAAGCAGTTCCTTCATCCCGCTTAGACTCTCACTCCGCGAGCATGTTCCGGTCCCCAGTATTCGCGCTCTCCTGTATGGCGTTGAGCTCTTCGGCTGCTGCGTTCGCTGTCGGCAGTCAAGGCCGCGTCATGTGGCAGAACAACTGCGACTACAACGGCGGCGACATCTACTCAGTGCGCGGCATCCCCGACATCTGCGGAGATCTGTGTGCCAACAACTCCAAGTGCACGCATTGGAGCTGGACCTACTTCAAGGGCGGCACCTGCTGGCTCAAGAGCGGCGAGACTGCAGCCATCTCGAACAATTGGGGCGCAGGCTGCGGGTACGTCATCGACCGCTTCTCCTCGGACTCGGACTCGGCGGACCAAGCAGCCCAAAGATCTCAGCAGAACGCGGACCAAGCCCAAAACGCCGAGCAAAACCAGAACCAGAATGCCGAGCAAAATGCGGAGCAGAACGCCGACCAGACCTCGCCGGCTTCCCAAACGGACCAGGCATCGGCTTCCCAGACCTCCCAAGCTTCGGCGTCATCGCAGACGTCCGGGTCAACGTCAACGTCCTACGACAATGGACTCACGAGCGCGGAGACGGCGGAGATGCTGGCCTCTATCAACGCGTACCGCGCCGACAACGGGCTGGCGGCTTTGACTATCGACGCTCGACTCGTGGCTGCTGCAATGGTGCACTCGAAGGACCAGGCCACGCACTGCACGATGACGCACGACGGCACCGACGGATCGGAGCCTTGGGACCGAATGGAGGCCCAGGGCTACGACTGGACTGTGTCAGCGGAGAACGTGGCTGCCGGCCAGACCAGCGTGTCCGCCGTCATGACGTCGTGGTGGAACTCGGCGGGCCACCGCGCCAACATCCTCAAGGACGACGTGGTGAATGTCGGCTTCGCTTTGGCCACCAACAGCGCCTGCAGCGAGTACAAGACCTACTGGACGCAGGACTTCGGCGCTCTGTAAGCGGGTGACGGTCGAATTGGTGTCTAAATCGCGGAGCTTCGGGTGCTGGGCGCTGCGTCTGTAGTGTTGCTTGTGGAAGAAGACCCACGCACTCTCCATCGTTTTGTTGCGAAGCTTCGACTTATGTGTTGGTCTTGTAGTATTTCGGTAGTGCTGTAGCGTAACGGAGTCACGAACGAAGTGGCGGTAACACGAAAGTTGTTCGAGAGCGTCGTGGTCTTACATTGACTGATACGCATCGCAACCACTCCACGTCTCCTTGACGATACCTAAGTTAGTAGTATGTACAGCGACAGCAGCCAACGTCCATCTCAAAGCCGAACGAACGCTCTCACCATCGAGTTTCTTCTCGCTGTCAGATCCTCACCGGAAGCTCAAGCCGCGCTGCAAATTTCCGTCGCTCCGTACGTCGTCGAAGACGAATGACCATGATCTGCGTGATGGTGCTCGGGCTCGCACTTCTCGCAGCAGAAATACACCGTAGCAGCTCGTGACAGTCTCGCTCCGTACTGCATAAGAGGGATTCCAATGCCCAGCAGCAGGATTGTCGCCAGTAGGAACACCAACAGCCCCACAGCTCCATGGAACTTGTTCCCCAGACTTCCGCGCGAGATGGCACCCACAGGCAGCGAGAAGGCGATGGACAGCACGAGGCTGCTGAGCATTCCGATCAGCGCCTTGACTGTGACGAAGTACAGCGTCGCGCGTAGAGCTGGCGGCGAGAACTTGTTGAGGTCGGGGACGAGACGCTCGACGCTCGTCTCGCCGCACGCGCGCGCGCTGGCGTGGGAGCCTCGTGTCAAGCTCTTGGTGGTGGAGATGCGCTCCTCCGGCAAGGACGCGAAGTTGACGAGCGCCACGTCCAGCTCCGCCAGCACGGCCACCAGACAGAGCACGAGGCGGAAGAAGACGAGCCCGAGGCAGCACAGCGGCGCCAAGAGGACGGACAGCAGCGCGCCGCAGCCGACGACCGTGAAGGCCGCAGCGCCCAACACGGAGTTGACCCAGTGGAAGACCACGAGCTCCAGCGTCACGCGCAGCAGCGCGTGGACGAGCCCCTCGGCGTCCTCGTCGTCCATGGGCGGAGGCGGGCAGTGGTGCCGCGGCGGTTCGACGTACAGCGGGGTGCGGGCCGTGGGCCAGTGCTTCTTGTGCGTGATTCGAGCGGTGGGCGGCGACGGAGAGGGCGAGACGAAGGCCACGTGGGCGGCTTTGGCTCTGGCCATGGCGAGCGTGCTCTATTGTATGGAGCAGATCGCGATTGCTGGAAGTGTGCAAGTCTCTCACTGAGCACTGGCCGGTGCTTAGTCTCCAACTTGAAAGAGGAGGGAGATGAGCAGCAGTGCTGAGATAAGGCAGTTCAGAAGAGTGACCTTTAGTTTAGACAAGTTGATCGGAAGAGTGACTTTCAATCGTAAAAATCTCGGTGTACGTATCTATGAGTTCTGCCCGACCCGCCAGCCATCAAGTTCGTCATTGCACTTGCTGCTTGGTTTGGAAAGCCTTGGGGCAAAAAAATCGTCTGGTTGCTCTATGAGATGTAGGTATCGCTTCACTTCCACTGGTGATTCTTCTCTCTTGGTATGTATACGTTTGTCTAGGTGTCTGTCTGTCTGGTGCATTCGTTCGCAGCACTTCGTCTTGGTCTTGCTTGTCTGTGGTCGTCGACGTCCTGTCACACTTGCTGCGTGCCGTACGACGGCAGCGCCGAGTCCAGCGGCTCCTGCGGCGCCGTCGGCACGAAGTCGCGCGTGTAGATGGACGAGAAGACCTCCCGACAGAGCAGGCGCGTGGTGACGCAAGAGAGTCTGGCCACCTGCGGCACAGCGACGAAGCCGCTCACCAGCAGCGCAGTAGCCACCGTCATGAAGGCCGAGAGGTTGAACCAGCCTTCGCTGAAGTACTGCTCCCGGAACAGAGGCGACGTGAGCGCGTGAATGGGCATGGAGAACGGGATCACCACCACCATGGCGCTGAGCACACCGACGCCCAGCTTGGCCGTGCTGAAGTAGAGCAGCACGGCGAGCGACGGCCGCGCCAGGTACGCGCCGCCCTCGCCGTAGTGCGGGATCTGGCCGTAGAGCTTGTTCTCTGCGGGCTCCACGAAGTTGTGCAGCGCCACGTCGAGCCGCGCGAGCAGCGGCGCGAGGTACAGCAGCCCTTGGAACATGACGACGCCCAGGCAGCAGAGCGCCAGCGACCCGAGCGAGAAGGCCACGCCGAAGACGATCACCACGAAGCCCGTGCTGGCCAGCGCGTAGTTCAGCACCAAGAACACGAGCACGCGGGCGGCGCGCAGGACGGCGTCCGAGGTGTTCGCCATGCTGCTCGACGCGCGCAATTGTGCAACTGCGACACAGCGATTGACACTGAACATTGGTACCGTAGTCTCATACATATATCCTAAGATTTGTGTATGATTTTGTTGAATCTTAGGAGAAAAGGGATGGACCATACGATCGCGATGTCGTTCTGATGGTCCGCCGACGTGCATGTACATGTATGTAAAGTTGTTGTAATGTATTGGTTCAGGTATTTGCTGGCACGAATACGTATGTAGTTTGCTGGGACTGGTAGTACATTTGTGTTCTGCTAGAGGGGACGTTGGAGCCGTACACGACTGCTGTCGCGGGGTACTCCACGATCGGGATGGTGTACTCGGTCGGGGTCACTCGTTCACAGCAAAAGAAGTGCGTGGCGGCACGCGACAGCCACGCCACGACGTGCATGGCCACAACCGTGAGGATCAAGAGGCAGCCCCAGAGGACGTAGAACGTGAGCGGGTACTCGTGCAGATCCACCTTCTTGTGGTGGTGAATCTTTACGATCCAGTCGCCCGAGTCGTCGTCGTTGAAGGCGAGCAGCAGCATCGGCAGTGAGGCGAATACGGACACGACGACCAAGCTGGCGATGCTCACGACGAACTTGACGGTCGAGAAGTAGAGCATGCCCAACAGCGACACAGGCGAGAAGTGCGCCAGCTCTGGAGAGAGGCGCAGACCGACGAACTCCCCGAAAGGCTCAGTCGTGAGGACGTGCTCTTCGTGAGGCGATGCGACGTAGTTACTCAGCTTCACGTCCAGCGTCGCGAGCCATTGCACCAAGACCACGACGCCGCGGAATAGCACCAGCCCCACGCAGCACAGCGGGATCAACCCGATAGAGAGATGCACGCCGGTGATGACTGCGATGAATGCCACGGTGCCCAGAACTGCATTGATCACGTGGAAGAGCGCAAGTCTCAGCGTCGAGCAGACGAACCCTTGGTAGTTGCAACCGCGGTGTCGATGATGATGCTGGTGATGATGGCGATGCCGGTTCTCCACTGGCGGTTCACCGTAGGACGGCGGCACGTAGTACGCGTTGTAGGAGCCTTGCTGCGCGTACACTGCTGGTGCCGCCGCGGTGAGCGGCCAGCGTTCCGATTCGGCCGAGGACATCGGAGGCGCATTGGCGACGGGATATGCGGCGCTGTATCTGGGGTCAGCTGGAGCCTCGAAGTCGGGGTACAGGCGGCGACTGCAGCTGGACGACTCGACCATGGTTGAAGCACTTGCGCTCGGCAGGGCAATATAGAGAATGCCATCGATTCGTGGCGGCGGCGTTGCAAACCAACATTCCGGAGACCCTATGGGAGAAATGGTTGTGTGCCTGGTCTCTGCCCACCTGGTGGCGAAATCTACCACGAAGCTCGTCAATCTACAGCAGTCCTGCACGTTGCAGCGCAGTAGCAACAAGCTCCAATTCATTTTTTTTAATAAGCCTTGTGAACCCGCACCACATCCACACCATCTCAAAACAATTTCCTAGTTACCTCCTCCTTGAAGTAGCTCCATACGAAGTCATGCCGTTGAATGCGTACGGCGCAGATCTGGTCGTCATGGCGAACTTCTCGCAGCAGAAGAACCGTGTGGCCCCGATCGAGATCTTGGCCACGAGCTGCATGAGCGCGACGCCCACCAGCGTCACGCAAATTGCGCTCACCAGGGACAGCCCTGGGCTGCGGCTCATCGATGTGGACCCCACGCCATAGATCTCAATCGAGTCGTAGTATCCGTCAGGGTGGTGCGACGTCAGCGACGTGATGAACGCCGCGGCGGGTGCAACGACCAGCAGCACCGACAGAAAACTCAGAGCGCCGATCACGGGCTTCACCAGTACAAAGTATAGCATCGCCATGAGTGACAGTGGAGAGAAGAACGCCAAGCTGGGCGATATGCGGTAGCCCGAGAGTCCTTCCCTGCCGATGAATCTGCCTGACGGGAGCAGGTTTGCGTACGCGCGCTGCTGCGCCGGCGAGATGTAGTTGCTCAGCTTGATATCCCATTGCGCCAGTGAGAACACAATATACACGAGTACTTGGAAGATGAGCAGTCCGATGCAGCAGACCGGGATCAGCGAGGCAGCAGAGCAGATCCCCGCAGACAGAATGCCACACGCCACCAGCGCGAAGACGATGTTGAACACGTGGTAAACACACAGCTTCAGAGTAGCTGTCAGAAACCCTGGCGTTCTGCGACGAGAAGGAGATAAAGGGGAGTCGTGATGGCTCCTCTCCCAATGCCCCCACCGTCCGTGTCCGTGTCCGTGTCGGTATCCCCCGTTCAACTGCAGACCACCAGGAGCTACATGTTCTTCCATCCAAGACCCCTGCTGGTTTAGCGCTACCCACCGGCCTCTGACATTCGTCGACTGCTGCGGTGGAGGCTGCCGAGGAGCTTGTGCTGGATACGTCCACTGGTCTTGATAGAACACCGGGTCGAGCCGTTCTTGGACGTCACCTCTCGTAGAATACCCTACGTAATCCTGAGGGGGCATGGCTGGGTATCCTGGAAACTGCGTCGTACGTTGCTGTTGATACGGGGGTGGCGGATTCATCCTTTCGTAGCCATTGTATTGAGGGCGTTGTTGCGCGCGTCCATCAGAGCCACGAGAATGGTCCCCCTGCTGCTTCTCCTCGTCCTCTTCGAACGGTGCACTGGCTTCACTGCGTCCTCCAAGTCGCGCAGCCTCGTCCTCCGGCGTCCACAGCCCAGGATAGCGCTGCCACGACGTCATGCCAAGATCAGAAACTCAACTAAGGCAAATTGCCAGTTTAGTACAGAATGAGCAGTTTAATAGAGTGTCACATTGAATAATGAACAGACAGTACTTCGCGTATAGCTTCCATGATTCGTTGAAAATATAATTATTCAAGGTATTTTAATACAAACTCCCTGATAAAATCTCTACTACAGTACTTAAGTAAACTGGCACAACCTCGAATTCGAGATGGCTTAGGAGCTCATGGATTTTTTTAGTTAGCTGGTATCGTCTCTGATTATTGAAATCTTGAGCTACAATTTCATACATGTACCTCACTCAGTACCTTGCGGTCAATATTACAAGCAGGAGCGGTTGGCTAAAAGTTGAAGAGAGTTGAAGTGAGAAGCCATGTCTGGGGCCAGCTCTGCCGGCGGGTACGAGTCTTCGGTGTCCTCTATCGCGAGTAATGAAGCGATAAGCGACGTGGAAATTGCCCAAGCGTTCACTACTGTCGCAGTCACCGGCGATGCCAAGAGGACGACTGAAAGCCACGCTGGTCCCTTGAGCTCACGTCCAGCCAAGCTCGAGCGACACCTTTTGGACGAGGACGTGGTGGGCACCAAGACTGTCACTGGCCAGCAGCTACTTTCTCCAGCTCTGACGCCCGACTGGCAGCTTATTAAGCCAGAACACTTTCAAAAGGTTGCCACTCCGGACAACTGGGAGCCAATAAATTCCAAGAACGCATCGGTGTCAGTTTTAAGGACACGACGCTACTCAAAATTGCACTGACCCACCACGGATGTTTGCACACTGATGTCATCGCGGACGATGTACCAGTGGTTCGACTGTCGAACCGCAGTCTGGAGTTCCTGGGGGACTCGCTGCTTGGCGCTGCAGCAGCGAGCTTTCTCTTCCAGACCAAGCCGTGGTACCAGGAAAGCCAGCTCTCGATCGCCAAGGCGGTGCTTGTGAACAATGTTGTGTTGGCGAAGGTTGCTGGAGATCTGGGGCTTGCAGAAGTCCTGCTCTGGCCTCCGAATTTCACGTCGGACACGGTGCCGGGCGACGACAAAGGATGCGTCACTATTGCGGCAGGAGCAGTGGATTCGCTCATCGCGGCTGTCTATTTGGACCAGGTAACAGCGCTTAAGCCCACTCATAGCTTGATATGACTAAATGGGCTGCGTTTTGGTTACGACTTTTTATTGTTTAGGGAATGGAGCGAGCGATGGAATTCCTGGCTGCTGAGATCCTCCCGCGCTCGGCTCGCTATGCGACCCCAGACGCAATCTGGAATCCGGTGATAGAGCTACAACGCTTACTTTTGGCCCACAATCGTGGCGTTCCGGTGTACAGGTATACTGGTGTGCACAGTTTTGCTGTATTAAAGGCCTGACATTTCTTTTACGCCGTAGAAAACTTCCCGATACAGAGAGCACCCCAGCGTTTACGGTGGAGCTCTTTGTGCAAGATGAGGTGCGGTGCGCCTGGTGAAAATATGATGCAATGAATTGCTGAGCTTATTATAATATCTCTTTGTCTGCCTGCAGTCTATCCTGAAAAGACAGTCAACTTCTTCGTATAGAGCGGCAAAACGCTAGATGCCTACGCGAGGTTTACGGGATTATTCAGCGTCGCTGCGTAGCATCATTGATAACAATTCACATTACAGTAGGACGTCGAGTGGCAGGTACTTCACGACAACCGATCAAGTATTTTCAAACAGCTCAGAATTGAAGAATGTCTCCATGTCCTAGGGCATTGCTCGGCGTATCTTGTGCTGTTGTCATCGAAGCAAAGACTCGCGCTTCTTTTATTATCGCAAATACTGGATAAGCAAAGCTGCACGTCGACCTTATCACATGGAGCGCTAAAGATAAAAAGAGTAATCGAAACGACGGGAACTTGCTGTCGGACGTACGCCTCGACACTAGATATTGTGCCCAAGCAGATCAAGATGGAGAGCGGACCTCCGATGCTCGACGCGTTGGCCAAGTTGGAGCTTGCCATGCGTCCGCAGTCGGTGCCGTCGTGGCTCAGCAGTGACACCAACCACGCCCCCAAGGTGACGGCACTCGGTCCGAGGACGTCAAGCGTCGAGCTGGTAGACCACACAACGGTGCACGGAGCTGCTGGAACTGCGATTATTGGGACCAACGGCGGAACCTCTCCACACAAAGATAAAGCGGGTCCCATGGCTCCCAGTCCTTCGTCTGTTCGACCACGCGCTCCGATAGGAATGCTCAAGGACACGGTTAGTGCCGCTGACAAGGAGTTCTTGGCCAAATCCGAGCACCCGTCGCCAAAGCGTTCACGACATCGCACACGGCAACAGGCAACCGAGTCGAAAAGCAGGTGCGTAGTTAAGTGTCGTGGCCAAAGATTCGTCTTGACTCACGGATGTTGTTGTAGACGAGTCAAACAATCTCTCGTCGAATCACTGCGATCGCTCGAGTTCTTTGACAAGACGAACCGAAGCCGCGAGCTCACGACTAAAAGCTCAGTCATGCGCGTATCTGCAGACCCTGGAGGTGAGCTCCTGATGCTGGATTGTGTGCTCTTAATTAAAAGTGCTAACTCTGGCTCGCTGATATGCAGACAACGTGCACTTCGTCAATATCGACGATAGCCTGGAGGAGAGCGAGGACGATAGAGTTCTTGCAGACGTTGACGAGCTGATTATTACCCATAACGAGCATCAAGGTGGTCACGCTGCGGTTGAAAACCGAGCATCGAGATATCTCGCAAAATCTTTCGGGTCGAAGTCAACACCGGAGCCGCCCGAGGTTTTCCAGATCCCCGAGCTGCCTCACGGACAGAACCTCGTTATCAACATCCTCTCGACGTGGGGGGACCCCTTCTACGTGGGGCTTATGGGGATTGAGATTTTTGATCACACAGGACACGCCGTTCACCTCTCCGATGTTGATAAACAACTGTCGGCGGACCCACCAGATCTAAATATCCAAGACCACGACCGTCTCGACCCCCGAACTGTCGATAAGTTGGTCGACAAGCACTACTTCACCTGTGACGAACTGCACGCGTGGCTTGCTCCGTTCTCGCGTGGCCAGAACCACTTCATCTACATGGATTTCGACTACCCCTTGTCCATCTCGATGCTGCGTATCTGGAACTACAACACAACTCGCATCCACTCGTACCGCGGTGCTCGCTACGTGGAGATTTCGTTGGACGGCAAGTTCATCTTTAAAGGCGAACTCCGACGCGCACCCGGAAGCGTTATTGAAGACATTGACGACTGCAACGAGTGCATTCTATTCACGATGAACCAGTCGATTTTGCAGCTCATTGAGAAATACGAGAAGCGGAACGAGACGCTGATCGATAGCGAGGCTCCTGGAACTTCCATAGCCCCGACATCAACGTCTCCGCTCGATGGCTTGGGCACATTAAGCGGCCTGCCAATTGGCCCGGACCCGCGGCTTCTAGAGCGACCGAAGACTGGCAACAAGACATCTCGCGCTGCAGCCAGAGGAAGCAGCCACATCATTTGCTCCCCTGAAGCTGGAGACTCGACGTTCCCAATCACTCCCGTGTTTACCCCAGTCGCCCCGCTGCCTAAGGGTGTGAAGGCAGGGATGAACTTCCAAACGCCATCAAAAGCAGCTCAAGCCTCTCGCCCGTGCACTGCTCCAGTCGTGGGAGGGCCAATGACTGAGCGCCCGTTGTGCTGCAAGACGATCGAGCTGATACTGGAAGCAAATTGGGGAGACCCGTACGAAATCGGACTAGCAGGTCTGGAATTCCTCGACTCCAACTACGTGCCATTGTCGATATGCTTGGACACTGTCATCATCTCGGCACCATTCGGCGTCGATAGAATGCAAAAGCTCATAACAACCCACGGAGCACGACATCTCTCCACCGACCCTGAGGACATGTGGAGTGCTCCGCTTCAGGACGTGCTCACGCTCCCTCCAGACCGCCGAGCTATCACGATCGATTTCCCCGAGAAAGTGAGCGTGCGAGCGCTGAAAGTCTGGAACTACAACACAACACTGGATGACTCTTTTAAAGGCACCAAGCAGATTTCCGTGCGGATCGACGGTGTCCACCACATGCGCGCATCACTGAGGAAGGCCCCAGGGAACCTCATGGACTTCGACTTTGGCCAATTCTTGTACCTACGCAACAGTTCGTTGCAGCAAGGCGCGGTTGCTGTCTCCACTACGCCCCCAGCATTTCCGTCCAAGGAAAGTGACCCGTTAGCATCAAGGACAGGAGAAGCCGAGAGTACGAGGCCATCCTCACCCGTGCACGCTCAGCCAGCTCAAGACATCACCTCCTCAAGCGGGTTTTTCGAGGGATCAGCGTTCTGCGACGCCACCTTCTCGCTCTCGCAGCCGTCTACGCCCCCCCAGTCACGACGGAACAAAACCACCATGAAGCCGATCGCAGAAGTTTTCCAGCAGTACCAAACGCCTCTGTTCCCCACGGGCTACATCATCAAGTTCGTCTTCTCGTCCACCTGGGGAGACCAGTTCTACCTGGGACTCAACGGCGTAGAACTCTACGACCGCGACAACCAGCTCATCCCGCTGTGCAGCGAGATCATCGACGCCCAGCCGAGAGATATCAACATCTTAAAAGAACCGGGCGCCACGCAGGACGTGCGGACGCTGGACAAGCTGTACGACGGCGTCAACAACACGTACGACGACCGCCACATGTGGCTGGCGCCGCACACGCCGTCGCATCCCAACAAGCTCGTGATCTTCTTCAACGAGCCCGTGACCATCTCCAAGATCCGATTGTGGAACTACAGCAAGACGCCCACGCGCGGCGTGCGCGAGTTCGAGGTCTTCCTCGACGACGTGCTGATCTACCATGGGACGCTGAAGCAGGCGCCGGCGCTCAACCTGCCGAGCGTTGACGGCGGCTCCGACGAGGCTTTGGACCTGTTCGCCCACTCTACGTTGGAGAACCGCCGACTGCGGAAGAAGTGGCACGAGCAGGCCGAAGCCGCCGCCAACGCCGTCAACATGACCCAGACGCTGCTGTTCACCGATGACCTGGAGGTCATCGAGGCGGAGGCCGGCAACATCTACATGCCGCAGGACGAGCTCGAGGCCAGCGTCACGTTCTACGACAACAGCCAGGTGCTCTCCCTCTCGGATCTACCGGGCAGCGAGGCCATCATGCGCCCGACGACGAGTGCAGGCTGGTAGCAATGTGCAGCAACAACTTCAACTAATAGAACATGGCTACACTATCACTATGATAATATCATATTATGGATACATTTATTTGATGTGGCATACACCACCTTCAGCATTTCGCGATTAGCGACTGTAGCGATGCCCCTATGAGCAGTAGCGGACTCCATGTGCGCACGAGCGGCAGCCCGGGCCGCGGTGCGGGCGCGGCGGCGTCCGGGGGATCGCGCAGCAGCCAGCAGTCATCGCGCCCGAGCAGCAGCCGCAGCAGCAGCCTGGCGTCCAGCGGCCGCGGGGGCAGGAAGGTCGTGGAGGAGCAAGTCAGGCTAGTGGGCACGCACTACGTACGTTATCCTGTCCATTTGACACAGGGTAGTATGGGTGCCAGGTTTAGTGCAGGTGGCTTATCTTGTATGTGTCTGTATACAGCAACTGGGGGCGGAAATCGGGCGCGGAGGCTTCGGAGTCGTCTACGGCGCGCTGGACCTGCGCAATGGACGCTCTGTGGCCATCAAGCAGGTGTCGCTGCGGGATATCGACAAGGACGAACTGCTGTCCATTGAGGTACAGGATAAGGAGGTGCTGGATAGAACTTTTTGCAGCAGACTGACAAAGCAGTTATCCTGTATGTTACAACGTTACAGACGGAGATCAGTCTGCTGCGCAAGCTCAACCACGAGAACATTGTCAAGTACCACGACACCATCAAGACGCAGGGCTACCTCTACATTGTGCTCGAGTACATGGAAAACGGCTCGCTGGCTCAGTTCGTCAAGAAGTTCGGCTCGCTGTCGGAGACGCTCGTGGCCATGTACATCACGCAGGTGCTGAGAGGACTGGCCTACCTGCACGAGCAGGGTGTGCTGCACAGAGACGTCAAGGGAGCCAACATCCTGACGACCAAGGACGGACTGGTGAAGCTGGCGGACTTTGGCGTGGCTATCAAGCTCAACGAGACGCAGAAGGCCAACTCGGTCGTGGGGTCGCCGTACTGGAGTACGTCGAGCAACGGCGAGGTCAAAAGGCTAATTAATTGGCTAACGAATTGGTTGTGTCTGTACTGCAGTGGCACCGGAAGTGATTGAGATGGCGGGCTGGTCCTCAGCGTCAGATATCTGGAGCGTGGGATGCACAATCATCGAGGTACTGACGACAAAGCCGCCGTACTTCGACCTGGCACCCATGGCTGCACTGTTCCGTATCGTGCAAGAAGATCACCCGCCGCTTCCGCAGCGGATGTCTCCGGTAAATGTGCTGCCGAGTTTTCTCTAGATGATTAAGGGCACTGCTGATTCTTGTTACTATTGTTTGTATTCGATGCAATAGGCTTTGCATGATTTCATCATGAAGTGCTTCATGAAAGAGCCGCGACTGCGAGCGTCAGCTGAGGAGCTTCTTGCCCACCCGTGGATCGCACAAATTCCGAAGAACAAGGTGGAGCAAAGCACACAACTGGTTGCCGAGAGCGTCACGTCGTCCAACGATCGTGACGCTGTGCTGAACACGATCAAACTCTACGAGAAAAGCTCGTCTACAGCAGAAGTACCTGCACCTGCAACAGGCAAAAGCTCGCGCTCTCTTAGTGCTACGCAGGAGCAGTCTGACGAAGATGTGGAGGATTGGGATGATGAGTTCGGCGTTGATTCGAACCCCACGCCGTTCGTGCTCAGGGATGAGGGAAACGGGGAGGCCAGCAAGGCGAAGACTCCGCAGGAAACAGCTCCGAGTAAACCCAAGTTTCAGTTGTCGAAGGAAGATGCGAACGCGCTCTTTAACGACGACGTGTGGGACGAAGACGAGCCCGAAACTTCGGTTGTATTAGAGAGCAAATCCGTGCTTGATGCTAGCCTGAACAGCAGCGGGATTAGCTTGAGCCAAAACAAAATGGACCGACCAACGATGAACTCGTGGGATCGGTCGTCGCTGATCCCAGCTCAAAATCGGATTGCAAAGCTCCAGCAGTTCGTCGAAGACCCAGAGGAAGATCTTACTTTTGACGATATCGACGAGAAGCAACTTCTACAAGCGGCGGCGAAGCAACAGCGCGCGATGGAGACAGACCCCCTCGCTGCCACCGTAGTCCCAGGCAATAAGCGCCAGAGCGACTTCAAGGAGGAGGACGACATGGATGGCGATTTCGACTTTGCAGACGGGAATGCGGGAGGTTTGGTGCTTCGCGTCGGTAGCAACCGAGACAGTGGTGCTGGGTCGTCGTCGGGCGGGAGTGCGCACGACAACTTGTTTGACGACGAATTGGACTTCGATTACTCGACTGCCCGAGACACAAACCAAAAGGCGACGGCGCGAGTAGTGGAGTTATTGTCCTTACTGGATCCAAGCATGGAGGACCAAGTCATCCTCGATGCTTGTAATAATCTGGTAAGAGCGCAAGTAGATTTGTGCCGATGCTGCTGGAGTTGCTGACATTGACCTTTTGCCATTTTGAAGGAGGAGCTGTTTGACCAGAACGTAACCCTAAGGAGGGATTTGATGTCTCAACCTGGTGTTGTGCCGAACATCATGGAGGCGCTGGAGATGAAGAAAATGGACGTCCTTCATGCTGTCCTCAGAGTTATCAACATTGTAAGTTCTGGCGCGAAGCTCTGCATTAGGTGTCAGAGTAGCTCATTCCTGGTTTGTGTTTGTATATTTTGTATTGTATAGATTGTGGAGGGCTACAAGAAATTTCAGGAAAACTTAGCGCTGGTTGGCCTGGTGCCCGTGATCATCAAGCTCACGAAGCAGCATAACCCTTATTACTTACCCGGTGAAAGTGGACGCGGGTTCCGCATGGACAGCTCGGAGGACAACGAGTTCTCCATTGCTGTGCGGATGGAGGCAGCCAAGTTTGTGCGCCAGTGTTGCAAGACAAGCTCATTGACGCTGCAAATGTTTATTGCGTGTGGAGGTTTGCCTGTGCTGGTTGACTTCTTGACGTTGGGAGATAAATCATCCAGCCTTGACGAAGATGTGGACCTGCTTCGGATTGCTCTGGACGGAATCTTCAGCGTATTCAGCATCCAAACCATCCCGAAGAACGACATCTGCCGTCTCTTTGTGAAGGCGGGACTGCTCAAGAAGTTTGTGGTCGTGTTTTCAGAGATTGTCACATCGGTATCATCGAATGACACAAGGATCCAAGCGTCGTCTACGAAGCTATCTGCAAAGAAGACCGATCTCAAGAGCGGATCGGCGCCAAAGTGGACCATGAGAGAGCTTCACAAGACGTGCGATATCTTCGTGCAGTTTTCTCAGGGCGATGCCGTGGTCAAAGAACACATGTGCGATGGCGCTGTGTTAGAAGGTCTGCTGGAAGCCATTCATCCTGGCGCACAGCTCTTTGATTCAGAGGAGCAGCCGAGAAAAAACAAGCGCACACTACCTCTCATTCGCCACTCCGATGAGTTCGTCGCCGCTATGCTGAAGATTCTCAAGTGTATTCGAAACTTGAGTATGGAGCCCTTGACGCTCGAGAAGTTGGACCGGGCGGGGGCAATCCCAACCCTGGTTCGTCTGCTGAACGAGCAAGAAGCGGAAGGCCCCTCGATCTCCGACGTGAGGCGGAAAGAGGTCGAGAACATCGTGCTCCAGTCGATGTTCTACCTATGCCGGATCAACCGTAACCGGCAGACTCACGCGGCACAGGCAGGCGTCATCCCGTCACTCATCAAGGTGGTGCGGAACTCGAGTCCGCTGAAGCAGTTTGCGCTTCCTATACTGTGCGATCTGGCGCATGCGTCGCCTACAGCACGAGCGCATCTGTGGACCTACGACAGCGTGACCCTGTTCCTGGAGCTGCTCGAGGACAAGTACTGGCAGATCGACGCCATCAAGTCCATCAGCGTGTGGCTTGTGCACGACACTGTGAAGATGGAGAACGTGCTTCTCGTGCCGGAGAACCTGCTAAAGATAATGCTGTGCTTCCACAACGCCCAGGACACGGAACTGGAGAACTTGTTAGAGCCGTTGTTGGAGATTATGAGCCGTTCAGTGCGGCTCAACCAGGCTCTTGGACGCAGCGGCATGTTTGTGATGGAGATTCTGAAGCGACTGCGAATCATCCCGAAGGCCATCGTTCGCAAGAACCTGCTCAAGATGCTCAAGAGCCTCTTCGAGTCTCACACGTCTCCGATCCAGTTTTTGGTCGAGTACAACCTCCGCCCGATCGTGTATGCGCTCGCCCAGGACGAGAACAGCATGATTCTGGTGAAAGAAATCGCCTCCCAACTTCTTCAGGCCATCCTCGTGGCTGCGGGGGTGTTTTAGTCGCGACTCTCGAGGACGTACAGCACGTACCTAAACGTTTCCTGGAAATTATCCAACGACAAGCGCACTGCTCGAGGGGAAAGTGGTGGCAGTATGTTTTATTTATTGGAATGGACACCTGTGCTTGTTGCGTACTTCATGATTATCTTTTTTACTTGTTATTGTTTGCTTTTCTGTTGTTGCAGCGATGCCAGGAGGAGCTCCTTCTTGAACGCGTCCATGCTTCGGTGGCTGGAGGCGTTGAAGGCAGCTACAGAAGACGGTGGGAGCTTCTGCGCTCGAGACTTGGCGAGTTCGTGCATCACTTCATCGCGGACGACATTTTTGATCATGGCCTTCGTTGGAGGGAGCTCTCCCTGGCACGAAATGCACTTGGCGCCAATGAGTGGAGCCGACTTCGGACTACCTTCGTCAATGGTGGCAATGCTGGTTATGCTCCTCGCGAAGCTCGTTCCGGGCTCCAACCGCCCGCGGTGGCCTTGGAGAAGCGACTTGAGCTGATTCTTGTCGACCTTGCGTCGAAGACGGCGGTGGATATCGATGAGGTCGTGCTCATCGAGAGAAGAGTTTGCCACGTTCTGCACCTGCCGCTCAAGAACCTCCTGGGTCCAGAGCAGCTCGTCCTTGTCGAGTTTCTTGCTCACGCGTGCAATGAGCTGGTTCATCTCCTCTCCGAGCAGTCCGTCGCGCTCAAGAGTTTCGCTGCGCGTTGCATCCAGGCCCGTGGTAAGTAGATTCCGCATGTCGTTGTTGGCAGTCATGAGCTCCTCGATTGACTTCTTGACGTCCTCCTCTTTAGCGTAGGCGAACGACAGCTCCATGAAGCTGTCAAGGCGAGTGTTCATCATCTTGACCAGCGCGATGGTGGAGTCGAGATGACCAATAGCGAAACTATGCTCGTCGACCTTGCTCTGGACGACTGCGTGTGAGGTGCGGAGTTCTTCGACGTGATGGCGTGAGCTCGTCGCTTCGGCATGCAATAACAGCAAGAAGAGGACGGCGCGAACCTGAACCACTGCGTCATGCATGAAGAGCGTCAACTCTGGCACCTGGTTGCCTTCCTTTTGGGTCTCTCGAGTGATCAGAGCCACCTCCAGCTCTTTCAACTTGGTAGTGGTGATGAATACAAGGTGGTCGTCGAAGCTTGAGTTCTGGCTCGTCGGTGTGGGAGTGGAGTCGTGGCCCTCGTTGTTGCCACCGGTTTCAAGTGCATGCGCGGCCGCCTTCGCCATAGCTGCCTGGCCTTTGAGCTTTTCAAGCTGCTTCTGGAAATCCATCGCTGCATTTACCAGGAAGTCGATCTCGGACTCAACTTCTTCGTGCGAGAAGAGCGACTTGCAGTTCGTTATCAAGTGCGTGAAGATTCCGTGGAGCAGCTCGATGCCCACGTCGAGAGCAGTGCGGGAGGGATTCTTCGCTGACTGCTCCGCCCTAGTCAGTTCGACTGACTGAAGCATAGCGCCGCTTATTCCGAGCAAAGTGTGGTAGATGCGGTGGCAGAAGTCGATGATGCGGAGAAGCTGGTTGCCGTTCGAAACACGCTGGGAATTCTGCAGCTGCTCGACCACCTTATGGAGCTCCACTGCGGCCTCGTTCGTGCGCTGCTCGGCCTCCTGCCGCAGAGTGTACAGCGAGAACTCGATCTTGTCGTGGAGCGCTGGAATCTCAGTCTCGCTCACTTGAGTTAGCCGCTTCTCGGACGCCTCAAAGGCCGAAGCTTGGTTGGAGAACTTCGCAGTGACGTCCTGGAGCTGCGCTGAGATCGCGTTGGTCACCGCCGTCGTCACATTTGAGGACACGGAGTTATTGCGACGTGCTGATGTTCGTAGCCGCTGGACTTCCACGTCCAGTTCCTGTACCTTTTCCTCGATATCAACGATCGTCCGCGCCTGTGACTTCTGCGTTCGCTCCATCTTTTGAACCCTGTCCACAACTGGCTGGAGCTCCACGATACTTTCGTCCAGAGCGTTAATGGCTGAACTGTTATCCTGTATGTGGCGCTCAAGATACTCCAGCGATTCATCCAGATGCGACGTGTTCTCCTCCAACCGCTTCACGCGCGAGCCCATCGACATTTGCTCACGTTTACGGAAGAGCGCCTTCTCTGCGTTGATGCCGTTCAGTTGTCGAAGCCGCGATAGGCGAACCAGTTTCGCAAGTAAAATCAACCACAGCTCTTTGATCCGCTCCTTCGTCAACGGTGGACGTGGTTCGACTAGAGCAAGATTGGCCGACGGGGGCCTCGTTGATCGTCCCGATAGTGGCGATTGTTCGGCTAGCTGGAGGTCCGACTCCTTTCGTGTGCTCGTCTGCCGACGTTGGCGGCGAGCGCGGACGACGGACGTGAGCATGGCAGGACGGATTAAATTCCCTGATGAAGACGAGGATCGGAACAATTCGACGTGCTCGTCCATTTCTTTCTGCTGGGTGGCCATGCGCGAGCGATATTGCTGAGGCAGCTCTTCTGGGACCACCTCTTGGTCTTCGTGCTTGTCGGCTTCTTCGGGCGGCGCAACTTCTTCGCGTTTTTCTTCTTCGACATGGACTTCTTCGTTTACCTCCGGTTCCGGGACTGGTGGCGGGGTGGCAGGTGCAACCGGGGCAGCAACAATCTCAGTGGTGCGTTCGCCCTCTGGCTGTTGAGGAGAAGACTCTACTACAGTTGGCGGGGCTGCTGCTTGGACGTCAGTGGGCGTAGCTTCGGGGATTGGAGGCTCGAAATCGGCGGAAGACAGCACAGGGAGGGCCGGCTCCGTTGCTTGCTGAAGCCTCCGCAGCGAACGTCGCACGTATTTTGACATGGAGGCGATTGATTTCACGCGTAGTCGAGATGGTGTACGCTGCGGTGGCGATGCGTCCGTCGGCTCTGTGGATACTGAGGGGACATCGAGAGGTACCTTTGCCTCGACCGTCGGAGCTGGAGCAGGTGCGACCGCCTCGGTAACATTTTCCTGCGACTTTTCCGAACGAAACACTGGGATGAAGTGGAGAGCGCTCTTCCTGATCGAAGCGACGTCTTGCTCGGTCTCCGTCGTCTGCTCCTGCTCCTCTTGAGGTTCTTCCTCCTCTTCATCGCTGGTTTCCGAGTCGACGTCGTCACTGCCCAGCGACTTGGCCAGCATCTCAATTCCCGTGCGGACGTCGTCGATACTCTGCTCCTGTCGATCCGCGCGCCGCGTGAGCTCCTTGACCTCCATCTTGACCCTCGACAGGTAGTCGAACCTTTTCTCGAGCTGCTCGAGCTGCATCTTCACGGCCTCCTCCGTCTGCTTGGCCTTCTCGGCCAAACTGTTCGTTGCCTCGCTCCGTAGCACGTTGATCTGCACACTCACCTTCTCGTCTAGCGCCCGTAGCTTCTCCTCCAGCAGCGCCCTCGCTGGCGCGTCGTCGACCACGACCTGCGAGCCCTGTAGCACCACGAGCGCCTGCTGCATCTGCTCGGCCACTTGCTGCTGCACGTTCTGCTGCAGCTGCTCCATCCGCGTGGACAGCGTCGCCAGTGCGTCGACGACCGAAGAATCGGGCGGTGAGGGCTCCGAGGGCACCTCAACCACCACAGGGGCCGGCGCCGGGGTGTCCTGCAATTTTTTCACGGCCAGGCGCATTGTCAGTTGCGTGGACTCGAGCTGCGTGATCTTCTGCGTCTGCCGCTCGTTCGCGGCCGCCAGAAGCTGCAGCTGCGAGGTGAGCGTGGCCACCACCGACGTCAGCGCGTTCTCCTGGGCGGCCAACACGTCCCCCATGCCGGGCATGAACTCCTCCAGCAGGTCCATGGCTGCTTCGCTATCTATCCCTTGCTACAATAGCCGTCTGACCAAGATCAACGCCAACTAATGGCGTAACGGCCCACTTCAACTTGTACGTGATTGGCTACTTTAACTTGCAAATGATTGGCTAGACAAACGATTCAAAACAATTCTCCTCTACTAAGTACCTTATTTGCATTGCTCAATAAGTTTTACTTCATTTTACTACTGTATTGATCTCTAGATTGTAAGTGGGCGAGGAGCTAAGTCGGCACAAATGCAATACACAATGCAACGAAAAATACCCTAAACAGCAGTTGTTGGTGGAAAACTTTCTAAGGACAACTATGATTGGGCTAAACGCACACATGACCATGGCTATTTTTACCTCTTACATCACAATTCTTTTGAGACTTTTCCGAGAAAAGCATTTCAAATATTTGAAAAGCTATTTGTTCTCGTAATTTTGACTTTAGGCGTTTGTTTTGTGCCCTGATTCGTGGAACAGCCTCCCTCGATCTATACACGACTACATGTAAACACAGTAACATTATGCATACCCCCCTCCCCCACACATATATCGACTTGGTGGAGCCGTTCAACAGCCATTTCCTCCTTGGTCCTGCGTGCGAAGTGGGGCTAAACCGCGACATGTATTCTTTGACACTATATGGAGCCGGCTTTAGCTCTGTCCGAGAGTTGGACAAGAGCTGTGCCCCCAAATGAGAAGGCTCAGATTAGTGTCATTGGAGTGTCGAGGCGGTTCTTGCCCCACTAACCATTCTTGAAGTGATGCAGGTCACCGACTCCTTGCACAGCCTCGTGTATATCTTGAACGTGTCGGACGCCCATCGACCATGGAATTGGATTGTCAGGGCGTCGACGCCCAAGCGGTACATGTGCGTTGTCCCTCCCGAGCGGAGGGAGTGTGTATTGAGCGCACGGGGATTCTCTCCATTCCGGCTTGTCGCGGCCTGGATAATGCTGGCGATGCGCCGTGAAGAGACGACCTGGGCTGAACCTGAGCTTGTCGGATACATTGCCACCGGTAAGTCCATAGGAAGTCCACTCCGGGCTCGGAGGAGGAGTAGAGCCCCTAGCGTCCTTACGGGCAGCAATGACGATTGTACTCGGGCCGGACGCTGTCAATGACGATAAGTTCACCCACTGGGCAACCACGCAAAAAGTGCTTGGTCTCCTGTTTGACATAACAAGGGGCACAGTCTCAATCCCTCAACAGAAAATCCAAAAAGCCCACGCATTGGTGGCGGAGGCATTTCACGCTACATCCCTCACCCGTAAGCAATACCGATCCCTCCTGGGTAGTCTCCGGCATGTCGTCACATGCATCAGACCCGCACGACCCTTTCTACAGCGCCTCCGACGGGCAGAGTCTACACTGCACCGGTGGTCATCCGTAATCACAACGGACCGCATGAGGCAAGACCTGATCTGGTGAAAACACATCCTCAGCTCACCCATGCTGAATGGGGTTCCTCTCGAATACTTTCACTCACACCCTCCTGCGGATCTCACAAATAAAACCGACGCATCCGACACCGACATATGTGCCGTCGATCGGTCTCACCGCCGAGCACTCGTATATGCATTCTCCCCACGGGAGAAATTGCTCATCTCCGAGTTCCATGCAGACAACAACAGTGAATTTGACATCAACTACCGCGAACTTCTTGCATGCGTCTTCACGGTTCACGCATGGGCCCATCTCTAGCGGCAACCCAATAATCGGCACCGGGCTCCAACCCATATACACTTCCGTGTCGACAACACATCAGCAGTCTCGTGGCAAAATAAAATGGCCTCCAAGAACACCCGCGCCCAAACTCTCATCCGACTGCTCGGATACTGGGAAGTTGAGCATGGTCTCCGGTTCTCTGCCTCGCGCATTCCGGGTTCTGACAATGTCCTCGCGGATGCTGGCTCGCGCTGCACTAACAACCCTACTGCCCGAACCACATTTATAACATGACTGCTGCATGGTCACAGACACGGCCGACGTTGGACGCCTCCGGGTTCGAGCAGATCTGGCACAGTATCTGCGCGAGCACTCCGTGGCTGAGCCCACCTACGCAAAGTACCAACGTGCCCTCTGCGTCTGGCATGCCTTCATCACCCACCGGAGGGTAAACCCCTGGTTTGACGTGGACCCACTCAGCTCTCAACTACACCACATCTCCGATTTCATCATCTTGGGATTTCGCCAAGGATACGGCTCGGGACGCCGCATTCAAAGTTCATCTATCCTGAACACCCTAATCGGGATCCGACACTTCTTCCTAGCTCGTGGTCGACCATTCCAATCGGACCACGCACAGATCCGCTACTCCTAAAAGGCATCCGCAGCCTCGACAGCCCACCTGACCGGAAGGCTCCCGTGTCGATCCAGCTTCTCGAAGATGCTTCGCAGCACTCAACATTCATACCCTTTCGGACCAAGCGGCATGGGGGGTGCTGTGCCTATTCTTCTTCTTCCTGCTCCGGCGATCAGAAATAACAGCCATCGATGGGGGCAAGTTCCGCTGGTTCGCCCTGAAAGCGATGGATGTGTCTGTCCTCGACGATGCGGGGCAAGCCACCCTGAGTGCATCAAGAGCCAAATCCGTCCATATCAAGCTGCGAGGGTCAAAGACCAACCAGACCGGACAATCCACATCCCGAATGCTACTAAAGTCCGGTCACAAGTTCCTTTGCCCAGCTGCTCAATGTCATTGCAGCTTGTACCGATGTCTGCAGAGACGCACACATGGTCATCCGCCCAGTGAGAATTGAAGAACCCATCGGGGTATATTGTTTTGGAGGTTCGGCCGAGGATGTGAGCGATAACGTTGCCTGCTAAGCCGTAAAACCCGGGTGATGCGGCCCAGCCAAAACACACAAATAAGCCGTTGACTAGAGCATTCTCTTCGGGAATGGTGCCAGCAAAGAGATGAGCGCATTTGCTGTGAACGCCAAGATTTCGGAATGCGCTGCAACTTCCCCAAGGGAGATTCTGATGTCATGTCCTGGGAAGCGAGACGTTTGATGTAGGATTTCTTTGGCGATCGCATCACAGTGCTCATACTCCGCGATGGGGGCCGTGGCCCGATCAGTGTGATCATTAATTGAGGAACCCTCCGGGAACGAGAGGTCGTGTATGGTGCGGCCGGAGATGTTTGGGTCGTCATCGCCTTTATCGACAATGCCAAAAGGACTTGGGTACACCTCCGGCCAGAGGGCGAGTATGTCCAGATCTAGGACGATGCAGCGTCCGAGGTCCTGTTCCTTACGAATGTTTTTGCGTAGGACGTTGATACGGTCACGAGCGGAAGGATGGTTCCGAGGGGGTGTTGTCTGGTGGGGGAGGGGTGTGGTTAGCGAGACCCGTACGCCTTCGCGGGCCACGGCAAGGAGGGGCTTCACGTGAGGGTAGTCGCTGCACGCCTTGCTGATTATGCCCGGTAGCATGTTCTTGTTGGGTCGATAGTCAGATTGGGTTTGACCCCGAAGTAGCTCCACGAGTGTAGGGAGGGAGCATTGAGTTCGCCGTACATACTTGGATAGTGCTGTTTTGAGGGGTTGATTCAGAAGGTAGTGTGGTGCTGATGGAGGGCCCCGTGTTGTGGGGAACGAGGAAGACGGAAACTTGAGGTGGACCGTGGTGAACTCCGTTTGAAGGGTTTTGATGCGAATGTCGTGCCACAGTGCAGCCCTGCGCCGACCTTCTAATTGCAGTTGGGATGCGAGGAGGGTCGAGGGGGCGGCGCGCCTACAGGGCTTGGTTGGACGTGGAAGCCTCGGTGTCGTTGTCGACACCGTGGGTGTCGGGCCATGACTGGGCATTAAAAGTCGATGGGGACGCAGGTGCGGTGGCTCTTGCCACGTCGATGAACCGCTCGATGGGGGAGCGTTGGATTGATGTTGAAGTTGTTGGGTAGTTGGGAGTACCGCATTGGCCCGAGGACCTGAGGATATCAGTGTGGGCGTTAATGCCGTGACACCTTCGGTGAAGGTGGTGGGTGTAGGCATTTGTGGGGAGGTGATCATAAGGGGTCGCGTGAGGGGCTGGCGAAGTGATTGTGGTGTGCGTACTGCCGATGGTTTGTTCTCACGGCGTGATGCCGGAAGGTGGGTGTGGGCCGGGTGTGACCGTACCGGTGGTGGTGTGTTGGGTGTGCCCGATAGATAGGACTCGAGAGAATTATGGGTAAAAGGAGCATCACTAGTATTGGCGGTGTTAATCTCAATATGTGACCGTAGCATAGGTGAGTCAGCCTCGCCACGGCACCGTCAGTTGCGGCGGGGGCCGTAGTGGCCGCGGCGGTTGGAGCCGTATTGGCGATTGATGTACGCCTGAAGTTCGCGGGGCAACGGTGAGTCCCATCTGTGTGTGCGGTGCGAGTACGCGCATTTGTCCCGAGAGCCCCCGAAGCACATGTCTCCGCCGAAGAAGCGAAGACAAGGCTCTGGGCCGTCGGACCGGCGGGGGATCTGTTGTCGGAGATGGCCCAGCATTGTTGGAGGTCGGGTGGACGAGGGACGCCGCGGTGGAGCGGGCACGGATTGGGAGGCCAAGTTGGCGGAGCCCGTCGTGGGGAGACTTTGGAATGCGGGAAGCCACTCAAGCGATTTGTATTCGATTGCGGCAGTCGCCGCGCGGAAATCGCACCACCAAGTAGGTGTATCCATAGCGAGATGACCAGCTGCCCTACCCAGGTACACGTTGGCGTACTGCAGCGTGAGGGTCACACGGTCCGGGAAGTTGTTGGGGTCCGCTGCCTGGTTGTCCGTCACGAATCGTCGGAGTCGGTCGAGCAGACTGATCATGTGTGGATACCAGAACGCTGAGCCAAATGCGCTTAGCCCACTCAGCGCCAGTAGGATCACGTCGTACGAGGGACAGGTCGTAGGGGGTTCAGCAGGGGCGGTCACCGAACTAAAGTCGATGGAGAAGTTTGCATTGCTTGAGCTGCGCACCAAGCGCTCGTTGGCTGATAGCGGGGTGAAATGTCGGATTGAAAGTCCTTGCGATCCGATTCGAACACCATACAAGCCGGTCGCAGTCGCATTTGACACGTCGAAGGGGATGAGGCTGGCTGCATTTCTAAAAGCGATCACTGTGTCGGTTGGAGGTGTGTACATACCATTGGACTGGGACAGGTTCTGGATACTCCGGTACGCGGCCAAGATGTGCGTTGAATGCGGGTTGTTATCACCTCGGCCGCGGTTGTTGACCGCCGATGGGAAGCTGGAGCAACGTAGTTCTCGCAGTTGTACCGGCGGGAGCTCTCCACTTGTCGTCGGAACTGTCCACGTCGAAGATGTAGCGGAGTCAAACAGGATTGGCTGCGAGTTAGTGGTAACAGTCGGTGTTGATGATGGAGTAGTTCCTAGGCTAGGCAGGCTGCGGGCTGAAGCTAGTTGAGCACGGAGGTCAAGGACCAGAGCACTGAGTGAACCGACCTGCGCTGCGACCTGCGCAACTTCTGTGTGGGAAGCCGGTGCGCTCGCTGCCAATGAGCTTCGGTGCTCAATCCGACCGGGTGCTGTTGCCGCCGATGAGGGTCCGTCCAGGAAGGAGGCCAGGTTGAAGTTGTCATGGTCGCCCTGAGCATGGTCGTCACGGGGCGATCCTTGTCCACCTTGTTGGGAAGCAGCAAAGGGTGGCGCAGAGGTGCCACCCGTAGTCAAGTCCGCGTCGTCGTCCCTCGGGGGAGGACTGTCCAGATAGATGATGGAGTGGCGCTGTGGCGGAGCAGTGCTCGCTGTCGCCACGTGAGCTGCTTGCTTCTTCTTCTTAGATGCAGATGCCCTGGGTTTTGTCTGCGTCGAGCTACCACCACTCTTCTCCAAAAGTTCAGCAAGAGACGGGGTCGCCCGAGCCGTCGAGGTGTCGATGACCAAGGAGGCAACGCGGGCTGCCGAGCCCACTTTCCTTTTCCCTGGCGCCTGGACTCGAGGCAGCGGCGTCGCACCTGCAGATGGCGCTGCTGGCGGCACTGCCGTGGGTGTCGAGCTGGGCACGGACGGTGAGCGATCCGGTCTGGCGAGCTTCTTGCGTCGGTCAGCGGACCTGGCGTCAGCAGTCGCCTTGCGCTTCTGCAGGCGCTTGCTCAAGCGTGGGGTCGAAGCTTGAGCTGCCGTCACCGATCTCGAGCCGGAGACGACGTCCGCGGCTGCCCCGCCGTGAGCAGCAGGAGCGGCGGCAGCAGCCCCAGCAGGGTCAGCAGCGGGAGCGGCGCCAGCAGCCCCAGCGGGAGCAGCAGGAGTGGCGCCAGCGTTTTCCAGTGCGAGTTCCGGGCGAGTTGAGGCGGCCGAGGCAGGAGCTGGGACCGGAGATGACGGTGAGCGCGTCGGCGACATCGATGTGCGTAGAGCGAAGCTGGTTGGCCGAGTGCAAGGCTGAAGCAGGAGGCTTGCGAAGGCTGAGGCGAAAAGCCGAATGCTTGGCTCCTGGCCTCGGCTTCTTGGCCTCGGCTCCGTGGCGCGCTCTCTCCCGGTGGTTTATTAACTGCCGGCGCAGTCCTCTGTCGGAAAATCCTATTCTCGAGCCGAGATGCCCATGCGAACCTACATGCAAAATCACAACGACACGAGCCTCATCGGCAAATACGGTCATTTATGCATCGTCCAGGCCCGAAGCCTCAGGTCGAACAGCAGTCGCTGGGTACGCAAATTGGTGACAATCGTCTGGGTAATCGCTCAGGTCTCGCGCGTTTGGGCGGATTGTGCGGATGCAGAGCCGCATTTGTTGAGGATATTGAGAAACTTACGTGCAAGTATCTTGTTCCGCGGGATCTGCCTGTGACGACGGAAGCGTATTCAACCAAGAAAGAATATGATATATGGGGCTCGTTGGGCATGCGATTCACCCTCATGGCTTGCCAACCACGGCGTTGGACGTCAACGCGTTGTACGTCAACTTCGTCACGAGGGAAGCTCCATCCAAGCACGCGAAAGCTGCGAAGACACGCGCTAATGTAGTGTTGGATCGGCACCACGAGTTGCGAGAGTGCTCAGTAGCGCGCCAAGCCACTTGAAGCCAAGGCTGAACGCGGTGATCGGCGTGTCGCCTTAGTAGCACAGCTGATCGAGTGTGACGAGACTGAGCGAGGTTTTACCTCAATCGGTCATCACCTGTCTACTGACCCGCCTGAATCCGCCATTCTGATTGGCCGAGACTGATCCCGAACCCGGCTGTACACGGTGCGACAACACCTGTGCTGGAATTCGGCTGTGTTCCGCGGAGCGAAGTGCGCTCAAGCCTAGGATGGGCCCTTCAGGCCTGGAAGACTGCGTTCAGACAAGAAAACCTGAACGCACTCGATCCGTCCAGGCCACCCCCGTCCTTAAGCGGGTTGACACATTGAGGCCGTCGAAAACACCTGCACGAACGTATCGTGTACGGTGTCCCGCCTCGCCTAGGCCCTGAACGCACATCGAATTCGTGTACCCGGAGCTCAGCCACCCCAGTGAAGTCAAGTGCAGAGTGTCCAGACCGCTGGCCACCCGGACGAAGTCCCGCCAAGTGCCCCACGACCAAGTGAAGAGTCGACCTACCCTTGGCCGCAAGGCCCTGAGTATGGTTTCAGCCTTGGGCGCAAGTTGCCTTTGGCCGCAGACCTTGGACGCACTGCGTTCAGGCCTGCCGACTCTGAAACCCGGTTTCAAGGATGCCGGTTCAAGGTTTCTCAAGAGCCTGTCATGCACAAAGACACGGGCACATTGAAGCTGGGCAAGAATCCAGTGGACAGTGTCTACGTCAACAATTCCAGTATACTCAAGTCAAGGTATTCGCCAGACGCGTGGCGAAGAACACAGAAAAACACAGAAGAACGGTACGAGAGGGATACTTTTACACAAAAGCCTAGCGATAGTCTAGCAGATAACAATCAGAGAGTTTTTTACCCCCTACTGCGCAAGTCGTCGAGGAATCGGGTCCGCTGTCTTTAAGGACAAGGGCAGTGCGGAGCTCCCCACACACATTCAAGTCCAATTACGTGGGGATCAGTCTGCTCCGGCTGCTGAAGTGATCCACGTATTCCATTTCCCAGTTGGGCCCATTGCGTTGAGGTAAGGGTAGTGTCCCATTTCATGTTAACGATTGATATCTCGGGTGGTTTGGTAGCAGTCGCCCCCGAGAATAGTTTGATTGACTGCGTTTAGGATCGGATTGTATTTGGTCTGTATATTTCCCTCATCTGAGGGTGGTGCGCGTGTGAAAGTGCGTTCAAGGTTGACCAGTACCTTGATCGCAGATTAGTTGACTAGTGTACGACCCACCGCCCAAGGGTCTAAGAATAAGGGGCGGCTGTGTGTTTGTGTATAACTCTGCATTTGTATTGGTTATCTGAAAGTGGTGTGTATTTCTGGGGTTCTAACTCGTGGTAGTAACCCTGATCCCTCACTCACGCTTCAAGCTTCAGCCATTTCGGAGAAGTGCGTTCAGACAAGTGAACGTTACGCTCATCGAACTCAAGGCTTTCGACCCCACAGACAACTCACCTGGTGATCGATCCAGGCTCCCCGAAGATAAACGACACCGATAGGGATTCACAAGGTGCCACGCCACCTTGGCCGCATTTATTCCCAGAACCTGTGTTCAAGGAATTCTGCGTTCAGGGTTTACCTCCCCAAAGAGGTTTGCTCGTCAACCCTTTCTGGGCTACCGCTATACACCTGGGCGTAAAATGTTTCACCGACCTCGTCACAAGAGGATGTTTGATCCAAGATTGAGAGGACCCACGAGTGACGGACTCGCCGCCATTAGAGAAGCTGCGGCGAAATACCGGCTCGCGGGAAGAGAGACCACGCAAACTTCGCCGCGCGCACCCAAGCTGCAGTTGAGGCTGCCCGAGCGGCGCACCGACAAATATTATGACTGGTCTCCGCAAAGACCCCCGATATTTCAGCAAGAGGCGTAGCTCCGGTGGCGTCGGTGAAAGCGGAACTGACAGCACTTGCCAATAGCTTAGCTGATTTGCCGTATGCATGAGATAATCTCAAGTGTGTATTAATCTCATTGAGATTAATACACACTTAAGCATGATACCTAAAGCATCGGTAATTTGCCTTGATAGTGTACGGCCACACCTACAGGTCAGGAAATAGAATACTATATTGTATTTTCGTTTTGGAGTTGCCGTAAAAATCCTGGCAAAACAGGATCCACAATATTTCACTAATTTTAGCAACTCTTGATCATAAATATATACGGAAGTTTTTTGAAGCTTTGTTTTAGCATAGGCGCACGGTTTAATATTGTACTGGGAGTATTGCCATTGTATTTGGAGTATGCCCGAACAATATAAAATCATTCCGCGCAAACAAATGCAGTAATTGGCGTGTTGATAATATTTTTCTAACTTGTGGCCACATCTCCCTAAATGAATCCCTCTAGCTGCCCATGGTTTCCCTATGTGGATGAAAATCCTCAATTGCAAGCAGGATTATATGGATTCTAGGTAGTAACAACTATTTTGCAGTAAGTCTAGCAAATATCGATAAATCGGTGAGCCTGTGTAGCATTTACAAGCAGCTCCGCTTACGTACATTTTGTTTTACAAAAAACTAAAATATTTTGATGTCGGGATAGCTAGGGGGTAGGCGGTTGACACCAAGCAAAAGTTAAAACTGCAGGTATCTCGGGACATCAAATATTCCTATTAATCTTACTGTCACGTACAACTTCAGGGGAATGCGATGCAACGCATTTGGTGATGTTGGTAATACCAATAAGAATAAAGAGCGGGCACAGATAACATGGGCCTATCATTATTAGTTAAAATTCGATCTGTGCGAAGAAGAAAAAGCAATTTAAAAAACAAAGCAGCATTTTAGATGACGAAACTAGGAGTCTTACTTGCTTCAACAGTTGTTTTAGCAAGTTTGTATATTATCAGAACATTTATGCTAAAATCAACCAAATTAGAGTGTTTGGGTGCTTTGTACGAGTTAACTTTACCTTGATGTCCGAATATGTACGAATTTAAATTGTCATTCTCCTGAATTTGCGGGACATCTAGCAGATATACGGGCCTTAGCGCAGGAACGAAAGTCCTGTATTTTCCAAGTCGAAATCTTCCGGCTTTAATTCCTATACAAAACCCAGTATTAGTGGTAGAGGGTAAGCAAAGCCATTCTTTTGTTCTTTTGCAGGACAGCTTGTCCACTACATAAGTCGATTAGCGATGGATCCCCCACAACCCAGCGGACTCGATGAACTGAGGCGCCAAGCAGAGCAAATTCGAGATAATACAGTCGCCCCGAGCTCACGGGCTGCCTACGTCAACTCCTACTGTCGCTTCATCTCGTGGCTTCTTCTGAGCCATCAGAACCTCATTCCGGACGCATTTGCAGGCCGTATCGGCGACGTGACGGGACTCTCCGAGAAGCAATTGCGGCGGCGTATTAAACCCCTGCTCACCAGAAGAAACGACGACCCTCCCGTACTATTTGATAGTTTGGACGCAGAAGCTTTTGAAACGTGGCTTCTCACGCTTCGAAAGCAAGATGGTTCATCGCTCAGCTACTCGGCTCTGAACACCCATCGCGCTGGGTTGTTTAATCTCTACATAGACTACGGCCGTTTAATGGGGCCTCTAATGGAAAACGAGTTGCGCCAGTTCTTCAAAGGGTTGAAACGACAGTTGGCTACAACGCAAGCGCGGGGCGAAGGGAACGTGAAAGTGGGGAAGGATCCTCTGTCATTTGAATTGTATGAATTTCTCTGCGGCCATTTGCTTGCGCTACCAGGAGTTGACGCCATTTTTTCCCGGGCGTACCTGATTTTATCGTGGAATTTAATGTGTCGCTCCGCGAACGCATTTGGTGTAAGGCACTCACACATTGGGTGGCGTGGAGACTCGCTAAGAGTATATTTTGCTCATATGAAAAACGATCAGAGTGGTGACCGTCCGCGAGACCCGCGGCATGTATATGCCAACCCATTACAACCGAGTATCTGCCCTGTATTGGCGCTTGCAATTTACTGGGCGACAACTTCTTTTGACACGGATAACCGCCTGTTCCCTGGGTCGGACCAGTATGATCGATTTCGGAAATGTCTGCAACGTTTGCTAGTGGATGCGAAGGTTGCTGCAGAGCTTAAACGACGAGGGGTCAATTCTAACGATTTGGGGACTCATTCGATGCGCAAAGGTGCTGCAACGTACTGTGCGTCAGGGTCGACAGCTTGTCCGTCATCAACCGCGGTTCATTTGCGTGCTGGGTGGTCTCGTGGCGGTGTTCAGAATACCTACTTACGCTACGAGGCTGCTGGAGATATGTATGTCGGCAGAACGGTTGCTGGTCATCCATCGGGTAGTCACGAGTTCGCAATTCTACCGCCACATTTTGTGGAGCAAGATGAATGGGTAAAACTTGGTGTTACAATGGTATTTCAAGGGATACCCGAACATTTACTGTTTGTTGGAGAGTTTTGCCTCGCGTCATTAGTGTATCACACGCCATACATCAGAATGCACCTCCCTCCTCGCCACCCTCTTTTCGAGACGGCATTATTTCAGGATCCAGAGCTTCTCGGGAATTTGAGCTCACGTGTACAGTGTGGATACGCCGGGTCTAAAACACAGCTCAAAGCAACGGACTTTCCGCCTCATGTATCCATTTTAGGCCAAATGAGAGCACTGCAAGACAATACGCTGTCAACTATCGAAAAGATTGAGGAATCCCGCCGCGAAATTGTGAAGGATATTATTCATGAGCTGGAAGAGCGTGCTATCGGCGCTGGAACTGTCACGTTCGACGGGCTTCATGACGCTCTACGGAAGTGCCTTGAAGAAGCCGGTGTTCACGATCTAGTTAGCCAGCACAACGTGTCAGAAGTACAGCAAGACATCGAGCAGGATCCAGATGACAAGCGAACAGCGCTGCCTACCTTCTTTTGGGCTGGGAGATTTCGTCGGGTCCACCCTGACTTCGTTTTTCCTGAGTGCTCTGCCGCGCATCTTTGGGTGCTATGGCGCTGCGGGAATGTTGAGAAGCGTCTACCCCCTCTTCGGCTTCTGGAAGGCGCGGACATGCCAAATAGAAACAGCCAGAAGCGCCTCAGTGATACCCGGTATCTGATGAATAAGATCGAGATGTACGCAGCAGATAGAAACTTACTTCGAGCTGGCCAGACAGTGTCGGAGGCCATCAGCGTGTACGCAGCGTGCGCTCCAAGTATCGAAGTCTCTCTCAGCACTACCCGCGCGAGAAAGCGCCGTCGAGGTCAACTAAGCTGGGTCCCGGTAGTCCGCCTGCATCGTGTTGCCGACAAGCATAGACGGCAAGAGTCGCAATGAATGTAATTGGCCGAATCTCATCGGTACTCGGAATTTGATTGGACAAATAAAGCAATTTTCTGTGTCCTGGTAGTGAGTGTCCTGCAAAATCCGTTCAAGAAATCATTTTTGTTTGTCTTCTTATCGAGGTGTTACTGTACCGTAGTGCTCTGGCTCTAAATAACGAGCGCCTTGTTACCAAGCGACTATGGCTCGGGGACTCAACAAGGAATGGGATCTCTTCGGGGCCAGGTATCGCGTGGCCGGCGCCAAGGTGGACAAAGTGGACTGCAATGCTTGCAATAAGCAGGTCTCTGCAGCTGTCAACCGCCTGCAGTCTCACATGCGCATCTGCCCGGCTCGCGCGTCGGTGGCCTCGACTCTCCAGACCACTACCACCACCTCCACCACCAACGGCAGCAGCACCGCCCCGCCCGCCGACTCGCTGTCCGCTGCGATTGAGCAGGCCATCGAGACGGGCGCCTTGGCCGCAGAGCACACGGCGCCGACCGCAGCGGAAGGCGGCGCTCCGCCACTCAAGAAGCAGCGCCAGTCGCCCGCCAGAACGCACCGGCCGCGCTCCTGGAACGCGGCGGCGTCCAACGGCAGCGCCAGCGCCAACGCCGCTGCGTCATTAAACGTCGACGACTTCTGGGTCAACCCCGCCGTGGGGGTGCCTGCCACTGCGGCGTCGCCATCGCAGCAGTCGGCGAGCTCGTCGCTCACCAATCGGCGACTGGACATCGAGGAGAAGCGACTGGCGCTCGAGGTCAAGAGGGAGCAGCGCGAGCAGGCGAGGGAGCAGCTCAACCTCGAGATCTTGGCGGCGCAGGCCAAGCGCGAGAAGCTGCTGGCGGAGAAGGAGGGCTACGAGGCCAAGGTGCTGCTGGCGCTCTCGCGGAAGCAGCTGAGGGACCAGGGCGTGAGCGAAGACGAGATCGACCGCGTCCTGCCGGTCAGCGGGACCAGCAGCAGCAGCAGCAGCAGCGGCGGCGGAAACAACCATAGCAATAGCAATAGCAACAGTGCTACGACGGACGCGACCACTGGAGAGTCCACGAACAGCGTGCGGTGAGTGGACACAACATAATCAACGTGTACAGCAAAAACTTCCGTTGATTACCTCCCTCCCTCCTCGACTTATATCTCCGCCACACTTAAATTACAGACGCCACTCCATGATATCGCTGCAAACGCAGAACTCATTCACTTACCACAGTCCGGGGCAGCTCTGGCCGGAGTCCATGGCCTGGTAGTAGTTGTCGCTGAAGACGTAGCGCGCTGTTCCCTGTGACGAAGTGTAGAACTCCGACCCGTTCGACAGCGTGTAGGAGAGGGACCCCAGTCGCAGCATCACGTCCTGCGCGCTGGGCCGCTTCTCCGGCCGCTGGTGCCAGCAGGCGCACATGACCTCGACGAACTCGGGAGGAGCACGGCGCAGATACGCAGGAGGCAGCGCTGGACGCTCACCGGCTGCCACGAGCTGCCGCACTTGGTGGTCGAAGTCCACGTTGCCGAACGGTACCGCTCCGTTGGTCAGAATCTCCCACAGCGCCACTCCGAAGCTGTACATGTCGGTCTCGCGGTTGAAGCGGCACTCGTTCGGGTTCTTCATGATTTCCGGAGCGTTCCAGCGCCACGTGCCAGCGAAAGTCGTCATGAGCTCCGACGCAGCGTTGTCCATCATGACGACGCTCTCGCCGATCGACTGCAACAACTGGAACGACTGCGACGAGAGCTTCTGTGAGATGTGCTGCTTCTTCACGGTAAAGTCCGTAGCGATCCGGGCGATGCCGAAGTCTGCGATTTTAGCCGTCCAGTCGGCAGTCACGAGGATGTTGGAGGCCTTGAGGTCGCGGTGCAGGTAGATCGGCTCGCGGTTGTGCATGAACGCCAGTCCCTTTGCGGCTTCGAAAGCAAGGCGCACTTTCGTGTTCCATTCCATGAGTGGATTGGCACGTAGAACGTCTCGCAGCGAGCCACGCGCGCAGTATTCACTAGGTAGTAGGACCAACACAACACAGGTTAGAATATCTGCACCAACACCCTGCATATCATAGATACAGCACTTACTTGACGAGGCACAAGCTCCCCTTGTACGTGCCCATTTTGATGAACAGCGTGATGTTTGGGTGGCGTAGCTGGGCAGCCAGCACCGCTTCATCCAGGAACTCGGTTCGCAGCTCGGACAAGTGGGTCATGTACAGCTCCGCTTCGGAGCTGCTGCCAGCGTGGAATCGCAGACACTTGAGCGCCACGGTGATGCCCAGCCACTGGGCCTTGTACACCTCCGCACTGGATCCCTCGCCGATCTTCACAGCAGGACCCTCGGTCACCATTTCAGCGATCGGTCCTCCAGCCAACAGTCCGTCTCTCATCCCTAGAGCACCTCCTCCTCCACCGGTAGGAGCCCCCGTATACCCCGTACTTCCAGGCGTGGCGCTTCCGTCGGTCAAAACTCCCGCAGAAATGTCAATAGACGACGACGGAGTGTCGTCCTGGCGCATCTTCTCCTCCTTCTTCGGCAGCGTCGTCGCAGCGTCCGTGGCCGTAGCACAGCAGCAACAGCAGCTCAGACTCGTCCCGAACAGCAGTGCGTTGGCAACGGGAACGAAATAGTTCAGCGTCTGCGTAACAGCCCCCACGCCCACCAGCTCCTGGGAGAAGACCAGCACCAGCGCGTACGGCATCGTGAACACCGTGGCGCAGACGCAGTAGCCTGTGAGTCTCCGGATAACGTTCCGCCCTTGGGTAGACGCGTTGAGTCTTGAGCGCCGCACCGCGCGGAGGTTGGCCAAGATGATGAGCAGCGGCGTCGCCTGCATGATGAACAGCAGCACAGCAGTGACCCTGTAGGCCGGGCCCGAGTCGGATATACTACCCCCGCCCTCCCCGCTCAGCGTGGGTAGAATGGCGTGCATGCAGCCGTAGACCAGCGAGGCCAGCGTGGACAGCAGCAGACTGCGGCGCACGTGCAGCGCCTCGAGGTTGCCCAGCCGCATGAGCAGCGACAGGTTGGCGATCCAGTAGAACGACATGAAGAAGCTGAAGCGCGCGCCCAGTGTGAGCGCGAAGTCCCCGGTAGAATAGTGCGCGTCTCGTTCTCCCTCGTCCTCCCGCCGGTAGCGCGCGAAGTAGGACGAGCGCACCGCCTGCTGCAGCGCCTCGAGCCCCACGAAGCCCAGGTCGGCCAGCGCGATGCCGCTCAGCAGCAGGTCGGCCATGCGCCGCTTGAGCCGGTGGAACGTCACCGAGTGCAGCAGCAGGAAGAGTGCGGCCAAGGCGCCCGCCCCCAGGCAGGCCCAGTGCACGGCGCGCCAGCCCGCCAGCCACTCGGACGGCGCCATCTTCTATTGTATTGGGGGGAGGTCCTAGAGGTAACGAATGTTGGCCGCGGGTGGTCAGCGCGCAGTCCAGTCCAGAGTAGAGCAGAGCGGAGAGACAGCGACGGCGAGGACACGGCTCCAGACGCAGTCTGTGCCCGTGAGGGAAGCAAAGGCTTGGAGCTGCGCTTGGTGTTGCCCGAATGAGAGACAGCACGAAGGCGCCGATATGGAACGGATAGTGGAGCCAAGCCGAATTGAAGAGGCACCAGCTGCTTTGGCTACACTAGCGAAAAAAATCCTGCAACCTTGTTGAAGGCCGTCATTTTGCATGGTAAGCGGAGCGTGGGTGATGGCTGCCAAGAGACCACCACGCTACGCTACGCTACGCTGCGTGTGCGTGTGCGTGTGCAGGAAACTTTCTCGTTGCCTTCTTCCAGGCTGCGTGACGGCAGAGTGAACTTTGATGAGCAGGGGGATGGATGCCTTCGCCTCGGAGGCACAATATCAAGGGTGCCAACATGTAAGCAGGAAATGTTGTGTTTGCAGATGGAGTTAGTGAACGCCTACCTACGGCAGGCAGCCCTTGACGCACATATTTTGCCCCGGTATCAGCTCGGGCACCACTAGGTGCAGAAGTGCCAAGCACACAGGAGCAAGTCCGCAGTAGCAATTGACAGCTGTGTACCTGTATCAATACGAAAAATGCCGACAAGCCGCACAAGCAGAACGCTACCCAAAAATTTCTTCTCGCGCACCCTTCGTTATCCCCTCATTCCCTGCCCCACTAAAAACAGGTAAAGAGCACGGGTATTGATGCGAGCCCATACCCAAGTACCACGATTAATACGATCTTGACGATCTCCTTGAAGTACTGAGGGCCTGGTCCACCGTCGTCGCGATCTTCGTGACATTTTCTTTCGTGAGCGCGATCTCGTTGCGAGAGTTGTTCGCCAGGCTTTTAATGGTTGGGTTCCTGTCGAGGCTTTCGACGAGCGGGTTCTTCTTAGAGATTTTGAGCGTCGGAGTCTTGGGGGTGCGATTACCCCGAAGAATTGCCCTGATCTTGCTGCCCAACTCTCGTTCTTCAGCCTTTCGGTCTTGATGCCATTTTCTGAGTGAGCGAGTGGCGGCGCCACCGACGACGGTGTTGAGTATTTGGTCCGTCGTTAACTTGTCGGTGTCTTCAGCGTCTGCGAGGCCGCGGCAGCCTGCAACTACGAGTACCAGCACCACGAGTGCGGCGTAGCTCGCACGCAAGACGGACGTGCTTCGGTCCAGCTTCAAGGTGAAGGAGAGTCACTGGCGTAGAATGCGGAATGAAGCCACCTCCACATTTACAGCTGATCGCTGGCAGGGCAAGAATTTGAGTGGGATGGGAACCAATGCCCTAACAATGATCAGCAACTCCACGGGATTGTAGGGGTTCCAGTATTTGCTTTAATTTACCACCCTAGTCAAATACTAGTCCTAGGCGCAGCTATCAGCGACGAGAATGATTGGGAAGAATGACAACAACCTACCTAAGAACCAACTCTCCTTCTCTTATTCATACCCGCCGTCCCTAGTATTCATTACCCTAGAACGATAGCCATTAAGCCATAGACGGTTAGCCCCATGACCGACATGGAGCTGAGCATCATGATAAGTAACATGCCGTTTGTCTTGATTTCGTTTGCTATTCCAGACGTGGTCAACACCGTGTCAACCTTCTTGATGTTTTCCTGCGTGAGCTTGATTTTCTTGCTTGGGTTGTTCGCCAGGCTTTTGATGGTCGGATTCCTCTCGAGGCTCTTGACGATTGCGTTAGTATCAGCATTTTTGATGGTGGGGTGTCTTTGGAGGGTGGTCAAGATGGACGGCTTCTTCTTGAAAATGGACGCAATTTTGCTGCTGATGGCTCTCTCTTCGTCCTTGTCGTCGTCGTGGCCTCCTCTTAGGAAGCGAGCGGGGACGCCGCCACTGGGGAGTTTGGGGTCTGTATTGGACATTTGGCCCGTTGTCTTGACAGCGGCTTCGGCGCTTGGGAGTCCATGGCAGGTTGCAAGAATGGTCACTATCAACACGAACGCGACGCACTTGTTCGAACGAAAGGCAGCTATGCCTCAATCGACGGATTGAGTCGAGGAGTAGTCGCTGGAGTAGAATGCGGAATGAAGACGACGATGGACAGATTGGCCTGTTATTTGCCTACGACTGAATGCATCTTCACCTTAGGAGCTGGAGTAGGATGGGACTTTGTACGGACAGCATAGAATACGTAGGGGGTATCACTTGGTTTACCATGCAAACCAACATACTAATCCTTAAATGTGTATGATCAGAATGCGGTACTGTGAAAAGTGGCGAATTGGAGCAACTCTATACATTTGTTTACTACAAAAACTGGTATTTTGTAATTTAAAGCAGCAAAAACAACCAAATACGATTGAAAGTGCTGAATATGCACAGTGAGACAAGATGAATGCATCCTAATGTAACACCAGCCAGGTTCTCATCACAGCACCTACAAGCCCACACGTGATCCACCCGTCTTTCAGTTTGATTTATAAATTTACATTGCTATGTCCTTTTATTTTATTGTGATTCTGATGCAGTACAGTCTTCGCCTACAACGGCCGCCCTTCTCTCATTTCTGTTCCTTGAAGATGTTCAATCTGAAAGCCGGAACCGATTCGCGATCATGCGTAGCAAGAAGCTTGAAATTCAAAAAAAGTTGAAGGAAGCTTTGAACGAATCGTTCTTGCCACGGTTATATTTCCTCGTACATTTGCCTTCCTCTTATCACTGCAACGGCGCATATCAAGCTAGGATTATAATAATAATACTAGGTATACAAAATGATTGGCGTGCTTGTAGTTATTCTTTAACACGCCGTTCCCTGGGGATGCAAAGTCGTTTGTTTAATTCTGACTGATCATGTTCAGTATTTGGCTAACGTGGCAATCACGCGAGTAACAATTCATTACTAATTTATGCTCTATCAGATCCGTCAGCCAGATTAATCTTGTGAGTACGTACTGTACATGACATGTGCCCTACCGTATTCACCGGCGTTTGCCGCCAAATTGTGAAGATGATGAGAAGAAGATGGAGTGGGGCCTCTTCATTTCGCAATCTCCTCTAGCGACCACAAGTACTTCTCTACTTAGACAAAGTATGCCCACTTTTCGCTCGAACAAGTGCGTCGCGTTCGTATTGATAGTGGCCATTCTTGCAACCTGCCATGGACTCCCAAGCGCCCAAGACGCTGCCAAGACAACGGGCCAAATGTCCAATACAGACCCCAAACTCCCCAGTGGCGGCGTCCCCGCTCGCTTCCTAAGAGGAGGCCACGACGACGACAAGGACGAAGAGAGAGCCATCAGCAGCAAAATTGCGTCCATTTTCAAGAAGAAGCCGTCCATCTTGACCACCCTCCAAAGACACCCCACCATCAAAAATGCTGATACTAACGCAATCGTCAAGAGCCTCGAAAGGAACCCGACTATCAAAAGCCTGACGAATAACCCAAGCAAGGAGATCAAGCTCACGCAGGAAAATATCAAGAAGGTAGAGACGGTGCTGGCCCAGAACCCAGGAGTTACAACGGAAAACATGAGGAAAACCAAGATCGCGCTACTTTTCCTAGCGATGATCGGGCTTACAACGAGAGGTATCGTCGGTTTGGTGAACTACGTCAAGTCGGGCGATTTTTAAATAGAGGTCTGGTCCTGCAGACCAATAAGTAAATAGAAGCGAGAGCTCCGGGCAGTTTGCTGGCATTCTCCTATGTTTCCGCTCGAAGTAAAAATTATCGTTCAGTTGCGAACAGGTGGAATCTCGTTATACTGCGTTCGCCTTGGTGAGAATGTAGGCCCACAGTGTCGTACAGTTGGTGCTGTACATGTAGATCGTTCTTAAAATGTGAATCGGTCCGGACAATTTTATCACTACCTTCAGCTTCGATTGGCGAAACCATTTCCCAAGCCCACGACTGGGATCAATATGAGAGGTACACCGCCAAGGCCTTGGTTAAAAACAGCGTGCTGACTGTTCTCACAGGATCTATCTTAGCACCATCTTACCACCACCCCACCGGTAAAAATAGTGAATGCGTTCGTGCTGATTCATTCTAGTTATTCATCATCTCACAGTCGTACGTCAGCGTTTGCCCGAGGAACACCAGGCTTTCGACAATGCGCACTCTCCGCCGCTATCTGCGCCGAACCGCCAAGTTCTTTGTCAGCTTCCAAGTGGAGTTACGCGGACACTATTCAGTGAACCGCATGCGCAACTTCGACGATTACCACCGCACCTCCTCGACATTTCGAGCTCTCTTCCTGTGCTTCATACTGCCATTCCCGTGCCTTATCGTTCTCTCGATGGTAGACGCCGCTCCCTTAGCGCCACCGAGCAGCAGTTCCAGAGACAACTACATGTTTTGGATCCGAGACTGCATCCTGGTCGTGCTGCTTACCAGAGCCATCATAGAGCAGATCAGTATCAACGTCCCAGGTTTACACATGACCTCCATGCAGCGATTAGTTCTGTCGGTTGCTGCTACACTGGTAGCCACAGCGTATAGAATGGTATGCTCGCGCCTGATCGGGTTCCCGCTGCCTTTCCAGTTAGTTTTTGGCATCCCGGTGTGGCTCGCCCCCCTTGTCATCTGCTTCGTGGGGTTCTTTGGGTCAATTCTGAAGCGAGATCGTGTGCTGTTATGGGAGTTGATCATGGCTATCGTGGTGCTCAATTGCCAGATTCTGCTGACATTTGCTTATCCGATTGATTTCTACGGCTTCCAGTCCGTTGGCGAATCCGGCCAAAGGTACTACGTCATGCTGCTCCCGATCATGAAAATCCTAGCGAAAAACCTGATCAGCGGAACCTTGGGAACCAAATACGACCTTCTCCCGCAGATCATGATCTTTAACGTAGACGTGTTCAATGCGCTGTACGTGTCGAGCTCGATGCAGACCTCGAACAGTATCACGACGACGTTTGTGATGGTGATGCTGGATGCAGTCCAGGCGCTGATATCCCTTTCAGACATCAGCGGCTTTATGAGGCACATTGTTCTTTTACGGCGTAAAATCCCTGACAGGCACCTCTTAAAATCCGTGAGCTTTGTGGATATCGCCTTGCAGATCATCAAGGAGGACGACCAGGCAATGAGTCATCTCGATTCTTGTCGTTACAGCTCCGCAGTGGCTGTTCTACGGAGAAAACTCTCCAGCGAAAGTAGCTTCATCTTCCGCCGCACTAGTGATGCATCCAAGAACGCCAAACGGGTGGTACCAACGTCTGCTCGTGGCGTAGCAGTGATGGTTGCCCCAGTTAGCCACCCCCCAGTGCCCCCAAAGCAAGATGCAACAGATCCCAGAAGTTCGATGCTGAACGTGTTCTCATCGAAAGAACGGAAATTGTTTGTTCACAAGACGGCCCAGGTCCTCTTCACGACGGAGTTCGTCATGCTTGTGGAGTACACCGAAGTCATCGTGCCGCTGATCTATTGTTCGTATTACGATTACTATTGTCGGTTTTTGTTTAATGCTTTCGCTGATTTGATTTGTTGTGCACAGGCATATTTACGATCTCGATGTTCTTCTTACCAAACCGAGTTTATTACCCACAGCTCAAGTCACTTGACGAGGCGGGCTTGAACAAAAGATCGGCAGTGTACTTACATACGTAAATTTGGAGTTTCTGTCGCTGCTGGTGATCGGCTTCGTGCTTCAACGCAAGCTCGGCATCTCCATGCTGCGATTGATTTCGTTCGTGCTGGACAAGGGCTGGCGAATGGTGCAGGCCAATCTGTGCCTGTGGATTTTCTTCACGGTTGAGAGCTCTCTTGAACACAGCGGTAAGTGGCAAGAGAGAAAAAACCAAGGTGGGTGAAATGAGTTTCTAACATCGATCATGTTTGTTGAATCTTAGGGAATGACTACAGCTTGTCGTTCAGCTGGCTACATGAGAAAAACTAAACGTTCAATTACTTGGACGCTAGCTAGTTACCCCATCCATTTTGTTAGAACCTTACAATATGAAAAAGTATACAATAGCAGATAGATCGTCTGAAGTCTCCATCTACAGCACAGTCTGCTTGCATCGACCGTGATCAACGACGCACTACAGTGTAGTGACTACATCACTGCCACATCGGCTTCGAAGAAATCCCACGGCACCACAACGTTCGTGTCGGTATACTCGCTGTAGATGCGCTTGGAAATGGAAAACGAGTCTCCGACGGTAGTCGTTGGATATTTTTCATGGCTAAGTTGCCACTTCAACTCAAACGCGATGCGCCTCTTCTTCAACCCCTTCTCATCCATTTCACGACGATCAGTGTACGCGCTGCAGACCTCTGTAAGCCACATGGTCCAACGCGGCAAGTAGTAACTCTTGACGAGTCCGGCCCACTCCTTCCCAGCGTAGTCATGGATAGCCTCGTTGTTGTTGTCGCCCCAGCGGGTCACCTGGTTGCGAGCTTCGTACTCGTAGTACTCCTGCAGTTTGGTTCTGGTGACGCTGTCGCCACCGATATTTAGATCTCCAGCAAGGTTCAACGCATCCGCAACCCAATTGCCCAGCAAGAAATCTTCGTTCGTGGCGAGGATTTCCTCAAGGCGGTTGATTGTCGTTAGCATGGTCTTCGTCAATTCACACACCTCGTTGGCTGGAGCGGATTTTGCGCTGTAGATAACCTTTAGGTGCTGGTACTGCTCCAATAACTTGTTGCTCAGAAATTGTTTAGTCACATCCACCAGATCGTGTCGATACGTGTCAACATTGCGCAACTCGTCTCCAGCCAGCAGGAGTTCCTTCCAGGCGAGAACGATGTCCTTCGGGTCGTATTTGATCAGCGTCGGCTGGAACCTGTCGTAGAGAAGCCTCCAGTGCGGGATCAGACACACCAGACTCTTCGTCACCCCACCGTAGGCGAGTGTTCGATTGTAAACTGACCGCGATAGATAACTCCATGCACGCTCCACGTGCTCATTTTGCGTGTGATAGCGTCGACTCGCATACTTCGACACCCATTCGTCCACGTCGAGTGGGGAATCCTCCCACGCCATCTGTAGGGTGAGATCGTACACGACGTAGTTCTGGAATATACCCTCCATCGTTAGCCCAACGCCAACCATCGTACCATTCCCATCGCGCTGGGCTTGAACGGGAGCCGTGGCCAGAGTCGGTAGATCGCCACGCATTCCAGTGTTCCCACCAAAGTTGTGCAGTACTGAGTAGATCCAGTTCTTGCCGAAGTAGTTGTCCATCTTGTTCCAGATAGGCACCGCTTCACTGTAGAAGTCGAGGATGATCAGCTTGTCGGTTGGCACACCTTCCAGATACGCTTTGACGCGCGGTCTGGTCCAGTAGTGTGGGTCGTCCACGAACGGCCAGCCCTGCATGAGCCAAACCGCGTTCGGGTCAGCCGCCGTCATGCCGTCGATCACAGCACGCGCCGCCCCCTTCAACTCGGACAGGTCGGTGAACTCCGGTGCCATCTCCATGTACGTATCACACTGATACAGCGACGACGTGTAGTTGTACAGTGCACGCTGTTCCTCCAGAAAAGCCTTGCCAATTTCACGGTACAACGGGTCTGTAGGCTCGATCATGTAGACGCAGCAGTACTGGTCCGTGAAGTTGCCCCAATTCGGCGACCGCGTGAAATTCGCATTCGGAAGAGTGAGCTTCAGATCTTCCGGGACGTGGCCGGCAAACGCAGGCAGAGCTGGGATCATGCCGAACTCGCGCATGCGCTGGAGAATGCGCAACTGGAGCTCATGCTGGTTGTCGATAAATGCTTGAGGTAGTGGGCCCTTGACCCAACTCCCACGCAAGTTCCCCATTCGACCCCAAGACAAGAACGCGGAGCCAGCGAAGAACTTGCCCAGACCCTCGTAGCTCACGTTGTAATACTTGTGGAAGGTGTTCTGCCACACCTTTTCCTGACCGGTGAACGCCAGCGGCATGTTGATACCTGGAACGAATGGAAATTCGTTAGCAGGGCACTCGGTAGGGATGTATGGACCACGTATCTACTAACCGTTTAGTGCCATCCAGTCGATGTGCTTTTCCCACTGCGGCCAGCTCCAGGCCCACAGCGAGTAGCTGCCCGTGTCCACGTTCTGGTAGTACGAGAACTTGGAGCTCCTCTTGTGGCGCACCCGTTCGTCCACTTTGGGCAGTTTGTCCGGTAGCTGCAGTTTGTGGTTCTCCCAGTCGGTTTGAGTGCGTAACACCGACTTGAAGTACCATTGCAGGCCGTACGCCATGGCGGTGGCCGAGTTCGCTGCGATCTCGAGCTTGTCGCCGTCGCTTCCGAGCTCGAACACGTCCAGTTCATCGGAGTCCGACGGCAGCACGCGAAGCGAGATCTGGTGCGTTCACAACCGTAAAATTTAGCTGATGGACTGCAAGCAAGTGTAATAGCGAATAATGCAATAGAGAACCTGGTCGTTGTACTTTGGCCCCAGGCGTCGGTTGATAAGCCCCCGCGTAGCAGCCACCGGATCGTGCGGCTCCGCGTTCTTCTTCAGTCGAGCGACCGACGCCTCCACCCCTCCCCCAAGACCCTGCATTACCAGGATGCAAATAACCATCGCAAACGCAACGGTGCAGGCCATGCTGATTCTACGCAGCCGCGCTATAGTTCTCTCCAAGCTCCGAGATATCTTCTTTCTTAGCTCGAGCCCCCCGCTGCAAATCAGTAAGTGGCGTCGGTTCAGGATCTCTCACGTAGCCTGTCCTTCACGGAAAGAAGGGCGGGACTCATCGGCGACCACTTCAACAAGCACTAGCAAACCCTTGTTTCATTTCTGTTGCTGTTCATACCTTACTGGTCGCATAGTGCATTGAGCACGCAGATACACACACACGCCCACGCTGCTTCTCCTCTTTCTGCTCTCTCTTTTTACGGCTCCAGCACGAAAAGTCTGAAGGACCGAGTGGACGTCATCGTAGATCCGGAGATTGGCACGTGCTCGAGCAGCGTGAGTCCCGCCTTCTTGAACGTCGTGAGCAGCTCCCTCTCGTACGTGACGTGACCGAAGTCGATGGTCGTGAGGAACTTGAGCAGCGGCTTGCCGATCTCCACGAGCGTCGAGTGGCTGGTCTGAATGGTCTGCGTCACGTACACGCGGCCGGTCTTGGGCTTCAACATGGCCGCGCAGTGCTGCAGCGCCTTCACGGCGTCAGGCATGAGCATGAGCGACGAGCTGAAGTACACGGCGTCGTACGGGCCCGGCCCGGAGAAGTCGTAGATGGACGCGTGGTGCACCTGCACACAACTCGCCAGCTGTCTCTCGCCCAGCAGCGCACGGCACCGCGTCACGTAGTCGGCGTCGTAGTCCACGCCGTCCACTTCAATGCGCTTGGCTCGCAGCTGGTCGCCGTTGTTGGCCAGCGCCAAGCCCGTGCCGATGCCCACGTCCAGCATCTTGCTGTCGGCGGGCAGGCGCCGCAGCACCTCCGCGTACCACCCGGTCGTGAGCTTCACGATAGTCGCGTCGTAGATACGGGCGCGCGCCACGCGCAGCAGTCCATACAGCGCTAACCCGCCCACAGCCGCCACAGCCAGCGGCACCAGCGTCGAGGACGACGCCATCTTTTTAAAACTTTCAAATTAAAATTTGGTTTTTGACACGCAAGTGTGAACCAAACGTAATTTACCGGAAGAGTTGATCACGTTCGTGAATACTTAGTATTACGGTCAGGAGTACACTCGTTTTGTATGGAGGAGGGTAGATTTCAGAGAATAGTCGACTTGCTTGACCTCTTCCATATTAAAACTCAACGATTCGTGCGCCATTTTAGCGCATAGAGGGATCAATAGTAGCTGCAGTTGCACGTTTTCCACTTCTTGGCGCACAGGAAGCAGAACTCGTGGTGGTTCAAGCACATCATGCGGTTGCACCCAACCGACTTCTGCACGCCAACTCCGCACCCAGGACACTGCACACCACTGTTCTCCCTCACCACACGAGCATAGTCGCGATCCGACTGCAGGTCGAGCGTGCTCCAGTGCTTGTCCTTGAGGAACCGCTCGTAAGTCTGGAACTCAAAGGCATCCAGCGCCTCGCGCACGTACTCGGACGGGAACTCGCGCTTGCAGCAGTGAGCAGGCACCATGGCGCGATCACGAACACCCATGCGACAGCGAGTCGCAACGCACTTGGTGCAGTAGAGGTGGCCACACGTTAAAACGCGTCGCGTCTTCTGGTCATCTTGAGGAGCTAAACAGCACGTGCAAACTGGAGGTGGCTTGGACTCGATGTCCAGGTCCGTGAGGTCCACCACAACTAGTGACTCGTCCGCCTCGCTGTCCGTTTCCAGGCTGGTGTCGGTGGGATCCAACAACTTGCGCTCCTCCTTGGCGTAGAAACTCAACGCGATCGCCTCGTCCAGGCGACTTTGCTCGGCAAGACGGATTTCTTCGCGGTACACTTCCAACGCGTACACCTCGGCGAGTTGGGCTTCGACTGTAGCCTCGTCGACTTCATCGACGAAGTCAATCGTGTCGGAGTTGAGATAGACCACGTGCTCGAATGGGCCATCAGCACCAGGTTCTTTCAGCTCTTGCACTCTCGGCAGGACGTCCATGGTGTCACCAGCAGGAAAATTGGACAATGAATCTGCAAAAGACCTGGAGGTTTGTCCAGCCACAGTAATGAAGGAAAATGGTTTATCCAACCGTTAGATGGTGTTGGCTTCGATGGCCCTTCCCAGGAAGTTCTCAAGATTGTACGGCAATGAATAAACGATAGTACTTCAAGTGAAGTGATGGAATAACGACATTGAACACTTGAAAACCAAAACAAAATGAAAAAAAAAACTAACTTACGGTGCTCTTCATCAAGTTGACCGTGCACTGCCAGCTCCACCGCCGCTTAGTGGTACTGGTAGATGCGGCCGCAAGTGCAGATTGTCTGCAGGCAGTTCCAACAGAAGCCGTGGCCGAGCGAGCACCGCATGGCATGGCACCCGGAGACTTTAACAACCCCGATGCCGCAAACCGGGCACTGTTTCCCCTTGTTCTTACGCACCACCGTCGCGTACTCCTTGTCCGACTTGAGTGTCGACGTCTTCGGGTCGCGCTCAGCAACATAGCGTTGGTACTGCTCAAATTGGGTCTTGGTCAGCACACTCTTCACGTAATCAATCGGAAGTTCCTTCGAGCAGCAACGAACCGGAACATTGTTGCGATTGCTCAGACTCCGCTTCGCCATCGTCTTCAGACACGGTAGACAGTAGCCGTGACTGCAAGGCCCAATGCGTAGTTTGGCAGGCAGAAATTCCTCGAAGCACGAGGCGCACTCTCTCTTACCGTCGTCCTTTGGGTTGGCCGTCTTCTTCGCTCTCTTGGCAGGACCCTTGCCCTTCGCCTTTTGCGAGACTGCAGCCGGCGTTTCCTCTGGTGCGGCCTTGCGTTTGCTTCCAACTGTGCTTGGGGTAGTGACGTCCGTGGGCTTGTACATATATTTCGCGTACGTCGTCCACTCTCGTCCCGAGATGATGAGTCTCACCAACTCCAGCGGTAGCGCCTTGTTGCAGCAGCTAACTGGAACAGCATTCCCGAACGGGGCCATCGTTAGATATCCCCGAACGGCAGCTTCCAGGCAGTTGCGGCAAACTCCATGGCCGCAAGGAGCTTTGGTTGACGACACGTATGGCCCACGACACTTGCAAAGCTTCTCCCCACTTGCTGTCGCCAAAGGTTGGTTGGTCGAGGCTCGAATGCTCGCGGTGGCAGCTCCACCTTGAGTCGCAACTTGTTGCTTGGCAAGTCGGGCCTTGGAACTGCGCGTAACATAACGTGGTCCGGCCGGTGAGGCTGAGGCGATGACCGGGAAAGAATTTCCTTGACCGATAGTCGTAGTTACAAAGGCATCAAGTACAAGAGTACTTGGGCGTAGTTTCATCTCGAGGTCGCTGTCCGTCTTCTGGGCACTGTTACTGGCAGGTGTCGATCCAGCGGCCGCGTTCATATCCGTAGTCTGGTTCGCTCCCTTGGCGGCATCCGCGTTGGTACGGGGAGAGCTTAACAGGAACGAATAGTAAACATTTTCTTCGTACGCCAAAACTTCGCGAATGTAGTCATTAGGGACCACTTTGTTGCAGCACAACAGCGGAGCCTTCGTGGACGACAGCACCTCTCGCGTCAATTGGGCTAAGCACACTTGGCAAAAGATGTGCCCACACAGTAGCGGGAAGAGCTGCGTGGAGCCCAACTCCGACCACGGAAAGTCTTTCGAGCACCGGGAGCATTGCTCTGGACGCAGTTGACGAGTTTTCATGGTTCCCACCCAACTGTCGAGAAAGTCAGAGTGATCAGTGCACAATGAGTGCGTGAGTTGTGGGACGCGGCGATCAGCTTTTTGTTCGTTGAGGAACAAGTTGGAAATGACGACGGCGTTGAAGCCATCAATGCACGCAACCAAAAGTCAACGTATGCAATTAAATGCAGTGCTTGACGTAAGCACTCGCAGCATTACGACAGCACGCTACTCGCCGAGAATCGCACGCACCTCCGCTTCCGGGATGAGCGGGCAGTTGCACGACCCCCAGAACTGCAAACACGTGTAGCAAAACTGGTGCCCGTTTGGACACGTCATGTGCACGCAGCCGAAGTCACGCTGCACGCCGATGCCGCATCCAGGGCACTGCTTAGCGCCCATCGCCTTCACCGTCGCCGTGTACTCGGCATCAGACGTGAGGTCCGATATCTTCCAGTCCTTCTCGGTCATGAGCTTCTGGTACTTAGCGTAGTCAGCGGCACCCCGCAAGGATTCACGGACGTAGTCATGGGGCAGCTCCTTCTTGCAGCAACGGAGAGGCACAAGCGCGCGGTCGCCCAACGCCAGACGACACATGCGCAGAAGGCACGGATGGCAGTAGTGGTGTCCGCAAGGAGCAACCCTCAGCTGGCACACGTTTTTCTTCGCAGCGCAACTCGCACAGTCCGCGCGCGCAGGGTCCGCTTTATTGCGTCGGACCAAGTACATTGCGTACTCCGAATGGCTCAGCCCAATCTCCACTTGGTCCAGAGCGATCTCCTTGCTGCACTTCCAGCACGTCGCCGACGTTGCGTTCTTGAGAGCTTCCGCGCACGCCTTGGAGAGGCACTTGAAGCACACAGGATGGCGGCACCGCGACAGCGTGACCAGACCCTTCTTCTTGGAGCAGCACGAGTTGGCAGTCTTCGTTTTCCGTTTGCCCCGTGCCTTGGACGTGACAGTTGAAGGCATGACCCACGACGCCTCACTGCTTCGAGTCGGTCGCTCTCTTTCAAGTATATTGTGCCGTTGCACCCGTTAGCCCCCAAACACTTGCCGACGAACTCTTCCACGGGGTAACCTCGTCCCAGCGTCCGCCAATCAACTTCTCCACCTTCAACGCACCGTCTCGCAGCAGAAGAAGCGCGTGACAACCTTGGACACCCTCGTCACTCCATGCAGCATCGCCAGCGCCACTAGCAGCAGTCCGAACGCCGTCGTGTACACTGCAAATGGGTACTGCTTCGTTAGCCCATCCAAGTGCACGGGCACGCGCTTGTCTCCGATCAAGAAGCCGAGAACCCCCACCACCAGCACCACCGCCAGCAGCTGCATCGCCCCCACGAGCACCTTGAAGCAGCCAAAGTACACCGTCGCGAGCACGGACCGGGGCGACGTGGAGCCCAGCGACCTGTCGAACCTCGGGCGCGGCTCGAACACCTGCCCCCTAGTCCCTCCGAGCGGCGGGGGCACTCGAATCGGCAGCAACGGATGCAGTTCGTCGCTGCTGGTCATGGGCCCCCACTCCGCCAAGTCCATGTCGATGCAGTCCGCCGCCGACGCAGCCAGCGCGTTGTAGATGAAGGCGTCCGTGCAGCACAAGTAGAAGACGACGTGCAGTAGGCCACGGAAGACCAGCACCACACAGCCGAACAGAGGCATGGTGACCACGGCCAGAGCGGCCCCAGTCCACACCACCAGCGCCCCGATCACGCTCAGCGCGGCGCTGCAGCCGTTGAACAGCAGCATGCGCGTGATCTGGCTCGCCAGCGTGCACGGCCGCACCAGGTTGCAGCCGGCAGGGCGGCGCACGACAGTCACGCGGCGTCGAGGGCGGTAACTCGACAGCGTTTGGGGCTGCGCGTGCGAGTACAGCGGACTGAAGTCGGCTACGGCTTGGTACATGTGCTGGGAAGGCGGGAACTGGTCACTGGCGCCGTAGGGGGTGGACGCCGAGCGCGGCGGAGACGACAGGAACATCATTGGAGCTCTTCGCACTTTTAGTCGTTGGAATTCTGAGAATTTAGTCTTTAGTAGACAGATTTGGTCAGGACTAAACTATTTGCCTCGAAAAGGGCCTCAGCTTTGCATCGCCAGTTGACACTACAGTAGAGATGGGTGACTCGCAGAACTGGTCGTCGTTCGAGGAGCCCGAGGCGCCCAAGCGTCCGAGCGCCGCGAGTGTGCAGGCGGATGACGCGCAGAAGGCGGACGACAAGTTCGGCAAGGGCCTGAGCGCGCTGACGGAGCCCGTGGCGGTGCGCAACCTGCGCAACCGCCTCATCTTCGGCAGTCTCGTGGGCTTCGTCACGGGCGCCACCTTCGGAGGCAGTACGTTGCAGCACACACTGTAGCAAATTAAGAAGTGGAGAGGTGACTAAGTTGCTGATCTGTTGCGGTGTATGCAGTTGACGGAGCCAAGCTGTACATGAAGCAGCACGGCAAGTTGGCGCCTGCTGCTCTGGGCACCATCGCGCGTGGAGCTGCCACGACGGGAGGAGCATTCTCTGGGTGGGGACACAAGTATGGGGATGTTGGCTGGTGTTGCGCATACATTTTGCTTATGATCGTTGTTGTTGCTGGTAGTTTCTTCTTCATGTATTGCGGCATCAAGACGGCGTTGGCGACGCAGCGCGAGGATGATCTGGCCAGTGCTGCGGTTTCAACGGTTGCGGCTGGTCTTCCGTTCGTGCGCTCTGCGATTATGAAGCAGAATCTGCCATACGCGGTGATGCTGGTGGCGCTTGACCACTTTCACGAGGAACTCAACGAGTACCGTAAATAAAGGGGTGTCGACGCATGCTCCTCGCGATAGTTGCCCTAATTCTTGTGTTTTTGCGCCACCTTATCAACCCTCTTGAATGGGATGATCTAGGCGGATGTCTGCGCCAAGTTGTGTAGCCCAAAAGTGAGCGTATAGGGTGTAGCAACAGTGTGCCTAAGGTTGCACACCACAGTCGGCGATACACACAGCCCAAGTGGCTCGAGTCAAGTCAATACGCTCGCCGTTAATCGTACAAGTCTGTTTTTACCTCGAAGCTCCAGTTGGAGGCCGTAATAGAAAGATTTCGCAAGTGTCCGAATCCGATTCCAGTTTCGCTTACGGATGCAAAATTTGGGACGAGGGTGTCAAAATATACAGATTTTCAGGACAAAACATACAGACGGGGGCATTCCATACCAGATGGGGCTGCGTCATACATATCATGTACAGAACATACGAGCGGGGTATCGATATACAAGCTGACCGGCGTACTTTGGCATGGTTGAACAAATAAATATTGTCAATATCTAAACATACTCGTGCTGTATTTTTGGGGAATCCCTTTGAAACCAACGACTATACGTAGCTCCCCACACAAGTGAAGTCACAAGAACAAACAACAAACTTCCAGCAATGGAGCCCTTTCAGTCCAGGCCTCCGAAGACAGCTTTAAGGCCTATCGAGACGTTGATATGTGCTGCTCGGCGGTGACACTTAAGCGCGACTTTGACGTATGCAGCGTATGCGGGGGTATGCATGCAATGACAGAGAGACGCCTTACGTGTACAAGCAAGACCTGCAGCGACATAGGGGTTTGTGCTGTTGTGTGGAAAGTGTTCACCTGTACGGCTAGCGATACCTGGACGATATGGGTGAATGAGCATGGGCACATGCGTGGTGTGGTTCCCTGCAGTACCATCCACCCTGCACGCGTGACGACGATGATGACGCAATTTCTTGCAGAACAAGATGAGTTTGGTATTCCACCACGGCTCATGCTGGTCAATTTGAAAAAGCTATTCCAGATCCCAGTGACTAGTCGTGGTTGGTCAAGCCTGAAGCAGGTGCAAAACGCGTCGAAGCGTCTTCGGAGAGACCAAGGGACGAAGTACTCTCACAAAGCTGTCCAAGATCTCGTTCGTATTCGCTGTTACCGCCCGGACCTAAACGCAGACACGGCCTATTTGTTTGGCGCGAGCTTAGACAGCGAAGGGTATGCATACGTTGGGTTGTGGTCGAATGAAGATCCTTTCATCATTGGCATAACATCATTAGCGATAATTGATGGCTGTCTGCGGTTTGCAAATTCCGGGTCGAATTGCCAGTTTCACGCAGACGCCACTTTCAAGTTAAGTGGCATAGGGTACCCAGTGGTGACGTGTGGATTTACGGACAAGGCCAGAGCCTATCAAGTGGGGGCCTTCTTCGTTGTCTGTCGGTGAACAGCGCACGAATACACCGAGTGTTTCCGCAGCTTCGTGGAGCTTATACGTGAAGTGCGTGGGGTCTCCCTCCAAGTGGACACACGCGGAAGACGCCCAATACATCGCAGTAGAGTCTGTTTCGGCGTTTGCGGATGCTTCTTCCATGTGTTGTACTATGTGCGGAAGAGAATCCAGCATCTACCGACCAAAATAAGAATGATGGTGATGTCATTGATCGTTGACATGCACTATGCCACCGGTTTGCTGGACTTTGAGCTGTGCATAGATCATGAGCTGCAGAAATGGAAGGGGACCACGCATCTGAAAGAATTCGCGACTTATTTCGACTCACAATGGCGCAAGGGCTGGTACTGGAGATGGCAGACATATCACACCCCCGCTGGATATGTGTCCACCAACAATCCATGTGAGAATCTGAACGGCGCCATAAAGCTTTTCTTACAGCGGCGTCGACATCACATGCGACGGCTTCTTCTCAAACTTTGTGATTTCATCGAGTCCATCACCCCATTGGAACCTGCTAAGCCGAATTACACACCTAAGCCGACTACAGACGTCGTGAATGCGGCAATCACAATGGCGGAAGCTTCCCGCGTACAATTCGAGCGCACGTCGGACCCAAATCTGATACGGGTTCTCGAAATTGTTGATGTCACGTCCAGCGCTAGCGAAGGTGATGAGGCGGTATGTCACTTTAGGTCATCGTTTGACGAGGTGGATTCACCAAGCGTTGAGGGTGTGTCAGAGGTCGCGCCTCGAACCACTAGCACCATGGCTTTATTCCGTACTCTGACATCGGGGAGGGGTGAGCTCTCGGGGGGGGGGGGCGAGGCGGTCTCGAATGAACAGGATCCCAGCACGGACGATACTACTGATCAGCTCCTACAAAACCCAAACGAGGATTCTGAAGAACAAGAGGAACTACGTATCAAGGAGAAGGACCTGTATGACCTCACCACAAAATGGTCTCTCCGTCGCGCACATCAACTGGGAATGCCAACCGAGGGGTGGCTAGTAGATCTCAAACTCAAAGTTTGTGGATGCCGGTACTTTGGCAAGTTTCTGATATGTGCACACCTGGTTGCTGCTCAGCAAAAGTATGGTATCATCACTTTTGCACCAAACAAAATCGAAAAACCGGTAACTCGGGTGACTGGAAAGTCCAATACCAAGCGTAGCTGCGCCAAGGTGCCGAAAAGATCAAGCAAAAAGCGCTCATCGAAAAACCAGAAACCTCGGGCCAAGGCTGTATCAACAAGTGGAAATGCCGTGCCTGGGTTAACGGGCAGACCGCCTCTTGCATCTACCGCTCTGACTGTTGAGGAAACCCTAAATGAATAAGCAAAGCAAATACATGTATTCAATCCGCTTTAGTTACTCGGCATGGTATCGTTGCAAACAAGATCACCGCGTCACTAAACCCTTGTGTCTAAAGAGATGGAATTCCATCCGCTTTGCCGAAGAGTGAGTGGGATACTTTCAGAATGGCATGATCCGGATCAGCCACCACCCCCTGCGCTCGGCACTCGTCGTGGACACTCACGACACTACTCTGATACCCTTTTAGCGCCTTCGCCAGCCTAGCCGCTGCAAACTCCGGTGAGGGGGGGGGGGGGTCAGATTGGAACTCGGGCTCGAATCGCGTCATGTTCAGCGCCGGACGAAGCACATCGGAAACTCGTATGCATACCGCTTGATACGTCTCCTCGACGATTGAGGTGCGATCCTGGGATCGAGCTAAGTGAATTGCGTGCGCTACACTTCGAACAAGTGCGTCGACGACACCACTCATATTCCCATGGTCGTACGCTGTTTGAAGCTTGAGCATGTGCTCATCAGAGGCGATACGATGGTAGTTGGCCCGAGCCGACCGTATAATGACGAGTTTGTTTTGCAAAACAGTCGCTGCTGAGCCGTTGTCCACAGTCGTACTGGCTGAATTCGTCCGGTGGGTAGAACTGTTGTCCGTCACCACGTTCCCTCCTCGCTGCTTGATAGGAGCCTTCCCTCCTCGCAGCTTGCTAGAAGCCTTCGACTTGGATTCCGAATTCATGCGATTGAAAGTCAGCGAACTTCCTGTGACCTTCTTAGCTCGCGACTTGGATGCCATTGTCGACGTGGCGGCGGAGCGGTTGAGCTTGATCGTCAGCGAACGTGTGGCCGCCGGCAAATTTGCTGTCACCTTCTTAGCTCGCGACTTCGTTGCCTTTTTCGACGTGGAGGCGGAACCCTTGCGCTTGAACGTCGGCGAGCGGGTGGTCGCCTTGATAGATCGAGCCTTAGCTGGCCTTTCAATAGGAGGCGACACTGCTCTTGGGTTTTTGCGCTCGTCGCAAACTCCATCCGTGTCCACAGGAAATGAACTGTCGGGTGTCTGCTCCATCAGCAACTGCCGTTGGTCAACAGGGAGAGCAAACCAGAGATCCCGGAGCCGCTTGCCACCGTGCCCAACAAGCCACTTTGTGTCTTTCTTCTAGCGATCCGGTTCGGACTTAGTTTTCCGTTCACGATCATAATCCCGAGCCCAATCGTTAACAGAGCTTTCAGCAAAAGCCTACACAGCGTTGTGCACACGCATCTGCGCCAGAACCTCGTGTCGTGTAGCCGGAGTAGAGAGAAATGTGGCGTGATAGCAGTACGGTGAAGAGCAAATGGAACATGAGGACGAAAATACTAAGAGCTGAGGCCTTCCTCAGCACCGAAGAAATCTGCCAGCATCGTATTTGTGGCGCAGACTAAACGAGTGTATTGAATTCGTCCGTTCTGATGAATTGTCCAGTAAAAAAGGTTCCTCACGATCAGAGATTCGCCGTTAACCAATAACCCGAAAGAAGTTCAAGCCAAAAGAACGACTGCGTTAAGAATTTAAGAGAAACTCGACAGAACTCGTGCAATAAATCAGCGTACGTAGATGTCCACACGGCGCACTAACGACACAGCTTAAATCGCACTGTCCGATTCTAACACCAGTGATCTCGTCGTCGTAGATGAATTTCTTCCCATCCATAACAGCAATAATAAAAGAGTGCGTCACTCGCAGTGACCTAAAAGCAGCTCAGATATAGACACCTTCTTCGAGCACAACTGCGCACAATTCACTTGTCGATTGGTGGCCGGTCACACCCCCGAACACGTTTTTATCCAAAATCTTCGTGCTCACTTGCTTCCGATTCCTCGAATTCGCAAACTTTACGTAGCAGCGCAATTCACCATACGTCTCCCCTCGGTCGAAATCGGTTTACCCCTTCCTGCACATTCCCTCATAAATTGACGAGCTTGAGCCATGGAGTGCGAACCGGCGTTACCCACCAGCTCAGTCGCAATACCTAGCGCGTAAAATGCACATAAGCCTTCGGGCGATGCTCCAATGTGGTGACAATGTCCATTTAGCTTGCAAAATCGGTAGTATGTAGACACTTTGGACACTTTCCACTCGTCCACCACATTGCACGCACGATCAAAGCCGTCCTCACGAAGTCCTACACCATATTCCCATGTGTCATCCCACCGAAACCCATCAGCTTCGTCACACCACTTAACCAGGTACTTAATTCCGAATTGTGTTTCTTCTCGATCGACAATAGCAAACACTACGCCACGCTCTTGGTTACGCGCGGGCGTATTGGCGGCAGACTTGGGGTCAGGGGAAGGAGAAAAAGCGCGAACCAGCGATGCCGTACCCGTGCCTAACGCCGCCACATTGGTAGGCCTACAGCTCTTCGCTCGTATCGTACCCTTCTGGGCATGTGCGATGGCCATCATTGACTTTCCCACACGCACACATAGTTTAATCCACTCGGCAGAGGTTTGCTTGTACCCCATGGCTCCGTAACCCCCGCGATGATGCCGTGGTCCCTCTGCAGCACGCATCGGTCGAACCACGGACACCACCACGAAGAGTGTAAAGCATGGTCGCTTGGTTGTTCAGCGGCTGGGCGTGGATGTGGACGAGGACGCAAAGGAAGTTGAAGTTTTTGGCAATGCTTGTTCAGTGGTCTTGAGGGCGGCAGATTTATCGTTGTGAAGAAAGAAAAGCACGCGCGACAAGGCCGTAACTTGATTGAGAGATGTAGACCACTTTTTCTTTCAGTGTGATTGAACGCTAGAGCCATCTGTCTATGTTTGTATGTTATGGAGCTACTGGCGGTATAGTTTGTCCCGCTTTTTGTATAGTCGGGACCATTCGCCAAAACCTGGCACCCCGAATGGTAGAGTACCGTCATCCTAGTGTGTGCTAATGGAGGGGTAGACTCATGGACAGCCAAACATGTCAACCATTGTCTTTAAGCGATGAAATCGGTGGAGTTCTCTATTGTGTCCTTCACTAATTCTGTCAGTCGATCAGGATCGCTAATTCAACGTCAAATCCGTGAATAATCATTGAGTAAGGGACTTGCCCTAGGATGCACGACTGAAAAGCTCGATTTAAGCATGATTTACACGGGAAATCGTGGATTGGCAGTAGCAAATGCGCCATTCCTACGATAACCAAAGCCTAAACTACAACCTGCTACAGAATGGCAGCCAATACCATCGAATCGAGGGTCGTTTGGTTATGGTAAAGCAACGAGATACGAAGCACAATATCATTTGATGCCATTTCTCAACTTGCTCCATTCTGAGCGAGGCATTGGTCCAAATTCAACCCAATGCCATGGAATGCCAGGACCGCGATTCATCAACACGCTCCAGGAAGAAGATGTTCACGTATTAATACTTGCGATAGTGGTGAAGAAGGGGGGGTCGGATTCCGACTAGGAAGTTACTTACTTGCCTTTTTAGTGCTAGCTTTGTTTGGGTTCATTGTACTAATAGCTGACCGTGAATTTGGTTGCATTGGAAGCGCAGACCAAGAAGACGGCATCTGTGGCTACCGAGAAGGTGCGCGTGGACAGGAAGATGAAAAACACTTGTGGGAGATATTTACTGTTTTATAGGTGCTGTTGTGCCCACCCAAGCAAGAACTGGATAGGCGGTTCTGGATCTGTGCTAATGCCCAACACGAGAAGAATGATTAGCTGTCATCAATCTGTGTACTAAAGTGCGATTTGAAGTTTAATGGATGCATCCCAGTGTTCATCCTATACACTAACTGTAGAGTCAGCTGTACGTGTTAATATCGGTTAGTTAGTGTCTAGTAAATTTTACTAACATGTAAGTGCCGGACGAGCATCACTAATATTTGCACCAAAAACGAAAATTACAAAAGATTTTCACACCTCAATAATTTTATCTACGCAGCGCCGATCCTTCTTGTTTTCTGTACCGTATATGACAGAAAAAGCACACGACAAAAGTCGGCATTTTCGGCCTTTTTTCGCAAAAAAGACAAAACGTAGCATTTAGCCAGGTTTCCATGACACAAGTCGGCCTTTCGATGACACAGTATCAAGGCATTTTGAGGGCTTTGACACGACATAATTGGGCAAAATGCTATATTTAATGGACATTTGCTCAATAGTTGTAATTACACTTACGAACATCAAGTAAAAATAAATCCGGACAAAATGCTTATAAAATGGGATCAGCAGGTCATAAAAAACTTATGACAAAACTCGGCATTTTCGGCGTCGAGAATGACAGAACACGGCACTTTCGAGACATTTGGATGACAGCATTTTCGAGCAAGCAGCGAATGCTTCTTTTCTGTCATAGACGGTATTCTAAGAAATACGACGCTTTCAATTCGATATCGTGGCACACATTACCTACACTCAGCAGTACTGCCGCATTAGATGCTACCAAGTCTACTCTAGTTATGCCAGAGCCGTGGATACTAGAAGTCCTAGTCGAGAGCGGATAGCCCCAACCGTTACGTATATTTTATATTTAATGGGCCTCGGCGTTCATTACAATTTTGGTCTTACGGATGGCCGACCCCCGCCAACTCGCTCTCATAATATAATTGCAGTTAATGTCTTATATTATAAGACATTATCTGCAATCATCTTTAAGGTTAATATATATCATGATTATTCTCTTGGTACTAACTCGTCTACTTACAGTCTTCAAACGTACAGCTAACAGAGTTAGCGTCTAGTAAATTTCACTAACAGCAAAACGCCCTACACTAAGGCATCCATCCTAGTGTAATTCGGAATTATCGTATTGTGTCTTTCATTTAATTTGTCGGTGGCAAAATCGGACTTCACGCCCAATTTTCGTTTTTTAAAACAAGGGAGGTAGTCAGTAATCAGTTCTACAGTAGTATATCTTCCCTGATATCAGAGTCCGATTTTCCTGTCCGCTCCTCCGGATTTGCTCTCGTTTTCGCTCAAAGAATCGAATGGAGTTGATGTTTCGCCATTTATGACTTAAGCTCGGAACGCGCTATCGCTTTCCGTCGATTTCTATTGAAAAGCGGAATCGGATCACCATCCCTCCGATTTTTCAAATTACGGTAGAGCCCCCTTATTTTACCTCGTAACCCAAAGTCAGTAATAAAACTGATAGTTTTTGAGGTCCGTTAAGCCAAAAAGACTGAAGATACAATAGCACCTTGGTTATTTGAGTGAAAGAAACCAACACTAACCTCGTCACCACCTTGGGACGTACACGACCAAATGGTTTGTGCAGTCGCCTATCGACAGTCACGGACAGCGAGGACGGGTAGAAGGCTCAGGAGGTGGTCGTGCTACGGAGGTATGACAGTCAAGCCGATGCAGATCCCAGACAAGGCGAAAGCCAGTAAAGAGGCCGGGATCAAGGCCAAGCAGACCGAAGAGAAGGAGACCGCTGAAGAGGCGGAGGAGAGATAAAACAAAACAAGGATGAGGACATCAAAGTTGACGAAGATAAGGTCGGCGAGATCATGGTCGAGGAGGCCAATGCCGAGGAGACCAAGGACAAGGAGACCAAGGAGGACAAGGCCGATAATGACAAGTTGTATCCTTCTTACTTTTTAATTCGCTAGCGCGAGCAACAAATACACACAGGGTGGCCAACAGTAATAGCCATGCACTTATATGTGTGCTCTGCATCGGAACGGAAGTTCTTAGTGGCGGGAAGGCAGTGCTGTACTATCGGCATCAACCTTTTCTTGAACTCAAGATCTTATCCAATATTGGGGCGTAGATATCAAATTTGCTTATGAACAGTAGAAGTCTGAATAGTACGTGTGCTAATGGAGGGGTGAGCACATGGACAACTAAACGCACCACAGCTGTTACCCGTAGTCTCCAAACGATGTAATCGGTAGGATTATTTTATCACTTCTGTATTCTGAGCGAGCCATCAGTCCAAACTCAACTCAACGCCATGCTGCACATTCATGGCTTCTTGTACGGCCGTCCATTCGTCGTGGACATCCAGCCGCATGATAGCGTCGCTGTTCGGATACCGGCCCGTCGACATCGAACAGCACGAGAGCGTCACTATCCACAAAAGCTACCAAGTTAACCGACTTTCGAACTGAGTTTTGTTATTCGGTTTTGCTACAGCGAATGCAGGGGATTACACTACACTGCGTTCCCGCGGTAATACCATGCGCGAGGCGTGTGGCAACAACCCCCACAACAAGAAGGAGACCATACCGCGCTAATGTCGTACATTGGTACGCAACGCGCAGACGCTCTGGAGGCTTGGCTTTTGCCATCTCCCAGACGAGAAACGCGCAGCGAAAGCCGAACCAGAGTGCATAACTAGTACACTCCGCCCCAATTATCATGTCCAGGATGACGACCAGACTGAGCGCCGCCGCGATGGATGCCTCAATCGCCGCGAGAACCGTCGGAAGCAGCCCTTGAGCACATTTGGGTTGGCGCACACACACCATATACGATGCAAGAGCACGACGCCCTGTCCAGAGATGTTAAGGTCGACGCAATGACGATACGAGAAGCAGTGACAAGCGCGCCAGCGAACAGGGGATGTATTCGTTCGCTGTGTAGGTCTTGTGCTATCAGTATGAATTGACCGCATTCTCCGCGTTTGCACGACAAATCATCTATCAGCTCAGCTATTATATAGTGCTGTGCGAAACTAGATGGCCACAAATTAGATCTCGCAACTAGAATATTATGTGTTTGCACCTGTTGTTCATCTCAACACAGCAGTGCCGACAACAATAGCCTGACCCAGACTCAATCTAAATAGCTGTTGTTTTGATCGCAATCATTAGTTTATATCGAACTTACTAATTATGAACATTTGTTTTGCAATAAAATAACTCACTTTTGCAAGGGCCCCGTTTTGGTATCATGATAAAACAGCATGATAACTTACGAATTATCTACGCCCCGATTTAATAACTTTTAAGAAAATATCCCGCAAATATTAGTTTCCCTAACGGTTAAACAAGACTGGACTATTGGTTAGATCCATTTTTGCAGGTGTATGCAATATTTGCAGACATCCGATTCTGTACAAATATATGATATTGCTTTTTGGAGATATTTTGCACTAACACATGCTTATTATTTCGTTAGAAATTTCGCATTCTTCATCCGATCAGCTCTTAATTAAAACCTTGGTCGTGATTTATGTACTAAACCAATCCCTGCGAACCTAGCTTATGGCTCCGTTCTGCGACTAAACGCTTTCTAGGTTCCGAGCCTCAAACCGGCCTCACTTGAAGCCCAAAGCTTCAACAGCACTTGCCTATCTCGTGCTCACTCATATTAAGAGACTGATCAGGTCTATTTTAGAGAGCAAGGTATTTGCAAGCTGAATAAATAAGCAGCTGTTAAGTCAAGACTTTCAACACGACCGGGGCCTGAAACCAGATAGAAATTGGCTTGAATCGTGGCTACGACAACAGACTACTGTACTAGATTACTAATTAGCCAGACTAACAAATATTAGTCCCCCATAATAGTAGTAGTGATACTATTAAGTATACTACTTTAAGTACCATATAGTAATTGTCGTATCGAGCAGGCAAATACTAAGTACGAAGTATACCTCGTAAACAAGAGAATCATATATGAGAACGTAGATGAAAGGTTACATAGGAAAATTCGATATTGTAGCGCGTTGCCTTGCTTGAATATTGCTGCACGGCCACTCGCCATCGTGTGTTGTACAAGGCTGCACATTTGAGCATGTTACCATTGAAACTTGCCGTGAATTAATGAACATCAGATTGGTGTCGGATACAACAATTGCATTTGGAGTGATTGCGCACTGATAAAATAATTGAATCTGATTGGATAGATTCAACTGTCCGATATGACACTTTGCTGGATACGACAATCGCTATACGGGTGTAGAGACCGCGTCAAACAAAATGATGCTTACGAACCATTTTGGGTTTTCGAAAAAATTGCGTTTACAGTTGACCAATCAAATTTCGTACTTAACCGAACTCAAATGTTGAAAGTAAAAATCACTCGTAGAAAGCGGGAAACACTCTAATTCGCTTGCTCTGAGCACGAGCTTTCCTATAATGTACAGCCCAAAAACTGAAATTATTGAGGTCACATCTTACAAAATTAGGGATTGGGGGGGTTGGAAATGTAGATGTTTTTTTTCTTTGGTGTCACTTCACGAGTTCTCAACATTTTAATGTGCTCAATATCTTAAAAGACGCACAAGACGCGGTTATGTCAATTTATGCGGTCAAATCCTCATTCGTATTTAGGTTCGTAAGCATCATTTCGTTTGACGCGGTCTCTAATGAAGACATCGGCTTTTGCTAGACAAAAATAAGTCTAGGTAGACAAAATTTGAAGCCAAACTAATCTGGAGCCTCTAAAAAAAAAATTATTGTTGTTGAGGGTGGATCGTACATAGGGTAGGTCATATATAGTGGGAATTTTAAACCAGGTCGAAATTGGAAAGTTTTTTTTTCATTTTTTCGAGAACCAGACCAAAAGTTTGTTCCAAAACACACTCCTAATCAAGCTAATCTGGTCTGGACATCTTTGCCGGTTTTCACAATAGAAGTTTCGAAGTAGCGCGTGTTGAAACATTTTTGCAGTTGTTTTTGACCAAAACACACGCTTCCATGTCGAAGTCCATTCTATTGGCTGAAACTCGACTAATTAAGCGGCGAGCAATATTGCGATTCCATCTACCCCGTAGGCAAATATTGCGCTTCACGACGCGAAATATTGCGTTTAACCAACGCTGACGTCGACGTTGAACCTGACGTGCGCCTCTCGGGCTCCGATCTCTTGGCTCACTCCGCAATCTTCCGCGCGCCGACGCAGTCCACTTGATCATTACTCCTGCGCCCACATCCATGGCTCTGACCCCGCCCGGCACCTTCAGCCCGCAGGGCTTCCGCGAGTGCTGGGGCGACTACCGCGCCGAGGCGGACCTGGAGGACGCCGCGCGCCCGCTCTACCGCTTCCAGTGCGACCTGCCGCGCCTCCCCGTGCCGTCGCTGGCCGAGACCGTGTCGCTGTACCTGGAGACGCTGAAGCCGCTCGCGACGCCCGCCGAGCTCGCGCACTCCAAGGAGCTGGCAGCAGCCTTCCTGCGCCCCGGCGGCATGGGCGAGGAGCTGCAGCGCCGCCTGCTGGCGCGCGCCAAGGAGCGCGGTGACTCGAGCTTCCTGGCCGAGTGGTGGAACACGCTCGGCTACCTACAGGTACGCGACCCCGTGGTGTTCAACGTCAGCTACTTCTTCCACTTCGCGGACAGCGTGCACCCGGCGCAGCGCTCCAACGTGGGACGCGCCGCCGCGCTGCTCAGGGGCTCGCTGCTCTTCGCGCGCCAAGTGGCGGACGGCTCCATCGAGCCCGAGCAGCTCGGCAAGAAGAAGACGCCCATCTGCTCCACGGCCTACAAGTACATGTTCAACGCCTGCCGCATCCCGCGACGCGACCAGGACTCGTACCGGATCTACGACCCCAAGACGCACACGCACGCGGTGGTGATGCGCCACAACAAGTTCTTCAAGCTGGAGCTGCTGGATCCGCGCACGCAGGAGCCGCTGGGCTTCGAGGCGCTGTGCTTCCAGCTCGCTAGGATCCTGGATGCTGCTGGAGCCAAGGAGTCTGCGGTCGGAGCACTGACGTCGCAGGATCGCGACTCGTGGGCCGATGCGCGTGAGGAGCTGATCCGGGCATCCCCGCTGAACGAGGAGTCGCTACGGGCCATTGAGAGCTCGCTGCTGGTGCTCAACATGGATGATGAAGCCCCAGTGTCCCGCACGGAGGTGGCTCGTGGACTCTGGCACGGCAACGGACGCAACCGCTTCTTCGACAAGTGCGTGCAGATCGTGGTGTTCGAGAACGGCAAGGCTGGACTGCTCGGCGAGCACTCGATGCTGGATGGAATGCCCATGGCGCGCTACGCGGACTACCTGCTGTCACGTCTTCACCATGGACAAGTTGATCTCGGCCCTCGTGGCCAGACGACGGCGCAGCTCGAGCGCTCGCTGGTTGCTCCGAAGCAACTCACGTTCCGTTTCACGGCCCAGACGCTGCGCAACATCGCTGAAGCTGAGAAGGTCTTCGACCAGACTGTCATCGATCACGAAGTGTTCGTGCAGGCCTTCTACGGCTACGGTGCGCGCGCCATCAAGGGGTTCCGCTGTAGCCCGGATGCTTTCGTGCAGCTCGCGATCCAACTTGCTTACAAGAAGCTGTTCAAGAAGAACGTCGCTACGTACGAGGCCTCGCAGACCCGGGTCTTCCTGCACGGACGTACGGAGACCACGCGCAGTTGCTCGGCTGCTAGCGCCAGGTTTACGGACGCAATGGAAGATGCGTCGGGAGCCGTGACTGCCGAAGAGAAGAAGAAGTTGTTGCTTGCTGCAGCAAACGCGCATGTGGCATACATGCGCAAGGCCGGCGCTGGTCGTGGTGTGGATCGTCACATTCTGGGCCTGAAGCTGCTTGTGCAACCTGGCGAGCGCGTGCCCTTCTTCGAGGACCCGGTGATGGCTCGGGCCAGTCGCTGGCTCATCTCCACGAGTCACCTGACGAACGAGCTCTTCGACGGTTGGGGCTGGGGCGAAGTCGTGCCCGAGGGCCTGGGGATAGCGTACAGCGTCAAGGATCAGTCCATCCAGTTCAACATTGCTTGCCGCCAGCACGGTAGCTGGGGCGCCCGTATGGGCCACCTGCTCGAAGAGAGTCTCATCGAAATGCAGCAGCTCTTCGCGCAGTCCAAGGACATCGGAGCCAAATTGTAGACGACTAGGGTTTTGGTGTCAGGAAGAAACTAATAACCAGCCAGACAACCAGCATGAAATCGTTGTCGCCACCGACAGCCTTGACAAGTGAATAAGTTTACAATTCAACACCCTAGATGAAGCTACCGCAGCTCTACTGCTACTAGGTACGCGCTACCGCCTAGTAACAGCTCTCCCCCCCTCCCCGCATTGTACTGGACAGTGCTATGTCCGGGACAGTGGACACCGCTGCCTAACAGCTTTGCACCGCACCTTGAGGCCCTTCAGCAGCACCGCCAGGTCCTGCACCGCCTCCAGCTACTTCGCCTAGCTCACGTCCTCGACGGGCTTCAGCACCTCCGTCACAGTCGGTCGGCCGCTTGCAGCGCCTCCTCCTGCCGGCTCTGGCGCTCGTCGCGTCCTCGTCGAAGATGTGGCCGCCGCCGATCAACACCACTGTGTCATGGTTATGCATGCCCATGACTCGAAGATGTCGCGCAGGTTGGGCTCGGGCTTGGCTCGGGCTTGGCATGCTCGCGCCCTCCCGAATGGTGCGTCGTGGTGGAGCACAGTGAAATCTTGCAGTGGACGCCCCGCTTGAAGTGGACATCCCGCTTGCGCGGCGGGCACGCCCCATCACCCTAGTAGCGGCGGGCTCGCTTCGCGATTGCCCTCCATGCCGCCACTAACCTCCGTCCACCCAGGTTTTGCTGCTTGGCAAGGTACAGCGCCATTCGATCCGCGGGAAACTGGTATATCGTCATTGATGATGATTCATCAACCTCAGTCTTCCTTGTGCAACTTGGCGAATAGCCACCAAGGTTAGAGGAAACTACGGCGGGTGGATAACGTCGCGTGACAATAGAATTGAATGAAAAGGATATTTTTTAGCTTGATACATGAACTTCCTACTTGTTTTTTTTGTTGCAGAATCGCAATACAACTTCGGCAGCAATGCTGCACATGCACATGGCCACCAAATCACTTCAATAGAGCAGCAACTCGCGCTCTTCCTTGCTGCTGTAATCACCGACGGTAGACGCGAGCACTGGAGGATCAACCAGCTCCACGGCCGCACCGAACTGCTCGTGAGAAATCAAAATGGAAAACTTCTGCACATTCGTAATGAGGTCTCCGTTGATGCCCACATAGGCGAACTTGCCCAGTAGATCGGTGTAGCCGTCTTTGTAGAACTCGGTTTTTGTGCGGCTGCCAGTCGATGATACCTTGGCATACACCTTCACGTAGCAAGAACGCACCGGCAACCCACCTCGGAGAACTTGCAGCACACCGCACTGTGTCATGATTTCCACTTTCAAGCTCGAGTTGAAGTACGGACGGATGATATCAATGGGGGGAGCAACGCTGGTCGTAGTGCGAGAAGATGAAACCTCTCGAATTCTGAGCATCATCTGCGCAGCTCGCAGCTCATTTGGAATCTGCACCACTGTCTTCTCCAAGTCATCGTCACTCGCGAATGCGTTCAGGGAAATAGACAGCTGCTGGCGAGGCTCGACTAGCAGAAGACTTGATGCGGATGCAGCAGAGTCCGAAAACGTGTTGAATGGCTCCGTGGAAAACATCAGCTCCACGTCAATGGGGTAAAGTGAGAGCTCGCATTGTCCAAGAGACTTGGACAATATCTCCACCGCGCCGTCACCGACTCTAGCTTCCAGTTTCACTTGGCTTCCGTGGTGAGTATTTATCGTTGGGTCTTCGCCGCGTGCAGTCGCCATGGTGGTGTCCACGACTTCCATATCCTCAAGTCGTCGCAAACTCTGGAGCTCGAAGGCGTCGTACTCGTCCACAAACTCTTTCATTTGCTGGAAGCGTTCTCGCCAACGTGGCTGCGGGTGTGACGCATAACTCGAAATGGCACGGCGAGCAACGGCGAACATCCGGCCTTGTTGGCCATCGTTCCTGAAAAAATCGAGGAAGGCAGCCAAATAGGCGTACTGCACTGTGCTTTTCAGTTCAGTCATTGCTGGTAGAGCCTCCAAACGAGTGAAAATCTTGATTCCATTCTCGATACGATCAAAGAGGATCATATAGTACGCCATAACAAGCAGGTGCTGCTCGTCAATTCCAGTGTGCGTCCCCAGTCTCTGGCAGAGTTCTCCAAAGTACCGACGGGCTTCAGCATTCAGTATGCGTTTCCCCGCCGTTTTGGTCGTCGTCGTACCAGCTCCCCACGATACTTGTGCATCTACCTTCCCCGTCACAGGATGCACGCGTCTCGTCAAGAAAGGTCCGAATTCGCAGTAATCAAAGCTCTCGAATAAGGATTCGAACCGTTCGTTGTGATACAGTCGCGCTTCGTCCACGAAGTACGAGTGGAAGCCACTACCGACAGACTGGCCCAATTCCTTTAAGCTGGCGAAAAACTCTTTCATCGTAATCTCGTCACGATGTAGAAGCCCGTACTTCCAGATGCCCGGCACGAAGAAAAACTTGCTTCGGAAATGATTGACGAGGCTGCGGTAAAATGCTTTATCGTGGCATCTCCAGTACAGCTTTTGGTGATCGATCTTCACCCCACGTTTCGCAGACTCCATAAAGTGCACGACTTCCTGCAGCGACCCTCGGGCGCTAACATCAGCCCACGAAGTCAAATTCACACGGGTAGCATTCCGAACGACCTTGTACGTCGTGGCATCGTTTTGGGCTCTTGCCGAGCCAATCACCAGTCCTTCAACCGATGCTCGCGCCGGATACTGCGTGAATAGCCCTTCCTCCGGAAAGTAAAACGAAAATTTGAACTCGTTTGTGTGATTTGGCGCCACATTCCCGATCTCGTTTTTCGTGTAAAACCCACTCGAACCCATCGGTAGAGCACCTTGCGGTATTTGCAGTAATAGATTGATGTTTGTGAGGTTCTCGAAGCCAATGTTGCTCAGGGTGACAACGGTCGTATACACCGTATTCACCAGAAGCTCCGTATTCGTATCCCCGTTCTCGTCTTGAATACGTTGCTTCAGAATCAGGACAGTGTTAATGGCGGGATCACATTGCGCTGGACCAATACTGCGATGATACAGAATGACATCGGTCGCAGGGGAAAGTGCGACGTGGGTGCCAGTAGATGATGACATCTGCACTAGGGTTGGCTTTGGTTCGAAATCGAGGTCCAACACACCTAGTGCAAATAGCCCCTCCGTGATGGATCCCAGAGCCTCAGGAAAATACGATGACACAAAGCGAGTACGTCCCCCATTCCCGGTTTGAGGACGCAGTATGTGCTCAGCGTACTGCTTCCAGAACATGTTTAAGCCTGTCAATGCGGGGCGTTGTCCGGTGAAGTAGCGTTTTTCTTCTACCTTGCGAACCTTTCCGGGTGGAATGTATGGGACCTCTTTCTTCCTTTTCTTGGTCTTCTTCTCCGTTTTGCTTTCTGATCCATCTTCGTCGTCGTCTTCCCCATCGTCAGCGTCATTTTCACTTTCGCCACTTTCACTATCCAGACTTCTAACTCCAAAGTCATCGTCGGGCTCTTCCTGCCAAAACTCGACCGTTTCTGAAACCTCTGTGGTTTCTGTCACTTGTTGCACTGCTCCAAATGGAACAGCAGCTCCGCAGGCAGCAGACGCCCCAAAGCCAAACCCCCCTGGAGCTGAGTGCATGGGTGCTGCTGCAGCAAGATCGTAGTGGTAGGCTGGAGAAGTTGGGGAGTACGCAGGAGAAGAGGACATATAAGAACTCCGGAGCATTCTTGGTGCGCTTGAAGCATCCGGTGGACCACCGAATCCACCTCGCGCCCCTATTGGAGCTGCTTCGAGTGGGGCTGGAGACGGCTCTACTTGACCTTGAGACAACACCGTGTTGAACATATCAGTAAGTACCGTTGAGCAGCCAGAAGGGTACGAGGACTCAATTTCGCTGATTACAGCTCGGCAGATGCGAGCCTTTTCTTCCGTATCCGTGACTCTTTCTGCCACCAACAGTTTCTCGATACAACTCAAGCGCTGGAATGCAGCGGGGCCGAGATAGAATTGCCGTAAGCTGACCTCGTCACCAAGGACGTAGTAGTCTACTAACGACTTGCAGATCTTCGCTGCCACTAATGGTTCGGCTGTTTGCTTGAAGAAAGCTGGATCTTTCCGGAAGAGGTAGAAATGGAGATCATCACAGGCGTTCGTGTAGTAGAAATTGTGCTTCTCTCCCGGACTAAGACTCCACCACCCCTTCAGTTTCCCAGTTAGCTCAGCAACGTCACTGCCACTAGTGAGTGTTGGCCACAGATCCATCGCACTCTTCAGACTTTCGTAAAGGGCGTATTTACTCGAAAATGAACGCGGTAGAGATTTCACTTCTCCAGGACGAATACACTCGTGACTGTCAAATTGGTGGAAGTGCTCAGTTGGTGCAAGAGCCTCTTCGAGCGACAGACGAATATCACGTTTGGGTATCGCGAAGGTACTTTTCGCAGCTGGAAGAGTCATCGACAATTCCTGTGTACAAACGTATCCGCTTTCGCAGTCAAACGCGATTGTGCAGATCTCAAACGACCCTTTTTGGTCCGAAAAGAAGGAAAGACCACTCAAGTCAATTCGAACGAGACCATCCGCGCTGATTTCCGATGAGGCTACAACCAAGGACTGTTGGCCAACAAACGATATACTGGGCCCCAGCTCTGCACGTCCGGACGATCCCCGAGAAGATCCCATTTTCTTCATCTTCTTTTTCCGCAAGCTTCCTCCAGACTCAATACCGTGTGTGGCTACAGATTTAAATCCAGTCACCTTATCCCCGGCTTCAACAGTCACGACTTCCATGTCTGACTCGCCAACAACATGAGGGTTTTGGAGCAACGACGGTTTGGACAGCGATGAGGATCCAAGCAAGAGTAAGGAGTTCTGGTTCGCAGAGACCAACGCTCGTCGTTGAAGAATGTAGGCGTACTCGTCACTAATCTTGCGCATCTTGAGAAAGTCGTTTTCGAGAGGAGCAGAATGGAACGACAATCGCGGCAGAGTGACCCCGGAACTCGTAACGGGCTTCAAACCATCGGCCACAATCACCTCGCTCACTTTTTTAGAGCGCATATCCAAAAAGTGCTTCAGTGATACCAGTACATGAGTCGAGTTCCTTTGAGCGTTCCGTAGTTGAACTTCCAGCATCAGTTTATTTTCGCCTTCCGCTTTCAACTCCTGAGAGCAAATCGTTAAAGGCAGTGTTCGCGTGGCGAGAAGGACCTGGGTTGGCTGGATGATCAAGCCCAGCGGTAGAGATACTTGCGTGTTCTTCTTCTCGCACACAGTGACGGGATACTTTAGATTCAGCGGTCGGAGGTAGATCACGTACTTCCCAGCTTGTCTGATTCGAACAGCAACTGAAACAGGACAGTCCAGTTTATTTTTCACCACTTCGAACTCGGAACAATGCGTTGAATTTTGGAGTACAGCATCCACAACTTCGCACACTGTCACTAATTCATCCTGTACCCAGGCCTCCACTTTGTTCGAGAAGGCGAAAGGGATCGGAATCTCCACAGTTTCATCGACCGAGCAATTCACAATTTGCGGTCGGTATGAGCGCAGATTCGGCAACTCCCAACTGCACGACTTCGTGGAGCCATTACGAGCACCAAATTCCACCGTTAGGCGTTCGACATCTTGGAGTTCGCCCAGTTTGATCTCCCCTGCCGTGTCTGCTTGGAGTGTCGTCTTGATTAACTCACTAGAGTGCACATGCTTGATGATGAAATCTGCGGGCACGTTCGGAACTGGTTCTCCGTTATGACCCAGCACAAACACGCGAAACTCGCTTGGACCATACGGGTTTTCTGGTTGAAGTGGCCTTCGCACCAAATGACCGGTGTAGGTACCATCGAAATCGTTAACCTGTTGCACATCAAAACGTTTGGAGTCGGTCACTTGCGGCAAATCCCTAGTTTCAACCGGGTTCTCGCCACGTTCTCGTAAAACACGAGCAGTGAGCGTGACGTTGAAGCCCTCAGCATCCATGGGGATCTCAAAAGATGGTGGGCGACTTACAATCTGCTGCATGGAGCCAAATGACAGGACTTCCTTGTGTGAACTCGAGCCAGCATTGCTAGTATTGACAAGGTCAAACTCAACGACTAGCTTGACATCAACAAGCAACTCAAGCGGTTCACCTGTCGCAATGCCTGCAACGAGCAAACGTGGGCGCGCAACAAGCTGGGCGGTGGAACCGGGGAGTAATTGTTCATTGTCGATGTTCATGTCGATGTCCACGTCAAATGCTTCGGCTAAGTAAGAAAAGGATCCATGAAAACTGCCAAATGACCCGAGCCGAAACGCGACAGCAAACTTGTCAGTCGAACTTTCCTCATTCGGGTGGCGGAATGGAATGTTGATGCCACCGTTATCGTCAGGTGAGAATTCGCGACCATGCTGAGCCCGGCTGCCCCCAGACTTCATGTTGAGTACAAGTGCTCGAGCGTCACGAAGAAGGTTCCCATACTCGTCCAGTACTGTAAATTCGTGTCCTCGGGTCGTGATGCGCTCGACATGGCGGAGAAACCCCTTGCGTAAGATTGCCCTGCAAGTTATTCCTTTCTCGAAAACTTCCACCACAAATACACCACGCTGAGCATTTTTCGTAGCGAGAAACGCGATTGGGACCCGGGCTTCTTGCCATGGCGTCAAGTGACTCAGATCAATCACCTGCTCCTCAGTTGGCAGCAAGCCATCAAGACAAATGTCGCCTTTGATCTCACGGCGTAGACGCGAGTAGTACTCCATGGTCTTTATTTCGTACAAATGGGCTGTCAGCGCTTTCACGTTGCGGGTGCGCACAAAGATTCGCAGCGGATCCTCAGGCAAGAAGTAGCTCGGGTTAGACTCGCAGAAAGTCACACTTGACGTACTGGCGTGGCTCGACAGCTCTTGGCCCTTGTCCTTCAGTTTGGCTATCCATTCTGAAAACTCGCCCTTGCCAAGTTTTATCATTGTTAGCGCGTGTTGGGCAACCATGAAGTCGTCCTCAACGTTGACGCGAAGTGCATTGAATACAGCGGCACCATCGATTTCAGACGACCATAGTGTTTTCAGACTTTTTCGGATCATTGCCTCATGACTCGCCGATGACACAGTAGTGAACCCACATACACCACTGAAAGTGTGAAGACCGTACAACACTCCCAACGCAGGTCCACCTGCGATCTGCACATATTCCACCAGAGCATTTAGCAGCTCGGTTACGGCATTTGGGTTCGTCCAGCACATCACGTTCAGCAGCTCGAGCTTTCGGTAGAGTATCAGCACGCGAATCCTATTCACTGCCGTCGGAGTAAAGTCGCGTAAGAACTCCAAATACGTCGCGATGTGCTGCAACTCCTTCATGTTCAGCGTTTCGCTTCGTAGGTCAGAGCACTGTGCGCTGTCCACCTCTGCAGCAGCACGAAGTAGCTGTATTCCACGAGCCGCAAACTCGTAGTTACTGCGAAACAGGTCAGGTGCTTTTCGTGCACACTCCAGTAGTTGCTGGAACGACAACATGCGATGCGCAGCCCGGAAATTGAAAGTGTAGTCTTTGTCGGTCTCCTTCTTCCGCTCGACATCCTTGACAATAATGTCCAGATACCTAAGCAATTAAACGCATTCGTACAACATCAGATCAGCCCCAATTCATGCACAGACTTTGCCACAACGCTACGAACCCTGGGATATCCGCGAACTCGAACGGGTAGCTGTCCAGAAAGACTGTGAGCAGCCTCCAATTTGGCTCGCCCCATGCACAGATCTGCTGGAACGCCTTCTCACGACCGTAGACATCCAAGTCTCTGAGGACCCCACTGACACCCGTGCCTCCCACATCACTGAATTTCACGAGGCTCAGCTTGTTCCGGATGATCGTATCCAGGTCCAGTAACTCGGCACTAAATTACCGCAAGTGCACGCATAAGTACACTACATTCTCCCTACGATCCACTCGTCCAGCAAGTTACGTACTTCAATGTGGTTGGGTACGTTTCCTTCCTCGCCTCAGTTGTCACCCCAGCGGGCTCAGGGTCATGATGACTAACCTGCAGCGCAGTCGTGACCCGCTGCGTCACATTCTACAGAGCGAAAGATGTCAGTCTCCACTATTCCCTCCTGCATTCTAAGCTATTGTACCCACCGAAATCTCCTCCTGCGGTCTCTTGAGTCTGTACGTGAGCTCCAGCTCCAGCATGAGCCTGCGTCGCTCGATCCTCTGCGCGCGTCTCCAGCAGTTGCTGCTCGTCAGCTCCCGCTCCGCCCTCTGCAGGTCGTGTTTGCTCTCATTCAGCCTCTGCCACGCCTGCTCGAGCTTCTCCTCCTCCGCCAGCGCCTGCACCTCCAGCGTCGAGCAGAGCGCCGAGTAGAACCAGAAGTCGGGTGAGCCCGGCACGAACGACTGCTGCACGAGCGCGCGCTTGGCCGCCACGCCCTCCGCCAGCGCGAACTCCTCCTGGAAGGCCAGCTGCGCCTCGGCGCTGCCCGAGGCGCCCTCGAACGCCAACTGCCCCTCGAACTCGGCAGAGACCATCACTCTTGGACGTCTGCGCTCGAGTCGGCAAAATCGGATCTGAGCGTTCGAGAGCTGTGATTCGCTTCAAGCTGGGTACACTTTTTGAGTGGTAAATGTATCCACAGATAAAACGTGATTTATTTCTACTCAACGAACGTGATTGGCTGAAACCTGAACGTTACTTCAACTTCGAGCGTCTTGTCAAGAGTGAACTTCACTGTGAAGGTGTATGGGCCTCTTCGGGAAGAAGGGCAATAATGGCGCCCGCGTGGCGGAAGGAGGCGGCGGAGCGCTGGCAGCGGCTTCTCCATCTGCTGCTGCTGCTGCGACGCCGACAAAGGGCAAAGGTGGGGACTTGGAGCTGTTCGGAGCGGACAACGAAGAGAGCGACGACGAGGCGACCATCGACCGCTACGCCAAAGAAGGCGACGAGAGCATGGACGAGCAGGAGGCCGCGGAGGCCGAGAAGAGGAAGGTCGCGGTGCTCAACTCGAAGGTAGGGGCTGGGTAAGGGAGCGGTGTAATAATGGGTTGATGCTGAGGACGCCAACTGTCGTGTAGCTGTCGCCGGAGGAGCTGTTCAAGAAGTACGATACGGACGGATCGGGTAATATTTCAGCGTCAGAGTTTCTGGCAATGGTAAGAGTCTTCTATCAATTATCTATTAGAGGGAATGATGTTGATGTGTCTTTGCTTCTTGGTGCGTAGCTGCCAGATCTGGGGATCTCCATATCTGCTGCAAAGGCCATGCGAATTTTTCGCCGATGTGATACAGACGGCGGCGGTGAGATTGACCTTACCGAGTTCAAAATGGCCATGTTCGCGGTGGATCCTGTGTCTGGCAATCCTCTCGGATTTTCGCCGTCCACTTTGCTGGGCCCACGGGATGCCTTCGAGTTGTTTGATGAAGATGGAACGGGGCAGATTGATGAACTAGAATTTGCGGTACGGAGTTGCCTGAGTTACGGCTAGCTGTGTCAACACGAAGCGTGGCTAACATGATATTTTATCCAGGATGTGTTGGAGTATTTTGGTATGGATGTGAGCGACGAGAAACAAGAGAAGATTTTCAGGAAGTATGACAAGGACAAGAGTGGGTACATTGACTATCAGGAATTTCGCTCGATGTGGGTCCGCCTAGTCGATGTTCGGGACGAGCTTACGAAGCGAGGCGTGGAAGTCCCCAAGCACACAAGACAGTGGAAACTGCAGCAAATGCTCGAAACAATTTTGGATGAAGAAGAGGCCCGCGAAGCGGTAGCTCTGGAAGAAGCTAAGAAGTTCTTGCAGCGGCAGCGGGATAAAGAATTCCGAGAGCAGTTGGGTCGGAAGGCAATTGTTCGCGCTGAAGATGAACTAGCTGCTGCTTTAGATGCCGCAGGCCAAGTGTACATCATTGGCAGTGGCAAATATGATCAATTTGCCGGAGAACCAGTCACACGAGATGAAGATTTATTTCCAGGGTTCAAAGCTGTGAGCGAGATTTGGTCATATCGTGTTAATCCTACTAACGATAAAGCTCAGTCAAGCAAACCGATATCAAAAGCGAAAGCCAGCAAACAAAAGAAAGAAGAAACGCATGTTCGACATCCTCAGGAAAATGGAGACTCACCTACTAAGGCAAAAGCCGCATCTGCTGCCAATCGATCCGGAAGTGAACTGGGTGCGCCAGCATCCAAATACGTACGCCGGAGATTGGAGAATAAACGTTGGAAATTTCGAAGTCCACCGCGGTTGAATAAGCGCACAATTTCCCAAACCAAAACCCACATTCGAGCGATGTCTCGAGTAAGAGATGTATCGAACGAGCGCGCCGAAGGGGGCCTTCGTGTAGACTCAAACGCTCCTACAGAAACCTCCGAAGTTGAAGAGCTGACTAAAGATGAAAACAACCAAGATGAAGAAGAACTTGCCAAGCTGTTCTTCGAAAACCGGGAGTTTGTTAGGAGCTTACGGTTTCGATCTACAACGTTGATGACAAACACGGGTCCATTGTGGGGAAGAAGTGTGGTACAAGGAGCAATCAGTGACAGCGTTGCCTTTGCCGTAACGAGTTCTGGAAGTGTCTTTAGTTGGGGAGGGAGGAATAGTACTTGGGAGGCATCTGCTCGGCGACTGGCTGGATTTGATAGTGACTCGGATGATGAACTCGAAGGAATCGATGCGAAGAAGAAGTGTAGAGATTCATCTGATACGACCGTACAGTCTAAGGTTACGCCTCGATCAGCATTGCAAAAGATGTGTACACCCGCACAGGTAAGCAATTGAAAAGAGAACCATGTGTTGAATGTGGCTAACAGCTTGTGATATAGCTCGAGGGTTTGCGTGATCCAGATATTGAAGCACGTGAAGAAGAGCAGCAGGAGATTGAGGCTCGACAAAATGAAGAGAACCAGCGTTATGAAAGGTACATGTACTTCCATAATGTGATATATCGGGCCCCAGATGATAAATAACGTGCACAAAAATGTGTAGGTTGAAGCGTGTAGTCATGTACTACGACGTGTGGGAACCACCACCCAGTAATGCAACAAGACTACTGTTCATGGAGCAAGTGCTGTTGCCTAAGGTTGAATATGAGCAGCTAATCACGTCAGGTCAACTTCGAGGTCTAGAATTCGACCACATAACCAAGATGGAGTTGTCCCTAGCTCTTGGGGAATGCTTTGAGTTAGAAGTGGAGGTAAAGGGTGAGGCTGGACACGCAGCATTTAAGGAATCGGAGAAGCTGATTAAGGTGGGTTGGTGGCGCGACGCCTTTCAATGAGCACTCCTTACCCTTGGTTATTACTATCCTTCGCAGGAATATACCCAAGACAAGCGTCATGATGACAAACAACACATCCATTTGCTTCAAACAGTACGTTTTATTTAGTTCTTCGTCGAATCGGGTCATTCAGTGGTTTCTAACGCTGATATTTTGTAGGAAAAGGACAAACTGTTGCATGGGGTAGGAAGTGAGGCATTAAGTTGTCATTGAGTTAACTTGGGTTTATTGTTGCTAACGAAAGCTTTTCCTAAACGGCTCTGGAACAGTGGTCAGATGTGAAGACGTTGCGTGACGATCGACACCTGAAGCGTGAAGAGGAAGAAAAAGCGAAAATTATCGATAAAATAGGTCGAGCGGTGAGTGTTTGATTGCATTACCATTGGTACAGTGAAACTTGCTGGGATCACTGACTAGTTTCTGTTCGAATAAGTAGGATCGTGCGTATGAGTCCCGAGCTGCTCGAAGAGTGGTGCAGCTGGAAGATATGATTCCGGAGTTTACGGCTCGTGGTGAAAACGCTCGAATAGAAATGAGTGGAGTCACGACTAGGTAAGTAAAGGCTTTGTCATCTCGCGTATTATATCGCCTGAAATGTTTGATTGTGCGCAGAGGTCCACCACTCCACTCGCCCCGAGGAGTAGTGGTAAGTCAATGAACTATCGTGAAAAATGTACTTCAAAAAATAACCGAGCTGACAGTTGTATCCTACCTATAGGCCGTTGCGAACGTGTCGGCGGGGGGTTCACACGTCGCGCTGCTAATGCTAGATGGGTATGAACACTAACACAGCTTTGACAGGTGGTCAGACGCTAACCCGAGGAGTTCCTTCCAGGTCGCTCTACACTTGTGGAATCGGTGCGAGTGGACGTCTAGGTCTTCAACCAAATGCACGAGGAGCTACTTGTTTCGACACAAACCATCCGCAACGAGTCGAAGCCTTTAATGTACATTTCCGGTCGAACTTAGAAGTATGGTCTATCATTCCACTGCTAACTGTTTTCCGTATATGATGTTGTGAAGGATTTGAGTCTCCGCCAGGTTTCGTGTTCGTATTCGCATAGTGCAGCGATCGACTCGGATGGCGCATTATACACTTGGGGGTCAGCATGCAACGGGAAATTGGGTGTAGGTATTGTCGAAGATGAGTACAAGCAGTATTCGTTGACGCCGCTGCTAGTCAAATTCCCCGGGAAACGGAAGATCCGGTCTGTATCGTGTGGGGCTTCACACAGTGGAGCGGTCTCAACAGCGGGGGAGTTATTCATGTGGGGTTCAGCAAATGGAGGTCGCCTTGGACTTGGACCCCATGTCATCGATACCATTGTTGTCCCAACGTTGGTGAGAGACCTCGTTAACAGAAAGGTGCGAGTATGGCAAGTTTCGTGTGGAACGGCCCACTCGGCTATTTGCACAGAGGTCACGTCGGAGTTCAACGGGGGCAGTAAGATGCTGCTTGGAGGTCAAGTATATGTGTGCGGAGGCGCAACCGCACTCAGTCGATACATCCTGTCGTGGGAACGCATACCCGAACTGGATGGAGTTGGAATTCGCCAAGTGGCTTGCGGGGGCAGCCACATGGCTGCTGTTTCCTCGTACGGCGAGCTATATACCTGGGGTCGCAATAACCATGGTTGCACAGGCCACGATGCAAGCGTAAGTATCACAGTCTACCTATGTCCTTACAGCATAATTCTAACCGCTGTGCTTTACAGCGAGCTTTCGTGGACAAACCTGAGCTGCTCAAGTGTCTGCATGTAGAGCCCTACAACCTCGCGTTTGGTAGACCATGTCGTCAGATGACCATCTACAATGAACAAGGGCCGCACCTAGCTGTGAATGGAGACATTGGAGGCACTCTAGCGACTTGTATTCACACTCACGTACTTACGGCGGTTTTGAGTTTGAGATCTATTGAAGCGAAGCTAAGACCTGTCTTATTTTGTAGCTGGAAGATAAACCATGGTGGGAAGTAGACCTCGGGCAACCAGCGGTTATCGAGAAAATTCGGGTAGGTGGTAAGGCATGAAGTTGGAGTTGTGTGAGTACTAGTCAGGCTTACTTCGTTCATCAAAAGCTGTGGAATCGAACGGATGAACCGCTGAATCCGTCAAAAAGCCGAGCCGAGTACAGCAGTCGATTATTCCCGTGCTGGATCTTCGTCAGCGAGTTCCCGTTCAAAGACCTGGAGGGCAAGGAAGGGTGCGTTTGCACGTTAGTTTGGCTCTTGTAAGCTGCGTTTACTACTTTTTTCTTACTAGCGGTGCTTGCAAATTATGGGCGGTTAGTCTGCGAGCGGCAAAAGTGCAATCGAGCGCGTTCGAGTTGTTCCGAACTAATAAGCGCATGACGGAGTGGGTTCTCCCTACAGCTAACACGGTTGGACAGTTCGTCCGGGTGCAGCTACAAAACAAAAATTTCCTCCATTTTGCAGAAGTTGAGGTGTTCGGCGTTTACTCGGCGTTCAACTACGTCGGACGTGTTGGCATGGTGCAGTGCAGCGCCGATGCTACACTGGTGGTGATGCCTCCCACCTCGACTCAAAGGTGTGTTCAGCTAGTCCATACACGATCCAGGCAAAACCTCTCATGCTTTTCTGGCTGGTGTAGTGTGCTGGACGACTACTATCTCCGTGCCATCCAGGCCGACGCCGACCATGCCACCATCCTCCGCCAATACGACGCGTACGAGCGGTCCTTTCGCAAATTTGGCCGCGGCACTGCCGAAATCCTGGACGGCCCGTGCCGACTCTGTCGCGTCTTTCGTGACTGCGAGGTTTGCGAGTTCTACGCGTCTGCCAAGTACAACCGCCGGTCGTTTGGAGGCGCTGGTCTGAAGCCGCTCCCTGTCCGGCTCGTGGGCGACCGCATGGGCCTCGCGGTGCGTTCTTACAGCAGCAGCACGTGTCTTATCATATCACTGACTATCTTCTTTCCGATACCCATGCAGGAACTTGTCCGAGTGGCGCTGGCGGAAGGCACCCTCGAAGCAGAGCAGCAGGAGCGTGCACGTCAGGAGCACGAGGCGGCCGAACGCTCCCGAATCGCTCAAGAGGCCGCCGAGCTCGAGGCCGAGCGTCAACGCGCAGAGGAGCAGGAGCGCAACAAGCGGCCCAGTCGGCTGCTCAAGCCGTTCCAAGGTCTCCCCTTCCGGAGCAAGAAGATGTAGCCATCTAGCCCCAAATTGAAGTTGCCTTTATGTTATCCACACAACATATATGCACGAAACCGATACGTTACCTTACCCCTATCGAAAAAGGCGGGAAAAGCTCACCGAGTCGTCATCGTTGAATTTTCCTAGAGTGAGAGCCAATGCTGCTCAACGCGGCGCTGCGCAACAAGGCGCGCGCAGGCGGCGGCAGCTCGTCGCAGGCCTCGAGCGGCGGCAAGAAGCAGCGCTCGATCCACGACTTCTTCTCGCAGTCGTCGGCCGGCAGCCGGCGCGGCAGCAGTGGCGGCGGCAAGCAGGTGCGCAAGGCGCGGCGGTCGCTGGAGGCGTCGGCCAAGGGCAGCAGCTTCAGCGCCGCCGCGGCCGAGGACATGGACGTGGAGGACGAACCCGTGCCTGCCGTGCAGAAGCGCATCGACTACGACGTGATGGACGACGAGAGCAGCGAGGAGCCCATGCTGCTGGCCTCGCAGGGCAGCGAGCGCGGGCTGCGGCCCAAGCCCAAGAAGATCGACTTCACGGCCTGCTCCAGCCAGCGCAGCGAGCCCGACTGGGAGCCTGCCAACACGCACACGCCCGTGCGCTTCGGCCTGCCGCCCACGAGCCAGGGCAGCTACACGCCGGGCATGGCCACGCCCATGCAACAGCAGTGCAGCCAGGACGACATGGACTTCCTCACGCCCCGAGACCAGCCCGTGATCCCGCTGTCCAACCCGACGACGCCCTCGCCGCTCAAGAAGAGGCCGAGACTCAGCAGCGGAGCCGACGTGGTACAGGAGGAGCAGGTGCAGAACCTCACGCAGGACATGACGCACATGGACGTGAGGCACGCGCGGAGAGGCCCGCCGTCCTTTTCCAGTCAGTCGTCCATGGGCTCGAGCTCCCCGCAGACGGCAAGGAAGGTGAACGTGGTGGTGACTGCCAAGAGAGCAAGACCCAATGGGTGAGTGGGTGGTTGTTGACGAGGAGGAGGAGGTGTTGTGCAGTTTACTGATATATTTTGTCATGTTGTTGCTGCTGTCGATTGTGCAGAGAGCAAGCCACGTCGTTTCTGTCGGAGGAGAGCTACGTGAACCCGTTTGCGCCGGAGCCGACGTCGGAATCGGGCAAGAAGAAGATTTCTCGACGCAAGCGACGGTCGTTCCCCGCTGCGTGGATTGGTGCCAAGAACGGATCGCCCGTTTCCAAGTATCTGTCGGATTTCTCAGAGCTTGGGGTGCGTGCACTTGCTGTGGATTGTCGTGTGTGTGGTTGTTGTGGGCGTGCGGCTGATTGCATTGTGTGTTTGTGTAGTTGATCGGCTCGGGGTCGTTTTCCAAGGTGTACAAGTGTGTCAAGAAGATCGATGGCTGGGTGTACGCGGTGAAGAAAAGCAAGCGACACTTCCGCGGCAAAGCGGACACGTACGTTACATTTGACGTTTACCGCACTGGACACTCTACGTTTTTTGCGTTCGACAAATGGACTCATCTTCTTGTCGTTTTGGATATTGATAGCGAGCGAGCCCTACGCGAAGTGCAAGCACTGGCAGCGCTGAGTGGTAGTAATCACATCGTCCGGTATTTTGACGCCTGGATAGAAGACGATCTGCTCTACATTCAGCTCGAAAACTTAGAGGGCTGCTCGTTGGCTGGGTTCGTCAACAAATACGCGCCGCGCAAGGTCCCGGAAGAGACGTTGTGTAAACTTCTTTGCCATCTTGCTCAGGTAAGCGCTTGGTGCTCAGTTGTATCTGCTGCATGAGCTCGAAGCTGACCGATGCACCATGTACTCGTACAGGCCCTTTATGATATGCATAGCAAGAAGATCGTTCACATGGACGTCAAACTTCAAAATGTTTTGGTCGGACCGGGGGAAGTTTACAAGGTACGATAGAAGCACCCTGCGGTGATTATGCTTGCTCGACATCGCCCTAACTGTACTTGGCTCCACGCAGCTCGGTGATTTGGGAACTGTTGCTCACCTTGATGGCAGTATGGAAATTACGGAGGGTGACAATCGATATCTTAGTCGGTGCGTGATGCATGAGCATGCTGGTGTTGTCCAGAGCCACGCGTCTAATCTGAAGTGTGAATTGTAGGGAACTGCTCGAGGGCAACCGGAATAATCTGCGCGCCGGTGACATCTTCGCCCTGGGAGCCACGATTTATGAGCTTGCGCTCGGAACGACGCTGGCGAGTGGCGGCGAGGAGTGGCAGAAGATCCGCGACGGAGACCTCGTCATGTTCCGGTAGGCCTGAACTGCTACCTACTTCCCGCCTTTTACGTCCCGGATGCTAACGTGCATGTTCTCCTGACAGACAATACTCCAACTCGCTGCAGCACCTGATCGCCAGCATGATGCACCCGGACGCGCTGCAGCGGCCTCTCGCCGAGGACATCCTGCAGCATGAGGTGGTGCTGCCCTTCCGTTGAGTGTCGTCGTCCAAGTCGCCAAAGTCTCTGCATGTCGGTCGGTATCTTGCTACCCGGCCCAACCAACAAAATAAACTGCACCCTACGAACGGCGTTGAGCAACGCCATGTTGAACACGTGTATTCCTTTGATGCAGCACCACCTGAATGGAGGGAGGGCAGGCGTACCGCCCATGACATCATACCGCGCGTCACCATCGTGCTTGCGTTTTTTTTACCTTGGCCTAACTATGGGATCCTCTGAGTCACACTGCAACCTGTTCTGTCGTTTCGCAGCCATTCGTGGCCCGTCATCCGCTCGAGCTCATTCCAGCAAGTGCCCCCCAGCAGCCAACCGCAGCCATGGCGTCCAAGCAGGAGCAGCCGTACCAGTTCCCGACGCTGACGGAGATCAAGCGCTCGCTGCCCAGCGAGTGTTTCGAGGCGTCCGTGCCGCTCTCGCTCTACTACACGGTGCGCTGCCTGGTGATCGCCGTGTCGCTGGCCTTCGGGCTCCACCACGCGCGCTCGCTGCCCGTGGTCGAGGGCCTCTGGGCGCTGGACGCCGCGCTCTGCACGGGCTACGTGCTGCTGCAGGGCATCGTGTTCTGGGGCTTCTTCACCGTGGGCCATGACGCCGGCCACGGCGCCTTCTCGCGCTACCACCTGCTCAACTTCGTGATCGGCACCTTCATCCACTCGCTCATCCTGACGCCCTTCGAGTCGTGGAAGCTCACGCACCGCCACCACCACAAGAACACGGGCAACATCGACCGCGACGAGATCTTCTACCCGCAGCGCAAGGCCGACGACCACCCGCTCTCGCGTAACCTCATCCTGGCGCTGGGCGCCGCGTGGTTCGCCTACCTGGTCGAGGGCTTCCCGCCGCGCAAGGTCAACCACTTCAACCCGTTCGAGCCGCTGTTCGTCCGCCAGGTGTCCGCCGTGGTCATCTCGCTGGCCGCGCACTTCGGCGTGGCCGCGCTGTCCATCTACCTGAGCCTGCAGTTCGGCTTCAAGACCATGGCTATCTACTACTACGGGCCCGTGTTCGTGTTCGGCAGCATGCTGGTCATCACCACCTTCCTGCACCACAACGACGAGGAGACCCCCTGGTACGCCGACTCGGAGTGGACCTACGTCAAGGGCAACCTCTCGTCGGTCGACCGCTCCTACGGCGCGCTCATCGACAACCTGAGCCACAACATCGGCACGCACCAGATCCACCACCTCTTCCCCATCATCCCGCACTATAAGCTCAAGCGCGCCACCGAGGCCTTCCACCAGGCGTTCCCCGAGCTCGTGCGCAAGAGCGACGAGCCCATCATTAAGGCCTTCTTCCGCGTCGGCCGCCTCTACGCCAACTACGGCGTCGTGGACTCGGACGCCAAGCTCTTCACGCTCAAGGAGGCCAAGGCCGTGTCCGAGGCGGCGACCAAGACTAAGGCCAACTGAGTCGGGACTTCGTAGGTTTCATGGCGACAGACCCGAGAGAGTAATACAAGAGAGAGTTTTTTTTTTCGACGCACGAGCGGGCAATAGTACTAGTGCACGCCACGCCATTCACTGACGCGCGCAGTTTCGCCCTGGCACGCATGCGTCTCGTGCTCGTCTTGGCACGAATGGATGGATGGATACTTTCGTGGATATGATAACTGACCGGTAGCATCCACACAGCTGGTGCCTAAAGTGTCAGGAACTTGTGTAACTTACTTGCCCAGCGTGGCATCAACGCTCAGCTCGGCTCGGATGGAGAGGAAGTGCTGGAAATTGCAGTCGTGGCGGCGAGGTGGCCAGCTGATCTACACACCTAAGATGGCAAGATGGTATGGTTAGGCGATGGAAGAAGAAAAAAGTAAAATAATGCTATACAGCGCTTTGCTGTCAGTCCGGGGTGCAGTTTACTAAGACGGCGTTGCGCGCCGCCGCACGTGTATATGGATCGAGACCGATTCTGAAGAGCAGAGAGCTACTATTCACATGCTACCACCTCTCTCCGCCTCGCCAACGCTCACAGCTCCATGCTTCTATGCACGACGACACCAAAACACACACAACGCCATTCCTTCTCCGCTTGCTCTCCTTCCTTGCCTTGCCTTGCTTGCACCGCGCCCCATGTACTTGTTTGTTCTCCACCAGGTTCACGCACTCAAACGCTTGCCCCATGATCAAAAAGTTTTGTTTGCACAGTAGTCAGTCACCCTGTATTCCCTTCGGCCATAACTTAGAGCAGCAGCACGTTCTCCTTGGGAGTCATGCCGCTGCCGCCGCCCTCGCCGCCGTTGTAGCCCTCCATGGCAGCGCCCTCGGGCGTCGTGAGCTCGCCCTCGGCCTCCTTGCCCTTTTGCAGCAGCCGAGCGCCGGCTGCGATAGCTACGACCGCTAAGCAGCCGACGACGATGCAGATGATGGCGGTGAGACTGATGCCGCTATCCGAGCCGTTGCTGACGGTGCTCGAGCTGTCGCTGAGGATGGAGCCGGGGTTGAACGACTGCTGGTTGGCCGAGCTGCTGCCGGGCGACACAATGCTGCCCGCCGTCGAGTCGGACGACGACCACGAGTTGGACGCGGACGACGAGCTGTCCGAGCTGTTGGAGTTCGAGTTCGAAGCCGAGTGCGAGGCCGAGTCCGACGAGACGGTCGAGTTGCTACTGTCGGTCAACGCGTCCGAGCCCCCTGCAATGACAGAGCCCGGGTTAAATTCCCCTGAGTTGGTGCTAGCGAAAGCGTTGGACGCCGAATTACCGTCCGAGTTGGCGTTCGCGTTCGAGCTCGAGCCGGAGCTCGCGTTGCTGTTGCTGCCGTTCGCATTGGACGAGCTGCTGGTGCTCTTGGAGCCGTTGCTGCTCCCCGTCGTGCTGCTAGTGCTGCTGCTAGTGCTACTAGCGGTGCTCTTGGAGCTGGCGGTGCTGCTCGTCGTGCTGCTAGTGGTGGACGGCGCCGTGGTACTGGTCGTCGTCGTGGTCGTCGTCGCGTCCGGGAGCGTGACCGACTTGCCGTCCTTGGTCAGCGTGCCGTCCGCGTTCACGTAGATGAGGTCCGTGCGCCCCGCCGCCGCGCAGCCCATGATGGGCGTCTGCGGCAGCAGCGCGCAGCTCGAGCCCGACGGGCACGCGCCCACGCCCTGGGACAGCCCCGACGCGTAGTACGTGCCGGAGCACGGCGCCGCCGACACGCACTGCACGCCCGGCACGTCCAATACACTCACGGTGTAGGCGCAGTCTACAGATTTAAGTAAAAAACATTAACAAAAGAAGATCGTTAGAAGAAAAGGAAGAAGTTTTCCACGTTGCCAAAAGGGGCGAACCCTTACCTTGAGCGACGGCGCCCCCCTGAAGGAGCAGCAGCGCGCTGGCTGCCGCGACTCTCGGCCACATTTTGAGATACGTGTTGCCTCTGCCTCTGCGCTGCGCTGAGCTGCGATGCCTGTGTTGCCTGCCTGCCTGCGGTGGTCGACCTCTGTCCGCCCGGTTAGGTGGTGCTAAAGCGGGCAGTGATTGATGCCTCGCCGCCGATGCAAATACCGAGGAAGCAAAAGACTGTTTCCTGCCGGTTAGCCGTTCTCCAAGACTAGTTTGGGAATGCGGGCGAGGCGCTACACACACCAGCAGGTGGAAGGAGCCGGTCTGAAAATCGTAGCGTTGCCGCCACTTTTCCTGCGCGCCCATTGGTCCGTTCCACCTAGTGTAAAGGTATCATCAACTTGTTCTCTACCGCTGCCTGCAACATTTAGTACAGACTCCAGCCACAACTTCGATACGAGCACCACGTTTCAGGTCCTACAGGGAATCTATTTTATGGGAGCAACAAGTAAATGCATCTCTTATGATAAGCATACATACGTCGAGTCTATTTTGAGATGGATACTCTCATCCTGCTCAAAGCGATATACAATAGTTACTGGGTTGGAGAGGATACCAAGTATCTGTGGCTACAAATTTGAGGGGCGGTATCTGTAATGACCGTAATGGCGGACTTTTGTGCGGGTCGCACTCGGCGGAGGCGGCAGGACGATCGCGGTAAGCCCTGCGCCTGCGGCTCCGTATGGGGTTGCCGCCGCGTCGTCGCTGTGCCGTTGCAATTGCAACTTGGCATGCCAGCGATGCCTGACTCGCGTCCGGGGCGAGGCTTTCCCACTTGGCCGATAGCCCACTTGGCACTTGCTTCTCCCCGCTTCCGCGATGGTATGGCAAATGGCGCTGTTTACCATCGCTTCTTCGCGGTGAGCTGGCACGGCAGGCCGTCCTGCTGTGGCAGTGACCGCCATGCCACGTGGTGCTCGGGCGCGCGCTGAACCATGAGTGGGTGCGATGAGTCGTGCGGAAGGGCAGCCCTCTCTAACCAGCCCATGGCGGGTTGCTTGACACCCAGATGCTCATGGGTTTCAACTACCGGTAACCAAACCAAAGCGCGGCGAAGATTTTGAGGTGGGGAGCGCGCCGTGCCTCTGCGACTGTGAACGTCATAGTGCAGCTGATACTTTCCTCCTCCTCGTCGCCGGCAGTGCAACTCGGAAGCGTTGCCAAACTAATAGCAGTATTCCGCAGTTTCAGTATTTTTTCGGGGTTACGAATTGCCGAGGCCATGGACTACATGTAGGTAGTATCGGATATGCAATTGCAGAGCGAGTGTTAAGGTTGCTGGGGGTGCCGATTCTTGCTGCTTGGGTCGGAGCGTGGCAACTTCAGTTAGTCGAAAAAGCGAGCCAGCAGCCGACGTGACGTGCATCTTCAACGCTTGGCTGAGCTCGCAGGCACGCCGCGTGAGGCGAGACCGGCTGTAGCTGGCGCTTGGAATCCAAGTTGGATGCCGTGTCGCTTTGAACATGTGTGTGATAAACGTATGCAGGCCGCGTGCCATCTTGGCCGCTGTCCATATGAACGTCCGTCATTGCGTTGATAAGATAAAGCGGCGCACTTCAACGTGATCAACATCGTTTCCCAGCCAAGCCCTCGTTAAAGTCCAACGAGCTATAATAACGCGAGCACACCTCGAGGCAGACCCCCACCCGATGCGCAGTGATCCAAAACTCTTTGACTAAGCGCAGAGTAGCACCGCTATATTCATCCTTACGACGAGGAACTGGTGTCTTAGATACCAAGCTCCCTTGTCGATGCGATGGTGCGATCCGAACTTGGCGGCTATTCATGCTCTATGATGGTAGAGTCTCTATCCCGTGGCCGACCATGCAACAGCAACAGAGTACATGTATTCTTTCAAAATTTAGCAAGCAGCAACGTGGTGCGTGCAGCAAACGCGCAACACGATCTGGGGGTATCCTACTGCAGTGCTGAAGCGAGCAGAAGATCAGGAATGCAAAGAATGAATGGAAAGGTATCATCGTTTCGGGTATTCGGGCAAGCTCTGTTGGTGTCTAGCCTGAGCGAAGGAGCTTTTCTTCTCTCCTGCAGTCCAGCGGTGGGCTACATGTAGTCGGATTTCCCCTGCTTGTTGAGCTGGTTGGCGCTGTAGTGGCGACTGGGTCTGGGGTGGGGTGACGACGGGCGTAAACGCGCTTGGGCAATTTCGGAGCACCCCTCAACGTCGGCTTTGGCGTGTTTACTGAGTGAGTAGAGCGGGTAGGACGTCGGGCATTGAAAGCGGTGGGGCGAGTAGTCGTTGTCGGGGGAGTGTTTGTTGCTGGAGCCGACGTCGTCGATAGCGGCGTGGTCGTAGCCGGTGGCGCAGCTGACGAAGGTGGGGCCGTCGTGGCAGGCGGCCTGGTCGTTACCGGTGGTACAGTCGTTGATGATGGTGGCAAGGTCGTGGCAGGCGGTCTGGTCGTTACCGGTGGCGAAGTCGTAGCTGGCGGAGCAGTCGTCGGAGGGGGAGCAGTGGTTGCCGGTGGCACAGTCGTACTCGGAGGACTAGTCGCTGCCGGAGGCGAAGTCGTCGAAGGGGGAGCAGTTGTGGCAGGCGGTCTAGTCGTAGCCGGTGGCGAAGTCGTTGCAGGCGGAGACGTGGTTGCCGGCGGTGAAGTCGTACTCGGTGGGCTGGTCGTCGCCGGAGGCGAAGTTGTCGAAGGCGGGACTGTCGTTGCCGGCGGACTAGTGGTTGTTGGTGGACGAGTCGTCGCTGGTGGGGCCGTCGTGACAATTGCGGGAGATGTTGTTGCTGGCGATGTTGTCGTAACAGGAGGGCTCGTTGTGCTGGGGGCGCTTGTCGACGGGGCACTTGTCGAGCCGCACGGCACATTAGCCCACAAACTCGGTTCGGAAGTCTTAGATGCATCTCCCGGGTTCGAAACGCCGGTGCTCCAAAGCACTACAGGGTTCGTGGTCTTGACCCACTGGCAGCAAGGGTCTCCAAGCTCCTGGCCATTTGTTTGGCCGTCTCCGTCAGAATCCGCCATGCAGAGCGTCTTGGTCCAAGTGTAGTCGGCCTCAGCAAAGGCGTCGCCAAATGCGTTCGTAGCTCCGTCCTCTCCTGTGCCGTCGGTGTGCCCGATCGCCGATGCACCCGGTACTTTGGAGCCGTTTGGTAGCTTCGACACGTAGCTTCGCGACGCCTCTGCGTTCGAAGCGAAGTGCCCGGCCAACCCAATCGCGATGACAAGATGAGGGGTACTGGTGATAAACAGCTTCATCGTACCGTTCGCGTTACGTGTTGGAGGCGAAGTTCGAGTAGCAAGTTTCAGGTGGAATGGCCAACGCGTATTGAAAAGTGAGACTACCCGCCACCACCACCGTCACTTCAACACCGTAAATCACAATCATCGAGAGGATTTGGGTGGTCCAGCCCTAAATACTGGTTGTATCATCAACGGAGGAACGTAAAGATCCCTACGTTCCAGACTGGCTGGGTTGTGAACTGGTGCTACGAGCTTATATGGCAGGCGCCGTATCTCGCTTGCAGTGCACTTCCAAGCATATCATTACTTTAGGCTGCAAGTATGTCTCTTACCGTACCAACGAACACGTGCCTCCCCGCAATCCGCTTGCAGAGCGTGTGCTCCGACGAATATGTATGTCATCGGCAAACGTCCTGATCAGCGAGGTACTGGATCTCAAATACACACAACTGCTGATTTATGCTGCCCTTGCCGGCACTTTCGCACAGAAGGGTTCACTACTAGCGCGGCCTTCTGTGCTTAGCGGATCGCCTTACGAATACGGAGGAATCACGCTGATGAAATGGTTACCATATCCATAGATAGGCAAAACATTTATACAAATTCGAGAGAATCTAACAGTATTTATTGACCCCCCCCCCCCCCCGAGGATGCACCGTGGCCCGTGATCATCTACATCGTTGCATCCAACCTGCTGTAGGATGATGGATACGAAGGGAGACAAGGAAAACGAGAAATGGAATGCATTGTGGTAGCGTGCAGGGAAGGATCGGCACCCCCTTGCTTTACAACCTAAACGTCCTAAACATGCATGAAAGCAAGCTTTGGACTCCGTGCTCCAAGTAGAGTTGAGCTCTACTCGTACCGGTTGTTGGGTTAGTAGTGACCGGTAGATTTGGACTTGTAGTAGCGGCTGCACTGGTAGTAGCGGGTGGCGATGACGACGCGTCGCCTTGCTCGAGTTCGGGACACCCCTCATTTTCGGCTTAGAAGGGCTTGACGAGCGAGAAGGGGTGCTCGTGGATGGAATGCGAGTAGTCCTCGGCGGGGACGTCGAAATTGGTTTACGACTCGGAGCTGTCGTAGCTGGTTTGAGAGTGGTACTTGGAGGGGCCGTCGTAGATGGTTTACGCGTAGCGCTTGGCGGAGCTGTCGTAGATGGTTTGCGAGTAGTGCTCGGCGGAGATGGTTTGCGAGTAGTGCTCGGGGGAGCGGTCGTAAATGGTTTGCGAGTGGTGCTCGGTGGCGCCGTAGTTGACGGGACACGAGTCGGCAAAGTCGTAGAGGGGGGAGCTGCCGTCGTCGGCGGACGAGTGGTGGTCGGCGGTGACGTTGTGCGAGGAGGACGAGTAGTCGAAGGAGGACTGGTTGTCGTCGGTGGGCTAGTCGTACTCGGAGGAGTAGTCGTTGCTGGTGGCGCAGTCGTCGATGGTGGCGAGATCGTGGCAGGTGGTCCCGTCGTTCTCGGAGGTGAAGTCGTCGAAGAAGGAGCCGTCGTGGCAGGCGGCCTGGTCGTTGACGGTGGCGAAGTCGTAGCTGGTGGAGCCGTCGTCGAAGGCGGGGCCGTCGTTGCCGGTGGCGAAGTTGTTGCTGGCGGTGCAGTCGTCGTTCCGGTACTGCATTGGATATTCGCCCACAAACTCGGGTCGGAAATCTTGGTTGCGTCACTGGGATGCGAAACGCCAACAGTCCATCGAACGACGTTGTTCGTGGTCACGTTCCATTCACAGCATGGATCTCCGAGCTCTTGGCCATTGGTTTGGCCATCGCCGTCGCTGTCGGCCATGCAGAGTGCCTTCGTCCACGCCTTCCCTGCGCTGTAGAAAGCCTTGCCAAACACGTTTGTGGCGGACGATCTCCCCGTTCCATCGGTGTGCCCAATGGCTGGAACGCTCGGCACATTGCCTCCATTTGGGATCCGTGCGACGTAGCAACTCTTAGCTTGCGCCGATCGAGCCCCCAGCCCAATTGCAACAGCCAGTTGAAGTGCACTGGCAACGAGGCGCATCGCTGGTCGAAGTAGCTGCTGGAATTTGCGGAGGATAGGCAGGCGAAGTGGACTTGAAGTGTCGTCGAGCTGGTGGTTTGAGAAGTGAGGGTACTGTTGCCATTGCGCGAGACTTTTGCCCATGAAGAGCGACGTATGAGTCGAGCACAAGTACCTGGCACTGATGGGGGGGGGTTAAAAAGCTTATCATGGCGCAATGCAGCAACGTGAGTAACGATACATTGCTGTTCAGATCAGTTGAGCTCTGCTTTATAGTATCATTTCGTGTTTGGCCATTGTCTTGTGCTCCGCTCAATGGTAAATCAGCGAAATTGGTCTTGTTGTAGCCGAAAAAGTACAGCCGTCCTTGCTTATCTAACAACGACTCGCTCAAGATATGTTATTATCTGAAGCACCGATCCAGCACCATGAACTGCGGCTTGAGTAATATATCCGTGCTTGGCACGCGCGCGATTTAGCGATTGAAAAATGGCACGCGCCACCTCGGATGTAGCAGCAAACGCTAGCTGCCGCATTTGATTGAAGCTCGACCCCGTACGAGAATACAGCACGTTGTACTTTTCAGTCGACTAGCAGGAGCTACTGCTAGTAAAGTGTTGACAGTCATTGACGGTCAACTTGACAAGTCTACCCAACAAAGCAGAAAACAACGCTAAAATGCCATCGATATGATGTATGCTTAGTATTATTTAACTACTTCAGTAGACTGTTCGTCATCCGTTCTGCTAGTATTTCGTTAGTATCAAGGAAGTCCTCGGAAAACACGGTGCCAAAGTGCTAGCCATGGGAAAAGAGCAACCGAGCGTGGTTTTTGAAACTGGCTGCTTGTTTCTTCAAGCGTCTTGACGGATTCGCTTGGTGAGCTCGCTGCACCCGTAGCAGCCGATGCGGAGCAATTGATGTCAGTCCACATACTTGGGTCGGACGTAATTGACGCGTTGCCTGGATGAGAAACACCACTTGTCCACAGCACGACAGGGTTCGAAGTGCTGCTCCACTGGCAGCACGGGTCTCCAAGTTCTTGGCCGTTCGTCTGGTGGTAGCCGTCGCTGTCGGCCATGCAGAGCTCCTTGGACCACATGTACCCAGCCTTGGCATGGGCGTCGTCGAATGAATTGGCAACCATTAACTTCCTCTCCATGGTTTCTTCCATGCTAGCGCCATTAGGGATTATCGCCGCATAGTTTCTCTCTGCGCTGGTTCTTGAAAGTAGGCGCGCTGTCAACACTGCTGTAATGATGAATGGAAGAGCACTCGAGATTCCGCGATTCATGACTGCCACAGCAATTCCAGAAATGCGAAACCTCGCGTCGCTCTTACTGCTATTTGGCGAAGACATTGGAGCCGGGGTGCATGTTATGGTCAAGATGATTTGAGCGTGCAGTGTCGTAGCTTGCACTTACCGTAGCAGACGTGCTGGATCCTGGGGAATGTGCATCTCCATAGAGGAAGTGCACCACCCGAATAGTTTATTTTTCGCTGGCAAATGATAGAGTTCAGTCCTTTTGGATCCGGAACTCAAGGAGAATTTACCCTGGGATAGCAGATCGTTGCCGAACGCACTGCACTCACCACAACAAATATGATTATTGAGTGGCACGTGCTTAACTAGATGTGGCAAGTCGGTTCGCACCACCGGAAAGTTTCGGTGCGGATATCAACATACTAAAATCAATCAAATTACTTGTTTAATTTTACAGAAGGTACTTAAGCGAGTGAAGAAGATATATTCAATGAAACGGTTGAGCAAATTCGAATTGAATGAACACAGCTTCCTACAGCGTGCTTAGAACCTACTAGTAAGTGCATCAATTGCATCAATTCGTATTTGTAGCACACACATAAGATGTGGCTCCTATCGTCATGCTGGCACGCCAATGTAGCGTTATCGTTTCAAACAAAACGGCTTGAGAGATCAGTGAAAAGCGGAATTCGGTCTCCGCTTTGGACTTCCAACCTACAGTTAGTGCTGGCGACGCTCGGGCTTGTGGTGGCGCTTGGGCTTGTAGTGGCGCTTGGGCTTGTAGTGGTGCTTCGGCTTGGGCTTGTAGTGTTGCTTCGGTTTGTACTGATAGTACTGGTAGTACTGGTTGCTCGGCTTCGGGTTGCTGGTCGAAGGACGAGTTGTCGCTGGCGCACGGGTCGTGGCCGAAGGCTTCATCGTAGTCGGAGGACGAGTCGTAGTCGGTGGGGTCGTCATGGTAGGAGGACGCGTCGTGCTCGGCGGACTCATGGTCGTGGAAGGGCGAGTCGTGCTCGGAGAACTTGTAGTGGTAGGAGGACGGGTCGTACTCGGAGGGTTCGTCGTTGTCGGAGGACGAGTAGTCGAAGGAGGACTGGTTGTCGTCGGTGGGCTAGTCGTACTCGGAGGACTTGTCGTTGCCGGCGGCGAAGTCGTCGATGGCGGGGCCGTTGTGGCTGGCGGTGCCGTCGTTCTCGGAGGTGAAGTCGTCGAAGGGGGCACAGTCGTACTCGGAGGACTAGTTGTTGCCGGAGGCGAAGTCGTCGAAGGGGGAGCAGTTGTGGTAGGCGGCCTGGTCGTAGCCGGTGGCGAAGTCGTCGAAGGAGGAGCCGTGGTTGCCGGCGGTGAAGTCGTACTCGGTGGGCTGGTCGTCGCCGGAGGCGAAGTTGTCGAAGGCGGGGCTGTCGTGGCCGGTGGCGAAGTCGTCGAAGGAGGAGCCGTGGTTGCCGGCGGTGAAGTCGTACTCGGTGGGCTGGTCGTCGCCGGAGGCGAAGTTGTCGAAGGCGGGGCTGTCGTGGCCGGTGGCGAAGTCGTCGAAGGAGGAGCCGTGGTTGCCGGCGGTGAAGTCGTACTCGGTGGGCTGGTCGTCGCCGGAGGCGAAGTTGTCGAAGGCGGGGCTGTCGTGGCCGGTGGCGAAGTCGTCGAAGGAGGAGCCGTGGTTGCCGGCGGTGAAGTCGTACTTGGCGGACTCGTGGTGGTAGGCGGGCTTGTGGTGCTAGGAAGCATGGTCACGTTCTGGGCCATGGTCGGCGTGCCGGTCGACGTGTTGGTCGACGTGTTGCACACTACGTTGGCCCACAGCCGCGGGTCGGAAACGAGCGAGGCATTGTCGGGATGCGAGACTCCAATCGTCCACAGCACCACGGGGTTCGACGTCCTGTTCCACTGGCAGCAGGGATCGCCCAGTTCCTGGCCATTCGTTTGGCCATCACCGTCGGTGTCGTTCATGCAGAACTCCTTGGTCCACGCGTAGCCGACGTTAGCGAAGGCCTTGCCGAAGTTGTTGGTGGAGGCATTGCGGCCCGTACCATCGGGATGGCCGATAGCTCGGTAACCGGTCACGTTGGCGCCGTTCGGCATCATCGCCACGAATCGTCTCGAGGCCTCCACGTGGGAGACTAGTTCTTGGACGAAGGCGATCGAGCCGGCGAGGAGGAGGAGGCTGGGGATGATGATCTTCATTGTTGCTAGCTGGTGGCAGGCGCCGAAGGTGTCGCTTGGGGTAAAAGCGTGGGGAGGTAAGCCGAGTGGCTTGGAGGCGGTGAATTGAGGAGTGAGCTTCTGTCGGCTGGAGGTTGGTTGGTCGGGCCAAACCACCAGAACCGTGATGATTTCGCGAGGGGGTGTTATCCAACTTCCATGTTGCGCTTGGCAGCTCCGGTTTAGAGCAGTTTGTGCACCAGCTTCAAGATACTCGTCAGAACTGGTGCTTTTGGTTTCAGTGAGACGGACGGTACCTGCAATACATAAGCGTCCGATACTTCCCAAACGTCCCGTTCGGCTATTACTATAATAACTTGGCAGTTCGACTCCGGCAGGAAATGATTTGTAACTAGCTCCACTCAACGTTGCCATTCACTCTCGGCTCATTTCGACTAAAGCGGTGATTTCTGGTTTGAGCGGGGGTTTACGAGATACATGAGCTGCTGGCCACAAGCCGTGTACTTCAAGAAGTTCGTGAATCCGAACAGTAAAAAAGGCACGTGGCCAACGAAAACTGATTTACTTGTGGAGCTGGTCCACCTCAGAGGCGAATCCGCATCCGATTTGGAAGTACAGATGGTTTACTTATTGAGGAGCCTTGCACGTACGTACGTCGTGGATATTGAACGTAGGATAAAATCTTTGTTTGTTTTGGTGTACTCATCATGTGTAAATGAATAGTTCGATTACCGATTTAATGTCCATCTCGATTTGGACAGATGGTACTAGTCGTACTAGATAATGAGAATAAAACTAATCCACCACTGTGCGAAACACCACGCCGGTGCGGTGTGTGAGACGAAGTTGTACATGTCGTGTGCGAAAGTTGGATGCGTTCCTTTGGATGAACGCGCCTAAGTGCTTGGATTGCCGTAATTGTCGCAGAACACGCTCGTATTCTTTACGAATGTCGGGGCTGGAAATCCGGAGTTGTCTGCGGTAGTGGCAGCAAAATGCTGAATGAATGCTTGAAGTTGCCGTGGGCATTGGGTCCGGCTCTAGCAGATGTAGTTCCGTTCTGTCCACTGGTGGTGAAGTGTAGCGCAACGAATGTTTTGGTGTACTCGAGCGGATGTATGGTATATATAAAAATGAAGGTATCATTGTAGAATCAGCAGCGAACTTGGTTGATGCTCGTATTTTGGTACTAACGTGGTGTCAGGGGTCACGTACTCCAACGATCGCCCTTACTCATCGCGCCAGAATGCTTGTGCTTGCCACGCGCGCAGTGAGATGATTGCCGAAGGGCACACGTTCCGGGACGGCATGTTTCCAGAAGTTGCATCATTCCGACCCCGCTCGCTGACAAGTTGTTGTTATAGTTTTACACTTCGCTCTATAGTCACTGGTGCTTACCGTTTGCATGATTTCTCATCGATAATTTATAGTAGGTTAGGCTGATGTGAACACTGGAACCATTTTGAATACAAATATTGCTATCTCTGGGGTAAACGTAGGCAAGTCTTGGCCTTGCATATCAAGGTAGAACTTTATGTTTTTACAGCAAGATAGCTTGGCTGTTTTGCAATGACTTCGCATTTCTCACCGCGTTCCTAAGCTAACTGATTCTCAACCGCAACAGCAACGAAAATGCTCACAAAGGAGTTAAATTCATTATGTAGCCCAAGAACTTCCTGGATTTAGCAAAAACAAACTTGCTTTTCCAATGTTACGTGTTTTTCTATCGGCTAGCAGCGTTGGTATTTCGTTTATTGTGCTGGATCATCTGCATTGGTTGTGCATTCAAATGAAGCGCGTGCCTCGTATCAATCATCGCACCGCACGCGTGCCAAACGGAACCAATCGGGCTGATTTGGGCTACATCCGAGCCCTCCGTAGAAATGATTTCTTGCTTCATATACTGTAGTCAGTACCGGTGGTGCCCCCCCCTCCCTCCCCCAGATAATACGCATTTCAACATTTAAAAAACTATACGTATGGATCCTATTATTCGTTCACCAGTGGACGCCTACCAAAACTAGAGATATCACCCAACATAGATGCAGCAGATATGACAGGACTTATCGCCAAGTATGTCAACATATCCTAAATTCTGTCCACCACAAATATATTAACGACGAATCTCTGGTCGATACAAACGGTCTCATATTAGAAAGATATCGCCTCATCTTGTACAACATAGGACATTTCGAACGGGACAGCAGTACAGCTGAATCTATCCAGTTCGACTTGAAGTTTGGCTTGAAGGTCGCCATTTCCCTTCGAGATACCTCCTACGCAGGTGCGATCCCCCTGCGAGTTTCCTGCGAGCGCGATGCTTGAGGACGACGAAGGCATGCTGCTGCTCCTGTGCGAGGCCTTCAAGGCGTACAACGAGCGCGTGCGCGACGCTCACCGCGACGTCCACCAGCTGATACTGGAGGAGGAATGGCGCATCACCATGCGCACGCGTCATTACCTGACTACACGGTGTCTCGATGCACCGTGTGAGTCCGCATGGATGACCCTCTACATGCACGGCGCTGATGTGAATTTTCTGAACGCAACGAGTTTAACCAGGTAAAGTGTAATTATCATTTTTGACGCGGTTTCCTGCGCTAACACTATAGCCTCCATGTCTGTAGAGGGGCTTTTCATCAGTTGCTGTCTAGGTTTGCTAGCTTCTACGACCTCCCTCCTCCGTCATCACGAGGCCGCCCCCCAAAGCTGCGCTACCTACACCAGGTGCTGGGGCTCGTACTGAGCTTCTACGTGGGCTCTATGGAACAGAGCTCACTGTGCATCATGTTCGGGGTGCCGCCGAGCACTCTATCACGAACGCTGCGCAGGGCAGAGGAAGCGCTGTCGCTAGCGCTGACTGGCTACGCACCTGCACGCATCTCCTGGTCCTCGCCCTTGCGTCAGGCGGAGCTGGCACGCATGGTCAACAAGCGCGAACCGCTGCTGACCCACACGTTCGCGTTCATCGACGGTAAAAACTTACGTGTACGTGTACTGTATATGATATTGGTATTAACGGCTTTTAGGATATCTCAACTAACTGAATTCGATTGTGATGTGAGTGCACAGGTCCAGCAGCCCTCTAACGCTGACCTACAAAATGCCATGTACAAAGGCTGGCTACACTCGGCTTCGTGACCGGCACGATTTGTTTTGCCGCTGACGGCTGCATCATTTGGTCGAAGCACAACTGTCCGGGGTTGTGGAACGACTCGGACACGTCCTTGGAGTTCCGCAACAAGCTCACGGATCCCCGGTTGTGCCCCGACGAACGCATGAATGTAGTGTCGGACTCTGCATTTCCCTGCTCCACAGCCATGACAGGGAGGATCCTGACCCCCTTGAAGGACGGGGACATCTAGCGCATTGAGCCTTGCCTCCGCAGCGCCGCACACACACTGCACAATGCGATCACCTCCATTCGACAGGCTGCCGAATGGGGAATGGGCAGTGCCCAGAAAGTTTACAGTCGCCTCAATTTGCCGCTGCCCTACGACCCGGATCTACGAGGAATGCGACTCAACAACCTATTCAGGATGGCGAACTACAGAGTTCGCACGGTCGGCATGTCCGAGATCAAGACCACGTTCGCGGGCGTCATGGAGATGCCAAACCAAGACATGTTCGAATATCTATGATTGCTTTCGCGTAAAGCTGGTTCAATGGAAAGCTTCGTAGTTAATTTCATAGTTATCGTACTGCACAGCTATCGTTGAAGGCATCGACGGGGCTGCTAACAAATACAGCACGAGATTCGAGCTCGTAAATGGACTGTGTTGGTTTGTCATCACTACATAGGGCTGTATTGAGATGTTACGCTACTAAATGCACTTCCTCCCTCTTTAGATCTTTCTCGCTGTCGCCTTCACCGCGCAAGGGCACTCACAGCTCATTCCTTCTTCGTTAGCGCGCCCAGAATGAGCAACAGCTCTTGAGTGCGCGCACGAGCGTCCTCCTTGTCACGACGGGCGCGCTCCTCCGCCTCCTGCTTCTCCTGACGGCGACGCTCCACCGCCTCCTGCTTCTCAAGACGGCTACGCCCTTCGGCCTCTGCTCTGTCAGCGAGGTAGCGTGCCTCGCGGGCCGCCTGCTCATCGCGACGGCGCTGCTCTTCGTCAGCACGGCGAAGTTCCGCCTTGCGCTCGTTTTCCTCACGCATCATGAGCAGCATCTCGAACATGGTGCCCCCCATGTTGCTGGAGCTGCTCTCCAGGTCGGACAAGCGCTTCTTCAGCTCTGTCGTCGCCCTCACAGCCTTCACGCGCTTTACTTTGGCGTAGCTAGCCTCAGCCAGCTCTTCGTCCTCATCCGCAGCACGCTTGCGTCCCACGGTATCGCGGAGCTCATCCAAGTTGATACCACCAAGTCTGTTGGAGGAAGTCGCGTAGCGCTTCTGCTTCAGTGGCTTCTTGCCTTGCGAACGTCCAGCGGTGGCTGGTAGAGAAGCGCTCGCCACATTAGCACCGTCTGTGGTTGCTGTGGACGCGGCAGCGGCCGCCACCCCCATCGCACTCGGGCCTCGACCAGTCTTCTTTGTTGTAGAAGATCGCAACTTTCTCTGCATCGGCTGCGCAGCCGGCGGAGACGGCCGCGCCGTAGCAAAAGCCTCCAACCCCTCGCAAACACCGGTCGAGGGCAGCAACTCCGAGAAGTCGCCGCTGTTCATGTTGGTGTTGTCCCCGGCCGATGATTGCGTCTCGCCCGAATGCATGGAGTCGCTGGTGGAGGCTCTCTCGCTCGTGTCCGCGTCGTCGCTCGCGTGCGAGTTGTCATCGAGCCCCTCATTGCCGTCGAAGCCGAAGCACAAGTCGGCTTCATACTCCTCCTCCTCCTCCTCATTCTCGCCCTCTTCCTCAACTTCATTGTCGACATCAGCGCCATCGTCCATGTCGACCACGCTGGCCTTGGCGTCGATGGCCTGTTTAAGCAGCTTCGCCTGCTTCACGTGCGGCGGCATGTCAGCTACACCGATAGGCTTCCGTGCTCCGTAGATCACCTTGAACTTACGGCGCAGACTTTCATAGTCGCGCTCAGCGACACCACGCCCTTGGTTGGAGTTGTAAGCAACGGCAAGTCGCTCCCACTCGTCCTTGCTGAGCGGCAGGTAGTGCTCGACGAGCGCCAGGAGCCGACGCACTGCAGAGAGCTTGTAGTTAGTGCTTCCGGTCTGCTTCGGCATCTATACAGAAAACACGAACACGTAAGTTACAGTACGCAGAGAATATGGTATTCACAGGCGTGTAGCGTACCAGGAATGATGTCGGACGGGATCTCGAAGGTGCGGAGGAGGTGACGTGCTGCAGGCTTGGTAAAACCAGGAATGAAAGCCACCTTAGCTTGGTCTCCGCTCTGGCAGGTGAGGCTCAAACGAGGCCAGCCCATCTCGCCTCGAACCGGATGGTCGTGAGGACTAACCTGCAGGGTGAATTCGCGCGCAAGCTGAGCGCGCTTGCAGTTGGTAGAGCGCGTTCATTTTGGCGCCAAGGTCTCTCCGCTGACACGTCAACAGAGGTATCAAAGCACACTAGCCCCCAAGGTTGATTCAACGCAGTCAGCTTCAACGACAGGATCAGATTAACTTGAATACAGCATACAAACACCAGGCTTACCAATGATGCAAAGCTCCCACTATCTTCCTCACGTCTGCAGACTGCCCTCGAGACGCGCGTAACGCCTACGGGTCCTGTTGATCTTGGATGTCGCGATGGCGGCAATTGGGGTGGCCACAGCGACATACGAACCACAGGTCGGGCCCGTAGTCGACGGTGACCTCGTCGCCCTCGTACACGGCGTGCGTCGTGGCAATCACGACCGTCGTCCTGCGTCCATTCGCCACTTCCAGGAACTGAGCCACCGGCGCGCACGAGTGGTTGACGAAGCGCATCAAGCCACCCATGTGCCGAGCGTTGATGGCGACGCGGACTGGGTGGCTCGGCCTCTCGGGCCGTTGCGTCATGATCAGGCGGTAGCCCTCGTTGCGCGGTCGAGCCGCGTGCGAGACGATCACGTGCTCGAGCTCGCCCAGATACTCACCCAGTACCTCGTCCGCATCAATGAAATCTTGCGCCACCACGGCCAATTCGCGGGTCGCCGCGTTCCTCACCAACGCGACCTTCGTCGACTCGACCAGGCCGTTGCCACAGTTGCCGCCGTACGGGCAGCAATTAACGTTGCAGTACAGCTGCATGAGCGAGTTACGGCAGCGCCCAACGCGACACGGGTCCACACAGCCGCACCAGTCACAATGAGGAACCGCAGGAAAGATAACCCCTGTTGGGTTAAACAGTTCGCGAAGGTGCGCCACTGCACATGGCCACCGTGCAGGAACGAATCGACCTTGCTGCCGGCGTCGAACAGTACGAGGTCGGGCAGCACGTAGCCCAACAGCAGCACGGGACCCACGGGTTGCACGCATGACAGCGTTGGGCGACACCGTCGGCGATTTGGCCCCTTGACGCTGCGTAGAACGGTGTTGATACGGAGCGGCGACCGCTCGACGCTCCCTCCGAGAACTGAGACGCTCGCGAAGCGGCCGTCGAGGTGATGGGTCGGGAGTTCGTGGACGTGGGGCAGACGCAGCTTCAGGCAGGACCAGCGATGAAGACCGTGGGCGCAAAGCAGGCGGGTCTTCAAGCAGGACGGGCGACGACGTAGTCGGACTGCGTGGGTTTCTCGTGACTGGCGGGGTAGCTGGTGGGCGAGGATCTGTCGTGGACGGTGTGAACGCTGCGGCGCCAGCCGTCGAAGGCTTCGCAGGCGGAGGGTTTGAAACCTCCTTTGGCACGCGTAGGCCGCGCTGCGGTGACATCCACGGCGGCGTCGAGGTCCCAGTGGAGCTGGTACTGGCGGGCGAAGAAGACTTGGCGCTCTCCGCCGGCGCTTGGACGCCGCCGCGATGCAAGTTGGGCGGCACATTCTCGTCGTCGCTCGACGTGTCCACAATGCAGCGCGAGCTCCAGTGCACGGCGGAGTGGACGAGATGAACCATGGTTGCTGTGCACGTTAGAGAAGTTAGAATAGACTCGACTTGCTCGCTAGCCAACGTATTAAGTAGACGCTTACCTGTCTTCGTTGTTGCTGCACGCAGCGCTGCCGGGCACTTGTCACCCAGCGACGATTTTTTGAAAGTGAGAGGTTGAAGCTGGTGGCGCACGGAATGAGTTATGTCGGTGATATATGGCAGCGACATGTGCAGAGTGATGGTCTACATATTCTATACAAATTTCAGCATTATAATCTAAGATGGCTACACGAAATAAATCTAGGGGTAGGGCTGTTTATCGAGACGATTTTTACGTCTCACAAGATTTATGCCTCATTATGTCCTGTCATATCTGCTGCATCTATGTTGGGTGATTTCTCTATTTTTGGTAGGCGTCCAGTGTATTTCGCTAAACTACATCTATACTACTATGTACTACTAGTACATGTACGTTTTAAAATTCTGCCCATGCATCAGAAATTAACTCGTAGTGCAAATGGAACACATACTGCCTTATCACAACTATACACCATTCTACACCATTTCCGGGTCGTTCTGCAAAAATGCTCGATTCAAAACGATCACGTAGAAAAAAGGGCAGTATACACGTCCGACTCCGACCAGAACAGTACACGGATTCAAAACAATCACTTTCATTTTCTAAATGAACATGTGCCATTTTTCTGGTACGTTGTGGGAAAGACTGATCAGCAATTGACACTGCGTCGTATTTATGTTCTCAAATCAATACTGAGATCAGCCAGAATTTTCTCGAAAAGGACAATTGTTGATCTGCTTCCCTCTGTGATATCATAGAAAGGGCAGCTGATCGTTTTGAAAATGGCTGTGGTCATTTTGAATCGAGAATTTGATCAGAAGTCGGCCAAGTATACGCCATAAGTATACGCACCCTTTTTCTACGTGATCGTTTTGAATCGAGCATTTGTGCAGAACGACCCGGAACATGTATGATATGTGATTCCAAAGTTACAGATTACCTTAATTATAGTCAGCGACTTCGACATTACTCACGCCACCCGCATAGCATGGTATCTTTTCAGTTAAGTGATCAACTAGTCGTATTTGCACACCACTTCAGATGCACCACCCAAATTGCAGTGTATTCAAATACCCACACGACCGATCACCGCCCGCATCGAACTTTGAGCCCGCCGGTGCCGCCCCAACTCTCACTTCTCAAAACACCACCACCAAGCAACACCAGCTTACCCACCCCACGCTTCCTCCGACAAGCGACCGACTGACTGCACGCCTGCACCGCCAGAACCCATCCAAAGCCAACCACCATGAAAGTCTTCGTTGCCGTCACGATCGCGCTCGCTGCCTTCTTCGCCTCCGAGACGGAGGCCTCCAAGAAGTACGTGAAGCTGCTCCCCAACGGCGGAAACGTCCCCAACACGCCCGCTATCGGCCACACGGACGGCACGGGCGACGACGAAGCCACGAACGCCTTCGGTGACGCCTTCGCCGAGGCGGACTACGCGTGGACTAAGGCGTTGTGCGAGGCCGACTCGGACGGCGACGGCCAGACGAACGGCCAGGAGCTTGGAGACCCGTGCTGCGAGTGGACGGTGGGCGGGACGCCGCTGTGGACGACCGGCGTCTCGAACCCTGGCGACGCGTCTTCGACGTCCGACTCGAGCTTGTGGGCCACTGCCTGTGGCGCTACCACTTCGGGGACGGAGACCGCCACCACGGAGACTTCCCCCGAGACGGCGGGGTCCACGACGGAGTCTACCGCCGAGTCCTCGACGGAGACTACTGCGGACGCGTCGACGGAGACCACGGCGGGTTCCGAGGCTACTGATGACGACTACGTCGAGACGGATGAGGATGCGGACGCCATGGGGACCGCCTCCAACAGTACCACGTCGACCTCCGGCACGAAGTCGACCACCGCTGCGGCTGAAAAGTGTGCGAGCGACCTGGCTTCGACCCGCGCGCTGAGGGCGTGAGCGAGTAATCCTTGGTGAACGCGAATATGCGGACGTCCTGCCCGATGCAATGTCAGGACTTGTCTGTGTTTTGAAAGTCAGGGTTCCTTTTCAGGTTGCGGCCATTTTGCCAAGTCCGATACATTTCAGTCAACACTTTCGTACTCTTATTGCTTTCGGGTATTCCTGAGTTTTTACTATCCTACGTCCCAATATACTTATTGTGATTCCGCCGTCCATAATAATATTTTTGAAGATCTTGCGGAGGGCACTGAGGTGAAACCCGGTGCTCGCGTTGCACCGAATATTGCGAGTTGTTACTCCTAAGAATCCGACACGAATTGACCAAGTGAAAAGCTGTTTTCAATGTGGCCCCTTCCACTTTTCGAGACAACTACCAAGTAGAACTGTTTTGAATCGGTAGGTATCTTCAGTGAAACTAGTTACCATACAAAAATACATAGAGCCTGCATTGCTTCGGGATCGGGGGTTCTTTGAAAAAGGCCGTTGATACAGCCCATGTTTTCTAAACGGGTTAGGGCAAGTGTCATACTAAAAACAAGTAAGAAATCTCAAACCTGGTCAAACATGTTGAAACATGGCCAAACATGTTCGGCTCGTGGGACGGGTGTCATGGCCTGCAAACACTATGCAATTCCTATGGGCTAAGGTGATCTTCGGCTGCCAAACGTCGCTTTGCCGGCGCTTTAAGCCCTCTGAAGACCGACCCAGCGTTGAGGAGGAAATACCATGACTAGCCATGGCACTGGGGTGAAGTTTGCAGGCTCTTCATGCCTCTCAAATGCCGCTGGTGTCGATTTCGCTTGGACGCTCCCGACAGATTTGGGTTCATTTCACACCCTCTGACTAAAAACATGGGCTCTATCTTCGGTTTGAAAAATGATATCACCCAACTGACAAGAATGCGGATGGTATTTTTTTTAAGACACCAGCGTCGTTTGGGACGTAGGATAGTAAAAACTCAGGAATACCCGAAAGCAATAAGAGTACGAAAGTGTTGACTGAAATGTATCGGACTTGGCAAAATGGCCGCAACCTGAAAAGGAACCCTGACTTTCAAAACACAGACAAGTCCTGACATTGCATCGGGCAGGACGTCCGCATATTCGCGTTCACCAAGGATTACTCGCTCACGCCCTCAGCGCGCGGGTCGAAGCCAGGTCGCTCGCACACTTTTCAGCCGCAGCGGTGGTCGACTTCGTGCCGGAGGTCGACGTGGTACTGTTGGAGGCGGTCCCCATGGCGTCCGCATCCTCATCCGTCTCGACGTAGTCGTCATCAGTAGCCTCGGAACCCGCCGTGGTCTCCGTCGACGCGTCCGCAGTAGTCTCCGTCGAGGACTCGGCGGTAGACTCCGTCGTGGACCCCGCCGTCTCGGGGGAAGTCTCCGTGGTGGCGGTCTCCGTCCCCGAAGTGGTAGCGCCACAGGCAGTGGCCCACAAGCTCGAGTCGGACGTCGAAGACGCGTCGCCAGGGTTCGAGACGCCGGTCGTCCACAGCGGCGTCCCGCCCACCGTCCACTCGCAGCACGGGTCTCCAAGCTCCTGGCCGTTCGTCTGGCCGTCGCCGTCCGAGTCGGCCTCGCACAACGCCTTAGTCCACGCGTAGTCCGCCTCGGCGAAGGCGTCACCGAAGGCGTTCGTGGCTTCGTCGTCGCCCGTGCCGTCCGTGTGGCCGATAGCGGGCGTGTTGGGGACGTTTCCGCCGTTGGGGAGCAGCTTCACGTACTTCTTGGAGGCCTCCGTCTCGGAGGCGAAGAAGGCAGCGAGCGCGATCGTGACGGCAACGAAGACTTTCATGGTGGTTGGCTTTGGATGGGTTCTGGCGGTGCAGGCGTGCAGTCAGTCGGTCGCTTGTCGGAGGAAGCGTGGGGCGGGTAAGCTGGTGTTGCTTGGTGGTGGTGTTTTGAGAAGTGAGAGTTGGGGCGGCACTGGCGGGCTCGAACACGGTTAAGGCATCGATGAGGGGCTGAGTAGTGTCATTCGGGTGGTGCAACACGACGTAGTGAAATGCACGATCTTTGGATAAGGGTTGGTCGTTGTACGTCATTGATTTTAGCGGCTGGACGGAAGCGTCTGTAGCTGGTGTTGGCACGTGTCAAGTGTGCATATTTTGCTGGGATGGCCAGCATATAGTGTATTATGTCCAGAGGTTTCCTGCAAGTTTTGTTTCAAGTCTTGGGGCAATAGCTGTTCTGGTTTTTTCTCGAAGCTGACTTGTACTAACTTTACGGTTGATGCTTTGCATCCGCCTCGGCTCAAGCATATACGAAGTACTGTAGCTACCGCACGAACATGCGTTCAGTTGACAGAGCTCTTGAGTCCTAGCGCTGCAGTTCCACGCGCAAGGCACGCGTCTCAACTGAACTTCCACCACACCACAAATGCACTAAGCTTATCGCTCGCAATCAGCACACAAACTCAACATCTAGGCCCAGCTAGTGGCAGTATGTATGCAATTCTTGATCCCATTACCCTTGCTGTCCAGTTGCTCGTGCTGTTCTCGCTTGTTGCGGTTACTACAATCGTCTCTATATGCCGCCGTTGGGTATTTCCTATTTGCCTCGTGCTCTGTAGCACCGCCAGCTCTGACGAGGATATCTTAAGTTCCATCAGATGTTACCAGGCTCGTGACGACCGTGATGTCGTCCATCTTTCCACCGAGATACTCGTAGCCCGCCTGCTGTGCCGCCACCGCGAATGGCGTCTTGGTTTTGGCGCCCTTAGCAGCCTTGTGCGCCGTGTGGGCAATACAAGACGCTACTTTCTCCATACTGTGCTGGTCAAGCTCCGGCGTGGACGGCAACACCGTGTCCAGAAGACTTGCGATCTGCTTGGGGAACAAGTTGTCGAACCTGCTCCATAGCAACAATACCACAATAACGTCAACCTCATGCTGCCCCGCCGTGGCAGCCATAGCAACGTACAGTCCGTCGGTGCCGAGCACGATCACGTCGCCTTCCTGGGTCTCGAGCTCGTACACCTCTCCCATCTCAGGCTGTGACGAAGACAGAAACACGCAGCATTAGACCACCGGACGACACTTCAACGCCGCACCAAGCAGCAACCCAGCGCCATCCAGCACTGCAGCAGCATCAACAACAGCCATCGGCACGCACCTTGTCTCCATTGGCGCCAAATCCCAGTTGGTACGGGCAGTTGAAGTAGTGGCACTGGTTGGGCGTCTCATGGACGACCTGCCACCTCACCTCGCCTCCCTGCTTCTCATCCGGCTGCAACCGACACAGCAAGAAGCCCGAGTCGCCCAAGTTGATCGCCCGCAGCGACAGATCTGCCACCAGCAACAATACCACCAAACAACAAGAGATCCGTTAAAAACTGCAGCACACCTCACGACCACCACTAAGCCCCACACACAGCAATGCACCAGCACTGCAATTGACTAGATCGCGTGCTCTACCCACCCTCTAACTGCACAATGCACGCCGTTGAACTGCCCGGACACTACCCAACGGCAACAGTAACATATCAGATCCCTCTCTTCTTCCGTATCATCAGACCCCACCCACAAACTCCCCAACAGCAACTGCAAGGAATTTACCTGCGCGCTGCGATGTGCCACCGTGAGCACCTGCAGCGGCGTCGGCGTCTTGTCGGCCGTCGTGACCGTGCGCTTGGCCGAGCTCATGAGCGTGCGCGAGTACTCGCCCGAGTCGATGCCCTGCAGCAGCACACCAGCCTCAAACAGTCAGCACCGAACAATACAATAACCAGGTTAAATTAGTGGCAATCGCACCTTGCGCGCCCAGCCGCCGACGCCGTCCGCCACGCCCACCGTGTTGCCGCTGATGAACCAGGCGTCCTCCCCGCCCGTGGCGCGCTTCTGCGGGTGCGGCAGCCCGCACGCGCCCGACTCGAGCCGCAGCGCGCGCTGCGCCTGCCGCTGCACGCTCAGAAACCGCAGCGCGGTGCATCCGGAGGCGCCCGCCGGCCAGCGGCGCGCCAGCGACCAACTACTGCGCAGTGCCATGCTCGACGTGTTGGAAGTGACTTTATAATCGAACTTAATAATCGAACTTAATGGTCGAACTTAGGGGAAACTTAAGAAGATACTTCGCTAGGTACCGGTACAACTCGGCTGTCACGCCATTGAGCGATTCCCCGTCATGTTCAAGCAGCTCCAACCAGAGCGCCCACGCCTGCGGCCACTTGTTGCGGAACGTGTTTGTGTTGATCGGAAAGCCCATTGCCGCGACGCGTCTCGCGACAGAGCTGGGGGACTCGTCGGTCGTCGGTGGAGGCTTCAGCATGCGTGCACACTGCACCACGTACTCCAGAGAATTCTCGGGCTTGGTCGGGCGGCCCATTTTCTTTAACGTCGTTGTCGGCGCTATGCTGGCGGGCTGCAGCAGCGCAGCAGTGCTGGTCGCCGGCGTCGTGCTGGCTTTAGGAGAGGCCCACTTCGTGTAGAACGCCCCTGCGGCATCAACCAACTCGTCACGTTTGCTCTCGTTCCAGTTAGCGGGGTTGCCCAGCAGCTTCCCAAGTTGGCGGGCGTCGTGAGCGAAGGCGTCCTCGTCGAACGCGGCAGGACGGTAGCAGGTCGCCACGATGGCGTCTACTGTCGCTGCATCCGTCGCCTTCCGGGCGCTTGGGACCTTTGGCGGCCTCGGTGCGGCGGGCTTGCTGGACATGAAGGCTGCCAGCGTAGCCCCCACAGCAATGAAGCTCGGGCAGGTGCCGACTGTGGAAGCGGCCGCATGGATAGCAGAGGCGGCACCGTCGGCAGTGTTGGCGTCGGCGTTGTCGACGTTGAAGGTCATCATGCACTCGCGCGGCGATGAAAGTGAAAGTGATTCACTCCATGCACTCACTCACTCACTCACTCACTCACGCCATACTTCGTCGACGCGTCTATGATGACTGCAAGTGAGGTTACCCTGTGTGTGGCACACACGAAACATATCAAAAATAATTATTGATTTTGCATTTCACCTTCCCGCCCAGTGGATCAACCAAGAGCAAGGGAGAGCCAAGCGCCATGAAGACGCAGGCGGCCGGCGCCGTGATCGACGTGACGGAGGACGCGTCCGCCTCCGACGCGTCCAGCAGCCGCAAGCGCACCTCGCGCGACGAGGAGGAGGCGCCCGCGCCCACGCGCCGCACGCACCGCAAGACCGAGAGCCGCGTGCTCTTCTCGGACGTCATGGCGCAGGAGCGCGAGATGGAGCGCATCAACTACGCCAAGAGCCGGCAGCACAGCAGCGCCGCAACCTCCGCCGCGCCGCCGCTGCGCAAGGGCGAGACGGCCGAGTCCCCGGCCAAGCGCAGCAAGCAGAAGCGCGCCGAGGAGCGCCGCTCCGCGCGCCAGAAGCTGCGCCGCAACATGAGCCCGCGCTCGCCCGACGGTGGGCCGCAGCCGCTGCGCGGGGGCGTGGCGCTGCCCGCACTGGACGACGCGGCGCCGCAGGTCAAGCGTCGCTTCGCGCGCGACGAGGACGCCATCCAGGACGCCACGCTGCACTCGACGGCGTGGCGCAACCTGCGCTTCGAGGCCGCGCCCGTCAACGTCCTGCCCGATACCGAGGGCCTGCTGCCGCCCTACGCGCTGCAGCTGGACGCGCCGCTGGAGGACTTCGACGAAGAGCTCAAGAGCAAGTGCGCGCTGTCGCCGCAGTTCCTGCAGCCCAAGCCCCTCACGGTGGCCTCCGGGTCGCTGGCCGAGGAGAAGGAGAAGGCGCTCGTGGACGACAGAGTCAAGACACTCATAGACGAAGCCACGCCGATGGTCAAGAAGTGCCACGCCGCGCGCGCCAACGCGGTCATCGCCAACACGCGGCAGCAGATCGCGGCGTACATTGAACAACGCCCCGTCATTCGGGAGAAGGCCATGGCGCTCACCGGTGCGCAGCATCTATTGGGTATATTGTGTTGGGATTAATTATTGCTGACCTTTCGTCTGCTGTTTGCTGTTGGTTGACAGGTCTACCGCTGGACATTTCCAAGCTGGAGAAGGTGGCGGCGCGCAGACTGCTTCGAGACGCCGAGTTTGAACCGGAAGGCGTGGATCGCCCCCACTACTCGGTCGGACGGACCGAGGCCGATCATTCCGGACACATTTACCCAGAAACGGTGACGTATCTGAGCAAGATCGCGCCCATCCCGCGTTCCACGACGTGTATGCTGGCGTGTGGAACGCACAGAGTTGAAGACGACCCGATTATTCGCTTCGTGCCGTACTTCAGTGCGACGAAGAACAAGCCCCCAGAGTTCACCAACGCTGACAGGTGCAAGGACACCCTGGTTGGTATGGACGACGAGGTCAACGAGTACATTCTGCGATACGTTGTCAGCCAGTGCGGCGGTGTTCAGGATGTTTTCGAGGCGTTGCAACGGTGTGGAGCTTTCACGCAGCCGTTTGCGAACTATTCTGATATCGTGGAGCGAGTCACTCGAGAGAAGTTGTACAAGAAGCATTTGCAGGAACTGGAGGTGCGACGAAGCAGCGATGCGATTCCCGAGAGCAGGAAGCGCGCGATTGACTCCCTGTTGAACGAATGTTTCGCGGTCCGAGATGGTGCGTACCTGTCTGGGCGCTTGCAGCCGCTGCCGTCGCATGTGGTTGTGAATCACCTGCAGCAGAGCGGAGATTTAGGTGTGCGACGAGCTCCGTCCGAGCAGTTCAGAGAGGTGGCGATAAAGTACCAGGATTTCTTCTGTCGCCGCTGCTGTACCTACAGCTGCCGCAACCACGGTCGTGAGCAGCCTGTACCAGTCGTGCGCGTTGATCCTAAATATCCAGTCGTGAAGGCGGCGTCCAAACTGTGGCGTCGCGTTGAAGAAAAGCTGATCGCGGAGGAGCAGGCACAAGAGAATTCCGTCGAAGACACGGATGCTCAAATGGATAGCGAGGACCGAACTCCGGACTCTGATGAACCAATGTCTGAGCTGACCCCCGCTGGTGAAACAGAAAAGGAGAAGGATTCGATTGAGGAGACTGCAAATGGTACGGGAAATATTACCGGTGGCGAGTCAACGCGCAGGTCACTGCGTGCTCAAACTGCTGCGAGCACAAAGGCGTCGTCACAGCTGAACGCAGCTCGCCTTCACATTAAGAAGATGGTGCGCTCCAAGACGACGGACGTGTCGGAGTATCTCGGCTTCGACGGTGTTTATCAAGCACTCACTCAGGACAAGAAGATGGATATCCTAACCGACGATGGTCGCTGTGGGCCTCACTGCTCCAAATCTGTGCCAGGCTCAATCGACCCTGCCACTGCTTCAGCAAAGTCGTGGGAGAGTTCCGAGGTTGCGCTGCTACACAAGCTGGAAAGGAGTGTAGGCGCCAACCCGTGTGTGTTGGCGGTATTGCTTGCAACGCGAACATGCGCTGAAGTGGGGAGGTTTCTGCAGCAGCGCGAGTCACAAGCACAGAGTGGTCTGCACGACCTTACCTTTATTCGAAGTGGCGTCTACGGCAGAAATCGTGAATGGAGTAATGGCGTGCTTGGGAACAGCTACGAACACCTTCGCCGTACCCGCTTTCAGCGAATGAAGGACCGCGGTGCGAATCACGAATACGTTCCTTGCAATCACGACGGCGGGTCTTGCGATTCGGCGCAGTGCTCGTGCATGCGTCGCGATCACTACTGCGAGAAGGCATGCGGCTGCTCTCCGGACTGCTCCAATCGCTTCCCTGGTTGTCACTGCGAGGTGGGACAATGCCGAACGTCAGCTTGTCCGTGTTATTTTGCCTCGCGGGAGTGCGACCCGGACGTTTGTACTTCGTGTGGAGCTTGCGAGCTTCCAGTCGTCATGGCTGACCCGAAGAGCAAGACGAAAACTGTGGCCCAGCTCAAGATCTGCGGGAACGTCAACATTATGCGTGGGAAGATGCGGAAAATTGGAGTCGCTGCTTCGAAGACCCACGGGTGGGGAGCGTACGCCTTGGAGGACGCGAAGATGGGCGATTTCATGTACGAGTACACGGGTTCCTTGCTGTCTCAAGACGAAGCAGAGCGACGAGGCAATGTCTACGACAAAACCACGATCAGTTTCTTGTTCGATCTGAACGAAGACTCGGTGGTGGATGCTACGCGGAAGGGCAACAAGAGCAAGTTCGCCAACCACGACTCAGCAGCGCCGAAGTGTTTTGCCCGAATCATGCTCGTCAACGGCGAACACCGCATCGGAATTTACGCCAAGGAAGATATCACCACTGGCGACGAGCTGTTCTTCGACTATGGATACAGTGGCGTAATTCCCGACTGGAGTCAGGCCCGTATTGGATCTGGAAAAGATGCTCCATCCATTGAAGAGGAAGAAGAGAGCAAAGCGGAACCGGTCGCCGTTAAAGAGGAAGCCGAGCCGTGAAGTGCCGAGTAATGTTGAGCACGCTGCCAAAGTAAGTGCTTTTTGGGCGGGTTATTTTTTTTCGTCTCTTGGATTTGATAGACAAGGCTGGGCCAGTTTTCGTGTGAGATGATGAAGAGAGCATTCAATGACAAATGCAGTTGCCATCCTGGAATCACTATGTATAGAGGACCGGTTGTTACGCATGTGCATTGAAAATAGATGACGCGGTGGCGCTTGGAAGCACAAATTGGACAGGATTGCTGGTTGTTCGCTTGAGCGCGGAGCGATGGAGTACAACTGGGGCGATCCGAAGAAGAACTCGCTGCTCTCGTCCAGGATGATGTGCGTATGCTGCTGTCAGAGTGTGTATTGGGCTTATTGCCGCTGACACTTCCGCTTGGGCAGGGCGAAAGCTGAGGTCACTCGGAAAAAGCGACTAACAAGTGTCAAGTCCACGCTGTCGAACCAACTGCATCCAGCTATTGAGCACAAACTACGAAGTCAGTCGACCACGACTTGTTGCGCTTGTTACCTATTACCTCAGAATTGACGAAGCGTGCATTATCTGCTTTGACACAGAAAAGAAGAAAGCCCCTGACTCAGCTCGAGCTCAGACGAGCTGCAGCAACAATGGCCTGCACGAGACTCACACCCCGTCTAAAGCGGAGCCTCAGATGACGAGCGACGACGAGTCGAGTACTCTCGACACAATTCGTCACGATGCCTTCCCTATACCGGCACGCGCATCTCTTACCAACAATGTGTGAGTGTGTTAAGTGCGTATGCGCTGACGTTTCCCTACTAATGATGCTTCCGTGTCGCCCCATAGATCGATGTTTGACGAGTTCGGCCTGAATGCAGCCGCGGATGGGCTTTTCCACCCTGCATCGACGATCGAGGCGTTTACGGAGCATGACGCGAAATACCACCAAGAAATTCACCACACCTCAGCAGCAAAACCCCACTCAGGGCCACGACGGGCGAACTCTGGCAGTGAGTACCCGCCGTCACGAGAAAACCACCGACTGCCTGCTCTTCACAGCGGGAAGAACAAACGAGAACGGCTATCAACGCGACCGAAGCAGTCGACTGGCAATGCTGGATCTGCTCCAGCGTCCATGACGACGACTTCGTCTCTTTCAAAGCTGGTAGATAGTGACGAAGGCAAGCGCAGTCTGTCGGCTACTCAAAGTGATTCAAACCTGTACGCGCCTCGCCGCTCCGACGCCGTGCCCTCCTCTGTTGATCGAAATGCGCTCGACTTTCTCGAGCGTGAGCTGGAGAGCGACGACGACAACAACGCCCACAAATCTCCCATCGCCAAGTCTTCACGGGGCGTCAGTGAGCTCGACAACAACGAAGTCCCCGAAGAGAGCAGCTCCGTCGTACCAGCGCTGGATTTCTCTCGTGCGAAGAAGTTTGAAGAGTTGAAGCGAATCATGAAGTCGAATCGGGAGAAGCACAATTCAGCTCGACAGGACCCCGAGCACGCCGGAGGATGCGTGGCTGGTCCATCCACCACAACATCTACAGCCACCACCCCGAAATCTTCAGCAAGAAGTGCTATTCGTGCAGCGCCCAGCGGCTCTTCAGCTACTAAAACCGGCGGTGAGAGCGGGACGGCGAAGCGCTCAACTGTAGCTGCACGTGCTACGAAGACCATGCACAGTAACTCATCAGGGTCCAAGCGTACACTTCGGGTGACAAACCACACAACAGGAGCAGCATCTCGGAAGACGTCGTCCAGTGTGGCTGTTGCAGTGGCGCCCCCAGTCCGTTCCAAGAGGGAGATGACAGTACGCAGCGGTGTGTCACTGTCAGATCTGAAGGCCGAGCATCGGGAGGCGCTGCAAATGCTCAAAGAATTGGGCGGCCCAGTGGATCCTGATTACCTCCTGGCAGATATCGATCACAGTTCGTCCACTCGTCCAGGAAGAGCTGGCGCTAGAGCTACAGGGCTTAGTCGATCTGCAGGATCGACTGTTGCTATTGCAGGAAGGACGACACACTCGAACCAAGCGCAATCTCAATCATCGACTTCAACCCCACCGGCTTCTGCGAATTCTGGCATCAGCATGGTTACCAAGCTCCGCGAGTCCATATCTTCCGGTCGCAGTACAAGCCGCGAGTCTTCGCCCAGAACGAGTTCCCCGACAATACGCGATGGGGACAAGAAGGAGACTGCAATATCTCCAGGTAGCAGTGACGGAGCTGTATCTCCATCAAACCAGGCGCCGACGGAAGAAAAGGCTGCGTCAGTACCCGTTCGAGATCAACCTGACGCTGTGGCAGACAAAGCTGGCTCAGATCCCGTAAAAAGCAGTTCGCTTCCGACGCCGAGTACGGCAGACGCTCCCGATCCCTGGAAGCAGTACGAGGACGACGGCGATGACGACGAAGAGGAAGAGGATGAGGAAGACAACAACGAACTGGAGCGCGAGAGCAGCAGCGAGGTGAAGAAAGAGCTTACCTCTGGCGACCACTACAGTGATGAAGGCTTCGAAAGTGACTGGTAAGAGGGGCTAAACTATAAAGCACAACCAAATCTTCCAAGCCGAGAAGAAGAGGGGAACAGCCTCCTGGATAATGGTTTTGAAGTGTCTATTTAATTAAGCTGTAAGGAAATGAGAAGATAGCCATGTTGGTGTGGCCACAATCTAAGCCTCAAAGGCTTCGATAACGAGGCGGTGGCCAATTCGAGCGATGCGTTCCTTGACAGACTCGCCAGGACGCTCCTCCTATTCATGCAAAACATCATCAGTCAGTCAGTAAAAAGGAAGTACAAGCATCCTAAAGAAGCATACCTCAGCCGTCGTGTGCAGCTTCACCGCGGGGGCTGACTTATGACCAACGTGCACCGCCGCGCTCTGCTCCACAGGAGCTGGCAGTGGTGCAACATGCACGGGCGCCACCATACTTGCGGGAACTAGCTCCTCATCTTCACTGTCAACACCAACGTTGTCTCTCTCTTGACGGTGGCGGTGGTGACTGTGTCGGTGTTGGTGTTGGTGTTGGTGACTCGAGTGCGTGTCATGACGCGGAGGAACGTACTGAGCCACCTGAGCACGACGCGCGTTCTCTTCCTGGGCAGCAATCACCTGGAGATGCATTTTGTAGACCACCTCGAAGCGCTCGCGGTCCTTCCAGGGCACCACTTTGCGGTCTCGTAGGTGCATACTCTGGCCGGACTCCTTCTCCAGCTTCCGGAAGGACGTGAGGTGAGGCGAGATGTCGAAGAACGTGTCGAGCATCGTGCTGGCGTCGCTGCCGAACGAGGAGAACGCAGGCATGCGCAGCAGAGACTGCAAGTACGAGTCGTAGACCTGCATCCGCTGCTGGTTCTCAGCTTCCTTCTGACTCGCAGACGCATGCAGATGAAGCTGCTGCAGCTTGCTGCCGATTGTGCTTGACGGGAACGCAACGTTGTGCATACTCGGGCCAAACAGGAGACGCAGTTGTCCGTCGAAGTTCCGCAGCTCCGTAGTCGACTTGTACAGCCTCCAAGCGCACGAATACTCGAGAATTTGCCAGGACATCCCGTCGCCACTGCCAATCGATCCACTGCGGTAGTCTTCCTGGCCATCGTCGTCCATCACAAGCTCTCGCTCCAGTATCCAAGCCTTCACCGTGATCTCGTAGATGGACTTCCCGTGCTCGTGGACGCGACTGGAGACTCGAGCTGAAATGTGCATGTGGTTCATGAAGGCTCCGATCTGCGCGTTCAACTCGCCGAGACTCATCGTTGCTGCCGTGAGAGAGGACTCCTGTTGGTCAGCGATCAATGCCCGCAGCGCACGCAGCCATTCCTCAAGATACTCGCGGGTAGACGACACCAACGAGTACGTCGGAGACGCTGGCGCCTTGGAACCGTCGAGGTTGGCGCACAGGTAGTGGTGCTTCTTGCTCCCCTTCTCCGTGACCCGGAAGATGAAGCGCCTGGACATCTCGACCGCCGATTTGTCGTCGCTCAGCAGTCCGCCCAGCTCATCGGCCGTGGCCACCTCCGCGCCCTCCAGCTCCAACTTGCCCTTGCGCTCATACTGCGTCTCGTCCGTGAAGAACTCGAGCACGTGGAATGCTCGGTTGAGCTTGAAGAAGCGTCTGGCCCAGATCTTCTTGTGCAGGCCGACAGGCCCCGTCGTCTCCAAGTGATCCAGGTAGCCCTCCATCTTCTTCTCCTTCTTCTTCTTCGCAACAACCTAGTTCAACGCTTCCCCGTTGTTAGCAACCGCCGCTGCAAAGGAGAATCCGCCAGTGAACACGAAGTCGGCAGGAAGGGTCAGTGCTTGGGACGATTTGGCTAATAATAATGCTAATAGTTTACTGGTTGATCTTGTCTCGGTACTGCCGGATGACGCTCAGCAGCAGCGTCTTGTTGGCCTTGCCCTTGATGACCTTCTTGTATTGGGCCAGGCTCTTGACCACCGTCTTGGTCGTGAACGAGCTGGCCGGCGCGTGGCGCTGCAGCACGAGCAGCAGCAGCTCCGTGAAGGCCTTGGACGTGTCGTCGCCGTAGCTGCAGCCCACCGCCAGCCACTCGATGAGCAGGTCGTAGCCCTGCTTGCCCTCGAAGCGCGACTGCATCTCCTTGGTGTTCTTGGCCAGGCTCGCGTTGAGCACGAAGAGCGCGTGCACCTTGTCCTCCGTCGTCTTGACGTCGTGTCTGGAGATGCCCAGGAAGGCCTCGAGGCTGTCGCCTGATGTGGCACACATATCCACGTCGCAGTGCTTCTTGGTGGCCGCCAGAATCACCTCCGACACGGCGCAGCCGTCCGCGAGCGACGGCGAAGTGGACGTGGAGCTGCGCAGGGCGATGCGCGTCTCGTGCGCGGCCTGCGCGGGCTCCTGCGTCAGCGGCAGCTGGTCGAACTGCTGCACGTACGCCTCGGTCTGCTGGTGGTACTCGGCCACGAGCGCCTTGACAGCCTCGTGCTGCAGGATGAGCAGGTTCGTGAGCAGCTCGGACGAAGAGCTCATTGGAGTAGGGGATGTGGGGCAACTGGGAAGAAGGAGGAGAGAGATGGTGTGGCGGACGTAGATGCGCTTGATAAAGCGATATGCTACTCAAATGTAGCGCTAGTTAGCGTATTCTTTGTATGGGATTTGTTGAAGCTGCTGTTATACCCGATATGCGTGAGTCGTCTACAGGAAAGATACGCTTTACAGTTTAGAGAAGCATTGACGAGCAATCGTGCCGTCCTAAGTGTGAAGCTCCAACTCAAGGGGCCTCAGCGATGGCGCTGATTTATTTTGCGGCTTGGTTGTTTTGGCTCAAGGCCTGCTTGGAGCCACCGGTGGCCGAGCGAAACGGCGGCTCCACCAAGACGCGTCCGCCACATTGCCGGAAGCCTCTTCTGTGCCGCCATCGCGCGCGGCGGCTTCTGCGTCTGCAGCTTGACTAGCGTTGCAGCGGTAACGGCCGGTGATTTATGCCGGAAGATCGCGCCGCGGCCTCGACAGTGGGACCGCGGCCTTAACGGCTGAGCGAGCTTGCATGTAGCTCAGCTTTGTTGTATGGGGCTGCCATGTTCCCGTATCGCAGCGTGTGCAACGTGAAGGCGGGCCAATTTTTGAGGGGATGCCAAGTTAGCTGGCGTGCCCTGCCGGCGCCAGCCCAGAAGCTTCCGCTGCGGGCGGTGGCCGAGCAAGGTCGCCGCTCCACTGCAGTGCAGTGCAATGCAATGCCATGCACTTCAACTCGCTCGCTGCTGTGCGGTGGTGGTCCGCTTGCACGGTGGATCCAGATCCCAATCGCGCGGCGGCGCATTAGACCGCGCTTGCCTATCCAGCGATACGTGGCGGCACTGCTTCATACCGGGGGGCTATCGCCTCGTCAACACCGGATATAATGCAGTAGATCGCTGGCCCGCAGACAAAAACGCTGGCGGTGGGCGCAGCTCGCTGTCATTAGCTTGCCACCGCTGCGGCTGGTTGGGTGTGGCTGTTCCTGCCTGCGCGATGCGTATTCTATCGGCGGCAAAGCCCCGAGTCGCTCGGAGTGTGCACTTTCGCCTCGGTTTGGGGCAACTCGGCGAGACATGGAGCGCTCCGCCCTAGCGTTCGCGGAGCTGGCGGGCGGGGCTGTCACCAGTTGCGGCGGCGGCGGTGCACCAGCTGCCGGGTTTCGCTGCTGCTGCTCTCAAGATGCCAGCGACATGACGCGGACGCTGGGGCACAGCACATGGGGCCTTGACACTTGTGGCTCTGTAGCGGGCCATCCGGCGAGTATTGGGCGAGATCCGGACGGGCTCTGCTAAATGTCCCTTGCCACTTCGGCGCCGTCCGCCGGCTGGCGGCTGAGCTGTCCACCTGTGCAGAGGTGACTAGCAAAAGCCCCGCAAAGATGGGGAAGTTCACGTTGACAGCGGACACAACACACACAACAACCAGCAGCACGATTCCCCAACGGAGCAGAGCAGAGCAGGAGAAAAGCTGACTCGACGGGCGCTCAGCTGGTGAGCTCGTTGACCGCGCTCATGCAACGCGACAGGCCGGCGCGTAGATATTCGGCGTCCGCAGCTGTTGGCCTGCACGGAGGCAAGTGTGGCTCTCGCGGCTCGAGGCCGCGCCTTCGGGTTGAACGTCGAGCAGTTTGCCTGTCACTGGGTCGGTCTCCTCCACGCCGGTCTCGATCTTGATCTCTCGATCCCCCGCTCGCCCGTCATACACAGGTGCAACGGCAGCGGCACTCGCGCGAAACGAAAGGCCTTGAAGCCATAAAACCTGGGCATGGATAGGCAGCGGCGGAGTCAGCTGCAAGGCCCACAGCATCTCAAATCTCCTCCACCCTGACTATCCAAGCGGTGCGCGTTCCAGCGTGAGCGAGTGGCCGCACCCCGAGCTGCCTCGGCCCCGAGGCTGAGCGAAAACACGGCGAATAACGCTTTGAATAAGACGCGGCGCAGCTTATTCACGCACAACCGGTCGGTCGGCGGTGCTGCGCTAGTGCTGCGCTCTTGCTCTTGCTCTGGAAAGGCCCAGGGCCCTCCCGCGCGAGTGGAGGTGGGCGAGGTGGCAACGCCCCGATCGATCACAGGCGTGTCCATCCCCGCCCGCCGGCGTCGTGACGATTGCTTGACGGTCGCGACGGACGCAGACCTCGGTCGGCGCAGTGCCAACTTGGCATCTTTGTCGACGCATCGACTCTTGCATTGCATAGCGTTGTATTGTATTGCGCTGCACTGCATTGCGCTGGGCGGGCGCGTGCGTCCTCGTGGCGGAAATGGTCGCGGAGGACGAGCGGATCGGCGCGGCATGGTGTCGTCGCACGAGCAACTTCAAGATGGGGGCATACAAACCGCCATACGTTTTCCACTACGGATAAAGAGCAGTTCGGCCTGTCAGAAAGGTGTCGTTCACCGAGATGACAAAAAGGTCTGCGACTTGGTAGTGCAGTCTCTATCGTGGGGTCGAATCCAGGTGGCAACATGGTCAAGCTTGCTCCGATCCGGAGCCTCTGATCAATGGCGTATCTTTTCGGTTAGTCCAACATGCATGCAGAGTTGCTGAAGACATTTGTCGAAGTAGTATTGTGTAAAGTACGGAGTCATTTTGTGAGGTTGTCTGTTGAAAATACATCTATGTTATCGTCGTATGTACATGTAGAAGGCGCTGTCGCGAAGTTGGAGATACGTTGGCAGATGAATATCCCGTGTCCAGTTGTGTCAAGGATATCACCTGCACATCAGTTGTACACAAACTTCGTAAAAGGTTTTGAGTAATTACCCCCCCCCCCCCGCATCTAGACCCATTCTAGTGTACCAGATCTGGCAGGGCCTAGATGGTTGGCCACGCGTCGTCGCACAAGGCCGCTGCCTGACTTGCTTCTTGCTCTCTCGCTAACCTGAATACATATCACTTTCCAATCTTCCCTACGTCTACGTCTTTCCTTCTCTCCCGTCTTCGACCTGCGCAAGTGCTCAAGCTGATGGCTCGACAGGTTATAAGCCCAACGATAGGGAGAAGCGGGGAAGACTTCCCACGCCTCAACGGCTCCAACTTCCCAGTGTGGAACGCTCGCATCCGCGCAGCACTCGACGGTCAAGGCCTGCTAGGCTTCATCGACCAGGAGGACTACGACGGTGACTCGGACTCGTCCATCGTCGACTCCGACGACGACCAAGACCTCAAGCCTCCCCACCCACCCTCGCCCACCAAGTCGGACGACCTGCTCTCCGACACCGGAACCCTGTCTCCAGACGGCGGTCTGGACGCCGATGACGCCAAGCGCGACGACAGCACGGCCCAACCAAAGCCTGGCTCCTCGTCCGGCGCGTCGTCGGACTCTTCGTCGGGCAACTCCTCTGAGGCGATGGCGACTGACCCTCAGTCGACCCTCCTCGTACTTGATGGTCATCAAGTAGTGGTTGATGTAGTACGGGTCGCCGTGGGCAGTCGAGCCCTCATAGCGGTCACGCAGCTTTTGGTAGATCGAGTAGGCAGAAGTACAACCCTCGACGAGGAGCACGTGGGCATCATCGATTGTTGAGATCAGGAACGATCGAGTTTTGCGCTCCATTCGGCGTCTTTCGTGCGGGCTCGGCTTGCGAGCCGCTCGCTTCTTGGCCGCTCGGAGCTTCGCTCGAGCCTTCTTGGCCTGTGCGCGGAGCAGTGCTCGGCGTCTTTCCTTGTCGCGCTTGGTCTCGGTGAAGGACTTGATCACCGGGGGCGGCGGGGTGGGCTTGGCGGAGCGGGAACGGATCTGATGGCGTTCTTCCTGACCTTCGGGCGCGCACTGAAGGCGGCTGCTGAAGCTACTGGCATTGTGATGACTGACGAACAGAAGTCACTCAATCTGTATCATGCGATGTCTAGTACCTGGAAGCCTGACCTTGCGATTTGGAAGGGCAGCAAGAAGTTTATCCCGTACACGGACCTTAAGACCAACATTGAGCGTAAAGTGCTGGATGACTACGCCAAGCGCAAGTACGTGATTGAGAAGGGCAGCCCCGAGGCCCCCGCCACGGCCAGCGAGACGGCACTTCAGGTCATTGCGAACACACCTCATGGCCGAGACGACCCGCCTCGTCGTTCTCAAGGTTGCACCTACTGCCAACGGCCAAATCACGCCATCCGCGACTGCCGTGTGCTGCAGAAGCACCTGCGCACTGGTACTGTCAAGGAGGGCACAGTGCTGCCAGCGAACTTGGCATTATCGACCGCAAGCCGAGGGATGATCACAACCCCTTCCCGGCCAAGCAGCAGCGCACCCAACGCTCGGATGACCGGCAGCGCCCACCCTCTCGCAATGAGAATGGGTTCAAGGGTCCGGACATCTATGATCGCTTTGGCAACCCGGTCAACTTCCAGGACCTCCAGCGCAAGTTCAGCTCGAGAGGACGCGAAGCGGAGCTCATCGCCTATGCGACTGTCATCATGCCGAACATCGGTCTGTCGACTACGAGCTCTGACCCCCATGACCCCACGTGGACGGTTGACTCGGGATGCACTCGCCATGCTGCTTACCAAGAGGCCTGGTTCAAGGAGATCCGCTCCTACGCCGGCGCCATCATGGTCGGTGGCAAGCACCAACTAGCCATCCGCGGCATTGGTGATGTGGTCCTCGAGGTGGTTGACACTACCGGTACTACCCGCCTCATGGAATTTCGTGATGTGCTATACGTGCCGGACATGAAGTTCAACCTCCTGTCCATCGCCCAGGTGCTGAAAATGGGTATTCGCCTTGTCTTCAACAGCACTCGCTGCACCTTCTTCGTGGGCAAGGACTACAAGGTCCACGTCGAACTCGCGTCGGACATGAACCTGTTCCAGTTCAAGCCGAAAATCCCACTCAAGACGCCCAGCGCGCTCGTGGCCCCAACTCCTGCGGACGATCAACCCGCCAATGCCCTTGTGGCTCAATCAGGTATGGACCCTGCTGTCTTATTGTGGCACAAGCGTCTCGGTCTTCTAACTTTCGTGTGATGCAGACCATGTCTAGGACCCAAACGACCCCTGAACTGGCGTTCTCTCAAGCATCAGCGATCCCCAAACACTTCTGCCCCTCGTGCATCTTTACTACAGCACACCGTGCTCCATTCAATAGCAATGTTGATCGCTCTAAAGTCCCTCTTGAAAAAGTTCATTCTGACATCAATGGCCCCTTGCCTTACCCAAGCCTTAGTGGCGCTCACTACTTCATTACGTTCATTGATGACTACTCGCGCTTCATGCACCTATATGTCGTTGCGCGCAAGTCGGTTGTACGATTGCTATGAGAAGTTCCGAAAGGCAGCTAAAAAACGCTTCAACACTGAGGTCGGTACCCTGGAAACCCAATTCTTCCAGTATGACCCTGAGGTGCAACGACTTCAGAGCGACAATGGTAAGGAGTACGAAAAGCTCGGCCAGATCATAATTGATCGCTATGGCACGCATGCCCAGTTCACCAACGCGTATACACCTCAACAGAATGGCGTGGCTGAGCGCCGGATGCGCACTATCCTAGAACGTGTGGGTGCCCTACTCATCGATGGTGATCTACCCCGCCAACTTTGGGGGGAGTGCTGCCAGTACGTCGCGCACCTTATCAATGTGACTACTAGTAGTGTGCTTCCTAAAGGCATCACTCCCTATGAGCTTTGGCATGGCAAGAAACCATCTTTCACGTACATCAAAGTGTTTGGATGTGCGGCATTCGCTCTTACACCAGAGCCGCATCGCAACAAACTAGAGGCGCGCGCTAAACTGTGCATGTTTGTGGGCCTTCCCCAAAACAAGAAAGGGTATCGCCTTCTCAGCACGACGGAAAACAGAATCATTTACAGCCGAGATGTCACGTTCAAAGAGGACACATTTCCTAACCTCACCTATTTAGAACGGGCCACTCCAAACCCTCTCAGCACCTCCCTGCCTGTTCAAAAAGAACTCCTGCCTCCCCTAAGTGCGCTACTAAAACGCAACCAAGCCTCGCTGGTGGCCACTGATGCTGACGTGTGTACCCCTTCCGCTAAGAAGGTTAAGACAAAAGACGCCCTCGCCACCTACTCTAAGGCGCTACTGCTCAACGAGCCCATTGACCTGGAAGAGGAACATACCCTTCATCATACCGTCATTACTCTCTTAACTGCTCGCTATGACCCAGACCCTAAGACCTACAAGGAAGCCATGCGCTCCCCACATGCATCTGACTGGCACGCTGCTGCCCTCTCTGAATATCGGTCGCTCATGGAAAACCAAACGTGGACACTGGTGCCGCGGCCGCACAATCGCAAGGTGCTCCAGTGCAGATGGGTTTTCGTGCGTAAGCGCGATGAAACTGGTCGCGTTGTGCGCTTTAAAGCTCACCTGGTCATTAAAGGCTTTCAGCAAAAGTACGGTATCGACTATACAGAAATCTTCTCTCCTGTCGTCCGCATGGAAGTCCTTCGACTGCTGCTCACGCTTGCAGGAATCCTTGACTATGAAATTGAACAGATGGACGTTAAAACGGCTTTCCTCAATGGTTCACTCGACGTAGAAATCTTCATGGAACAGCCTGAGGGATTCACCTCAAAGGATCGCCCTGGCCTCGTATGCAGCCTTGGTAAGAGCCTATGTGGCCTCAAGCAAGCACCTCGTGTCTGGTATCACACCTTTGCTAAGTACCTCGAACGTCTGGGTTCACTCGCCTAGTTAAGGACCGTTGCGTGTTCTTTAAGGTTATATTCAATGCGCCGTGTTACATCTCGGTTTACGTCGATGGTCTGCTGATCATCTCCCCGTCCAAACATGTCGTTGCTCGGGTCAAATCGGCCCTGAGTTCCGAGTTCCACATGAACGATTTAGGGGGAGTATCCTACCTCCTTGGCTGGACAATTGAAAGGAACCGAGCTAACCGCTCCATCTTCATCCACCAAAAGAGCTACGCCACCAAAGTGCTAGATAGATTCTCAATGTTAGACAGTCACCCAAAGAGCACGCCAATCGCGCAGAAGCTTAGTGCCACCGACTGTCCTACCGACGACGATAGTAAGCCTATGATGGCCAACAAACCGTACCGAGAAGCTGTAGGTAGTTTCATGTACCTGATGACGGGTACTCGTCCTGACCTCGCCTACATCATCCGTGAAGTTAGCCAGTACCAGGGCTGCCTCACTGGAATGCTGTAAAGCATGGTCTTCACCACCTCAATGGCACAAAAGACTTTGGCATCACTCTTGGTGGAGTGGAAAACCTCGAGCTCCTACAGTCAGATGAATATCTCATGGCTTATACGGACTCAGACTACGCAGCATGCCAAGCACACGACGCTGCATCGGTCGTTATATCACTATGTTCTGCAACAGTCCCATTAGCTGGGTCTCACGGAGACACCACACAGTCGTGCTCTCCACAACGGAAGCAGAGTATATCGCACTCTGCTACTGCATGCAAGAGCTGATCTACTTAAAACTACTGCTAAGAGAACTAGGCTACGAGAGCTCAAAGCCCACACTGATCATGGAAGACAACCAAAGTTGCATTAAGATATGCAACAACCCAGAGCTTCACGGCAGGAGCAAACACATTGACATTAAGTACTTCTTCGTACAGGAGAAGGTGGCGCGCAAGGAGTTCACTGTCAGCTATTGCAACACCAATGCAATGTGCGCTGACATCTTCACTAAACCTTTAGCGAAGCCACTATTTGAGAAAATGAGAGAGCTATTACGTGTGTCCCCACCACAATAATGAGGGAAAATTTATAGAAGACTTTGCACATTGATGATAAATAAAAGAACAATTTAATGGTGAGAGCATTTTAGTTTATTGTCTGAAGATTTAAAACCCACCGTGAAATCCTCTCCCGACATGTCCTTCGCGAATACCAGACTCTGAACGGACGCACAAATGCGAAGAAGTTCATCCAGCGACACTCCTCCACAGGCTTCTCCTTGCCCTTGTCGATAATGGTCTTGCACTGGCCCCCGTCCGCCACGCGAAGCACAACTGCATGGCCCACGAATCGGACGTTGTAAGCCGCCACGATGTACAGTCCATCCGTAACACCCTTGTCCGGAGTCAGCTCGCTCAACACACGCGGCCCGCGACGCTCTCCTTGGACGTAGTTGTTCTAGATCATCTCGTTAATCTTGAGCGCAGTCCCATGCTGGCGCAGCTTGCGCAGGAAAGCTGTGAACGGCTTCCAATTGCAGCCCAGGTTCATGTCCACGTCGAATTTGCTCTTAGCCTCGGCGAAGAAATCATCGATCACCGTCTGCGGAACCAGGTTGGGGCGCTCGAGAAGGTTGGCCGCAACTGTCATAGCCCGAAACATGCAGGAGTAGTCCTCGCCTGCAGCAATGATGGCCCTGCCGTACCAGTCAGTCTTGCAAAACTCGCGGAAGTGCTCCATCCTGCTGTTCTTGAAGCGCAGCGCCAGCCAGCACTCCTCGCGGTGAGTCTCCAACATATTCTCGAGCGGCTCCAACGAGCGGTAGCGTTTGCTAGTAGGCTTCGGACGCCAATCCCACAGCACGCTGACGAAGGTCTTACTGATAGGGATGCCGCCCTCCTTCTCGTTGGGCGGCTCGATCATGATGAAGTCGTCGATCTGCCAAACGTCCCAACGCAGCGTGGTGTCTGGGTCCCAGTGTGGCTCCTCCGGCTCCTCGTCCGACGAGAACAAGTCATCGTACATCCCCTCGCCCGCAGAGCCAGTATCACTGAGGTCCTCACTGCAAACATCATCACTATCTACATATTCATTGTCGGAAATCTCCTCAGCGGATGATAGGGGCGACTCGTACAGCGGGAGCCGATTGGGCTTCACCATGGACCTCTTTTGACTGCTCCTAATTTTAGAATGGGTTCTGAAGTCTCTAACCCAATGCCGCCGGATTTTTAAAGAGTAAGAAGTCCCAGTCAGTACCACTAGTGTTTGACATGCTGATATTGATCTGATATCTAGAACGAAGCCTGAACCAGATGTCAGCCCTCACGAACAACTGACTGTTTGCAGCAGGGGAGTGTCAAGAATATCACCTGCACATCAGTTGTACACAAACTTCGTAAAAGGTTTTGAGTAATTACCCCCCCCCCCCGCATCTAGACCCATTCTAGTGTACCAGATCTGGCAGGGCCTAGATGGTTGGCCACGCGTCGTCGCACCAGGCCGCTGCCTGACTTGCTTCTTGCTCTCTCGCTAACCTGAATACATATCACTTTCCAATCTTCCCTACGTCTACGTCTTTCCTTCTCTCCCGTCTTCGACCTGCGCAAGTGCTCAAGCTGATGGCTCGACAAGTTGAGCCAGTGTCCAACGTTACGCGCTGCCTGGATACTGTACTTCGTCACTGCAAAGCACAGTAGACGTCTCGTTGAAGTGCCAAAACCGCATCTTGATGGTGATTGCCAACCAGGCTGTTTGAGCATATCGTTCTCTGACAAAAATGACCATATGTAGCGTGACAATTGACCGGCTTCATCGTCAATACACTGTAGGAAACGTCAATACCAGCACCATATTGTCCTAGCAATGTTTATCTGTTCGAACCAACTGCACTTCTTTCGGGTGGCAAAGATTTCTTATATACCCACTCGGCTTTGCCAGCAGACGAATAATACAAATCCTGCTGGTTTGATTGCCACGAACAGGGGTATCTTTGATGCCTTCACTCGAGGCAAGTAGTACACATACGCTTAGGGGTCTCATACTGAAGTAAGTAGGACTGCACTTCCTTAATTCAACATGACAACCATCAAAGTAGGTAAAAGGTGTTGTACATGTATTGTACCGTAGCTCGTCGTAAAAAGTCAGTGTATTAATGTTAAAAGTACACAACAAGTTACTCTACGACGTACTAATTGCTTGATCCAACCTCATTGACGCAGCTTTCTCTAGGTAGAAGCTTGTTCAGAGACATCCACAAAGTTTGATCGAATTGCCACACAAAGCTTGAGCATGTTGCCACCTGGATTCGACCCCACGATAGAGACTGCACTACCAAGTCGCAGACCTTTTTGTCATCTCGGTGAACGACACCTTTCTGACAGGCCGAACTGCTCTTTATCCGTAGTGGAAAACGTATGGCGGTTTGTATGCCCCCATCTTGAAGTTGCTCGTGCGACGACACCATGCCGCGCCGATCCGCTCGTCCTCCGCGACCATTTCCGCCACGAGGACGCACGCGCCCGCCCAGCGCAATGCAGTGCAGCGCAATACAATACAACGCTATGCAATGCAAGAGTCGATGCGTCGACAAAGATGCCAAGTTGGCACTGCGCCGACCGAGGTCTGCGTCCGTCGCGACCGTCAAGCAATCGTCACGACGCCGGCGGGCGGGGATGGACACGCCTGTGATCGATCGGGGCGTTGCCACCTCGCCCACCTCCACTCGCGCGGGAGGGCCCTGGGCCTTTCCAGAGCAAGAGCAAGAGCGCAGCACTAGCGCAGCACCGCCGACCGACCGGTTGTGCGTGAATAAGCTGCGCCGCGTCTTATTCAAAGCGTTATTCGCCGTGTTTTCGCTCAGCCTCGGGGCCGAGGCAGCTCGGGGTGCGGCCACTCGCTCACGCTGGAACGCGCACCGCTTGGATAGTCAGGGTGGAGGAGATTTGAGATGCTGTGGGCCTTGCAGCTGACTCCGCCGCTGCCTATCCATGCCCAGGTTTTATGGCTTCAAGGCCTTTCGTTTCGCGCGAGTGCCGCTGCCGTTGCACCTGTGTATGACGGGCGAGCGGGGGATCGAGAGATCAAGATCGAGACCGGCGTGGAGGAGACCGACCCAGTGACAGGCAAACTGCTCGACGTTCAACCCGAAGGCGCGGCCTCGAGCCGCGAGAGCCACACTTGCCTCCGTGCAGGCCAACAGCTGCGGACGCCGAATATCTACGCGCCGGCCTGTCGCGTTGCATGAGCGCGGTCAACGAGCTCACCAGCTGAGCGCCCGTCGAGTCAGCTTTTCTCCTGCTCTGCTCTGCTCCGTTGGGGAATCGTGCTGCTGGTTGTTGTGTGTGTTGTGTCCGCTGTCAACGTGAACTTCCCCATCTTTGCGGGGCTTTTGCTAGTCACCTCTGCACAGGTGGACAGCTCAGCCGCCAGCCGGCGGACGGCGCCGAAGTGGCAAGGGACATTTAGCAGAGCCCGTCCGGATCTCGCCCAATACTCGCCGGATGGCCCGCTACAGAGCCACAAGTGTCAAGGCCCCATGTGCTGTGCCCCAGCGTCCGCGTCATGTCGCTGGCATCTTGAGAGCAGCAGCAGCGAAACCCGGCAGCTGGTGCACCGCCGCCGCCGCAACTGGTGACAGCCCCGCCCGCCAGCTCCGCGAACGCTAGGGCGGAGCGCTCCATGTCTCGCCGAGTTGCCCCAAACCGAGGCGAAAGTGCACACTCCGAGCGACTCGGGGCTTTGCCGCCGATAGAATACGCATCGCGCAGGCAGGAACAGCCACACCCAACCAGCCGCAGCGGTGGCAAGCTAATGACAGCGAGCTGCGCCCACCGCCAGCGTTTTTGTCTGCGGGCCAGCGATCTACTGCATTATATCCGGTGTTGACGAGGCGATAGCCCCCCGGTATGAAGCAGTGCCGCCACGTATCGCTGGATAGGCAAGCGCGGTCTAATGCGCCGCCGCGCGATTGGGATCTGGATCCACCGTGCAAGCGGACCACCACCGCACAGCAGCGAGCGAGTTGAAGTGCATGGCATTGCATTGCACTGCACTGCAGTGGAGCGGCGACCTTGCTCGGCCACCGCCCGCAGCGGAAGCTTCTGGGCTGGCGCCGGCAGGGCACGCCAGCTAACTTGGCATCCCCTCAAAAATTGGCCCGCCTTCACGTTGCACACGCTGCGATACGGGAACATGGCAGCCCCATACAACAAAGCTGAGCTACATGCAAGCTCGCTCAGCCGTTAAGGCCGCGGTCCCACTGTCGAGGCCGCGGCGCGATCTTCCGGCATAAATCACCGGCCGTTACCGCTGCAACGCTAGTCAAGCTGCAGACGCAGAAGCCGCCGCGCGCGATGGCGGCACAGAAGAGGCTTCCGGCAATGTGGCGGACGCGTCTTGGTGGAGCCGCCGTTTCGCTCGGCCACCGGTGGCTCCAAGCAGGCCTTGAGCCAAAACAACCAAGCCGCAAAATAAATCAGCGCCACCGCTGAGGCCGGCAGCTTTAGGCTTGAGGCTCGCGCTGTTTCGCTTGACTAAGGCTGCGTTTGCAACGCCCAGAGACCGCCCACAAATTTGGCTCGCTGGCCTGAGCCACCTGCCTGCTGGCCCGAGCTCACCCAGCTCGGCTCAGCCTGCTGCTGCAAGTCTCAGGTCTCAGGTTTTTGTAATTTTACAGCAGCTTTTCGCTTCGATAACAAAGTGAGCCCCAACCTGTCAGCGACAATCGCGGCAAAAAACAGCCGAGTGCAGAAAAGCATGCGAGAGAAAAATCTGCTCCGATCCAAATCCTCTGATCGAAGGCGCTGTGACGAATCCGAGAGGGAAAGTCACACTTGGTACAGATCGAGAGGGTTAACGTTAACTCGACTGCCCCCAGTTCGACCGGCTGGACACCACTGCACCCCACTGCCATTTGCGAATTTGAACTTGAACGCGCAACTGTACCGAACCACCGTACAGCTCGCGTTTGGGGGGAATACACCACCACTAGACTACATCGCACACACACTACATGTTAACCGCACCCGACAGGATGGACGCCAACCCGTGGATCATGAACAACGACCCCGCCAGCTACGACCACCAGGCGCTGCTGCAGCAGGCCGACGACATGAAGCGCCAGCTCCTGAGCAGCTGCAGCCCCACGATCAACCTGGCCTCGACGTCCACGTCCACGATCGCCAGCACGCCGCTGCTGCCGTCGTTCGGCAGCATCAGCCCGGCCAACACGACGCCCGCCACGCGGTTCCCGGCCGTCGGCGGCGGCAGCTCCCTCCTGGCCCCGCTCAAGCTCGAGTACTGCAAGTTCCAGGGCTGCGCCAACTTCGGCAAGATGCAGGGCTACTGCCACGACCACATCCACGGCCGGCCGGCCACCCACCAGACGCAGCTCCAGTCGCCGCCGCAGGCCCCGTTCGCGCCGACCAACCCGCTGCCGAGCCTCGTGCTCCCGAGCCAGCAGCCCCAGTATCTACCGGCCCTGCGGACGGTGGTGCCCACCCGGTCACGTTCTCCGATCCGCCAGTCGGTCTCAGTCTCGGCCTACCCGAGCTACGACAGCTCGGTGCAGCCCGGTAGTCCGCTCTACACTACGACGACGCCCGTGGCCTACACCAAGCGGTCCCCGATCTACACCGAGCACACGACGTTCCTGTCCGCCCCGCTGAGCAAGAAGCCGCGCGTGGTGGCCAGCCCCACGCCCTCCACCGGCAGCACCGGCAGCTCCAAGCCCGTGGCCAAGTGCCGCCGCGACGGCTGCCTCAACGACGCCAGACGCAAGGGCCTCTGCATGGAGCACGGCGGCCGCCACTTCTGCAAGATGGCTGGCTGCCAGAAGTGTGCGCACCGCGGCGGCTTCTGCATCTCGCACGGCGGCGGCCGGCGCTGCGCCGTCGCCAACTGCACCAAGAGCGCGCAGTCCGGCGGCATCTGCTACTCGCACGGAGGCGGCAAGCGCTGCGCCACCGAGGGCTGCACGCACGCGGCTCGCAGCGGCGGCTTCTGCATCAAGCACGGCAAGCAACAGCAGCAGCTCCAGCAGCAGCAACAACAACGACAGTGCTAAACGGATATGATACAGTATAACAACGAGAGCGTACCAATACCATGTAGATAGGATGTATTCAAGAGGGTACTTAGTATGTTATGAGGCGTATGATGGAAATGTAGGGCCAAGGAGCTCAATACACACTGTATCACTAGCAATCCTTCTTGTCATGTCGTAACTAACTCCGTTCATAGTGAGTGTGGTCTTTATCCGCCTGTTTGCTTGACTGCCGGTCTAACAGGACGTAATAACGCTCGCTGCAGCACCAAGTCGAGCTCTTCCTGAGCGTCCTCCAGCGTGCGGTCACACGTCACCTCACTAATCATGTGGCGACGATTTTTGCCAGTCGATAACCAGCCCAGCAGGTCCGCGGACGCGAGTTCCAGGTCGTCCTGAGCCACATCGAGCATGCGCCGCGTGACTTGGTCGGGCGTGCGCTCCTCCAGCACCTCCAGCGCCGTGGTGAAGTGCACGAGCGTCGAGAAGGACCCCAGTCGACGATCCAATTCCCAGAGTTGCTGAGCCACGTAACGAGGTGGCGAAGAACTTGACTTGGATGGGGCAGCGTCATCTGGATGGGACGAACAAGGGAAGCCGTCAAGGCAGTAGACACTGTGGCTCGAGGATGCAATCACCGTCTCGAGGATTTCAAGCGCCTGCGAACTGCTCGAAACGTGGCGGAGATCGACGAATCCGACCAAGTTTCGACGACAGAAGCCGCGCGCCGCTGTCTGGTAGAACGAGTACGGGTGCCCCACCACTCCAAACAAGCGCGGACGCAGGCGAGTCACCAAGTCCTGAATTACTCGGGAAGAGCCGTAAGGCGTGTTTTCGAGGAATCCCACAACTTCAAGTGAAATCGAAGACGTGGACGACGTCGCGAATGTCTGAAGTAGCTGAGAGAGCGGCGGACTCAACGCCTTCATCACCTTTTTCCACTTCACCCCACCTCTCGAAGGTAGAGCGGTAGAATCTTCGCCGTCGCTGCCGGTGTTTTCCTCGAGTACTTGGACGTGGCCCTGCTCTTCATCGGAATAATCCTCCGAGTCCACATCGTCCGTCGCATCCGGAGCCCGCGCGCGCACTGGGACGTGCTGCAAGATGAGGATCTTCAGCATGGCGCGTCCAATATGCGCTTCCAGCGCGTGGTAAAAGCTTGGTGTCTCAGGCGCTCTCACGACCAGACAGCGCGGGCTCTGGACAGCCTGAACACGGCGTTCAAGCTCGTGGATGAGCTCGCACTCGTCGTTGTCATTTTGTTGGAGCTGAATGACGCCGTAGCCCAGCGGAGCAACAACAGCGCGAAGCTGTCGCAGGTCCAGCGCGCCGACACTACCTGTTACCGCCACAATTTGCTTGCGGAAGAAGGTTGATCGCAGTTTTGCTGCCAAACTTTGGATTGAGGCTGAGGCTGTCGGCGAGCTGGTCAGGTCCAGCTGCATAATTTTTGGTTGGGCGTCGAAGACTGCAACGAGGTCGGGTGCGACAGGCGAAGCTGAAGACGAGTCGAGGATCGCAAACTGCACGAGCTTTATCAGATCTGCGGCTTGAGCTGCAGTGCGTGGATAGCCGTACAAGAGGAGCTTCTCTCGTCCGGCGTGAGCGCGCAGCAAGAACTCGCGCAGCTTTTGCGCAGTTGAAGCACCACCAGACAGAGCGCACTCGACCCAGATAAATCCTTGCGACTTGGCAACGGCTTGCAGTGACTCGAGTTGCCCGTCGTCCCTGCATTCGCCCAAAAAGCAGCCGATCACCGGAGCCAGCGGCGCCGCGTGCAGTGCAGAGCACAGCGCGTTACGATCAACACGAACCGTTGAGTCAATCCAGACTTGTGTGGCGATCCCTCGCTTCTGGAACGCGTTTATCCATGCGGGAAATTCTGGTGTTGGGCTCTTCTTCTCCTTCTGGTTGCAGCTTTCGACCACCAAAACACTTTGAGGACTTCCAATCGCCTGCTCCAGCTCCGCCGCTTGGATCTCGGACCATGGGAAGCCGTGCAGCACGAACTTTTGAGTTAAAGTGTTGGTGCCAGGGTGAGAACCGAGTAGCACGCGTCGCAGTAGCGTGAGGAGTAGACTTGGTGGAATGGTGGACCCAGAACGCACCAATTGAAGCATCAGGCGGGTTTCATCCGAGTCGTCGCTCGAACTTTTCATGATGGCGATAAATGCGTCGAAGGTGAGTAGATGAAATCCAAAACTCGCAGCCACCTCCGTCCAGACATCCACGGGCACAAGCTTCTTCGGGTCTGCAACGATTACGACGTTGGGGTCGAATACAGTTTGAAACAGTCCGTGGAGAGCTCCAGTCTGGTGAAGGTGCTGCGGGTTACTCGCCGATGTCGAAGGCAGGGTGAAGTGCAGGGTTGGTATGTCAAATGAAGGCGAACGCTTCATCCCACTCGAACTCTTGCCATTCGACTGTTGCGTCTCCAAGTGAACGAAGTAGTTAATCTGCCAGTCGACTGGGGCTTGGGCCTTGAATTCGCGATGGAACACCGACGAGTTGGTGAACTCGTCACACCCAAACAACACGCAACGACGGCGACCGCACTCCTTCAGAGTTTTTACGAGGCTACCAACGGCAGTACTCAATGCCGTGTGCTTCTTCATCTCACTGGCGACGTCAACGAGCTGGTAGCGAGCATCCTTCAGCCGTTCTTGAAGGATATCGAAAACGGCAGAGCGCAAGGTATTGTTAATCGTAGCGTCCAGAGTGATCGCGACAATCTTGCGGGTTTTCAGGTTCGTTTTCTCCTTGGGTTCACTCTTAGAGTTGGCCAGAGGTTTGGTAGCGCGTGTTTGGGTGTGAGGTTCGTCGTATACTTCTGACCCCTCCTCCAATCCACGCGATCGATACGTCACAAGCCACTCACCAAGCCATCGACAGGCTTCCAGGGGATCCGTCAGCTTCTTCTCCACTAGTTCCTTCAATCCTTGAGTCAAGACCTTTTCAACACTGCTCTCAGCCAATCCCGACAGCACCATCGGTCTCCGAGCCAGAGTTTGAGCACTTGACAGGGTTTTGTTTGCAGCTGATGACGCCGATACGGCACTACCGAAGAAGAAGTACAGCTCGCGTGCTGCACTCGCAGTAGCGTCGCTGCCGTGGGTAGCGTTTCTCGTGCCATCCACTCCGAAACGAGCCCTCAACGACCATGGATCCGTCTCCCGAGCTTTGATGCTGTTCGTAGGCCCCATCAGCGCTCGCCAGGCTTTGATCGCGTGTGGACGCGACAAGTGCAGAGCTACGATCTCCCCGCTGGTCATGAAGCCCAACAGCGTCTCGAAGAAGGGCTTCCCGCGGTGCTCAGCGTAAAACGCGCCAGCTTGATCGCGAGAGAGCAGCAAGCGGCGTTGACGCTCCACTGTGAACCCGAACAAGCTGATCATGCGCAGGATTTCAGCCACGATCTCCGGGTTGCAGGCGGCATTCGGCTTGATGAGACCCAGCGTGGACTTGATTGGAGTCCCCCTCTGCGAACCACCAACGGAAACCTCACGAGACTCGCTGCTGATACTCAACTTTGAGTCGAAGGAGAGGAATAAACCGCTTTCGAAGCCTAAAGTATCGTCGTCCGCAGTCTCGTTGGGGAAAAGTCCTTTTGGGAGCTCTACTGTCCGCAGCTTGGAGGGGACCTGACCTCGGACGGAGTCTGGGAAGTAGAGCTTGGCCATCTCCACGTTCGCTGGACCCAACGCGGAGCGAAGTGTGAAGCTCAAATCGAGACCTTCGATAACAATGACCTCGACGCCTTTGTCGCCTACAACTTCGTCCATAAGCTGGATCACACCGTCACACACCTGACGCAGTGGCCCTTCATCATCAGCACGTGGAAGCCCACAAAGAGCGATGGCTTCGTCGCCTGAAAGAGTGCATCCCTGTGTATTCTCCACGATGATCGCTCGACACTCCTTGCCGATAATTGACAGCAGAATCTCCTTGCCGTCGGGAAAATTCAACTGGAACGAGGGCAGTAGCACGATGGTAGCTCGCTCCAACTGCGGTGCTGACGGCGGGAACAAGAAGAACCTCTCTCGACGTGAACAGCACGCGTGTGGACTGCTGGAGATGCCGTTCTGGACCGTGTTAAGACCACATAAAGCTCGAAGAGGCCACTGATCATGGGGTATCGACGCTGCGAGCGCCTTCTTGCGAGCCGCCACCGGGTCCCAATCGCCCGCGAGCTCGACCCACTTCTTGATCCCGGCGTTGGCGTCGCCCAACGCTAGCGCTGCCGGTAGCTTGAGCAGCAGCGCGAGACTGGGTCCGCTTGTAATGGCAGCCAGGAAGGCGGCATAAGTCTGCTCGTCGTCGCCGTACCGGTGGTGTAGCTCAAAGGAGAAGAGGTGTCTCGCCTCCGTGCGGGTCAATTGAATCATTCGCCGCTGGAGGATCTCGAAGCCCTTGTCCTTGATGCGAGCGATAACGCTGGGGATGATGTGACCATTTGGCAGCAAGAACGCAGCTTCGACTGCTGAGACTCCCGGGATGGACGACGCTACAGATGCAGATGCAGATGGCGTGGCGTCGTCACCATCGTCCAGTTGGTCGACGCCGCCACCTGTAGAGAACTTGAAGTAGCCCGTCGCGATCTCCGGCTTGAGCAGCACCACCACAAAAGCCTCTCCGCCCATAGCCCCTGCGTAGGATAGAATACACGAGCAATGGTGAAGGATCCGCGATGGAGAGACGCGTCGTTTCAAAGAGGAGGTTGGCTGGTTGGCATTATCCTGCTGTAGTTACTGGAGACTTTCACGTTCGACTTGTAGACGCAACGATACCATTGAGATCACTCATGCACGCTCCACCGGCAGCTGATCCAATCAACGGCCTCTGTAGGTGAAGTTGGTGCCGCAGAAGCACCTCATATGCTCACACCCCGAGAGCTTGAGGACGCCGACACCGCAGCGCGGACACTGCATGCCCCCGAGCAGCTTGACCATCTTGGCGTACTCGACGTCCGAGCGGAGGCTGGTCGACTGCCACTCGCGCTCGCTCAGGAACCGCGTGTACGTCTCGAAGCCCGAGGGTTCGAGCGCGTCCTTGACGTACTCGATCGGGAACTCCAGTCCGCAGCAGTGCGCCGGCACCATCGACCGGTCGCGGACCCCCATCGAGCAGCGCTTAGCGACGCAGGACTTGCAGAAGACGTGGCCGCACGACACCACGAGGAGGACGGGCCAGCCGTGGATCGGAGTCCCTGGAGGGCAACCGACACCGAGGCAGCTCACGCACGTCCGAGTGTCCGAGAGCCTCCGCTCAAGAGGATTCGACACCGTGTCGGGGGCCTTTGGCTTGCCTCGAAGACTCCAAGTGCCGCACATAACCCCTCCTTTTGGTGAGTGAGCTACGACCGAGAGCGGCATTGCCGGGTGGCGACTTGGGACGCGGCAGTCGAGTTGGAGCGCAGCGCGTTCTTCATCTCCCCACCGATGCCACCGTTAGATCGGACGCCAGGAAGCGCCAACCACATGCTCGCACAGTTGACGGACAGTGACCTTGCCGTTGGTGCAAGATGAGAAATCGCCAAGCACGACTTTGCACTGTCGCGTGCTAAGCGGGGACTCCAACGCGCAGCGAGAACTGACGTGGTGGACGAGCTCGTATGCAGGACGTGGGGGTCACAAGCACCAGCTCGGTGGTCGGCCTGCACATCGGATTGATCAAGGCGCCGTGATCTTCGAGCTGATGGACGACCAACCACTCGACTTCGGTGCGTCCACAATCCTTGTAAGTTACTGTATGACTCACGCCCGTCGTAAACACGAGGAGCTTGACGTCCACAAGCCCAGCTGTCGTTGTGGACTTTGAAGCTGCGTCCTCTTTTTACTTGTCCTGTAGGTAGGCTGCGTATCTTTGCGCAGGTGCAGGTAGCGTGACGTCCGGAAGTCAAGGTGCACCTGCTTTGGTGGCGATATCCAACTCTGCGCGTGCATTTCCAGCGGAGACCGAGGGAATCGTGTGGTGCTGCCTCACTTTCGCTTTCGCGCTGCGCTACAGAGGCTCCATCCGATGCCGTCCAAGCTGCAGCAGGACCGGTACCCGCAGATCTCGCTCTCGGACGAGGAGCGCGCCAAGTATGACCTCTCCGCGCGCATCTTCCTGCTGGAGACCATGGCCGAGCGCGCCAAGTTCGACCCGGACAACATCGACCCGACCCAGTGGGAGTACGTGCGGCGGCGCCAGTCCATGAGCGTCTACCACAGCGTCAAAGGCACACCGGACCCGGCCGTGCTGCTCATGCTCGGGACGGGGCTCATCGACGGCTCGATCGAGGACGTCATGAACGGACTTTACTGCGACACCACGGAGGACTTGCGCGTTGGCAAGGTGTTGCTGGGGTATCCGCTGGCAGGGGGCGCCGTCATGAACGTCAGCGAGCGGAGAAGCGCCAAGGATCCCTACCGCTTCGCTGGCATCAAGTGGTTCGCGGCGAAGTCCGTGTGGGGATTGATGCGGGATCGCGATGTATTAACCTACGAGCGGATGGGACTGACCGTCGATGCGGACGGCGAGCAATGGGGGTATCATACGCTGCAGTCCACGCGTCGTCCCGAATGGCCGATGGAAGCCATCCCTGGCATGCAGCGGCAACACACAGCCACGTGCTACCTGTACCGACCGCGTCGCGATATCAACAAGACCGAGATCTTCATGTGGGGCTCCATCTACAAGTTCGGCAAGTACCCGGACAAGGTCATCTACTACGGAGTCGCCACGACCTGGTTGAACGTTGTTCACAGCCCCAAGAGCGGCCACGCCAAGAAGTTCAGCGCGTTGATGGAGCGAGCCGACAGCCACGGATGGACGCCGTCGAGGTTCGTACACTGCCTGCAATGTATTGCCTGCTACGATGGTGAGATGGATACAGGATCCGTAACTCGGCTTGCTCTCCTCTTGGTTGTGCTGTAGCAAATCGTGCCATGTGTGTTCGAAGCAACCTCTTCTGGGCAGCTACGCCACGTGCGCGGGCTGTCACCAGGTACGACACAACGCGTAGTGCCTCGAGGATGCTGAGAGTGACGCGAGGCTAACACTCACTCTTGCTGCCTGTACTGTAGAGCGTGTGCAAGGACTGCTCGCGCCAGAAGAACATCTTCGCGCTGGATGCCAAGGGCAAGAAGCCGCTGCGCCGGTTGTTCTGCGTGTTATGTATCAAGAGCGTGATCGGCAGCGCGCACTGGAGCGTGGACGACCACATCGAGGCCAGTCGACTTGAGTCCGAGCCCGAGTTCTTCGCGACGATGTCGAGTCTCACGGGCACGGAGAGCGTCAGCACTGGACGCAGCGACAGCATCTTTGGCGACAACCGTAGCGACCAGCTCGCGGATCCGTTCCGCCCGCGGGTCTCAACTTCTCCCACCGCGAGCTTCCCCGTCTTAGGCACTCGTGGGCCGCTGGACCCGGAGGCGCAATTGGTCCTGGACTGGTAGTCTACTAGCAGCAACAAATTGTCAGGTATATTAACACACAACACGTATTACCCGTGGTAGGGAGCTGGATACTCTTCGACTCACAGTCTGTGGCGGCGATGAGTAGGCGGGGTAGCCACAGACGCCGCTGACTGCTTGAACCTCTTTCGGTACCTTCTTGCAGTGCCTAAGGCGTCTTCGAGTCAGCTTCAACAGCCTCACAAGATACATTTCATGGTCAGTTAACTGGTGGTTGTCCTCCACTGCGAGAATGCGATAACAAACGCATTGCTGCCCCCGCACGCCACCAGCGTAGCGTTTGCAGATGACGGAACTTCTGTGCGTCGTGACGGCCAGCTTCAAGAACCGCCACATGGCCATCGATTGTTGAGTCGGTCGCCAGTCTGCGGCGGCGAAAACGGGTCGTGGCGCTAGCGTAACGCGAGGAGCCCCCCCCCCCTTTGGCCCTCTGTATCATCCGAAAGTGGAGAGGAGTTTGTTTGTCATCTCAAAGCGAGCTGCTTTTTCATGTGAAAGCATGGTAAGCATGGCAATCCAGAAATTGTCTCGTTCAGACCAACGCACTGGGAACCATATTGGAGGGCGGATGAAGAGCTTTGGAAGAGAAAGGAAACAGGGGGGATTTGACTCAGTCATCAATATTATTGTGTTTATCGTCGAAAACGCTTAGGACAAGACAATGCCACCAAATTCGGGGATGGCCGGCGGCTCACGCTCCGCGTCGATCGATGCCAGCGCGGGTCGCTTCCCCTTCTGCGTCGTGTGGTCGCCGCTCCCCTTCATCACGTGGGTGCTGCCGTTCATCGGCCATCTCGGTATCGCCGACTCGGAAGGGTGAGCGCTGGAAATCGTTTTATCATGTTAGAATCTTAATATATAAGCTATATTTTGTTTCGACAGAATTATTCACGACTTCGAGGGTACGGACACTATCGGTCGGGACAACTTTCTGTTTGGAGCTCCGACGCGATACATTCAGCTGGACGTTGCACCGGACCAAGTGACTCGCTGGGATGAAGCGGTGGCTAAAGGGTCTGCCACCTATGGCCACCACGCCTACAACTTCTTGTACGTAAATTTCGTTTTTGTTTTAAGTAAAATTACCTTATCGATACTTCCATTTGTTGTTGCTTGCAGCTTGGACAACTGTCACTCGTACGTGGCCGAGTGCCTCACAGAGTTCCCATTCAGCGGACGCAGCACCTGGAACATGGTGGTTCTCTGCTTCTGGATGTTTTTTCCGCGGAAAATACATCGACACTCGTGGGTTTCTCAAGACGTGGTTGCCATTCGCGCTCGTTGCCCTCGTTGCTACGAACTACTACGTGCTGCATTAGATGAGGAGAGAAATGATATCGAGCGGAGCATTCACTCGCAGCGTTACTCGAAGATGCTGCACGTATGTCAAAAGGTCAGTAGGAGTTGTGAAAAGGTGTACTTGTATTGTTGATCCTTAGCCAACAATTAAACGAGGTTGAAAGCCGCTACGGCGACAGTGCCGGCAGCAGTAATGAAGATCGAGTTGAAGGGCGCAGGAGCGCTGCTGGTGCTTGGAGTGCTTGAGTTCTGCGAGCTTGAAGATGGAGCCGCCGTAGTCGAGGTAGGAGTGGTGCTTGTTTTACTGCTGGACGAGCCTGAGGCAGTTGAGTTGCCAGCAGATGACGACGATCCTTCTACCGCCTCAGTGGTCCCCGACTCGGACGTTGCGCCAGATCCACCGCAGACGATGTTCGCCCACAAGCTTTCGTCCGAAGTCTTGGTCGCATCGTCTGGGTGAGAAACTCCGTCGGTCCACTGCACAACGGGGTTCGTGTCCATATCCCACTCGCAGCACGGGTCCCCGAGCTCCTGCCCGTTGGTTTGACCGTCGCCGTCTGTGTCAGCCATGCACAGCTCGGTGGTCCACTTGTTACCGGCCTCGGCAAACGCGTCGCCAAAGGCGTTCGTAGCAGCAGAGTCACCAGTGCCATCAGGGTGTCCAATTGCTGGGGTGTCGGGCACGTTGCCGCCGTTAGGAAGCATCGCCACGAACTCCAACGAGGCTTCGGTTGTTGGGGTAAGGAGTGTAGCTCCAGCCAGCGTAGAGAGGAAGCGAAGCATGTTCGGGGTGTTAACCTTCATGTTGGGTAGGTACGTTGGCACTTGCAGGGGTGAAGTCAAGTTACTGAGTGTTGGAGTGGCTTCCAGGTGGAGTGTTGTGGAATGAGGATTAAGTTCTCTTACTTCTTGAGCACGAACACTAACGGCTGTTTGAGTTCGGTGGTGCAGGCATGGGCAGTGGTGTTTCACAATGCATGCAATGTCTAACACTGGAATGCTGGATGCACGCGTCCAAAACATATATTTGCCTTCTACCGATATCCGGACACAAGAGCTGACTTAGCACGTGCTCGTACCAGATAAATTCTGTAATGCCATTATATCGCACAATTGTGGTGGGGCAAATGAGCAATGGTGGTGGTGGCGAATTAACTGAAGTTTCTGTCGAGCAAGGGCCAGCTTCTGCGGTAAGATGTCTACATTTCGCTACGGTATTCGTCCGGACAAAAGGATATGTATTCGCTGCAGCTGTACGCACCAAAGCTTGGAGTTTCGTTAGCTGAATATGCGTTCATTTGGATTGACAACGCGAATGTATTCTCATGTTTTAAGTTTGAAACGCGGTGGTACGCGTCGGCAGGAAAGAGAAGGAAACTATGCAATGAACTGTGTAGCGCTCTGTTAGGGCGTGGCAGTGATACTCGCACTGATGGAGCAAAAGTGTTGCCAGCAGACAGTTGGGTGAGACTAGCTCAGGAAGGCCATAGTAGTGATGACAGCTCCGACCATCGTGATGAAGATCGGTTTCATCGCCGATGCAGCACTGGTAGCAGGAGCGCTTGACCCGGAAGAGGTCGAGCTGGGTGTAGATTCCGCCGAGCTTGCGCTGCTTGCACTCCGAATTGAGCTTCGGCCACCCGTACTGGAAGCACTGAGGCTACCAACTTCAACAGCTGAGCTGCTTGATCCCGATCCCGAAGCACTCAGGCTGCCTGTGGTGGATCCAGAATGACTGGAGCTGTGCGTATGCATGTGCATGCTGGAGTCGTCGCTTTCCTCACTTTGGGAGTTCGCGCTTGAAGCGGTCGAGCCCGAGCTGGGGGAAATCGAGCCCGACGACGCAGAACTCGGAGCACTGGTAGCGCTTGGGGTGTTTGACGCCGAGCCGCTTGACGCACCAGCCGATTCCTTGGAGCTCGCAGTCGCCGTGTTCTCCACCCCCGTCGTCGATGAGGTTGAATACGTCGACGACCCGCACTTGCCCGCCCACAGACTCGGGTCGGACTTCTTGGTTGCGTCGTCCGGGTGGGAAACCCCGGTCGTCCAGAGCACCACCGGGTTCGTGTCCTTGTCCCATTCGCAGCACGGGTCTCCGAGCTCCTGACCATTGGTCTGGCCATCGCCATCGGTGTCAGCTTCGCAGAGCTCCTTGGTCCACTTGTAACCCGCAGCGGCAAACGTGTCACCGAAGGCGTTCGTAGCCGCAGACTTGCCGGTGCCGTCAGGATGCCCAATGGCAGGGGCGTCGGGCACGTTTCCACCGTTCGGAAGCATTTTCACAAACCTCTTCGAAGCCTCGACCTCTGACGAGAGAATGGCAGCGAACGCGAGAGCAGTTGCAAGTTGAGTGGCGCTGGCGGTGGAGACCTTCATGGCTGGCTTGTAGGTGTCAGTTGGAGATTTTGACGAAGTAAGCAGGTGTTGCTTGGGGGCGGTATTTTCAAAACTGAGCGCTGAATTTGACTCTCCTGTGGGGATTCGGGTGGTGCGAATCAACCGGTTGCCTCTGTACACTGGCCAAGCTTGCATTCATTGAACGAAATCGTTTTGGTGCCAGTTGAAGCTTGCATACTTCATGAAAAGCATATCCTGGTCGTGAGCACTTCCGTCGGTCTCGGTCGTCTGTGCTCAAACGAACGAATCAGTGCTCGGTAGCTATAGGCACGCGAATATGCCGATGATAGGCCCCAACACACGCAGATCCCGTTTCGAGTGGCCATCGGCACACGCTAACTGGCATTTTGATGAGTTGAGCCAGTGAATGAGCCAACGTACAGTACTTGTACTTGAAAGCAAAGCATTTCGAGTTTTACTTCTACGTGGGGTGCCTCCTCATTAGCAGATTCATCGCGTTCGAGGTGAACCGAAAGCTGGTGTCAATGGCCGAAGGTGCGAGCCACTGGCGTCTACACCAAATTCAGCATGGCAGCCACACCCAAGGCAGCAATCGTCACCATCGACGCCGTTCCGGTCGCTGGGCTAGCAGCAGACGACGCTGCGATCGTGGTGACATTCGAGCAGTCGATTTTGGCCCACAGACTCTCGTTGGACGTTTTCGTGGCATCACTCGGGTGAGAAACCCCTGATGTCCAGCGAGGCTGCGCGCCATGGGTCCACTCGCAGCACGGATCCCCGAGCTCTTGGCCGTTGGTTTGTCCATCGCCGTCCGTGTCGGCCTTGCACAAGTCCAGCGTCCACACCTTCCCAGCGCTGTCGAAGGCCTTGCCGAAGTCGTTGTTGGCAGACGAAGCGCCTGTGCCGTCCGTGTGGCCGATGGCTGAGACGCCGGGCACGCGAGCAGCGTTCGGGATCAGCTTGACGAATTCCTCCTTCGCTTCGACTTCAACGGAGGAGAGCGTTGCGACGGCGGCGGCAACGAGTAGGAGAGTACCGGGTCTTGCGGTCTTCATTGAGCAGGGTCTTGTATGTAGAGTTCTGGAGCTTGGACTTGCGTGAGCCGTGCTTTTCTGCAAATGTGGAGTTGTTGGCATGGACCTCCGGAACTTGGACTGGTGCACGGGCGGAGGTTCGCGAAACTGACAGTCTCCTTCTTAACGGACGAAGTTCTAGTCGATCGATGGACGCCAGTCTCGCACTGGTCGTGCGCTCTGAAATGTACAGCAGTAGCTGAACCGTTTTGCATGCTTGGAACTTATTCGCTCGGACACCGCAGACCTTGCGGAGCTACCTAACACAGCGTTTATCATGCAAAACTTTGATTTCGACTTAGTGGTTGGTTGTTCACAGCAAGCTCAGCGCGATCGCAGCGCCTACAGTGATGCCGAGTCCCAACGGCTGCAGCAAAGTCGCGTCTGAGCTCGAGACGGTCGTGACGCCGGTGCAGTTGATGCTGGCCCAGAGACTCTCGTTCGAAGTCTTGGAGGCGTCGCTCGGGTGCGAGACGCCCGACGTCCAGCGAGGTGTCGACCCGACGCTCCACTCGCAGCACGGGTCTCCCAGCTCCTGGCCGTTCGTCTGGCCGTCGCCGTCCGTGTCCGCCTGGCACAAACTCAGCGTCCACGACTTGCCGGCGTCCGCGAAGGCCTTGCCGAACGCGTTCGTAGCGGACGATCTTCCGGTGTTGTCCGAATGGCCGATGGCGGAGGCGCCGGCCACGTTGCCACCGTTCGGGATCAATGCCACGAACTCCTTCGAGGCGCCAGCTTCCGAAGACAAAAGAGCCGCAGTGATAACTAGGACGGTGGTGGAGCTTGCAGTCTTCATGGTCTTGTGCTTGTGGGGGTGAGTTGAGAAGTGAGAGCGGACCAGTATTGTGGCTCATTCCAGCGTCAGGGAGGACGGCAAGCAGAGAACAGGACAGGAGAGGCTTGGTTCTGGTGGTTCGGGCCCGTAGCAAACAAGACGCGTGAGCAGGGACGCTCCGTCGTAACGCTTCGTGGGCACAATGCTGCTGACCCCAAATTACGAGGTGGCCCAGTTCTTTGTTAGCCCATCGTCTGTCCACAGCAATAAGCGCGCGAGCGTCGCTGGCCACCGTTAGACTTGGCTACATCGACTGCATTGCCGGCGTCCTGCGGTGCAAGAGTCAAACGGCTGGAGGTCAGGCGTGCATTGCGTACTAGGTAGGAGTTGTCGCTGGAACGTTATCAACAGCTTGCGGCATTGCGCCTCTGCAGAGCAAAACATCGCTCACTTCAACTTGGTGTTTACACCTGTTTTTGCGTGATTGTATCACCTACTTTTGATATTTACGTGGCGCACATAATTCCGCCGGGCGTGCCCTCTCCACCGCAGCCTCAGAAGCCCAAAGCCGCGTCCCCAGCATGAACGGAATCGCTCGCTACCTGCTCACCGGCGGCCTCGTCGCGGCCACCATGCAGATCATCACCGGCCCCATCGCCGACTGGAACGCGCGACGGGAAGGCGCCGAGGTGCGTCCGCCTTAATTCCGTCCTACAGGATACCCCTCCCCGACTAATTCCACGCATTTGCATTGACTGTCCCTCCCTAGGCGCTGAAGCTCGCCCTGCAGCCGCGCAAGACGGAGGACGAAGAGTAATTCAGCACTTGAAGGCAGCTAAAGTGAGGGTCAATTCCCCCTGGAAGGAGGAGCGAGAGCAGGAAGAAAAACGAGTCGAGAAGCCGATGCTCACGTTTGGAGGCGGCGGTGCTAATCTACAATGAGCATTGAGCCTTTTGTCCATTGCGTGCAGTTGGTAGAGAGAGGAGTTGGTGCTTAATTCTGCAGCGTTTTGGATCCTGCCAACCCCATTTTCACAGCTTGTGCTCGTCTTCGAAGGCGAAGATGGCGCCGGCGAGGGAGTCCGGCTTCGGCTTGGGAGCCACGACGTCGGCTTCCCAGAAGGATTGGCTTGTAGCCACAGCGTGCTCGTGGAGAGCACATGCGGTTGTTTTTCCTGGGTAAAACGCAACGAGGAAGCGTTAGGTTGAAGCTCGAGGAGAGATAGAGGACTGGGGATAGCCTGTGCTACGTACCGATAGCTGCCTTCCGGATCGACTCCCAAGGCAGAGACAGATCCTTCACGACCTTGAGTCCGCTGGGGCTGAAGAACACGATCCAGTCGGGCACTTTACACTCGGCAGGGAACTCGAAGCTCTCGACGGCGCACGTCTGGTACACGACGAGCTCTTCCAGCGGCAGACGGCGCGACCGGAAGCTGTCGGGGAGAGTGTCGCGACGCTTGTCGCCACACAGAAACATCATCGGTTTCTCCTTGCAGTCCGCAGGCAGGACGCCGCCCTGGTGCAGATACTCGGACAGCACCTCCGCCGAGCCGGCGTCGTCGCCTCGGCAGACCACTCCAAGGGGCAGCAGCTCTCGAGACGTGGCGGCGCCCACAGAGAACACGGGAGTGGCTCGTAGCTTGGCCAGCACCTGCTGCTTCAGCTCCGCGTCCAGTGCATTGACCACAGCGTCCACTGCAATTGCACTGCGCGGACTCGTGACCAGGATGCCGCTGTATCGCTCCAGGTGCGTCAGCACGTCCAGCAGTTCCGCCGAGTGCAGGTACTCGAAGGTCAGCACGTCTGCGAAGTGCGCCTCCAACGAGCGTCGAGTTGAGCCGGAGTCGGGGCTCTGCTCCAGCGCACTTTGGTACTTGTTGTCCACTGCCTTCAGCAGCAACACCGACGCTGTCATGGCGGACACCGATCAATTGACACATCTGATCCCCCCGATGACATAAAATGCTGCAAGTTTTGCAGACATGTACGAATCGGTTTGGTAAGGGTATTTACGATTGAAGTACGAAAACCTGCTATTAAGTATAACCCTTAGAATACGTATATAGGATGCTAGAAGCTACTATTGATTTTGCTAGTTCGGGTTCATTTTCCAATACAAACCGCTAAAGGGCGACATGGCCGAGCAGGAGGAAGTGGTGGAGCCGCTGCACCTCGAGCTGGAGGACCGCGAGGTGTACCTGGCCAAGATCCCAGTGCGTCTCCATCTTCTGCATGTTCTTAGCGCTCTATTAGCCGCCTTCGTCGCTGGGTTTGCGCACTCTTTCGCCCTTAAACTGACGGTTCCTCTCGCCTGTATCGCTGGCTAGACGGCTCTCGGCGCGTCGTGGAAGAATGTGCAAGGTACAAAGGCGTCCACCACCCTCCAATAAATAATATCGGCATTAACTTAACTTACCTTCTTTTAATGGGACACAGAGAGCGAGCTGATGCTGGGCTCCATCAAGCTGGAGAAGAAGAGCGTGCTGGGTCGCCGCAAGGTTAGAGCGACGCATAAGAGATAGAGAGGATGCTGACGACTGGGCGAGTTATGGCAAAGCATACTGAGGTCTGATGTGTGTAGGGTATGCTGACGGTGAACCCGAGCACGCTGGAGGACGACATCCCGACGGAGTACCGCATCGAGATCAGCGAGACCCCGCTGAAGCTCAAGGTCTTCTCGCTGGATGGCTCGGGGCGCATGGCGATTGAGGGCACGGTGAAGAACAGCTGCACGGTCATGGCCCAGCGCAACGACCAGTACAGCAAGATGTGCAAGCAGCGCCTGATCAAGTCGATGGTCAAGACGAGGTGCGGAGGGATGGAGGAGACTGCTGTCTGAGTGGGCAGAAACTTATTGTGGCTGGTCTTGATTTTTTTTACAGAATTGTGCAGCCGTTGGAAGATCTTCCTCGCGTGAAGAAGGCGAGGATCCAGTTTACTATTGAGAAGCCTGACGCTGAGAACGAGGAGGTTTGTTTCTTGATGGGGCTATGCTGTTTTGTTGTGATTGTGTCGAGGTGGCTGACTTATTGGTCTCTTTGCGTGCTCAGGACGATGCTGACTCGAAGCTTCTGGACAAGTCAGACAAGAAGATCAAGATGAGCAAGGTACACATCGTTGTTATCGTTGATCTGGTGCGTGTTTTGGGCAAAAACTAATTGTGCGTTCGGCTGTACAGGACGAGCTCAAGAACCTTGTGTTCCACCACTTCGAAGAGCGCGAGTACTGGCCGCTCAAGGAGCTCAATTACCACTGCCGTCAGCCCGAGGTGCGACGTGGGCTTCTTTGCTCGGTGGGGTTTGTTTTCAGTATTAATATGCTAATCGCGTTATCCTGTTATTTGGTGCTGCAGTCGTTCCTGAAGGAGGTGCTCAAGGAGATTTGCGTGTACCACCGCAAGGGACCCAACAAGAGCTGCTACGAGCTTAAGCCCCAGTACAAGGATGGCGTCTCGTCGAACGCGTAATAGGGCAAGCGGGATGACTAGAGTATGGCCGCGACACCATAGCGCGCCCCATGTGCTCTAAAATAACCATGCATTCAGTACTCTCGTCGGATTGCCTGAATCACGCGTTTGTCTTGTGGTATCTGCATGTCCAGCTTGCAAACTCCATTTGGATGCCGGATTCAGTCGACGCTGGTTGGACCAACGTGCTCCTGCGTACATGTATGTAATCGCTTGTCGATTGTTTGGCGATTACATTTTATGTAATATTACCAATGGTAAGCACCGCATCGATTTTTCTGGGAACAAGCGGTCCGGCGGAGAATCACTTCAGGCAATTCAACAAGCACCAACACTCAGCGCCATGGTAGCATTGGCATTCTTCCCTACCATTTCCAAACTTCCCTTTTAGTAGAAGAGCAGCCAAGCGCAACACAAGGAGAAGCCTTCCCTCTCGAACAACAAGAGCCATCCTAGAAGCATGACCGACATTAACGAGAACGAGACCAACTCAACCAGCGCGCACTTCGTATTCGCGGAGCCAGACACGAAACAAAAGGTTGAACAAGCTGAGCGGGGAGCTGGAGTGGCCACCGCTGTGCAAAGTGAGCAGACCCCGAAGAGAAGGTGCAGACAACGACTCTGTCGCTTCTCCGCCAGCGGCGCGTGCACAAAGGGCGACAAGTGCAAGTTCGCACACGAAAAGAGACCCAAGAAGTCGAAGAAGAGGAGCGGCGACGAAGAAGCACCCGGTGGTCTTGTACTTGGAGCGGACGCCACCACAGACTCCCAGAAGGCTAAACCAGCCAAACAACCAGACCCGTCAAAGTCCGCGGCGGCACCGAGGCAAAACAAGAGGCAAACGCGTGCTCGGAAGTGCAAGCGTTTTGCCCGGAACAAGTGCCGTGACGGCGACAAGTGCAAGTTCTCCCACAAGATCAAGGGTGTCGACAAGGTTGAACCGCGACGTGCCGTCGTGGTCCAGCTGGGAGCCTCCACTGAGTCGGCAAACATGGTGACCAACGCGGACAACGACGAGTGGTCTGACGCCCAGCAGCGTGCTCTCGATCAGGCCTTGAAGAAATATCCAGCCTCGACGGAGAAAGAGGAGCGCTGGACGAGCATAGCGAACGCAGTGGACGGCCGCACGCTGAACGAATGCATCGACCGCTTCCAGTTGCTCTGTGATCTCGTGCAACGCGGTGTTGACGTCACAACCAGCGTTACAGCCAACTCGAGTGAGAGCGAGAAGGGTCCAGCCCTTGACTCCAGGATCATCGCACCAGAGGAGCGTATCACCATCGAGACCAAACCTGAGCTCAAGGGCACCCAGATATCCCTCGAAGACCTCTTCCTGCACAAGGTGGGTACGCTGGTCGCCCATCGGCTTGTTTGCCAGGTGCAATGCGACAACTGTCCACTCACGTTCGACGCCATCTTGAGCTTGGACTCGGCAGAGATCCAGAAGTGGTGCCCCCGATGCAGTGTCCTCCACTACGTTCGGATGCGACCCGTGTTTGCTCACTCGCAGGGCGATGTGCTCGCTTATGTGGACACGGAGAACTGCTGGATTGCCGATGTGCTGCCATCCGACATGCTGTCCACTTGCCTGAAGTGTGGATGTGAAGCGTTGCTCGAGAGTGTTGCGCCAGGGCATCGTTCAGAGCAAGCGTGCTTCGACTGCCACGCGAAACTTGCTGTGATGGCAAGACGGTTCTTGGCCAGGGATTTGAATGGATCGAACCGGAAGCGGAGTGAACCGCTCGATGGAGTCGTTGAGAGCAAGAGAGGACGTAAGCAAGCTGTGCAGGGCTTCGTTCTGGGTCAACCGCTGCCTCGGAATGGAGCCTGCGACCACTACAGGCACTCGCTGCGTTGGTTCCGGTTCCAGTGCTGTGGGAAAGCGTTCCCATGCGATGTATGCCACGACTTGAGTGACTGCCCCGAGGCCAACCAGGGGAAGCTCGCCAGCCGAATGATCTGCGGGTTGTGTTCGAAGGAGCAGTCCAGCGCGGTCAAAGTGTGTGCGTGCGGCAACGACGTTGCCTCGAAGAGGTCGACGACCCACCACTGGGAAGGAGGCAACGGATGCCGCAACCATACGTTGATGTCGCGATGGGATAAGCAGAAGCACCGCGGTCAGAACAAGACGGAGAGCACCAAGCTCTATCGCGTCGGCGCGGAGGCCAAGAAGCATCGAGAGGGCGCAAACGCAGACGCAGACGCTACGGTAGGTATTCGCTTCCTCAAGCCGATACCCGGAGGCGCGAGACAGCGTCTTCGCCACCGGTCGAAGAGAGTGGAAATAGTGTGAGTCTACGTAGTCCTTACAACAGTACTTAATGCACATTGAACGATGAACCTGTTGCGGAGAATCTGTGTTCTTACCCCAATTACTGTTAGATATCTAGCTTGGGTTTAAGGTACGAAAGTAATAGTGGAGGCTAGCTGCAGTGAACCATTGTGGGCAATGCGTAGGCCATCATGAACGATCATTTCTGAGTCGCTGGAGGTGTCTTGAGGTCCACGTTAATTCCTTGAAAACTCCCTACCGTATGGATGCTCCAACTTGGACTGATCGAGTACTGTACGTTACTCCTGCAGCGGGCAAGCGGCTGGGATTCATGGGGGTGGCTAACGTCACATCGATAGGTCGATTGACTTCTCAGCCTCACGGACACAATTGCAGCAGATGCTGACGCATAACGCCGACAAGCTGTTCGTCCACAAGTGCACAATGATACCGTCACAACCGTCAGCGATCACATCGCGTCGGAAGCGTTCGGTCGGCACTCGAAAGCGGCCACCACCTGTACGACCGCTGCTGTCGAGTACTGACCCGCGTGACCGATGTAACTTACGTACACCAGTCGAACGTGACCGCGAAGATCGGGGCAAAGTGCTGCTTGGTGTGCGGACAATTGGTGAGACCGACGGTGTGGCCCTTCCCATCCCGCCCCAAGCGTTGCTGCTCGTCTTTGGTCCGTCGTTGCGATTTGATGGATACAGCTTCAAACATGCACCTCCGGCATGGAAAGGGGGCATGTCATGCACCTTGCGGTGTGGCCGCTGTTGGAGGTCGGGTCCGGCCTGCGCGGCATTCATTTAACATCGCACCGGCGAAATCCGGGCGAATGAAGCCGCCACAAGGCTTGTAGGGACCCGAAGCATCTGAAACTAGCCCCAAACGATGCGTGTACTGCCTAATACAACGAAGGGCATCAATACAGCCCGAAGCAGCGCCGCTACAGTATCAATGCTGCATTTGCGCCACGATGGTTTTTGGGACAGTTAGCCGGACAGAGATGACCGTTGGAGTGCCCCATTTCGATCCAAATCGAGGTTTTTCGGGTCCATAATTAAAAGCAAGTGTGGCCACCCGCGGCATACAATGTGCAAGAGGTTTTTCCCGCCACCACGCGCGCCACGACGAGCCGCGCGGTCATAATGCGGCGAGAAGCGGAAGAAGCCAAAGGAAAGGAGCGCATTCACTCTGCGGATCCTGCGCCCCTGAGCTGCGAGCCCGCCGCGAACACGACCGCAGAGACGCCAGCCGGTCGCCCCCACGCCGCGTGAGCCCGCGACAGAGCCAGCCGAGAGCCCATGGAGGACGCGGCGCGCGAGGAGCCGCCGCAGCCCGCGCCCCTCAAGGCCCACGAGGAGGAGCCGCCGCCGCGCACGCCGCAGCCCGAGGAGGAGGCGCAGGAGTCGGCGTCCGACGAGAAGGAGCACGAGCAGCAGGAGGAGGAGCAGGAGCAGCCCCCGCAGGAGGCGCAAGAGGACAAGGACACGACCACGGAGGAGACGACGGAGACCGTGGAGGAGGCAGCAGAGACCACAGAGACGGCGGAGACCGCAGAGGAGACCACTGAGATGGTGGAGGAGGCAGCGTCGCCGGAGCCTGTGAAGGGGGAGGCGGCCGCGGGGGAGGAGGAGGCCGAGCAGACAGCGACTGACGCCGTCGTTGAAGCTGAAGCTGAAGCTGCGGAGACAGAGGCTGCTGTGGAGCCCAAGGACGAGAAGAAGGAGGAGAAGCAGGAGCAGGAGCAGGAGCAGGAGCAGGAGGAGGAAGAGATTGTTCCAAAGAAGGAAGAGGAGGAGGAGGAGAAGCAACTGAAAGAGGAGCAGCAGGAGCAGGAGCAGCAGGAGGAGACACAGAAGAGCGATGAGTACAGCGGCGAAGCATCGGCGGCTGAGGACGTCAAGCCGGCGGAGAACCCCGCAACGAGCGACGATGCTGCCGCGAAGGCGCCGCTTAGTGTGGACACGCAGACGCAGCAGAACGCCAACCGCCAGATGCAGTTCCCCTTTGCGCCGTCCAACTTCTTGGCGCCGTCGCCCACGCCTATTCGTCCGCTGGATGGAGATCCGCGCATGAAGCAGCAGCCGCAAGAGGCCGGCGACGCAACTAACAACAACGCTGGCACACCGACCAGCGCGAGCGGCGCCGCTCCGTCCAATACGTCGGACCCCGGCGCTAACGCTAACGCTAACGCTAACGCCGCTGCGAGCAGCAACCCTGTGTCGCAGTCTCAGATGTTCTACCACCAAACGAACGCTCCATCGTTCTACGCTACGCCCCAAGACGGCCCTCCGGTTGGACCCGCGATGATGGACCAGCAAGGCCAGCCGACTTCCGCCGGCATGAACATCCCGAACAACCAGAATCAGAGCCAAAATCAGAACTGGAACCCGCAGGCGGCTCAGGGAGCTCCTACTACGAGAAGCCCATCAGCGGGACCGAACGTGCGTGTGACTGTATGGGGAGCGTTGTCTGTGCGGTTTTGTTTACTAACGCGTTATACGTTGCTGCTTGATTTCGTATACACAGCGCCAAGGAGGTGGTGATCCTGGCTTGAACCCAGCTCCATTTCCGGCAAAGTCTCTCGTTCCGCAGCGTCTGGACGACAACTCGTATGCTTTGGAGCGGGCAAAACTGAGTCGCTTGGGGGCGTACGCGAAAAATGCCTCCACTCCAGCCCAAGCTAGCGCCCTTGCTGTTGACGTTCTGCGCGCGTCAGTTGGTGCAGAAAATACGAGAGCTCATGGCTGGAGAAATCCATTCCCTGGTGATGAATATGAGGTCCTGCTTCAAAAGGGATCCATCGGTTTATGCATGAATATGAGCGTTCGCATGGGATCCGTTACCGTGACGAGCTTTCGACGCCCAGATGGAAACATGATGGGACCCGCCGAAGCTAGTGGAATGATTGCCGTGGGAGACGACTTGATTGCAGTTGACGGATTTTTGGTTCAAAGTCAGGAAGACTTCGCTCGCGTCGTGTCGCGTCTCAAGTCCCTTCGTCCAGTTTTACTGCGTTTCAAGCGACCCGGAGGAAATGGACTTGTAAGCAGCATTAATCGTGACGTGCATGGATACCGAAACGGACAACAAACGTCAGGCTTTGGACTGGATAACCCGCGGATGTTCACATCGGGAATGTGGCACTTGGGCGTTCGGTATATTTCTCCGAACCAGTGGGCTGCCGAGTTGCACGTGGATGGCGGAGGCATCCGACGCTTGGGAACTTTCTCTACTGAAAAAGAAGCAGCAATGGCGTACAACCAGTACATTCATCAGACTTACGGCAACGGAGCAATCCAGTTCATGAACCCCGCTGGCACTGGCGGAAATGCAAACATGCCTGTTGCCATGCCCAATGTGCAGCCTAGGAGGCCAACTCTGCGTGCTGCTTTTTCGGCAGAGCAGAAGGAGCAGCTACGTGCCCAGATTATGGTGTTCAAGTTCACATCTACTGGTGGCAACATTCCAAACGAGATCCTTAGCCGTGCATTGAAGACAACAGCCCACAACTACATCCAGCCGAATGCGAACCGAAACAAGAGAAAGAACTTTGCTCCTACTGTTATCGCGAAGCCAGTGAAGAAGAAGGCCAAGCGGGGTCGTGGCAAAAAGAAGGCATACTCTGACGAAGACGAAGAGTCTGAGGATTCTGACGATGACTACTCGGGTCCGAAGGTTCTAAAGGAAGAACAGCCCGCTCGACGATCGGGACGTAACCTTGGCAAGGCGAAGAAAAAATATGTGGAAGAGGAGATTGATTTCGGACTCAGCGATGAAGAGAAGCCCAAAACGCCAAAGAAGAAAGAAGGCCCGAAGGGCCCGCAAATTGACACGATTGTTAGCGTGCGGTTCCACAAGGACACAGCGCAGGATACCGAGGTCACTATGGAGTTCCTGATCAAATGGAAGGACACCTCGCATCTCCATGTGAATTGGCTTTCTGTCAGAGAAATCGAAGAGTTTGGTCAGCATGCAATTCAGCGAATGAAGCGGTATCTTCAGAAGAACAGTCGCCTGGTCGAGGACGCGCGCGAGACTGTCGTTGTCGGAGAAGAAAAAGATCTCAGCAATTACTTCAGTGATTCCTACATCGAAGTGGACCGGATTTTGAACGCGAAGGAAGTGGAGGAGCCCGAAGAATCGAATCCGTACCTCGTTCACATGATGGAGAAGGATGCTAGCGATACTGAAGACGATGCACCCAAGGTGCCAAAGAAGAAGGGAATCAAGTACCTTGTGAAGTGGCGTGATATGAGCTATGTTGACTGCACTTGGGAGTGGGAAGACCAACTCACGGACGACCGAAAAATCGCTGCGTTCCATCGTTTTAACCACCCTCCGATTATTAACGGTGCTCACCCGGCGACTTATTCTGATGTCCGACCGGAACCAAGCACATGGGCAAAGTACCAGGAATCTCCTGTGTACAACAACCAGAACACGCTGCGATCCTACCAGCTCGAAGGCCTCAACTGGATGACGTTTTGCTGGTACAATCGTCGCAACTGCATTCTTGCGGATGAAATGGGTCTGGGTAAGACTGTTCAAGCAACATCTATCCTCGAGCATTTGCGCCAGCGAGAATTTATTCGAGGTCCGTTTTTGGTGGTTGCCCCACTTGCGACACTGGGCAACTGGAAGCGTGAGATTGAAACGTGGACTTCGATGAACTGTGTTGTTTATCACGACTCGGAGGGAGGATCCGACATTCGGGCCTTCATTCGTGAGCAGGAATTTCACTTCGCGAGCGAAGCTCATCGTAGACGCGGCATTTACAAGTTCAACGTCTTGGTCACGTCGTATCAAACGTTAATGATGGATGCCGAGTACCTCGAGACGATTCACTGGCGGTACCTTGTGATTGATGAAGCTCACAAGCTGAAAAACCGTGAGGCGAAGCTGCTCCAGGTGCTTCACGGCTTCACATGGGATTCGTGCCTATTGATGACGGGTACCCCGTTGCAGAACGGCGTGTTTGAGCTGTGGTGTCTGCTGAATTTCATCGAGCCTGATAAATTCCCGAGTCAGCAGCAATTCTATGACGAGTTCGGTGATTTGAATACCGCAGAGCAAGTTGCCCAATTGCATGAGCAGCTGCGGCCCTACATGCTCCGTCGCGTGAAAGAGGATGTGGAGAAGAGCATTCCGCCGAAAGAAGAGACGATCGTCGATGTGGAGCTTACTACGATGCAGAAGAAGTATTACCGTGCTATCTTCGAGCGGAACCGCTCGTTCTTGAACATGGGTGCATCGGGCACTGTCGCTAACCTGGTCAACGTGGAGATGGAGCTGCGCAAATGCTGTAACCACCCGTTCTTGATTCGGGGTGTAGAGGACAAAGAGTGTGCCGGGTTTGACGAGCAGCTGCGAACGAAGATTCTGATTCAGGCGAGCGGCAAAACAGTGCTGCTAGATAAGTTACTGACGAAATTCCGTCAGGAGAAGAAGAAGGTGCTTATCTTCTCGCAGTTTAAGATCATGCTGGACATTATCGAGGACATGTGCCAGTTGCGAGGGTACACCATGGAGCGTTTGGATGGATCTGTTCGCGGAAACTCGCGTCAGGCTGCGATCGATCGGTTCAATAACCCGGAGTCCGATACGTTTGCCTTCCTATTGAGCACTCGCGCAGGTGGTGTGGGTATCAATCTCATTGCTGCTTCTGTGGTGATTTTGTTCGATAGCGATTGGAATCCCCAAAACGATCTGCAAGCCGTCGCGCGTTGTCACCGTATCGGTCAAACGCAGTCGGTGAATATCTATCGGTTGGTGACGAAGAAGACGTACGAGGCCCAGATGTTTGAGATTGCCTCGAAGAAACTCGGAATGCACCACGCTGTCTTTGAGACTGGCGGAGTGCGCAATGAGTTCGATGGCGAAGATGACAGCAGTGGCAACATGATGTCTTTGATGTCTTTGGATCGCGAGAAGGTCGAGATGATGATCAGATACGGAGCGTACGCCATCATGGGTGAAGACGATGAGCAGGACCCTGAGAACCGCGCCATTAATGAGCTGGATATTGACCACTTGCTGTCGAATAGTCGAACCATTCGATATGACCCGACCAAATCTGGTGAAAACCCTGAAGGAGATGAGGAGAACAGTGCAGAGGACAGTGATGCCAAGCCGGTGACCGCTTCTCAGACAAGTGCTTTGTCATTCTCGAAGGCAACCTTCACTTCGGAATCGGCCGACACGACAATTGATTTCAACGATGAAAAGTTCTGGGAGAAGGTTCTCGGACCGAAGCCTGTGCAAGTTCTCATGACGAAGGTCCAAGAAGGATGGCTCAAAACGGCTTCACAAGAAGATGTGAAAGAGTTCCTGTCGCAGTTGCGTGAGCTGGCTCGTGCCGTCGTTAAAGAGCGGCAGCGAGGCAAGTCTCTCGCTGACGCAGACCAAGTGCTGGCAATTCTGATCGAGCTGAAGGTCACCGGATGCGTCATCAAGGGCGTCGTAAACGTTCGTGAGGTCGCTACTGAGTGGTTACAAGTGATTGAGCGGCCGAGGCGTCGGCGTAGCCAAGACGTTGGCGAGGAACTGATGTATCTCGAGTTCCTCGACGGACCGAAAGAACAATCACCGAAAGGCAAAAAGGGAGGCGGTGCTCGCCGCAAGCGGACACCGAAGGCAAATGGCAAGAACAAGGATCGCAAGCTGTATAAGAGCGATGACGAGGAGTTCGCGGAAGATGAGGTTGATCTGCCCAAGCGAAAGAAAGCGGCTCGTCAGGCGTCTGGTGGTAGGAGCTCTAGAGCTTCGTCACCTACCGGGCGCGTATCAAGTGGTATTCACATTTCTCTGAAGCGCTCGAAGAGCTCTGAGGATTTCAGCATCACAAAGGTGGCTAGCACGATTCGTAAGGTCCAGAAGAAGCTCGACAAATCTTCCGGCAAACCCGATTCACCTCAGGGTACACCTCCTGGAAGCAAACAACCTGATAAGATGAGCAAGATTGTTGAAGAGGAGGAAGAACATGCAAGTGGATCCGAGGAAGAAGAGGAACACGAAGAAGAGGAGCACGAGGAGGAGGAACACGAAGAAGAGGAGGACGAGGAAGAGGAGGAAGAAGATGCGTACGAAGAAGACGAGGAGGAAGCTGAAAAGAAGCCTTCTCGTAGCCGCCCGCGCAAGAAAGCTAAAACGAGCGGCAGGTCTCGCAAGGCGGCCAAAGAAGATGTTGATCCGCAGGAGGACGAAGAGATGTGGTGCCGTGTGTGCTTCAGCGACCAAGGCTACCTTGATGACCCTATTGTCCAGTGTGAGAAGTGCTCCGTCGCCGTTCACCAGGTAAGCACGTTGTGGGTTTGCTAATGACTGAGGTTGGTTGCGTTGCTAACAGTGCTGCTTGCTTTAGTATTGCTATGGTATTGATTCAGTGCCGGAAGGCGATGAGCCGTGGTTTTGCGACTTCTGCGTCAAGCCGTCAGGGTCTCCTGCTGATGCGGTACGGACAATGGCGTTGCGCTGACATGTTTAACTTGGAAGGTTGATCTGACGTGCTGATTTGATCTGTAAATACAGACGTGCGAGTTGTGTCCTCTGAAGCGCGCTAAGAGCGCCTTCAAGAAGACCGTCGAAGGCAAATGGGTCCACGTGGTGTGCGCCCTGTGGGCCCCTGGTGTTCAGTTTTCCGACGTAGAGCGCATGAGTGGAGTAAAGCACGTGGCTGCTGCCGTCGAAGAGATGAAGGGCTCGACGTGCGCCCTTTGCGAACAGGAGGATGGCTGCATCAAATGCTTCCGCGGTGGATGCTCGACGTACTTCCACCCGCTGTGCGGTCGCGAAACGAGAGGAGCTTACGATATGTTTATGAAAGACGGGGGACAGCTTCAGGCGTTCTGCAAGAAACATCGAACGCACCGGAAGCGTAGTTAGATATTGCCGAGGCTTCGAGTATGTCCACCCTAGAAGTCTTCACTTCACGGTCTCTACGGTAATGCAGCGGACTGGTTTATGGTGTTGGTAACATGTGTTGTATTCACAGCAGTTCATATTCCCGGATAGCCCGCTCGAGTTGCGAGTCGAACTGTCGGATCCAGGATTGATCGAGAAACCGGTTGGACTTCTTGGTCCATTCGAGCTCGTCCAGGGCCTTGGCGAGGTGATGGTACGAGATCAAGCTCTTGCTGCTACTGCTCCGCATCTGCACGAATGGAGAGCTCGGAGGTGTCAAAAGCTGAGAAGGCGTTGAGGGCATGTCCGAGCTCCCGGTGGCGATCTCAACAGCGCGATCCACGATCGAGCTTACGATCGTCTCGTTCATTCCGGGGAGTGCCAATCGGCCGATTAGCGCGCGCAACTGGTGGGCGTTAACCCCATCGCCATCCTCCTCCTGTGCAGCTTTAAATTCGTCGAGGATGGTCTGCTTGGCCTTGGCTTTCATGACGGCGTTGTACTTGACTGAAGATTTGGTCTCGGACTGCTTCCGAGGTCCGTTGAGCTCTTTCTTGAGCTGTTCGCGTTGAGCTTCATTGCGACGTGCAGCGCGCACGAGCTCTTCGAACTCGTCGACATCGATCGAGCCGTTGCCGTCCTTGTCGATGTGCTCGAGGAAGTCTCGCGCTTGAGAGGGGGTCAGCTGAATTTCCATCTGCGATAGCGTGTCGATCATCTCCTCGGGTGAAATGCTGCCGTTGCCGTTTGTGTCACAGAAGCGGAAGAGATCGATCACGCGCAGTCGTTTGCGCTTCATGTAGCTGTCGATGCGCATGACGATGTCTCGAATCATGGCCTGCTTCTCTTGAGTGCGTTGGTCCGTCGTTTGATACGGCCCAGCGAACGCTGTATCGACCATCCCTTCACTGCTAGGCACAGCGGACGGAGATGGGGAAGGAGCGCTAGCAGCGTTGGCAGGAGGAACTGCAGCCGCCCGCTGGAGGTTCAACGCACTGGGTCCGCGCTGCAAAGGCACCGGGCGAGTAGCTGGCGCGGGAGCTGGAGCATTTGACTGAGTAGCAGGTGTAGAACGTGATTGATCCTTTTGTTGTCTGCTCTCGCCAATGGGGATTGATCCACTCGAGCCTCGCTTGAGAAGAGGAGGCACGAGTGGCTTTGTACCAGGGATACCAAGCTTCGGAAAGCTTGGGATATGAGCTGAACTTCTGCAAAAGGAGGCAACCATGGAGGGTAAATATTAACGGAGGGGTTTGTAGGAAAACATTGCCACTTACCGGTCTTGAGCATCTTGTCCTTCCATTTGCTGCGATTTAGTGTCGCCATCGACTTCAGGACCCAGCGAATTCGCAGGAGAAAGTTGATCTCGGCCTTCCGCGAGGATTTTCTTCAGCGAGGATTGCCAATCGTTGGATTTAGGGACTCGACGGCGAAGCTCGCTTGGGTCTTGTTGGTTGTCACTGTCATCGGCGATTCCTTGAGAGGATTCGTCGATTGAATCGTAGGACTTCCTGCTGGTAGACTTCCTGGCCAAGATGGCTTCGTTCGAGGGGAGTTTGAATAATTCGATTTCCGAGTTAGATGGTCGTTGGGACTGCGCGCGTTTGAGCATGTTTTTGCTGGGTTTGGACCCCAGTAGCACCGCCCCAGAGTCTCGGGACGACACGCGCTTGATGAACCCAGGCGCACGTACGTCTTCCGTTAAGTCGGGGAGATCAGTGAGCGATATATCACCGTCCGCTCGCTCATTGCTGCCATTCCGCGTCAGACGGAGACCTTCACGAGCCGCACTAAGACGCTGGGACTCCTCCAAAATGATTTTCATCTCGATCTCGTCTAATGTCCACAAAAGATCAGCTTGTGAGCTTGTGCCGCGATAATTAACCTACGACGAGTTACTTACTGACTTTGTCTTGAGCTTCCGCGTCTTCTTCGTAGCCCAGAACGTAAATGTTCTTCTGCACGCTCTGGATGATGCCGTTGTAGACACGACCGTCGGCTAGCTCCTTGAGGAAACGAGTCCCCTCCGTCATCGACAGCTCCCGTCCGGGCAATGGAGTGCCGCTGAGTCGCGGTGCCGCTTTTCGCACCCGACGTCGGAGAAAACTGCGGATAATGCTCTGAATACGAACTAACCCCTTTCGGAATACAACGCCGGAGGAGTAGAGGTGCGCGTCTCCCTTGTCGCGAACTTCCTGCGCCGCCGCGTCTTTGATGTCTCGATTGGGCATTCGACAAACTTCACAGAGTTGCAGAAGGAATTCAAGCGTGTCGGGGACGCTCACTCCAGCCAGCACTTGAACAGGGCTGACCAGTAGAAGACAGGAAATGTGAGGATGCTCGGAGTGGGCGCTCATCACGAAAGTCACGAACGCTATCGCACGCGTCAAGAAGGCAGCCTGTCGAAGTGAATTGAACGTTAGAAGAGAATGATATCGTGTACAGCGCCGTTAGTTCCATCACCTTGGTTTGTTTGGTGGTCATGAGGGAGAACTGGAGCTGGTGGTCGGAGAAGAGGTCGTACTCGGCCAGCGTTTCAACCAGCAGCTTGTGCAGGAACGTGAAGGGAGGTCTCGCCAGCACTTTTCGGCTCACAGCGGTGGTCTGCACGACTCCCATGAGCGCTTGGTACGTGCGCTCCACAAGAGCATTGTTCTCCATGGTTGCGGTGGTTCGTGTTTGACAAATAATGACAACGACGCGTTACCCAGAGCTGCTCTCCATCTAAATTTACAGTTAATGGAGCGGTGAGTGGGTTTCGAGTACTCCAATTGTATATCTGCATGAAGACCAAAGTCTACGGAAAAACTACGCGATATGTCGATGGACTTGCCGGCAGTATCCAAGCCACAGCGGACACCGATGATACATACGCGAGCAACGCTGGCAGCTCGCGCCTCGCGCTTCTGCAGCTCCAGGCGATGCGCCGGCTCCATCCTCAACTACTCACTGCGATCTCCTGCTCCAGCTCCTGGGCTTATGCATGGTCTGGTTCGCGCAGCTTGTCCTGCTTGGTCTGCGTGGCTAATAGCTCACTCTTGTGCTGGAGTCGCCGCGCTTCCTCGCCCCTTCAAGGCGTCATTCTCGCGCTGCAACTGGATGTACGAGTCGTACAGCGACATCATGCATTGTGCGGACTTCCAGTTGGCTCCCAGAGCCTCCTGCTCGCCCAGCAACGCAGCCGCATGCCGCTTCTCGCCCGGTATCCAGTCGGTCGGTTAGTGAGCTAGCTATGGTAGGAACACTTCAACATCCGCAGCCATGTCTCTAATCTCGTGTACGCCACACCAATCAATTCAAAATGGATACACCCAGCGCGCGCATTCCGCCACCTTTGGTCATCATCGTCAACATGGCATCACCTCCGTCCTTCTCCTACATGACGCCCGAGCAGCGCCGCCAGCGGTTCCAGGCCGACACCGACACGACCGGCAGTGACGCGTGGCTCACACGCGCCGACCCGAGTCCGATCGTGGCCCCGCGCTTCGAGGGGGAGGAGCAGGACGAGAGCAAAGGCGACGACGAGGGCTGGAGCTTCGCGCACTCGCACTTTAAGCGGCGCAACCGGCTGGAGACGCGGCTGGAGGAGCTGCAGAAGGACGTGGCCAGCCTCACGCTCAAGCTGCGCGCCAACGGCAACCGCGGCGCGTCTCTGGACGCGTCGAGTTTCATGATGACGCCCCAAGGGAGGCAGGAGGAGGAGGTTTACAGCTATAAAGTGAGCACAGACTAGTGTTACGACGGTGCTTTATGGCTTGATGGAAAGAGGAGACGCTAATTAGTATGTGTGTGGATTTTGGTGGCTGTCAGACGCCAAGAGCCGTGGAAAAGCGACGGAGAAGTGCCAAGGAGCAGAGTTCCGGGCCAATTAGAGGCAGTAGCAGCGTCAAGGCGCTGAGGGAGCTGCACCACGTGACGACGGAGAGGGACCAGCTCAAGTTTGAGCTGGAGAGGACCAAGAGGGCGCTGGCTGCGGCTGAGAAGAAGTGCCAAGACGCGCTGCGAGCCAAGAAGGCCTACGACAAGCTCAAGACCCACTGTGACTCGCTGCAGGAGAGTCTGGACCTGTCCGAGAGGATCCGAGTGAGGCAGAAGAAGCTGCTGCAGCAGTTGCAGCTGCAGCAGCAGCGCAAGGAGAAGGAGGCGGAGAAGGAGAAGACGAGAGATACGGCGAAGGTGGACAAAACGAGACAGGCATCCGCGAAGAAGAGGCCGGTTGGTGCTGGAACCAGACCAGTAGGGAAACGGGGTGGTCTCAGGAGATCGACGCCGACCACGCCTAAGCAAATGGACACCAGCGTTCGAGGGTTTTCACATACAGGGTACGACATTTTGGACTCGCTGGTGGCGTCCAGTCATCACCAGGATGAAGACGAGGACGAGGACGCGGAGACGGGGCTGGAAACCCATGAGCAAGCTCCTAGCGAGCCGACCGCTGCTGCATCTCGACCAAGGACGCCGCGGTCTGTCCTCAAGCCTTCTGCACCTGTCAAGCAGTATCGTCCCGATTTTGATTCTTTGCTCCAAGTGGATGATGTCCCGCAGTTCAGCACTAGGCGGCCGAGTCGAATCACGACAACCACCACCGCTCGACGACCGAGTCAGACTCAAGCGCAACAGCGTGATGCCATGCGTCAGGCAGCAAGGTGGGCACGCAGCAGAGGCGCTGCAGTCGACATTTCCACCTCGACTACCCAATTGCCGACGAGAAGAACTCCCACCGCCTCTCGACCGAAGAACAGCTTCCTCGCTCCTACGCAAGCGAGTATGCGCCGTCTCCATGATCTTCCACGCCGTGGAGCTCACGAAAGACCTCCTTTTGTCGTCTAACGCATATCAATGCGTCGAAGTCCGACGGTGTCAGGTACAGCGATTTTGAATTTACTTATTGGTTGTGACACGGCTGCCCCTGCATCCAGTGTCCGACATACAAGTACAGGTAACTAGCTACTCAGGCAAATCTAGTCTTCCTCCCAGAACGTCTTCGTGGCCATCGAGCGCTTCTTGGCCCACTCGGAGGGCTTCTCGTTCGAGTGGCCATTGCGGTTGGGCTTGCCGGCCCGGTACGTGTGGTGAGTCGGCCAGTTGTACTTGCGCTGGAGCTCGCGTAGCTTGGACTGGAAGTCCGCGGACATCGGGGCCAGCTTGTTCGGGTGCGGGTGCAGGTTGCCGCGGTTGAAAATGACCTCGTAGTCTCCGTGCGCCGTCTTCGTCCGGCCGGTGATGAGAACTTCGAGCTTCTCCTCGTAGTGCTCGGGCTGCTTGTCCCCACTGCCAAGCTGCTTCAACGCCTTCCAGAGCAGCATGTGCTCACGGCTGGAGCTGTCACGAATGAGCGCGAGCTGAGCCAGGAACTGGTCCATGGAGGACGCCCGCGCGGTCTTCAGCGCTCGGCTCCATCTCTGCTCGGCTGCTTCGTTGGCACGGCGCTCGCGCAGCTCCCTCAAGAACGCGTCGTACTTCTTGCGCAGAACCTGCATCGCTAGCTCCCGGTATAACACGCTACCAAGACACTTGCCCAGCGTAGTATTCAACTCCCAGTTGATCTTTGCTTCCGCCGCGCCTGCATTGCGGACGATGCGGTACCGAGCTGATCGCTTCTGAAGGAGCAGGAACTTGGGCAGTTCCTCAGTGCACGTCGGCCACAGTTCCTGCAGCGTCGGCACCGCTTGTGTGGCGTCTCCGTACTTCTTCGGCGACACTACTATGCAGCGGATGAGGTTGCTCGCGCACTGCTCGAACGCGTGGAAGAACGGAGTCTCCGCTGCAAATTTCTGGGCCTTCGTCGAGTCAAACTTCCAGACGTCCTGGTCCAGTGCGTGCGGGTCGAAGGCGTCCTCGACAACGCTCTCGTGTGTGTACCCGACCATCCGCTCCACCAATGCCAGGTATCGAGCCTCGTTGAAGCGGATGAACTTGCGCACGCGCGTGGCCAGCAGCTCTTTCAGCACTGCTACGATAGCGTCACCGTCGTACTTGTCTTCTGAGCGGCGCAGCAGTCGGAACAGCAGCTTCCCCATCGCTGACTCCGGATCAACCGGCATCGTCGGTAGGCGCTCGGAGCTACCCATGATCAAGCGGATCGAGTGCACGAGCTTCGCCACCAATTCCCACTGGAAATCGCTCAGAGGCTCGTCCCGCTGCTCCAGCAGAGACATCAGCGAAGCGGAGATCGTGCCGCGGAACATGTTGGGGCAGAACAGGCCGGCAGGGGCGCCCGACAGCAGACCTGTGAGGATATCAAGCACCTGAGTACCCGACGCCGCCCTCACGAGTGCGCTACCCAGCGCGTCCTCAGGATCCGCAACGAGCTGCGCGTAGTTGTAGTTCCGAGCACGGATGCTGAGACCGCCAGTAGCTTCGTCGCTGCCGATGAGCGTCAAGAAGTCCCGCGCGGTGACGACGTCCGGGGAGATCTTACTGATGACGGCCGACCACGCGTCCATGAAGTCGGGCTTGCCGTTCTTCTCCGGCAGCTGCAAGACGGCGAGGTGAGCGAGGAACAAACTCGCCACAGTCTGCAGAGCCGTGCTCGGGTCGAACACGTCGTCCTCCTCCAGCGCATCTTCGGTCGCCTCCTGGGTCGTGAGCAGCGTGATGACGCTTACAGACGCCTCCAGCTCGCTGGATGTGTCGATCTTTTGCTGGAGTACAGCGGGCAGCGACGCGGCTCTGAGCTTCAAGTGGCATTTGTTCTCCTCCGGCATCAAGTCGCTGATCTTCTCGACTAGACTCGTGGCTCGGTCCAGCGCGTCGTTGTATCCGAGCTTACCCGTCAAGCACTGAGCGATCGTGATCAGCAGCTCGACTTGTTCGCGCAAGCCTGAGGCTGCGATCGCGCGCTTAGCAAACCGATCGCCAACTACGACCGTGGCTCGGTCCAGGAAGGCGAAGAGGACGTCGCGCGTGTCTCCAGCCTTCGGAATCGAGTTCTTCTTGACGTCCTCCTCGCTTGACGGCACGCTGAAGTCTTCCAGGTCGTAGAAGATGAACGTGTCGAGAGCCGCCTCGCTCACGGTACTCTCCGTCTCGGAGGCAGCAGTGAAGGTGCCCCCGGCGCAGCGGTCGAACATCTTGGAGAGGATGACCATGAGGCCGCTGGCCAGCCGCTGGGCGTCGCGCACCTTGGGCTCGATGAGCACGCCGTCGAACTTCTTGGCGATGCTGCCGTACATGCGGTGGTCGCTGTTCTTGACGTACTTGACGATGTTGACGATGAGGTTGCCTTCGAAGTGCGCCTGAACCAGGGCGAGCACGTTGAACATGTCCGAGTCTATGATCGCGTGCTTCTCCTTGAGGAAGTTGATCTCGTGCTCGGCTTCGCGCGTCCGGGTCTCAGCGAGGAGGTGCGGCCCGGCGTCGGTGATGAGGAAGGCGATGGTGGGCATGGTGTTGTCCAGCGTCAGCAGCTCAGCCAGCGCCGCCTTCTGGTTCTCGTCGCCGTCTCCTCCGTTGGCGTTGACACTCGGCTGGCCCGGAGGCGTGCACAGTTTGATGGACATGACGAAGTTCCTGGCCTCCTCTCCGTCGGTGAAGCTGTCGGTCGTGACGAAGCATCCCTGCGAGCTCTCCGTGAACGTGACGATGGTGATCATGACGGCGTAGTCCTCCTCGAAGACCGAGTCCACGAGGTGGCGCACGGTCTGCTTGACGCCTGCCAACTCGTCGGCCATGGATCCAGTGATGTCGAGCAGGAACACCAGGTTGATCATGGCTGTGGTAGTCTGGGCTTTGGAGAGGGGTGGTGGCTGGATTGCTCGAGGCAAATTGAAGAATGAACCAGAGCTGAGCGAGCTGAAAGCCACGAGGACGTTCACTCACAGACGAAGTCAACGGCGCGTGCCTGCCTGGATCAAAGCTGGAAAATACCATGTGAGTCCAAGTCCAGCGGATGGCAAGCGAAATGGGTGCATACCATCTTTTGTGAGTGAAGGTCAACTTCAACTTGTGCCACGATATTGGTACAATGTATGCTGTGGATGCGTGAACCACGTCGCAATCCCAGGAACCGGTCCTCGGCCTCTTCTTTCGACGTGAAGAAGAGCTCTTCCTTTTTTTTTTCCGGTGCCAGCTTTCTTCAAAAACCAACGAAGCTGCTACTTCGATCTTGCTGTTGGACAGAGCAATTTCCTGCGGCGTTAGGTCGAGATCGTCCGTCCGGGTCACGCTGGCACCTTGCTGCACCAATAAGCGCACGCAGTTCTTGTGGCCACGACACGCCGCCATCATCAGTGGCGTCCGGTTCATCCAACCCACAGCGTCAACCGCAGCGCCATGCTCAAGCAGAGATCGAATCACTTCAACATTTCCTTCGTCTGCAGCAATATGGAGAGCTGTTCGCTTGTCTTTCGTCTTCAACTTCGTCGATGCTCCACTCCTCAGCAATGCTTCCACAATCTGCACGAAGTCGCGATGAGCTGCAGCCACGAGGGGCGTCCAGCCGCTGCGGTTCTGCTTGTCCACACTACTAGCACTCGAACAACTTCCCACCAACTCGAGCACTGAGTTCAACTGCCTCGCGTACAACTGCCTCGTGCAGCGCAGTGTCTCCATCTCCGTCCTGCGCGTCTACTTGAGCGTCACTCTCGACTAAGAGCTTGATGACTCAACATGACCATTCGGAGCCGCTACAGCCAAGGGACCCACCTCGGGACAGAACCCGTGGGCCACAAGAACCCGCTCTCCGACATCCGCCCCAGGTGTGGCGCACACGAGATTTGGTGCGAAACGACGCGGATGTTGAAGCTGTTGCCAGCTCACTAACCGACTGGATGCCGGGCGACAAGCGGCAGGTTGCTGCGTTGCTGGGCGAGCAGGAGGCTCTGGGGGCGAACTGGAAGTCCGCACAATGCGTGACGTCGCTCTACGACTCGTACATCCAACTGCAGCGCGAGAATGAGGCCTTGAAGGACGAAGCGCGGCGGCTCCAGCACGAGAGCGAGCTGCTGGCAGCCCAGGCCAAGCAGGACAAGCTGCGCGAGCCAGAGCACACAAAGACTCAGGAGCTGGAGCAGGAGGTCAAGCTGCTGCATAGTGAGAAGCTGAGGCTGGAACAGGCGCATCGCCTGGAGCTGCAGAAGCTCGAGGCCCGCGCTGCCAGCAGCGAGACGCAGCACCAGCAGCTCGTGGCCAAGTACCAGGAGCGGTTCGAGTTCGACCCGCTAGAAGCCAAGCGAGCGGCGATGGCGGTCAAATCCATGCAGAACACGCTGCAGAACGTGGTGCTGGAGAAGGAGGAGATCGGCATCAGGTACGGCCAGCTCAAGGAGCACTACAGAAAGTTCCACGCCGAGCAGCAGCAGCTCGTCGAGAGCTTGAGGGTGCAAGTGAAGGCCTTTGAGCAGCGGAGAGTCAGGGCGGGACAGCAGCGCGTTGTTAATGCGCTCGCTGTGTGGTCGACGAATAAAGTGCAGACTGCGTGGAGCAAGTGGGTCGTTCTGGTGAAGGAGAAGCGGCAGCAGGAGGAGAAGGAGAAGTTGATGAGCAGCTTCGAGCGTAAAGCGCACGAGCGTGTGGAGAAGATACGGGGGAATCAAGCGGCGGTGCTGGCCATGAAGTTGCTGCAGCAATCCACCAGACGAACGTTTATTCGGTGGAGGGAGTTGACTCGGAAGAACGTGGAGCGACGGCACAAGGGGGTAGTTTTCGCTGAGGAGCGGTCAAGGAAGAGCGTCCGGCGAGTGATGAATGCTTGGAAGGTGGAGAGTCAAAAGGCGAATGATTATCGACGTGGCGCGCTGAAGGTGGAGCGATTGGTGGCGTGTCATCTGCGCCGCTGGGGTATGCGGAAGTGGAGTGTTGAAACTTTCCGACTGGCGTTGGCGGAGAAAGAGCAGAAGCTGGAGGCTTTGACCGGTACGATGGAATTACAGGCTAAAGCGATTGTGGAGCTAGAGAGCGCACTTGATGAAGCTCGTAAGACCAACAGAGCAATTATTTCCCGCCACGAGGAAGAAAAAACAGCTTTTACTGCAAATGTCGAGACTCAAAAGGCGACGGAACTGGCGATTCGGCAGAAACTGGGACGGTTCTTTACCAAACAGTCCGACCGACAGCTACTGAAAGATATTCTACATGAGTGGAAAACAACGGCAAAACACTTAAAGGGGATCCACCAACGCTCTGATCTGGTGCGAGCGAAGCTAAGGGTTCTCAAGCTCCGACGATCCGTGTTCGACTGGCATTGGACGGCGCGTCAAAGTCACAAGAAGCGCTTGCTAACACAGCAGATCCTTGGTCGAATGCGTCAGCTGGAGGTCCTCAAGTGCTTCAACTCGTGGAAAGAGCACGCTCTAATGGAGAAGGCACGGAAGACAGCTCTGTTACACGCTGTGAACCGCATTCGGAACCGAGGAGTAGCTCGATGTTTTACGCAGTGGGCGGCTTTCCGATCGGAGCGGATCTCTCTTCGACGCGCAATCGAGGTGCTGACGAAGTACGCGTTGAAACAGCAAGTGTATTCCGTCTACAGTTTGTGGAGAGAGCGAGTGGCTCAATACAAAATCGAGGCTCAGATACGGCAGCAACAGTTGATTCAACAAGCTTGGGAAGCTCGCCTCGCCCAGACGAAGAGGGACGTGAACTTCCAGCGCGAATGCTTCACTCGCTGGCATGGTGTGGTGCTTCACAAGCGGAGGTGCAACGCCGTTGCGAAGAAGTGTGTGGCTCGACTGAGGAACGGTTCACTGGCTAGAGTTCTCGGCAGTTGGCGAGAGTTTGTTGACTGTCGTAAAGCGCAACGTGTTCTCGTGGGGCGATGGATTGCTCGTTGCCGGACCAATGTGATGCAGCACGCGTGGAGTCGGTGGCAGCGACAGATTGTTCTCAAGGAGCAACAGCTTTTAATCGCACGTCTTCAGCAAGAACGCGAAGCGGAGCTGAAACAAGTAGAAGCTGAGTTTGATACATTCCGGAAGACACAACAGGATCTGCTCGAGAAAGCTGAAGAAGTGCAAGTGCAACAGGCGTATCAACTACAGGAGACAGCAGCTCGCTTGCAGGAGGAGTATAAGCGAGCGCAGCGATTGAATGGAGCTGTTAAAACCTTATGCTTAACTCGAGAGAGAGATTCGACGCAGCTTCGATACTTCAAAGCGTGGCAACAGGTTGTACGGCAACAGGTTCGCCATCGCAAGGCTGTAGATACATTCCGTTCCACGTTGGAGACTCGACAAGTTCGTAACGTTCTGACGGGGTGGAGGCACTTTGCAGCCCAACAGATACGGCTAAGAGCTGTGTTGACGACAGTGCACTCGTGTTACGCAAATTGGTGGCAAATTCAGTGTTTCCAGGCTTGGAATGAAGCAAGACGACGCATCAGAGCGGTGAAGGTGTTTTCAACGTTATTCGCTCGCAACTCGGAAGCTTTTATTTGTCGCGAGGTCTTCTCCGAGTGGAAAATCTTGGCACGGAAGAACCATTTGCTGCGTCGAACACTGGAGCAAATCTGGCTAACCTCCGTGCACGCGGAAATGCGGCAACAATTCACGCACTGGGTGGCGTTCACTAAATCAGAGGCGGCGAAAGAGCAACTCGCCCAACGCAATGTCGCGCTGACTGCTATTCGAGCCAAGGTTTGGTGGAAACGATCTGTATCCAGCATGCGGTTTTGCTTCTCCGAGTGGAAGTCCATGGTGGAGGGGAAGAAGAAGCAGCGGCAAGGAGAGAGGAAGTTGATACTGTTCCAGCAAACGCGGCTCATGATAGTGAGCTTTAAGGAGTGGGCGGAGTATGTGACGATTAAATGTCGAGAGGAGGAGCGCAACCAGCGCTTCATACGCTGGCTACGGAAGGTGGCGAGGCGAAAGCAGCAACGAGCGATGTCAATGTGGAAAATGATTCTAATCAGAGACCAGATCCGCCATCTGCAGCAGCTGAAGGCGTTGCAAACTACGCAGCAGGAGCGACTACAGCTCCAAAGAGAAGAGATATTGTCGCTGGTACAAACTGCTTCAGATGTGAAGAGTAAACTTGCTGATGTCACCGATGTACACGACGCATCCACCTCAAAGGTGCAGTACCTGACGGAGTGCGGATTGGTGGCGAAGTATTTCAACGCACTGAAGCTGAAGGTTTCGATTCGAAGATACCAACGGCAGGCGGTTTACTTCAGCCACAAGAATGCTCGACGGCGGTGCCTTGCCGAAGTGTTCTCTAACTGGTATTCGTTCTCCCAGGATCGTCGTGCAGTGAAGTCGGTTGCTGGTCAGAAAGCTAAGCGTTCTCAAGACGTGCTCTCTCGCAGCGTATTACGGCAATGGCACACTATTGCACATCAGCGTCGTGTTGTACAGCAGAAGCAGTACAAACTTCAGCAGCGGCTGCGTTGGCGTATTCTCAAGAACGGTTTGGAAGAATGGCATCATTTGATTCATCGCGAGAGAAATATCACCATAGCCATGGATCAACTCGACATTATAGTTCAAAGATGGACGCTGAGATCCGCGCTGTCGCTATGGTATGATAAATGCCTCCAGGAGCGACGTCGAGTCCTTCAAGAGCAGGAGAAACACAGAAAAATAATGCAGTTCCTGATGGGGCGACAAGAAGCTGGACTATTGCGGACATTTCACTCGTGGAAGGAGCTTTATCTGTCGAATCGAACACTTCGTTCTCAAGCGCAGCAACGTCACTCGGAGAAATGCCACGCAACGATCACGAAGTATTGGCAGAATTGGTGCTCGGTCGTACAGAATACGAAGGCTCAACGGAAGTCGATTCAATGCATGCAAGCGGTGACCACGCGATACTATTCCCGTGTCGCCATGTCAAGATGGAGGCGATACCGATTCATGAGTCAAATAGCGTCTCTGCAGTTTGGCAATGAAGAACTAGCGGTTCAAGTCGAGGAGTCCAGTAAACGCTTGGCAAACGCATCGTTGAGTGTCGATAAACTTTCAACAGAGTTGATGGAGCTGCAAGACAAACTCGATGAGGCTGAGTCCAGATCATCAGCTGTAAGCTTGGAAGTCGAGGCGGCACGAAGCAGACAGCTGGGCTGTTTGAATGCCTTGAGCACGATAATGTTGAAGAGAATGGTTTCCAAGGAAGTATCGGGAGCTTTCGCGACGTGGAAAACAAAACTAGTAGAGCTACGGAGCAAACACCGTGCGCTTGTCAACGTGGCTCATATTCGGCGGAGAAGAGCTCGATTGCTCGCGTTTTGGCTGTGGAAGGTCAAGGCCCTGCGGTGGCGGCAGCTTGAGTCTCTGAGGAAGTTATGGGGGCGACACGATCTGCAGTCAACCATCCGGCGGTGGAGGAATTACGCTACAACTCAAGCTAAGCTCAGGTTATTCCTCACGAAGCGCTGCCTGTTGTCGAGCTCAAGTCGAGGGCTGTCCAGTGCTATCGCGTTCAGTCTCTGGAAATCAAAGTCCGCACAGCTTACAGCGCTTCAACAGGTTTCAAAACTTCAAGTAAAACTCCGGACTGAGCAAGATTCGAGCTCGACGCACCTACGAAGACTGACCCTTGGCAAATGGTGCTGGATCGCGTACCATCATCGTCTTCGTCAGATGAGATCGTTCCTCTCTCGGTGTCACGCCAACTCGATCAAGAACGATGCCACAAGACATCGCCGTGTGGTCGAGCAGATGCAGCAGAGCAGCGACGCTGCCCTAGCGAAGGTCAAAGAGCAGAGTGAAGCTAGAGCAAAGGAGGAAATGGGGGCGTTGTCGGCTGCGGAGGAGCAATTGACAGCTGGGGCCTCCTTCCAAGCACTGCAGACGCTTATCCGTCGACTTTTCCAGCCTACGACTGTGAAGGATCTGTTCGTGACTGTGAGCAGCACTTTTGCTCAAATTCTGCACGGCAGCGCTGCAGTTCTCTTCCTGTTTGACCCCAGCAGCAACGAGCTCTGGACTCAACGCGAGGAAACCCAGCTCATCCAGGTCCCAGCATCTCTCGGAATCGCTGGCAGCACGCTGTCAAGTGGATCGACGCTGATCCTCACGGATGTTTCGTCCGATCCACGGTTCCATCCGATGGTAGACCAGTTCGTGTTGAGCGGTCTGCGGCAGGACGATGCGACTTCAACATTGATGATGGCAACATCTCGATCGAATGCGCACGCTGTCAAGCCAACAGTTGGAATGGTGTCGTCAGCTCTCACATCCCCCGATGGTTCGTTGGCTTAGCTTGTAAACAGGTCTAAGGAGCGGAACTAACTTGTGGGTTTTATTGGATTTAGGAGCGGTGTATGGTATTCTTCAAGTGGCTTTCCCCACCTCAAGTCTCTCGTCGATTGACCGTCGCGTGCGTGTTACCCAAACGCAGCTCTACAGCAAGACGTGCTGCTTCTACGGTGAGTTTCATGATATTATCGCCCAGTTTCCGATAGTTTTCTAACAGTGTATTGTGTGCTTTGCAGTGGAGCAGCTAGTGTTCGAGATGCTTCGCAATTGTCGGGACCGCGTTCGAGCTCGAGTCCCAGAGAAGTTCATCACACTGTTCAAGCAGAACAAGAACTGGAGGAGATATTACGCGGCGATCGAGCGCAAGGCTGTTGAGCTGGAAAGCAAACTGCGGGAGGTGCTGGATGAACGCGAGCAGTTAATCCAGGCGAAGTCCGATCTACAAAGACGCTATCAGCAGGCCAAAGACAAGCTCGAGTCGGGTGAACGCAACACGAAAGACGTGAGCAAGCTGGTGGTGGACTGGAAGAAGAAGCTGCTCAAGTGGCAGAAGGTGCTCGACGAGAAGGAGCAAGCCATCGCCGAGAAGACGAACGAGCTGGAAAGGGTGAAGAAGGAGTTTGAGCGCTACCGACGTGAACGGCGCTCAAAGGACCTGCAGAGTGTGCTGAATTCATCGCGGGCCGGAGACAAGCGTCCAAACTCTACTACGCTCGAAGAATCGGACGACTCGGTTGGAAAGTCTCCATCGCTTAGCGATCGTGGTCAACTGAGCATCCTGAAGGCGGATCAAACACGGCTCAAGAGCCAACTCGTCCGTGCTGAAGCGGATAACCTGCTTCTCGTGAAGGCCATTAGCATCGCTCGTACTCAACATGGCGAGCTTCCAAGGACGATTCAAGCGGAGGTGACGCGAGTCGCTACACGTGTATCCCGTCGAGCACCACACGAAGCCTAGATAAATAGAAAACATGTACCACAAGGGAAAAGTGAAAACTATTTACCTTACTTGTCCGTAGTCAGCGTGTAGTCCGGGGCGTCCTTGGACAGAGCTGCACGGTAGCGGTCGTGCATGATCTCCGACAGTAGCTCGTGCGTTCCCAGTGCGTCCGTGACGCGGACGTCCACACCAGGGTGTCTCGCGCTGACGTCGTCCACGATCTCTTCGATGTCGCCCTTCTCGCCAGCGTGGCGTCCATTAGACAGGAACATCTTGGCGACCACAACGATCCCCTTCTCCACACTGTAGTGGTCGAGGGCCACGGCAAGAAGCGGGTCGTTGAAGTCGTACTCGGCTCCTTCGCGGCGCTCCATGCACGCCGTGTCCACGAGCTTAACGTGCTGATGGGCCTTGAGCAGGCCGCGCAGCTCTTCCGCCACGAACTCGCGGGATTCATGAACGTCGCGGTTCGGCGTGCCGTGGTCCACGACGAGAACCGTCACGTCCTCGTTCACCGACTCAAAGTCAACGACGGCGTGGATGCGCTCTAGGAGGATCTGGACCACGCGTGTGTCGTTCGCGTTCTCTTGGTCCACCAGGCAGCCGCCAACACGAACAGTAAGAGGGGCCGAGGGCGCGGGAGTCGCAGCGGCCCACACCTTGTTGATCACTTTGGGCATGAACTCGGTCAGCGTCGAGCTCTTGCCAAAGAACAGCGGCAGCACCACAACCTCACTGGGCTGGTCGCCACGAGCAGCGAGGTGCTCCGTCAGCACCGTCTCGAACGTCTTGGCTTCAAGGCCATTGAGCTCCTGAGGGTCCACGCGGTTCGAGAAGCGGAAGCTGCACGGAACCACCGGCTGACCCAGTGCACGACTCAGCCGGAAGCTAATCTGACGCAGGTCCAGGTACGGCTCGGCGCGCAGCGAGCCGATGTTAACCAGCACCACGAGGCGCTGCAGCGCCTTCCCAGCAGCAGCAATAGGGGCCGGAGGTGGGTGAACTCCGTCGCTCAGCTCGCCCTTGGCCAGCTTCTCCTCCTCCAGCACCTGTGCGAGCAGTCCTTCACGGTACGTCGGGTACAGCAGCTTGACCCCGAGCTCTTCCTTGATGCGCCGGTTGACGCAGATCTTACTCTCGGCGTAGAAGCTCTTGGCCATGGCGCTCATGTTCTTCTCGGCCTCTTCCCACGACTGGCTCGGAGGCACAGCCACTCCCAGCAACTCGCACGCGTAGGCCGTGACTGCATCGGCTGGGGCCGGTTCGTCGTCGCACATGTTGTAGATACCTCCAGGGTTCGGCCGGGCCGCCGAGGCCAACAGAATACTGACAATGTCGTTCACGTGGATGCGGTTGAACACGCGGCCCGGGATGTGGATCCTCGACGCCGTCCCGCTGCGCACCTTGATGATCGTTCCGCGGCCCGGGCCGTAGATGCCCGCGATCCGGAACACGTGGGCCGGCAGGCCGGAGTCGAGCCACAGTCGCTCGGCCTTGATCCGCATCTGGGACCGCTTCACGGCCGAGCCGACCGGGGCCGACTCGTCCACGGCCACGCCGTTGGTCTCTCCGTACACGCCGATGGTCGACAGGTAGCCGACCCACTGCACCGAGTCCTTCGTGGCGCGGATGAGGCGGTCGCCCAGAGCGGCCAGGACCGGGTCCTCCTGGCCATCCACGCGGCCCGTCGGCACTGAGACCAGCACGTGTGTCACGCCCTTCAGCGCGTCCTCGAGCGCCTGCGAGTTGTTGGGACTCCACTCGTCACCGTCGAAGAGGAAGACGTTCTGGGGAGAGGTCTCCGATGCCTCGAAACGGAATACGGCCGGGTCCCATTGGCACAGTTGAGTGGCCGCGTACACGGAGCGAACCGTGCCTGACACGGAGTAGCCCGCGGCGTGGAAGGCGCGGGCCGCGCGCGACGCGGAGTAGCCGAGGCCGAACACGAAGAGCTTCGGAGCTGGTGACATGATCCCGTCGAGTGACGTGGGGCTGGTATTCAGCGACTCTAAAGTGCGACTTAAGTGCGAATGCAGTGGACAGGTTCCCACTGAGCAAGAAGTTGCTTCAACTTGAGCGCGGATACACTTTTGCACCAGCAGATGATGAACTGTGCGTAGGGACTTGGTGCAGTCGCGAGCGCGCAGAGCGCGCAAGGAACTTGCGCACAGCGAACTGTGCGTAGGGAACTTTGGCGCGCGACGAGGCGGCCCCGGCCTGATGAACTTCATCGCGAACTGTGCGTAGGGACTTAGTGCGGTTGCGATAGGTGTCGCGTCCGAGGGCTGCTGATGCGCAAAGCTTCGATTGCCATGGACCGTTATCGTGTTGGACTTGGGGCGTGCTGGGTGCCAGCGTGAAAACTTTTTCGTACCGGAGAGTGAGGCCTTCAGTGGAGACTTCGGGTGCCATGATACTATGGTATCACTTGTTCGAATTCGGCCAAGCTTACCGAAGCTTCACATCGTGGTGCTGCCAAGTTGTTAGTCAGCGGTTGGCCCAGCGTCGCCATGGACCACCGGTAGTAGCGACTCAAACATGACCTCCACGAATGCGATGGTGAGGCACCCTTTTGATGGATGTTCGCCCGTCACGTTGGCCGGCGTCGAATTGCAAAGTCGGGTGCTGAGTCAGACGAGTATGTGTGTCCCCGTTGCTGAGCTGACTTCGGGACTTCAAGCGCGTGAGGCAGTCACACATGGCGCTGATGGCGCCCGATAGACAATGCAGACTAAGATGGCCGTCCCATGCTGCGGCTCCAAGCGCTCACAACGCAATTCGCCGCCGCGCGGGAAAGAGGCTCGAGCAACAAGTTAGTAGCCATGTTCGGCCCCGACCGGTGTCCGCAGATCAAACTCTCGCCCAAGGACCGCGCGCTGTACGACAACGCCGCGAGGAAGTTCCTGCAGGACACGGTGGCCGAGCGCGCCAAGTTCAACGCCAAGAACATCGACCCGCAGCACTGGGCCTTCGTCAAGCGCCGCAAAGAGGTCAGCGTCTTCAGCAGCGTGCCCGGGTCAACGAACCAGTCGACCATCATCATGGTGGGCACGGGCCTCATCGATGGCCGGATCGAGGAAGTCATGGGTGGACTCTACTGCGATACGACCCACGAACTTCGCACTGCTAAAGTGTTGCTAGGCTACGATCTCAAGGACGGGTCTGTGCTCAACGCGCACGAGCGGCGCACACCCGAAGACCCGTTCCGCTTCGCTGGAATCAAGTGGTTTGCCGGGAGGTGCGCATGGGGGCTGCTCCACGATCGAGACGCTCTCACTTACGAGCGGATGGGGACGACGACCGACGCGCAGGGCCACGAGCTGACCTACCACACGTTGCAGTCTATCAAGCGGCCGGAGTGGCCGTCGGAATCCACGCCCGGTATGTTGCGCCAGCACACGGCGTCATGCTACCTCTATCGACGACACAAGCGCACCAACAAGACGGAGATTTTCCTGTGGGGATCCATCCTCAAATTCGGCTCGGCGCCAGAGAAGGCCATCCAGCTCGGCGTGGCCAGCACGTGGCTCAACGTCGTCCGCAGTCCTCGCGGCGGCCGGGCCAAGAAATTCAGCGCGCTCATGGACGAAGCCGACAGCCACCAGTGGATGCCCTCCAGGTACAGTACAATACACGTACATGTGCAGTCACGAACGAATTGCTGGCTGGCTGCGTGTCATTGCACCCGGCCGGGTCTCGCCGTCTCAACGCAAAGCTAACCTCCGATCCTCGTCCTGTTTCTCATGCAGCGCGAATTGCCACGTCTGTCGCCGCCGCAAGCCGAAGCTTGGGTCGCACGCGCTTTGCTCGGGCTGTCACCAGGTTCGTCCGCCGCTGGCCGCATCTGTAAACACAATCGTCTTGACTTCGGAGACTGACACTTGGTTGTGGACCAATCTGTGGTGGACCACGCATGAACAGAGCGTGTGCAAGGACTGCTCCGAGCAGCACTACATCTTCGAGCTGAGCAAGTCCGGTAAGGCCAAGAAGCGGTTGTTCTGCGCGCTGTGCGTCAAGAACGTCACGGGCAAGACGCACTTGGTCCCCGGATCCAGCTCGTCGCTCTCGGGGTACTACGACGCGAGCGAGTGCTCGACCGCGAGCATGAGCATGAGCAGCAGCAGCAGCGGCCGCAGCAGTCGCAGCGACAGCTTCCTCAGTCGCACGTTCAGCTTCAAGCGGCCGCTGGATCCGTTCCGCCCGCGCGTGTCTCCTTCCGACGACGAGGCCCCCGACGAGCTGGACCTCGATTGGTAGGTAGGACCGCCACCTGCCTTGGCGGCGCAGTGCGTGCCCCGACAGCGACGTGCATAGGATTCAATATAAGCACTTGGTCGCCATACAGTTCGTACAGAGTACACAGCGGAAGATGCTCAATCTCTTCCTAACTCATTCGTCTACACGAGAGACACTCGGTGGAGATTTGAATCGGAGATGCAGGTCAATCGTGTGGTGGTGATGCAGCGTGCAATTGAAAGCGAACTCGTTCAGGAGCGTGTCGTATGCAGCCAACTCGGTCTGTACTGGATTCCGTATCTAGGGTACGAGGATAATACTGGTATTATAATAGGGTATAGTATCCCGGAGAACGCCACAGCGCATTCCAAGGTTTTCTAGACGTCTTAATTAGAGTTAAACTGGGGAAAAGGACAGAGATCCCACTTTGCAGAAGCTTGATGAGACGAAACCCGCGCAAACGTCGAGTCAGCGGCGGCGAGGCTGTCCATCGACTGCATTAATAATCTGTTCGTGCATCGAAACTGTCTATGCATACCGTCGAAACCATATCCATGCATCGCCTTCAAAACGCTGGTAAACGATTAGGGTGTTGTACAGTATAGTTACGAGAATATGCGCAGCAACCTCTTGTCATCAGCGCCGTCGTTCTCTGGGATACCAGTATTATTCTCGTATCCTAGAAGCGATAGGAGTCGGAAAATTTTCAGTAAATCCTTCAGCAAGCGTGTTTCCGAAGACTTGTATGGATATGGTTTCGACGGTATGCATAGACAGTTTCGATGCACGAACAGATTATTAATGCAGTCGATGGACAGCCTCGCCGCCGCTGACTCGACGTTTGCGCGGGTTTCGTCTCATCAAGCTTCTGCAAAGTGGGATCTCTGTCCTTTTCCCCAGTTTAACTCTAATTAAGACGTCTAGAAAACCTTGGAATGCGCTGTGGCGTTCTCCGGGATACTATACCCTATTATAATACCAGTATTATCCTCGTACCCTAGATACGGAATCCAGTACAGACCGAGTTGGCTGCATACGACACGCTCCTGAACGAGTTCGCTTTCAATTGCACGCTGCATCACCACCACACGATTGACCTGCATCTCCGATTCAAATCTCCACCGAGTGTCTCTCGTGTAGACGAATGAGTTAGGAAGAGATTGAGCATCTTCCGCTGTGTACTCTGTACGAACTGTATGGCGACCAAGTGCTTATATTGAATCCTATGCACGTCGCTGTCGGGGCACGCACTGCGCCGCCAAGGCAGGTGGCGGTCCTACCTACCAATCGAGGTCCAGCTCGTCGGGGGCCTCGTCGTCGGAAGGAGACACGCGCGGGCGGAACGGATCCAGCGGCCGCTTGAAGCTGAACGTGCGACTGAGGAAGCTGTCGCTGCGACTGCTGCGGCCGCTGCTGCTGCTGCTCATGCTCATGCTCGCGGTCGAGCACTCGCTCGCGTCGTAGTACCCCGAGAGCGACGAGCTGGATCCGGGGACCAAGTGCGTCTTGCCCGTGACGTTCTTGACGCACAGCGCGCAGAACAACCGCTTCTTGGCCTTACCGGACTTGCTCAGCTCGAAGATGTAGTGCTGCTCGGAGCAGTCCTTGCACACGCTCTGTTCATGCGTGGTCCACCACAGATTGGTCCACAACCAAGTGTCAGTCTCCGAAGTCAAGACGATTGTGTTTACAGATGCGGCCAGCGGCGGACGAACCTGGTGACAGCCCGAGCAAAGCGCGTGCGACCCAAGCTTCGGCTTGCGGCGGCGACAGACGTGGCAATTCGCGCTGCATGAGAAACAGGACGAGGATCGGAGGTTAGCTTTGCGTTGAGACGGCGAGACCCGGCCGGGTGCAATGACACGCAGCCAGCCAGCAATTCGTTCGTGACTGCACATGTACGTGTATTGTACTGTACCTGGAGGGCATCCACTGGTGGCTGTCGGCTTCGTCCATGAGCGCGCTGAATTTCTTGGCCCGGCCGCCGCGAGGACTGCGGACGACGTTGAGCCACGTGCTGGCCACGCCGAGCTGGATGGCCTTCTCTGGCGCCGAGCCGAATTTGAGGATGGATCCCCACAGGAAAATCTCCGTCTTGTTGGTGCGCTTGTGTCGTCGATAGAGGTAGCATGACGCCGTGTGCTGGCGCAACATACCGGGCGTGGATTCCGACGGCCACTCCGGCCGCTTGATAGACTGCAACGTGTGGTAGGTCAGCTCGTGGCCCTGCGCGTCGGTCGTCGTCCCCATCCGCTCGTAAGTGAGAGCGTCTCGATCGTGGAGCAGCCCCCATGCGCACCTCCCGGCAAACCACTTGATTCCAGCGAAGCGGAACGGGTCTTCGGGTGTGCGCCGCTCGTGCGCGTTGAGCACAGACCCGTCCTTGAGATCGTAGCCTAGCAACACTTTAGCAGTGCGAAGTTCGTGGGTCGTATCGCAGTAGAGTCCACCCATGACTTCCTCGATCCGGCCATCGATGAGGCCCGTGCCCACCATGATGATGGTCGACTGGTTCGTTGACCCGGGCACGCTGCTGAAGACGCTGACCTCTTTGCGGCGCTTGACGAAGGCCCAGTGCTGCGGGTCGATGTTCTTGGCGTTGAACTTGGCGCGCTCGGCCATGTGGAGTAGTTTCAGACTTGAATCCACAACGGACGCAGGATCTACAACGGACGCATGGCGATCCTTGCCAGGAGTCGCCGTGCTAGCCGTCGTTCTAGAAACCAACCGGCAGGAGCTTCGCGAAGCTGCATTCAATACACTATCGCTTTTGCATTCAACAGCACAAAAGACCACAAAGTATACTTTGGTTGCGAGCAGTTCGCAATCGATAGTCAAGTAGACCAAGATGTCGTCACGCTTCAGGCTGGATAGCGACGGCGACGCGGAGATGACGGTTCCGCCGCCCGTCTACGAGTACATCGTGCCGCCAAAGCTGGTCGACTGGGGCCAAGCATCGCTAGTGAAGTGGCGGAGGGCACGAGAGCAGTATGAGGAGAACGTGAGGGAGCGCTGCGAGTGGACGGGCGAAGATTACAAGGCCGTCGTTCGGAGTGTACGCAGTGCTATTCATCCTGACATGATGACGTTCCTCGCTACATACGAGATTGGCAAGGACAAGGCGCAGATCACGGACGAGGACATCATGAGCAAGGTCAAGGAGAGGTGCGAGACCACGAATCGCGACTATCTCGCGAATCCCTCAGCGCTTTTCGCTCAACAGCTAAAGATGGACCTGACGGTCAAGGATGTGCCTGACCGTGTGTCCAAGTATTTCCGGCAGTTCGAGAAAATCATTGCCGACAACGGCTTCCACGAGAATCTGGGCCGTGGCTCCCCGACAGACGATGACTATGTGGCACGGATGAAGCAGAGGACCAAGATTCTGGTCGATAACCTGTCGCCACCCATGCTGCGGGACGAGATCAAAGGGATGCTCGAGTTAGTCAAGTTTCGCCACATCCGCATTAACGATCAGTTACTGCACAAACTGATACTCGAACGTGCTGAGCTGCAGCAATTATTCTACAATCGTTTCCGACAAGCTGATGCTGCGCACACAACGTCTAAATCAAGTAACCGGAAGAGCGGCAAGGCTGTGTCTGTGCCGGGGAATAATCGTCGTGAAACGGTGCAACAGAGCCCGAAGGGCAGCATCCAAGCAACGCTACACGCAGGAGGCAGCGACGTTGCACGGCCCCAACAAGGTAGTCGCCCTAAAGGACGACCGCCGCCGCGCACGGGATGCCTGCATTGTAAGGGAGAACATTGGCTGCGGGATTGCCCGGTCGCCACACCTGATGAGAAGAAAGCTGCACGGGAGGCACATCAGTCCAAGAATTGGAAGGTGAAGAGAGCGGTCATTGGTAAGCAGCAGGAATGTGGGGGTGGAGCAGAAGAAGGCGCATCTCCAGCAAAAGGCAGTGATGACGAGGAGTATACAGTCCTTATTAACGGAGCTGTGGAGATATCGATGTGTCCAGACACGGGAGCAGACAAGTGCATTCTCCCGGCGGATGCAGTGATTCACTGCCAGTGAACCAGGTGCGGGCGATGGGCCACACACTTACGACTACACGCCTACTCGAACCTGAACCAGTAGAAGGAGTCGGCGGCAATGTCACATTTTGTCATGAAGCAGCGCAGATTGACGTGCAGATCCGCACACGTCTGCAGGGCCAGTGAATCTCTACAAGCTCGACTGTCTGGTGGTGGAAGGTGAAAAACAATTCCTTCTGAGCCGAAAAGTGATGAAACGACTGGGCATTGACGTGAAGCGCGCGTTCGAGCAGCTCGCAAATACCAGTATTGAGCTTAATCACGATGATTTTCCTGATGAACCTGAGGTGGGTGAAACCGTGGATGCAGAGATTGAGTTTGAGTTGGATCGCATGTGTGAGGAGGTGAAGAAGGTGCTAAGTGACTCCCAGTACAAGGACTTTCGAGATGATGTAATTATGCTCAGCAGGGAGTTCAGCAGACTGTATCGGACACGGATCGGACATGATGAGCCAGCACTGGTAAAACCCCTGGTTGTCACGCTGAAGAAGGGAGAAGAGCCTGTTCGCTGCAGCCTCGCAGATATCCTCCTGCCCAGCTTCAATTCCTCGAAGTCCACGTCGCTCAGCTGCTTGAGTTCGGGTTGGTGCGAAAAAATAATCTCAGTAAGTGGGCATCTAATGCAGTGCCAGTGCTGAAGCCCGGTAGTAGCGGAGACTTCAGGGTGACGAACAACTACATCAAGATCAACAACAAGACAGTGCCAATTGCGGGTACCATGCCGCACTTCTCGATTATTTTGAAGTTCGTCTCGGGCATGAAGTTCATTGCCAAGTTCGATATGTTCAAGGGATTCTGGCAGATCATGCTCGCGGAGGAGTGCCAGGAGATGTTCAGCTTTATGACACATGATGGTGTCTACACGCCACTACGTGTCCCGCAAGGAGCGACAGATTCCGCCTTACATTTCCAGAATCAGATGCAGACAGTATATAAGCCACTGCTGTACAAAGGAGCTCTCATCTGGATTGATGACATTATTGTCTACGGCCGGACGGAGGAAGAGTTTCTGGCGAACCTGAGACTGTTCTATGAGTTGACGGCCAAGCATCACCTGAAATTGAACGCGAAGAAGAGTGTGCTGATGGCGTTTGAGGTGTCATAATGCGGCCGGATCATCGATGGCCAAGGCATCCGGCAGGACCCGGAGCGACTGTCGGCTCTAGTGTCGTTGCCATTGCCTCAAACGGCAGCCGACCTCCAGCGTTTTCTGTGTGCATGCAACTGGATTCGAGACAGCGTGATTGACTTTGCACGAGTCTTTGAGCCGATGCAGTCGAAGCTCAATGGAGCGCTGGTGAACCGCAGCAGAAACAAGCACTCAGCAAGAGCAACGGGGACTTCCCCATTAAGGAACGGACTGGTGTCTGGTTCAAGTTGGATTGCACGACCGGTAGTAAATATTCCCAGTTTCGTGAGTCGAGTTGAAATTCGAGCAGGAGTACACGAACGACCTGAAGTATATCCCGATTCAAGCGCTCCACTGTGCCGTTAAGCCAGGGCGAATAAACAGGAACAAATCGCTGCTCAGCCCCTAGCCTGCTCTTGAGATCGCCCATGAGAGTGTTGCGGAAGTGCGATCCGTTATCCGACATCCACGTCTCTGGCAATCCGAATCGTTTGTACCAGTCGAGTACTGCCGTGGCGGCTACTAGCCCGTCGTCACTCTGACATGCCACGAGCTCACAGTAATGGGACAGATCATCCTTTAGGACAAGCAAGTACTGTGACTCGCCGTAGCTGTCCCCCATGGACAGGAAGTCCATATGCAGCAATTCGTTCCGCCGAGTCGCCGTGTGTGTGCTATTCCACGGACGCTGAATTAGCATCCCGCCCTTGACATGCTTGCACAACAAACAGTCAGCCAAAAATCGTTCGACACGGTTCCGGATGTCTGCTATCACGAACTCATCGCTGAGTAATTGTAGCATAGCGTCCGCTCCGCGGTGTGCTCGTACGCCACAGTGAGTGTATCTGATTGGTTGAAAGGTAAGCCAATAGGAGGTCACTGTAGGTACGACTCACCGTAGGTATAGTGAAACCAAGTTAAAATAGATATGCAGATGTAGGGCGGCTGTGGAGGCTTCGCGAAGCTTCCATCCGCCTGAACTGCGGGGGCGGCACTCTTAGTTCCGCACGCCCTCCCCAAGACAGCACTTCTTCCTGTTAAACTGGTAGCACTTGTTGGTCCCAGCAACCTGACTACAAGAAGCCCATGCCGACGAACGCCCAGCTACGAGCCGAGATCGACCGGCTGAATCAAGCGATGGCAGAGCGCACGCGAGTGCCCACCAATCTGCTAAGTTCACCGGCAAGCGGGGGGGGAGACGTTCGCGAATGGCTGTTCCAGATCGAAAACGCCTGTCGCATCAACGGAATCCAAATCGAAGACGCGAGCGCGCGTCTGCCGGGTATCGCCGGGTCGGCGATGGAAAGCCGGCCTCAGGATGGTTCCTGCACTGGTCATCGACGACGAGAAGTGAGGAGCACACGTGGGGGATTTTCCGTGAGCATGTGCTCCAACACTTGGAAGCTTCGAACTACCAGGCCGTCTTGCGAGAAAAGCTGCAGCGACTCAAGCAAACGGCGGACATCGAGACCTACAACGGCGAGTACTCTGCTCTTATCTTCCGAGTTGAGGGCATGAGTGTACTTGACCAGGTACTAAGCTACGCAAACGGTGTCAAGCCTCGTACCCGTAGCTACGTCAAGCTCGAGAACCCAGAGACGCTGAGCGCGGCTATGGATCTGGCGATCAAGTACGAAGTTACGCACTTTGTGGACGACGTGCGCGACCGCCAGTCCCGCCAAGACAAGAGGAAGATCTTCGCTGATCAAGCTCCCAAGCAAGACAAGCCATTCAAAGGGAAACCTTTCCGCGGCAAGGGACGGTTCAAGCCGAGGTCTGACTCCAAGCGTACTGAAGGCCGCACCTGCTATCACCGCAAGAAGCCTGACCCCATCAAGGCCAACTGCTTCCTCTGGAAGAAGGAGCAAGAGAAGCAGGGAAACGAGCAACCACGTCAGTGAATGAGGGTCCTGGCGTGGGCGTGAGCGTAACCGGGACACCAAAGATTGAGAATATCAGCTTGAACGTTCTGTGCGAAAACCCTCTGGTCTACAAGTCACGTCCACTGTTCTCCGTAACAGGTGAAATCAGTGTTGATGACAAGTGTCTCGCGACACGAAGCATGTTGTTGGACTGTGGAGCCACCACGATCTACGTATCCAAGCGTTGGGTCGAGGAGCACCAGCTTCAGACAACCAAGTTCAGCGACAAGAACATTCGTGTCAAGCTGGGAGACAACCAAATTGTCGAGGCGGAGCTTGAAATTCTGCTGATAGAGATTCTGGTCTCGAGGCTGGACGACGCCTACAAGTGTGTGGCAGTCGTCTACCCGATTCCAGACGAATTCGATTGCATTCTTGGAATACCATTCTTCGAAGACATGCAACCACATATTGACTGGAGAGGTCGACGAATCGAAAGAACGAGAACGAGGACTCTGCACTGGAAGCGAACAGGGAAGACCTGTGAGCCGATCGAGGAAGGCGGACCGGTGATTACCTCCGGGCTTCGGAGATCTGTCGAGGCGAAAGGCCTGTCGGCGAAAAGACCCGATTCCTGTCGAGGTGCCGCGCTGGAAACGGATGTGAAGCTCACGGTTGAAGCTGTTGGTGACGCAGTGCAGAAGAAATCCCCAAGTGTTGTCCGCGGACGACATGATGACGCGCAAGCTGGCAAGAGTTCAGCTGGAGACGACGACGTTGCGACGTCTGAGCGCGAGTGTACTGTAGTCGAGGCTGATGGAAGCAGCAGTACCAGGGGTGGAGACAACGCCGTGGAGAAGATGTTCACAATGGGAGTTGTCGACGAGAGTGGTATACAGACCAAATACATCACGCGCAAGAAGTTGCGGAAGTTCCTGAGAATCAAGACCAAGACGAGCGACGAGCCTGACTTCATGTTGGTGCTATCGAACGAGACGATCAAGCAAGTTGCACGTTCACTGCAACGCCGAGATCAGCCCGACAACGTTGGGAGTGCGAAAGCACAACGCTATCTGTAGACAGACTGGGACACCTTCCGAGAGAATCCAGCTTTCAATCTTCTCATGGAGTATAAGGACAACGTGTTTCGTCCAGAACTACCCGAAGGTTTACCAGAGAAGCGTGACATCGAACACTGGATCGATGTGAAGGATCCAAATATGGCGATGTACCGGCAGCAGTGGCGACAGTCGCCGGAGCAGCAGCGTGAAATCGTGCGCTGGGTCGAAGACATGGTGAAGAAGAAGCTCATTCGACCAAGCATCAGTCCCCACGCAGCCCCAACATTCTGTGTCCGGAAACCAGTTGGCTGGAGAATTGTTCACGACTACCGGTACTTGAATTCGAACACCGTGCGTCAAAGTATCCCGATGACGAGGAAGGAAGACATCCTTGACACCATGTCCGGTGCGTACTGGTTCTCCACGATGGACCTGATGTCCGCGTACTACCAAGTGCGCATGCGGGAAGAAGACATCAAGTTTACCGCATTCCAAGCGCCGAACGGTCTCTGGGAGTATCTCGTTCTTCCAATGGGAATTTGCAACGCGCCAGCAACGATGCACAGATTGACATCGAAGCTCTTTCGAGACTTGAAGAACACGAAGTCGTTCTACGATGACATCTATGTTTTCACCAAGTCACCGAAGATCGAGGACCATCTGGACGCACTGCGGAAAACACTTGACATCTTGCGTGATAACAAGTTGTACGTCAAGCTGTCCAAGTGTGGCTTCTGCTCCGACGAGATCCCGTGTCTCGGAGATTTCGTAGGGCGAAATGGAGTTCGGATGGATCCAGACAAGGTGCAGACCATCAAGGACTGGCCTGTACCACGGACGCAAGAAGAGCTTCACAGCTTCCTTGGCTTGACAGGTTACGTCCAGCGATTCTGTCCAGAGTACGCATCTCTGACAGCCTCCATGTTTGCGCTCTTGAAGAAGAAGAACAAGCGGAACGCCAAGATTCATCTCAGCGACGAGCAGCTGAAGAACTTCAAGGAGTTGAAGCGGCGACTGTGCAACCAGCCAGTATTGCACTTGCCGGATTTCAGCAGCCCCATGCATCTGCGTACCGACGCAAGCAAGTTTGCTGTCGGTGGAGTCCTTTTTCAAGTGGTGGACGGAGTTGAGCGCCCGATAGCGTACACAAACCGGAAGATGGAGTCGGTGGAGCTCAACTATCCGACTCAGCAGCAGGCGATCGTTCATGCGCTGGCAGCGTTTCGGATCTACTGCCTGGACAAACCACCCATCGTCGAGACAGATCACAAAAGTCTCGAAGGACTGTTCACCCAGAAGATGGCCAACCGTCGACTCTCTCGCTGGTACGACATCCTTGCGGAATACCAGCCGACGTTCTCGTACCTTCCCGGTGCGAAGAATGGCATCGCAGACGCGTTAAGTCGAAGGTCAGACTTTCAACTGGAGACGAAGTTCTTCCACGACTTACGGGTGACCAGCTTCGACGGCACATCCTTCAGCCTCGCGATCAGCGAAGTAACGGGTGACTCGGAGCTGATTACGCGCATCAAGAAAGCGTACAAGAAAGATCGTGATGTCCAAGCAATCTTGACAGCAATCAAGCGACGCAAATCCGACTCAAAACCAAAGCGCGAACACCAGCAGCACAAGAAATACCGCTGCTACTCCGAAGCGAACGGGTTACTGTGGTATCAAACGCCTGCAGATGACGCTCCACGGATTGTCGTGCCCAACGATGTGAAGTTGCGACAGACAATTATCAGCGAGTGTCACGACACCAACTACGGAGGCCATCCCGGTGCGGAACGTACGTACTTGACACTGGCGCGCCATTGGTACTGGTCAAAGATGTTGAAGTCCATCCAGAAGTTTGTCGCCGGCTGCGAGCCTTGTCGGAGGAACAAGCCGCGGTTGACGAAACCTCCTGGGTTGCTCGAGCCACTCAGTATTCCAGACGAGCGTTGGAGATCCATCTCCATGGATTTCATCACTGATCTGCCGCGAACGGAGCGGGGCGTCGACTCTATCTGGGTCGTCGTCGATCGGTTGACCAAGCGGTGTCATTTCGTGCCAACCACCAAGAAGGTGAACGCCGAAGGTGTTGCTCGACTCTTCATCGACAACATCTGGAAGTTACACGGCATGCCGACGAATATCGTCTCCGACCGCGACAGGAAGTTCGTGTCCGCCTTCTGGCAGCATGTCTTCAAGTCCATCGGGACAAGGCTAAGCATGACCGTTGCACATCGCGCTCAAGGTGACGGACAAATGGAGCGCATGAACCGAACCTTGGAAGAGTATCTTCGGTGCTTCGTCGGTCCACTTCAAGATGATTGGGACGTCCATCTCGCCAACGCTGAGTTCGCTGTCAACTCAACTGTCAACTCCAGCACGAAGCTTGCGCCGTTCGAAGCCGATCTGGGCTACATTCCGCTGAATCCACTTCAACTTGCATCCGAGCAACTTGAGAGTGTCCCCAAGAGTCGCCGCGGAGCAGAGTTTCACGAGCGACAGGCGGCGATTCTCTTACGCTGTCGCGAAGCGTTAGCTCAGGCCCAAGAACGGATGCGCGACGTCTACGACCGAAACCGTGTTGAGCAGATCTTCGAAGTTGGTGACAGGGTATACTTGAGCACGCAGAATCTGAACCCGAAGCACTCCGGCTTGCCCAACTCCACCAAGTTCGGACCCAAGTGGATCGGCCCGTACACCGTGGTGCGGAAGATTCATAACCACGCGTACGAGCTCAACATCCAGGCTGGCAACAAACTGCATCCCGTCTTCAACACTGCGTCATTGAAGCCGTACAAGGAGCTGACTCGCTTGTCGAGGCCAAGCGACGTAATCTTAGCGGACGGCAGCATTGGCCAGATCGTCAAGGCATTACGTGGAAAGCGAACGCGAAAACGGCGGATCCAATATCTTGTGGAGTGGGTGGGCGAGGAGAAACAAACCTGGGAACCAGTGGAGAACTTGTCACAAGTCCCAGATCTCATCGCGGAATTTGAATCTGCAAGGCGAAAGAAGCGTCGAAAACGGTGAAGCAGGATCAGCTGAAGGGGGGCTCAAAGGCCTACATGTATTCCCGTATTACATCCCCTCTTGTTGCAGAACCTGCTGCTTCATGCGCTTCTCCCGCTTTTTCTGCGTCTTCGACTTGCGCTTGCCGTGGCGACACTTGTATCCTGGTTGCAGCTCCACTTGCGCCATCCATTTCACGTGCTGAATTCACTGCTGGTAACTCAGAGGAAGAACGTCCACCGGCGGGTTCTTGCGGGCATTGAAATTGTCAAGAGCCAGAAGTTGCTTCTCCGGACCACGGTTAACCACGACAAAGCAGTGCCCGACATCATTGCGGCCAGCGCTGACGACGTAAACACCGGGTGCTTGTTTGCGGCAAACACCTTGGAGCGTCGTGATGTTGGCACTTGACTCTGGAAGAGCGTTTCGGAGAGGACGTCGCACACTCTTGCGCTGCAGAACTTTGAAGAACTCCGTCACGTCGTCGCGAGACACACCGTACTGGATGGCTTCAGGTCGCGTGTCTTCATACGCATCCCACATCTCCATTGTGACTAGATCCGGCTGTCCGAGATAGTACAAGGCCGAGCGAGAAGCATCCATGAAACAAGTACCAGCCTCCGACGCGGAATCACGCTCCGAGTACCAATAACAGAAGATGCGCTTGTCTCCCGATTCCTTCCAAGCGTCCACCATCCTCATCATGTAGCGCGTCGACGGTTTGTCGAGCTGCTCCATCCAGACCCAGCTTAGCTGTAGCGGATTGCCTTCCCATTCCACCAAGTAGCAACGGTGCGGAGCCTTGCCCCTGACATCCAAGGCACGGACGATGTCAACTTCAGTGTTGTAATCCCAAGGCTTCTTCGGGTCGTAGTGGTTCTTGCGGTTGTTCGACGGGTGCTTTTTGGGCGCCGGAGGAAGCGGCATCGGATGCCACGTCGAAGTCTCGTCACCGCGACGCAAGCGCGAGCGGTCAACCTGAGGCAGGCCTTCATCGTCGTCACTATCATCGAAAAGCCCGGATCCATCTTCAGGCGAGGCCTCAAAGGTCGCCCCAAGCGCAGGCTCAGCAGCTATCGCCTCCTCGACAGACAACCTTTCCACATCGAGCATGAAGATCAACTCCTGGAGGCGCGTAGGTGGAGAAAAACCACCAGCCGAAGCTACAACCTCACGCGGCGCTGGCGACGCAGGCGGCGGCGCCGGGGACGCCGAGCCCGAATCTGGAGAGCCAAGACCGGGAGAGCGACTGGTGAGCTCTAATTCTTCCCACACACGCACCAACTCTTCGTCAAGACCGGAGTCAGCATCGCTGTCTTCACCAGCAGCGGCCACAACATCGACAATCTGCGCGAGCACGGCGGCGCATTCAGAGTCTGCCGGCGCGGCCGGCGTGGCGGCGCCAGGCGGAAGCATGGACGGACCATCGATTTGCGGTCGCCAGAGGCGACGCAGACGGCGGAGCCTCAACATCATGATCAGCCGTCGCTGGAGGCGAGGCAGAACGCGCGGAAGCAGGAGACTGCATTCCGGCAGCAGTAGAAACCGCTTGCGACACAACCATCAGCCCAAGGAACCAATCCAAGCCTCCAACAACCAGGCCGAGGCGAAGGAGAAGCGAGGTCGGACTAATTCCTCAGGCGACAGCCGGAAGCGTCGCGGTTCTCTGTCTTTTTCGGGAATGACAAGTCGGAAGGGCGCGCAGCCAGAGAAGGGGTGAGTGTATCTGATTGGTAGAAAGGTAAGCCAATAGGAGGTCACTGTAGGTACGACTCACCGTAGGTATAGTGAAACCAAGTTAAATTAGATATGCAGATGTAGGGCGGCTGTGGAGGCTTCGCGAAGCTTCCATCCGCCTGAACTGCGGGGGCGGCACTCTTAGTTCCGCACGCCCTCCCCCAAGACAGCACTTCTTCCTGTTAAAGTGAGCAATAATCATCACACGCGTAACGAGACCCTCATCACTGGATGGCAGCCATATTTTACCGCCTGCAGTCCAAATACCATTCCCGTCCTGCTCAAATCCTGGACCTGGCTTATCTGCGGCGGTCTGTGACTTCTTGACCGACTCCAATGTTGGCACTCGAACTGCTCGTCCTGCAGTGGTCGCAGCCTCGAAAGTGTCGTCCCATTACCCACCCGTGCTGCCTTCACCTGAACGATTCCTCGCTGTGGTGGCTGTCCCTGCGGCGTCCACCGCGATACTATATCCGCCCACAGGTTCCGTTCGCCGTCGATATGCTCAATCGTGTATCGCAAACACGAAATGCGCAGTGCCCACCGGAGTAACTTGCCTCGGGTGTGCTTGTTGACGTCTTCTAAAGGCGAGAAAATCTGAATCAAATTAGAATGGTCTAGAAAGCTTTGAACCCTCCTTCTCTCTCCAGGATGTAATCCAATGAGATACACGCTCGAACCACGGGGTAGGCTTCCTTCTCGACGACTGACCAGTGCACTTGTGCTCCTCTAAAGACACCACCTTGGCAAATCAAAAGTTCATGGGCTTGTTCTTCAACTGGAACTCCATCTCTCCAATCTCGAACCTGGGTCAGGATAATTGACCACCCGTAGTCACTGGCGTCAGTCAGCAGACAAATTGTTGCCTTATCTTCGGGAAAATAGAGTTTGGCCGAGTTTGCAATACTCTGGAGCGCTTGCGAGTATGCACCTCGTTCACCATCAGACCAAGTGAGAAGTTTTCACCGGGCTGGACCGTGAGCCCATCGTGAGCGTAGTCCTGAAGCCAAGAGCGGGTTCGACAGCGCATGAAGTAGCGCAAGGGGACCTACATCAATACGAGGATCAGCTAGACTCACTGCGCAACAGTCTACGCGAACTCCATGCAGAAGTAGTTGACGCGAAGAAGCAGCGCCGACTACGACAACAAGCAGCGAAGAAGGGCCGGGAATGTGCATTTTCAGTCGGCGACTTTGTGTTGTGGTCGAGAGCAGACCTACGGATGTCGGGGAAGAAGCTGATGGTCCGGTGGGTCGGACCGTTCCGGATTGTCCAAGAGCTCCCTACCAGCTACATGATAGAGCACCTGCTAACTGGTGAGCAGTTCGACGTTCATGCCATCAGACTAAAGCACTACGCGGACGGAACGCTCGATGTCACCGAAGAGCTCAAGCACCATGTCGCTCTCCAAGGGATAAAGCTGGGCGTCCGAGCAGTACGAGATGGGCGGTATAACCGCCAGGCAAAGAAATGGCAGTTGCTCGTGAGCTGACAAGGACTGGAGGACACGGAGGACTCATGGGAAGAGTTCGGTGGTATCTTCAATGCAGTACCAGAAATCGTCGATCGGTACGTCGACACTTGCTCGGACACCAAGCTCAAGAAATACCGCAAGACGTTGCAAGACGGCAACAGAGCATAATCAAGTCTTCGGGGGCTGTGTGGAGTAGTTTCAGACTTGAATCCACAACGGACGCAGGATCTACAACGGACGCAGGATCTACAACGGACGTATGGCGATCCTTGCCAGGAGTCGCCGTGCTAGCAGTCGTTCTAGAAACCAACCGGCAGGAGCTTCGCGAAGCTGCATTCAATACACTATCGCTTTTGCATTCAACAGCAAAAAAGACCACAGGCCACCGTGTCTTGCAGGAACTTCCTCGCGGCGTTGTCGTACAGCGCGCGGTCCTCGGGCGAGAGTTTGATCTTCGGACACCGATCAGGGCCGAACATGGATATTGTACTGCCCGATACGAGCTTTTGTTCCTTTGCAGCAAATTGCGTTGTGACTCAAAGCACAGGGTGCTTGAGCCATGGCTGGGCTCCAACATCAAAATCATACTTGGGCGTGTCTACGTCAGCGCGACATTGAACCCCTATTTGCTGTAACTGTACTGGAAGAACATTGCAGGTTTGACAGGTTTCCGGATTCCGGTCCGGAATTACAGATAACGACGGAAAAATACGCTCCACCAAAAAATACGCCATGCGACAAATCCAGATGACTGATCCGATACAAATAGTCACATGTATTTATAGCCAATGAGGTTCTCCTAAAATAATGGTTGGAGTAGCTCTGCGAGCCTATAAACACCTCATCGATGTGGGAATGTGCATCTAAGCATACGTTTGTTTATACCCAAGGCACTAAGTTACCATCAGACTAACGCTCTGTCAATGTTGCTATTATTGTATGCCAGAATTGGTTCTTTTTAAGCATAGACTGGCCTGAGCACTGAGAAAGCGCACAAGAACCCGTCATGTATATTGATTGTTGGGGACGAAGTCCCCCCCGTATAATCATGAGACTCCGTTTTATGGAGTTTTTACGTCTCTTATATACACTCCGCTTTACTTTTTACATTAATTCTGCGAATGGGTTAGGGTCACAATTTAGAATCGCTCACACGGGGACCAAAAAATGAAAAAACTACCTCGGTTAAACAACATTTGGTTGCTTATCGAAAGGTGGTACCGGCACGGATTTTTCTGAGCTGAACCGACGTCACTATCTTTAGATGCCATAAAACCAGAGGGTCGAAGTTATGAAACAGCAAATTCGACCGTTAGTATGGAGGACATCAGAAATAGACTTAAGCGTGACATTTTACCCTTATTTGGACCCGCTTAGGACCCTTTATTAAGCCTATTTGCCTTTCAAACCTTATGCTGTCGTAAGAAGGGTCGCTCTGCGGCCGTTGGTAAGAAGTCTGCGGCCCTTCTCGATCGCTTGACCAGCGCACAACAGAGAGTCCAAGCATCAACAAGCAGAGCCTCAAGGAAGCGCCAACGCTACGCCAAGTAGCAAGCAGCTTTGCATGCTGAGGACCGGGTACTGTCGAGCAGCAACTTCTCTAAATTACATTGATGGCTATGCGCGGATGACGAGCTGGACGATGAGCTGGGGTGTACGAGCCGGAGTCCGTGTCGGTGCTTCTTGGTAACAACAATGGCTCTCTTTTGTCCCGTTCGAGCTCGCCTGCTACTTCGCTTTGAAGAAATCAGACAGCTCCAAGTCCTTCCTGCACGCTAAAGGCGCCGATTATTTGCTCCTTTCTAGTCTGCGTTAATTCATTCATTGCGTTGCTCATGAAAAGATGTTTGACTAAGCAAATGCATTAGCCCACTCAATTACAGTTCTGTTGGGTCGATCTCGGGCGTCACAGCTCTGCTTTGATACCCTACATGCATGTGTGAAGGTACGATATCGGGCTCAACTACATTATTTTGAGCTAGTTATCGTTCATTAGATATGTTTCCATATTGCGCTTAACGTGCATGAGGTTATCTACCTACGCGTGCAGACTAACAGCTTTGAACAGCCGTGCATGTCATAGTCGCGGCAGCAACATTGGCCATTGCGGCTGGGTGTAGATGACATCTGGAGGAAGAATTTCAACATGGATCGCGAAAGGTTACAGGAATAATTCGCTCGTATTTTCACTCTGAACATGAACACACCACGAAATTGAAACATCGAAAGTTAACCCCTTATTCACTTTTCATTGTGCCAGTGTGCACATTCTGCTATTACACTTACCTAAGTAAGTAAAATACAAGTGTTCTGGCATTCGAACCACAGGTCAGGTGTATCAGTCTACCGTTAATAACAACGTATGAATGGTACTTATGTTGTTTGCAAAATAGCCAGCAAATCGGGGAGCGTGAAAGGGGACATAAAGCGCTAGAATTTGCAAGCGACTCAAATTCCTCAAGTGGGGACGTCGTCCAAAACTCTGTGGTCAGCATAGTTTTGGGGGTCGACCCCTAAAACAACATGAGCGTAGCGACCGTGATGCTCCGCTAGTTATTGTAGAATGAAACAATAGGTTTTGTCTAAGAGAACTGCTTCTCCGCAGCTTTTAAAGCTGTCGAGCTCAATAACCACAAACAATATGGACTTTCTTTTGTGAGATCACTTGTCCTTCTATACATAATCGACCCTTTTCTAGAACGCAAATAATGCTTTCGGCCAATCAGCGTGAGTGGCGTATTTTTTAGTAGCCTCCGGCTTACTATGGAGGATGATGGTCAGCGATGGCGCATTTTTCCGTGGTCATCTGTACTGATAGCGTGAATTATTGTGCTTTGCAATGATTTTGGCAATATGAGGCGAGATTTGCTGTATTTATAGCGACCACCTGCTAGATTTACGATAAATCGAGGTGCATACTTGGGTGGAGGCCTAGAACTACGCTAAAAGCACCACAATTCTGTCGGCTTTTATCCACAAGCACCTAGATACACGGCAATTATGCATAGAGGTTGGACGTGCTGGTGATCATGGACGGTGGTGTACTGGCCCAATGCATGGCTGCTGACAGGCTGTCCCAAGTCGATATATATGTATATATGAGGAGGTGGATTTATGCATAATTTTAACAGGTCGTGTATCTTTTTTCACACATATTTGCTTTGCCTTATTTAGCGTCTAAAATGGTGGGCAAAATCATTGCAAAGCACAATACGAGTTAACGATATTCGGGCAAGCACAGTACTAAGTACTCGTTTGTGGCTTGCATGGGAATGCAGCATTCTCCGTGTCGGTGGCAGTTCAGCGGGCACGAATCACGGTTCGTAATACTGTACACGGCCCCTATCTTGTTTTCAAGATCCTTCAATTGGTACATATTTAAGTGGTACTTAGTACTATTTTGTAGCATGCCCCCATCGCCCACATTCGTGAAAGTGTCTACTTACTTTTAAGTAGTAGTACAGCATGGACCAGAGAAAGGACCAACGTGCGAGGTCGCGTAAACCCGCGCGGGGTGCCGGGCCGCGCGGTATTTGCGGAGGCGGGCCCAGCGCCGAGTATTCCGGCGGGCCGAGCACTGTACTCGCCAGGCGAGAGAATCTTTTTATCGCAGGAGCGCAGCGGAGCAAAGCCATAATCCCTTACAAAAATCAAGATGTAGGATTTTGCTATGCTGGTACTAAAACTATAGCCTCTGCCCACATTCGTGGCTGTGCAGCCGCGGCATCTACAGTGCCGTCCATATATGGTATGAACACCTCGATCTACTGCACGGTATCACGTGTAAAGCGACCGGCGTCGGACACTACAGTTGTAAGTAACAGTGGTAGGAAGTCGATCACCAGGCTTGCAATTAAGGTTACAGTATTGCTGTTCTCGTCGTGAGATTAAATATATGTTCTTTTAAGAACATGTACATGGGGAAATGGTTGGTTTACCCGTCACGTTTTGATCCCGGAGCTGTAGAGACACACTGGCGACACATAAAAACACTCACGCCAATCAGCGTCCACTTATTCATTCTGACGTACCACGGATACTGGGTCGTCTTCGACTTGCTGGGAACACCAGTGGTATAAAACGCTGGTGATGGTACCGGTGCTAATTGCCATGATAAGGGAGAACTGTGGCCCGCGTGATTCAAGGGCGTGGCCCCTGCGGGGCCACACCCATGAATATCGCGCGTACCGCAGTTCACTTTATGAAGCTGGTGCATGGGTCTGTTGACGTGCATTTCCTGCCTCAGTCTGCCTTGCTGAAAGCTGCCGTTGAACCTGCTCGGTCGACATCCTTCTGGCTTGTGTAGCACGAAGGTCGCGCCAGGTTACGCTTACGCGTCTAATTAATCCGTTGGGAGCTGTCCACCCCCTCATTCTTCGGGAGTTCCCAGTATAATCCTATTTGGTCTGCGATAGCAGCACTAACGTTGCTTCCTATCCCAGTATAATTTTGTGGACTACATTAAACCCTAATGGCGATAGTACGGTGGAACAGAGAAGCAAGAGTTCGTGACTACGTACAGTCCGGGATTTTCAAAACATTCATAAATTGTGCCTTTAGCTGTTTTACACGTCCGATTTACCAAAACAACTGAAAAGCACAATAGAAGCGAACATTAAACAAATTATTGATTTGTATAGAAAGAGGCACATGAAATTTAGAATTACTAAATATTAATAATACGAAGGGCACATATAATCACTAAATTGATATTTTACTACTTAGTAGCCGCAGTCATCTGCACATTTAGCTGGTTAGTTTAACTTTAATAAATGAAAATTAGAAAATGAGACTCTTAAGTTAAAAAAGGTAAACATATTTTCTTAACTATTTTAATAATTTAATTAATTTATTAAACCAATAGATATATGTTGAGCGTTAAGACGAAATAAATTGCTCAGTCCACTACTTTTTAAACTTATTTATAGTAAATATGTTTATTAGTATTGTCGTTACGAAATAAATGGCTAAACCAAAAAATAAATGTGATATAATTATTAAAAATTATATCATATCCACCACATTATTAGAAATATACGACATATATTTTTATGATTAGAATAAATTGATTATCTAATATCAAGTAGAGGCTTGAAAAGCAATGGAATTTGATCTCAGTTGTCAGTTGTTGACAACAATGCTTCCATGCAACCATTGCTTGTGTTCAATGCGTTTTTTTCTCGGTATTCCAAACATTTTATAATGGCATCCCGTCCTATCCGCGAGTGCCTTATGAAATTAGGACGACGTTTAAGTCTAATCCAGTACTGAAGGAGTCTAAATCTTTGAATCTCCATAGCTGCTATTTTAGTACATGTCTGTTGAAATGATGGTAACGTATTGTGAAAACCGCTTCATTTGCCTATTTTGCTCGTAAATCGATTGATTAGCACTATGATTTTGCTCGATCGATTTGTAAATCGATCGCGCCCTGCGATGCATATGCGAGTGGATGAGCAGATTAGGCGATCGTTTTATGGAAGCCAAGTGATATAGCCACGCTTGGAGCAGAATGCCCACCTTTTACTGGGCAAGTGCATGAAGATCACGATCGATTTCATCCCTGATTTGTACTCTGATTAATTAGGAAGATGAGATCTAATAAGGGGTTGTTACAGATGGGCGTTTTAGCCGATTCTCACAATAACAGTAGTATTTAAAAAAACCGTCACCAGGAATGACCCAGTATGGTTCCCGACTGTGCACAAGATCCGCATCAACTTTGCCTACCTGTATGTAGGTAGGTACCTGTTGCAGTGCGACCCGCGAACTGTGCGTAGCTATTTGACGCAATTGCGATGCACCGATGAACCGTGCGTAGATACTTGTGCAACTGCGACAGTCCGGAGGCGGCTGCTACAATAGCGCGCAGCTTGACGACCTGAACATTTCACGGTCACTGAACTATGCGTACCAAACCAGTACGTAGGCAGACCGCGTCAGCGAAATGATCAGTTCAGTGAGCTGATATCAGCTCACTGAACTGTGCGTAGGTACCAGTGCACAGGCACTGTAAACGTGAATGTACACGTTCAACACAGAAATAAAATGCCTGCACACTAGGGACTTCGAATCGATCATAGAAATCTGCACTTTAGGTAAGTGATCAAGGATTAAGGGATCGAGGAATACATCGTGTCGTGTGGTGTGTGTGTGTGTTGGGCTAGCATGCTGTGAGTTTTAGTCAAAACTTTACTTCGCGGTGTACTTATAACTAATTAGCTATCGATCAGCCAGCCAATCAGCCAGCCATCACTGCACTTGAAGTCTTACTGATGGTTGGTCGTGACGCTGTTAAGGCAGCAACTGATTGGTATTCGGTGTCACGCTGGCCCCGCCCCGAGTTGTGCTGAGTACTGCGAATGAATCGATTGTCTCTGGTGCTGAGCTGACATCAAGACTTGAAAGCAACGGATCGCGACGGGATTAACATGTTTGTCGTTCAAGAGGTCCACGCATGGGTCACAGCACTCACAACACAATTTGCTGCGGAAGAAAGTATCAATAAAAACAGTATTTCCATAGCCATGGTCGGCCCCGACCGGTGTCCGCAGATCAAACTCTCCTCCGAAGATTGCGCGCTGTACGACAAGGTCGCCGTAAAGCTCGTGTGGAACACATTGTCAGAGTCCGCTAAGTTCAACGCCGATCCACAGCACTGGATCTTCGTAAAGCGGCGCAACCATGTCAGCATCTTCAGCAGTGTGCCTAGTTCAGCGAACGAGTCGGCCATCACCATGGTGGGCGCGGGTCTCATTGACTGGAGGACGTCATGGAAGGGCTTATTGCGATACGACCCACGAGCTCCGCATTGCTAACGTGTTGCTGGGCAACAGTAAGCAATAGGGTTCTTGTACACAGTACTCGCTCCTGGTCGTATAGCTCGTAGGTCGTGTCCGCTTCACAAAGCACCAAAACGTCAACATCAACTGGCAGCAAAGCACTCAACTTACGTCCTCGCGCCGGAACCGCTCGCGCAGCTCCTACTTATATTACTGGTCTTGATCTACTTGGTCGCTAGCTGCTGCTTGGTCGTCACGTCCACCTTGTTCTTGTCGTGGTCGCTGCCCTTGTCCTTGTCCTTGTCCTTGTCCTGCTGACGTATAACAGGGTTACACACACAAGTGGCTACAGTCACTTGTAACTCTAACAGACACGACATCTGTTAGAGGTTCGAAAGACTTTCTCGACCTTGGTGTAGACACACCAAGGGCTACATACATTTACGATCACCATGACGGGTGGTCCATAGAGACTTAGGATTCCTATTGGCTGAGAGCAGCACCTCTTAGCCAATGAGCGACATGCATAGCATTGGAATTCTGCGAACCAGCCGTTGGCAGATTCCTATCTTAGAATATTACATTTAGATGAAGTCAGAAACATAAAACAAAAATAGCAGTTCTCATCTTTTACCAAAACACGCTACTTGGAGTCTTTATCTTGTTTAAAGTATACTCGTGGATCTCGAGTATACTTAACTCAAGTAAAAGAAACCTACGCTTCCTCATACACGTGCGCATACATGAAAGCCGTAGTAGTGAGCCAAGGTAGGCCCATTACACCTCGTAGCACTTTGTAGTCCGTCCAACGACCGACTACCTGAACGTTCGTACGGAGCTGTACGAACGAGGAGCCGAGAACCTTTTCATGAGCGCGGAGGTGCTCATGGAAAGCTCCACCTCGTCTGCAACTCATGTTGCACGCGCTGACTGCCTCCACCTGTCGGATCCAGAGTGGGAGGCACTCCAACGACTGTCAACAGTCATTGGGGAGGCGGCAGTAGCTGCGATGCTGCGCACGCTATCGCCAACAGAGCAACATGGTGTTGCTCTGGGGTTCATCCTGAAGGAGCAGCGTGATGCTGCTTCCTCTACCACGGTGGCGTCGGAGACGACACCGCGTGGACAATCGTTGAAGCTAAACGTGAGCAACTATGTCGGAAGAGAGGTTGAACCTCTCCTCCGTTGGCTTGTCGAACTCGACACTGCCATGGCGGCTCGACGTATCGTCGACCCGTTGTCGAAGGTTGCGTTCGCCATGTCATGTCTTGGCGGACGTGCAAGAAGTTGGGCGTATGGACGCCGACTCTCGGATCCTACGTGCTTTAGCACGTACGAGGGTTTCAAGTAAGAGTTCAGACAAGCGTTTGAGCCACCGCAAAACGAGTTCCGGTCGAGGGCGGAGTTCCTCGACCTGCAGCAGGGCAAGCATGATGTCCATCCTTACGCTCAGAGAGCACGTTACTTGGTCTCGAACATCGTGACCAATCCGATCGACGAGGCGACCACGTTCATGAAGGGGCTGAGAGATTGGCCTGTGAAGACCTATCTCTTCCGTGAGTACCCGAGTACTCTCGAAGCTGCAATTACTCTTGCAATGCAGGAGGAGTTTAGCCTGCGGCAGGCTAAGCTGCATGCACATATGCCGAGGCCACAGCCACGCCCGGTAGTGAGGACGGGAGGCCCAGAACCCATGGACCTCTCGAGTGCTGCAACTGCTGGACCCCAGCAGTCGCAGGGAAACAATGTGCGATGCTACCGTTGCGGTAGAGTCGGTCACTTTGCTCGGGAGTGCACGGCCCCCGTGCACCAGCAGGGTGGCTATCGCGGCGGTGCCCGGCACCGTCGCAACCAAACAAAAAATGCTGGACGCCAGTAGGCGCGGGGCGCCCTACTGGTAATGCAGTTCCGCGTGTCGACCTTGGATACGCGACACTGAGGACTGCAGCCCCCAGTGAGGTTCATCCTCACTGCAAGAACCAAGATGACAAGCCTGACCTTGTCATCCTGAATGTGAACTCGATGAGAGCAAGCAGCTCTCTCCGTGCTTTGGTAGATTCTGGCGCGTCGAAGAACTTTGTTCGACTGCGAAGTCTATCAAGGCTTGACTTCGAGGATTTAAAGATACCTCGAAGTATGTTGGAAGTGCGATTGGCAAAGGGTGCCGTCGTGAAGACCGAGAAGCGCATGGTACGCGTGCGCTTCACGTATGAAGATCAAGAGTTTGTCGAGACCTTTATCGTCCTGGATCTGGACGATAAGTTTGACATTGTATTGGGCATGCCGTGGCTTGCACGGCATGATCCGGTCATCGATTGGGAGAAGCGCACTCTCGTGCGCTTCGGTCGCGACAGCGGAACAGTGAGCGATGGCCCTGTTGCCGCTACGCACGCACCGACAGGTGCGCGCGACTCCCCACTCGAGACAGCGCCTAATGCCGCTGTCCCGGAGCGCCCTGGGCGCGCAAGAGCACGCGCGCAAGAGCAGCTAGCGTCGGCGTTGCCGCCGACAGCTAATGAAGGAAATGTGTTGACCTCGGAGGTCGACACCCGCTTTTCAGCGAATCAGGAAGAGTCTCCAGCCTCAAGGGGCACGGATGACGCAGGCGAGTCACACGCCTCAGCCGTGGAGGCTGACGCGAATCTGATTGGATCAGGTCTGGCCAATAATAAGAGCCAAGGTGATGAAACGCCGTCGACTCCGGGAGTCGATGGCTTGGGTGAATTTGATTCGTCGGCTCGGGGAGCCGACGCACCCTCCGTAATGGAGGGCTCCACCAATGACAGGCGTCGAGGTAAAGATGGCGTGTCGACTCCGGGAGTCGACGCTGTAAGCGGTGCGGACGGTTGCAAACGTTCCGCACCGGAAAAACTTGCATGCTGTCGTGCAGCCGGGCTGCACGACGAAGCGCCGGGCGACCAAGCCGGGCTTGAAGTCGCTCGCCCGCGGGACGAACCCGCCGGCGGTACTGAAGAAGAACACCCGTCCACGGCTGGGCCTGGACGAGGTCAAGAACCAAGCGGAGCCGGGCTCCGCAAAACAAGAAGACGGCGCATGCGAAAGTCGCTGCGCAAGTCTCGCCCTGGGCCGAGACGCTACAAGGAATGTCTCCCGGGCAGACGGAGGCAGAGAAGCCGGACGTCGAGACGTTGAACATCTTGACGCGTACCTGTGCCGGGTTCCGGTACAGGGAGATGACTCTCGCTAACCCTCCGACGCAAGCGTCGGAGTTGACTTCGCTTCCAGTCATGAGCTGGAAGCGCTTCGCGGGTGACTTGCACGATGGACGCATCGATCAAATATGCATTCTCTCGGACGCCGAGAGAACGAAGAGCGAGAATGAAGAACTGAGCCAGTTCTTCATGGAGACCCGAGGACACTCTCAGTGCGAAGACGAAGAAGGAGCGCTTTGAAGAGCAGAGCTGGGACTCGTTTTCAACGAGTCCCTACTACGAGATCTTACGGGAGTACGCGGACGTACTTCCGGAAGAGATTCCTGCGGAGCTTCCGCAGGACAAGGGCATCCAGCACGAGATTGATCTCGTGCCGGGGACGAAGTACTGTGTCACGCGGCAGTGGCCACTGCCGCGAGAGCAGGTCAAGGCGATCGACGGCTTCTTTGAGAGTCGTCGCAAAGCTGGACAAGTGCGGGAATCGAAATCCCCGCACAGTGCTCCGACGTTCTGTGTCAAGAAGCCACAGGGCGGTTGGCGCATCGTTCATGCGTACAACAAGCTGAACGATGCGACGATTCCGGCGCAGACACCGATACCGCGAAAAGATGTCATCATCGATTCGATGGCCAGGAGCACTATCTACAGTGCTCTTGATCTGCGCGATGGGTTCTATCAGATCCTCATGCGTGAGAGCGATATCCCTCTCACGGCCGTGAGCACGCCGAGCGGCATGGTCTGGGAGTGGCTAGTGATGCCGCTGGGTCTGAAGAACGCCCCTGCGACCTTCAACAGGTGCGTGACGCACTTGTTGCGCTCGGTGCGCGACTTCGCACCGAGCTACTTCGACGATGTGTTCGTCCACAGCCGGGCTGCGGACGGGATGAGCGATGTTGAGATGCACAAGGTGCATCTCCGGAAGCCGCTTGCGCTCATGCGCAAGCACAAGCTCTATGCGAACCTGAAGAAGTACATCTTCGGGGCGAGCGAGATACCCGTGCTCGGGTGTCTCGTTGGGAAGAACGGTGTCCGCCCTGACCCTGAGAAGGTCAGAGTGATCAATGAGTGGCCGACGCCGTCGAACGTCAAGGAACTGCGACAGTTCCTTGGCATGGTCACGTACTTGTGCAAGTACGTGAAGGACTACGCGGGCATGATACGCCCGCTGTCACAGCTCCTGAAGAAGGACGCCGAGTGGGTTTGGACTGCTGAGTGTCAGCAGGCCTTCGATGCAGTCAAGCGGGGCTTGACTGAGGCGCCGATCTTGGCGGTGGCCGACCAAGATCGCCCGTTCCACGTTGTGTGCGACGCATCCGACTTCGCAATCGGATGTGCCTTGATGCAGCACGATCACGAGGGCCGTGATCGTGTCGTCTACTACCAATCGCGTCAGCTGAAGCCAGCTGAGCGCAACTACCCGGTTCATGCCAAGGAGCTCCTTGCCATGAAGTACGCACTTGCGAAGTTCCGAGTGTATCTACTCGGAAGCAAACCGTTCGTGGTCTATACGGACCACGCGTCGTTGCGGACGGCTGTGAAGTCGCCGCACATCTCCCAACGGATGGCAAGATGGCTCTCATTCTTCGCAGAGTATAACTTCCGGGTTGAGTACAATCCCGGAAGACTCAATGTGGTGGCCGACGCGCTCTCGCGTCGACCTGACTACGCCACGACTGATGCCGACGTCAATGCCATTGACGCCATGCGATCGAGCACCCCGACGTCGTCACTGTTGGACGACGTGAAGGTCGCGTACGCGCACGACGCGGACGCGAAGCTCTTGCTGGCCTACGGCTCAGCGCCTTCTGACCAAGCTCGTCAGAAGCTGCCGAAGCATCTTCGTGCTCGTGCACACCGTTACCGGGAGCACGACGGGTTATTACTCTACAGTGCAGTCGACGACAACGCGGACCGCGTTGTCGTGCCCAATGACCATGTCCTGCGACTCAGGATCATGTATGAGTATCACGATGCACCGACTGCGGGGCATCCGGGCCGTGAGAAGACATACCTTCTTCTCACGCGAGACTTCTACTGGGCCCACCAGTATAAATGGGTGCGCAAGTACGTCCGTGCTTGCGAGGTTTGTCAACGTGTGAAGCATGCGCCTTTCGCGCAGGCTCCCTTGCAGTCACTGCCGACTCCGTCGGAGTGTTGGCAGTCCATGTCTTTGGACTTCGTGTTCAGTCTTCCCCCGGACAGCCTGGGGAACACGGGCATTGTGGTCTTTGTTGACCGCTTCAGCAAGATGGTACATCTTGCTGCGGTACCCGCTGAAGTGACTGCGAAACAGACGGCGCGTCTGTTCGCTGACATGGTGTTCAAACACCATGGCATGCCGATCGACATTGTGTCGGATCGAGACCCGCGCTTCACTGCGCACCTGTGGCAAGAAGTGTTTACACTTCTTGGGAGTCAACTTTCGATGTCGACTGCGGACCATCCGCAGACGGACGGGCAGACCGAGCGCGTGAACCGCGTGCTCGTAGACGTGCTTAAGAGCTACGCTCACTCGTTCCAACACTGGAGCGAGTGCCTGCCGATGGCGGAGTTCGCCATCAACAACTCGGTACATGCCTCGACCGGGCATACACCGTTCTACGTGAATGCCATCAGGCACCCACGCCTCCCGAGTCTACTCGGGATGGTGGCTCCTTCCTTAAGTGGGGGAGGATCTATGACTGCAACGCAGCAGCCGCAGAATGCCGCTGACACTTGCACAGTGTCAGCCGCGACTACGCGCAAGGAGAAGAAGAAGAAGCACGCGCCTGTGCCCTGCACAGACGCCGACAAGCGCAAGAAGAAGAAGAAGAACGGGTCTGTGCAGGGCACAGACACCGCGAAGACGAACGCAGAGGCCGGGCCTACTGCTAGAAACGAGCTGAACGAGTTCAGCACGGACGCAATCAACTTCGTGCAGCGCAGACAAGCCGTCATTCGGTTTGTCCAAGAAGCTATCGCAGCTTCTGTCGACCGACAGAAGCTGAACGCAGACAATGTTGGTAGGGGCAACACTAATGAATTCAAGAAGGGTTCATTGGTTTTGTTAGCAACTCAAAACCTGCCTAAACATACAGTTTCTGACTTCGGGGCGAGCAAGCTCGCTCCGCACTTCATCGGGCCGTTCACGGTGTTGGTACGGCATGGCAACGCCTACACGCTAGATATTCCATCTAGCAGGCGCCTCCATCCGACCTTTTACGTCGGGCGGTTGAAGCCATACCGGCAGCACGAGCCAGCTAGCTCGGCTGGCCCGAAGCGGAAGCCCCAGTGGGAACGAACCTCTGCTCCAGCGCGTGAACGCGCTGGGCCAAGCGTGCGACGCGACCTCCCACGTCGACGGAGATGTCCGACGCGGTCTGCGAGGCCTGAGCGACTTGAGCTCTCAGGATCGCCACCTCCTGCTTCAGAGCGGCGAACTCCCGGCTCTGATGCTGTTCCACAGCAGCGCGCGAACGCTTCGAGCTCGAAGCGTCCGAGTCGTCTCCTTCACGAGGGCGTCTCGACCCGGCATGCGGGTCGAGACTATCGCTGTCGATAGACTCCTTGCGCTTGCTAGAAGAGGCCTCGCCCTCTTCCATCTCCACGTCGCCGTCCTCGTAGTCAACGGCGTCGTTGACTACAGAAGGAAACTTCAAGGACAATCTCCGGCTGGGTTGTCCCCGCCGCAGCCTTTGCAGCGAGCACATCGCGCTTTGCCTGCTGGCGCGCATGGTACTGAACAACAGAGAGGTTACCCTCTGTTGCGGCGGCGGTCTTCTTCTGAGGCGAGCTCATTGCGGAATGAGCTCGAGTTTTCCTTCTCCCAACGTGAAGAATTGACGAATGGTCAATTTCCTGATTGACGTGCCGTGACTCGGCGCGTCTAACCTTGAGGGGGGGATGGTGTAACAGGGTTACACACACAAGTGTCTACAGTCACTTGTAACTCTAACAGACACGACATCTGTTAGAGGTTCGAAAGACTTTCTCGACCTTGGTGTAGACACACCAAGGGCTACATACATTTACGATCACCATGACGGGTGGTCCATAGAGACTTAGGATTCCTATTGGCTGAGAGCAGCACCTCTTAGCCAATGAGCGACATGCATAGCATTGGAATTCTGCGAACCAGCCGTTGGCAGATTCCTATCTTAGAATATTACATTTAGAGGAAGTCAGAAACATAAAACAAAAATAGCAGTTCTCATTTTAACCCAAAACATTATTTGGATCGTTTATTTAGATTAATCTATACTCGGAGGCCCGAGTATAATTAACTCTAATTTAAACTAAGCTACGCTTCCTCACATACACGCGCACACGTGTAAGCTAAGTAGTGAGCCAAAGTAGGCCCATTACATTTACCAAAACACGCTACTTGGAGTCTTTATCTTGTTTAAAGTATACTCGTGGATCTCGAGTATACTTAACTCAAGTAAAAGAAACCTACGCTTCCTCATACACGTGCGCATACGTGTAAGCCGTAGTAGTGAGCCAAGGTAGGCCCATTACATGACGCTACTTGAGCTCGACACTGCTTGTTCGTGAGGTCGCGAGAGTTTTCGATTGAGCGACGCTTGAGTTGCTGCTCTTCGGGCGCTCGCACTCAGCTGGATACACACCTGTCCGTCGCGTCCGCTGCAAGATCGCTTGTGTAGCCCACGCCGACGATAGCTTCAACTTGAGCTCGATGTACACCTGAAAATCACCTCTGCTTACTCTACAACGTCAAGGACCGCTCCTCCCTGAATACTAACGTAGGACAGGCACCGGAAAATCTGTTCCGCTTCGTCAGCATCAAGGGGTTTGCCGGGACGTGCGCATGGGGGTTGCTACACCACCGTGATGTACTTATGTATGAGCGGGTGGTAACTATCACGGACGTGCAGGGCCACGAACACACTTACCACACCTCGCAGTTCATCAAGCGACCGGAGTGGTCGTTAGGATTCATGCCCAGCATTCAACGCCAGCGTACCGCTTCATGCTATCTGTACCGACAACACAAGTGCACCAACAAGACGGAGATTTTCCTGTGGGGATCCATCCTCAACTTTGACTCAGCTCCGGAGAAGGCCATCCAGCTCGGCGTAGCCAGCACCTGGCTCATCATCGTCCATAGTCTTCGTGTCGGCTTAGCCAAGAAATTCAGCGCACTCATGGACGAAGCCGATAGCCGCCACTGGATGCCCTCCAGGTAACGTCACTCGTCAACTTTGCTGGTCCCGAGGCAAAGCAAACGGTTGATCGTCGTGATGTCTTCCGTGCGTAGCACGAATTGCTACGTCTGTTACCGCCGAAAGCCGAAGCTCGGGTCGCACGCGCTTTGCTCAGGCTGTCACCAGGTGCGCCCGCTGCTACATCTGCATCTGTGAACAAATTCATTGCGAAGGTCGTAATTTCAAGTCGCAGACTGACATTTGTTTGATATTGGGCAGAGCGTGTGCAAGGACTGTTTCGAGCAGCACCACGTCTTCGAGCTCAGCAAGTCCGGCCGAGCCAAGAAGCGGTTGTTCTGCGCCATGTGCGTCAAGAAGGTCACAGGCAAACCACATATAGGCCCCGGGCTAAGCAAGATCTGCACCGACAACATGAACACCAGCGGACGATGTGGGCGCTATTTCAGCCGTATATTCAGATAGCTTCATGCAGTTGCCTTCAGAACAGACACTGAATGCGAGTCGCGTGTGTGCCACTACACTGTACAGACAACGACAGGTGAATTTACAGACGATCTTTGTCAAAGATGTTCAATCGCAAAACGCATTCGTCTACACGTGAGCGTTCTTGAAAATTTGCAACAAGATGTCGATGGCTACTGGCCATCATCAACTTGACGGGTCAACACTGTTGACAGTAGTCCATTGTGTGGTGATCCTGCACCGTGCAATTGAAAGTGAACTTGCTTAGGAGCGTGTCGTATGCGACCGGGGCCACATGAGCCTCAAGTACATATGTACGCAACGCGTACGATGCACTGTACTTACGAATGGCGTTGCAGCACTGTTCTCAATTCAACACTACCGTATCGCATGCTCAAAACGTGGTCTTAAGTTCTCCAAATATCACTAGCAATGATGGTCTTCAGGCGAAAGTGTGATCTGTGGATACCGGTCGGGGCCGAACATGACTATGGTGATACTGTACTATCGAGAACTTCTTTCGCAGTAAATTGCGTTGTGAACGCTGTGAGTCATACGTCGTACGGCTCGGACGGCGGACATCTTAAACCGATGCCAGCTCAGCACCAGAGACAGTCGGTTCATTCGCAGGACTCAGCACAACTCAACGCGGGGCCAGCGTGACACCGAATACCCATCAGTTGCTGCCTTACCAGCGTCACGATCAACCGTTGGTGGACTTTTCGACGACCGACTCATGGCAAGTGCAGCGCTGGCTGGCTGATTTTTCCGAGGATACTTATCAGCCGTTTTGGGGCAATGTTGTTCATTGACGTCGACCAGCCGAGTAAGGGTGTGGTGAGGCGGGTTATCGATCGAAGGCGAATTCGAGAATGAGCTATCTGAAGGCGCAAGCGGCTGGTCGCTGCCCACCGCCCTTGGCGTCTGCTCCGTAGATATCCTAATGGTTTCGAAACTCCTATCTTCTATCCGGAAACCGGAACATCCTTCGAATGTTCCCCAGGTATATGCGGGATGCGTCAGGTTAGGACTTCAGTCCTAATTCCTAACATGAGTCAAATTAGGACTTCAAAAAAGTTAAGGTTAGGACTTTCGCTTGCTTGACTTGATTAAAGTAAAGTTGTACCACAAATTGTGCGATATAACGAAAACGTGGTACACAATAATGAAACCAAGTTAACAGATATTTGTGTCCTGCGGAATGCTCTGTCCGATTGAGGTCAAGCATTCGTGCGGGGCAGCTAACACTGAATTCGCTCGAGCACGACCAAACGTGTGTTGGCAAATGAAACCATGGCCTGTCAATTGATCAATGACAATGAACTCCCCAAAATCAGCAGTGCAAATACACTACAGCTGGGTTTACACAGTATAGATCGAGTTGACTGAGACGATGTGGAGTCAGTAAGAACCATCAGCTTTATATTTTGCTAAAGGGAGGAGTTTAGAAGTGCTGTGGGGGCTTTACGAAGGTCTGAGCACGAGATTATACCCAAGTAGCGGGGTTTCGCCCTTGTCAACCTTCAAGTGCGCATGCAGCCATCGTATCCCGTTAGGATTTCTAAAACCTTTATAAAAGGACTTTAGCCTGACTAAGTACGAAATTCATAACCTGACGCACCCCTGGGATCCCGAAAATACAATATATACATATTGGTTTTTTGCTGTAGAAACGAAATACGTATTTTTTAAATGTATCAACATCAAAAAATAAATATTTTTCATGATATTGAGGAGTTTTATTACATGTCTCCATACTTAAAGCAAGTGCTTGGGCATCTGCAAAATAACTATTGATGTTCTTCCGGAAGATTACAAAATAAGTTATTGGTACCAAAAAAAATATTGAATTGAATATTTCTTTTCGTGTCCCTAGTGTTCAGTTGTAAACAGACCGCGAAATGAAGATTCGACCAAGAATCGTAGTGTATCCATCGTCCCCTGCTCCCTTGCATGTAATACAGGTGATAATACACGTACCAAGACTGAATCAAAGTTCCATGTGCGCAGGTAATTTACTCCTGTGTTAAACTTCTTCACCACTCTATCATTCAACGGTCTAAAAAGGTAGTGCTTATGTACTGGTTGGTACTTAATGAGTATCATGATTGCTATAGTGTGGGTCCTGACTCGAGTCAACACCAAATTTAGGACCTAATCGAAATATCTGCTTCAGCTGTTTTCATTCGGAGATAATCATAGAGCACTAGACAAGGAACGAGGACAAGGGACTCAACATCACCAACATGGGGAAGCGCTCGAGGGTCTCAATCCGCTCGTACGTGGCAGCAGTGTCTGTGAGAGCGCTGTCTGAAACGACAAGCGCAACTAATGTCGATGTGCAAAATGAGATAGACGAAAGTGAGCGTGCAACATTCCAGGCAACACTGGACACGCGGCCGATTAATACCAAGCGAAAGTATGAAGGCTACTAGCGCGAGTTTGTCGACTGGTGCACTTCTCGCAGGTTTCGTGACCGCGACACTGTGACGGGGAAAAACTTCATCTTTTCCTATCTACCACGGTGATAGGACGAAAGTCAAAGAAGAACAGCGAAAAGACAATCGGTAGGTCCACTGTGTGCGGTTATGTTAACGCTGTAGTTGATCTGTACAACCAGCAGGTCACCCTCCGCACCAACGCCAACCCACATCCACGAACGAATGCCGTAAAGCAACATATCAAGAACGTACTGGCGAAGAGTACCGAGACCAAGAAAAAGAACTACGAAGACAGGGGGATCGGCTCTTTGCTGGATGGTTACTCATGGGAGCAGCAGTTCCAGCACCTTGTGATGCTTTCCGGACCCTTTACGATCTACGTGGACGTGCAGCCTTTTTACTTTCCCACTTTGGACTTTTGCGTGGTGAAAATGTGCGTGATCTAGAATTTGCGGATATGTTTTCTCAAAAGTTAGATGGAGAGGGATATCAACCGTACACCGCGCTGGTCCTAATGTTTCAACACGGGAAGACCAACACGTTTGGCAAGTTGCAACACGTTGGTTATATGCGCAACAAGGACGTGAGGATTTGCCCTGTTGGTGCAGCTGCGCTATATTTTTCCAGTTGTTCCACATCAATCGTGAGCCTTTTCCGTCGCTTAAGAAGTCGCAAGATTGGTACGATATTAAGTTGCTATGGACACGATCCATCACGTACGACATCCACAAAAAAAACTATGAAGCTGTATTCGACTACCTGGGACTCTCCTTCTATAAAAAACCCACATCAATCGTCAACAACCGGTTCTTTAGAAATGATGTACCGAATATTTGGTACAATTGGAAGGACACTTCACGACGGGACTATATGATCATTAAAGTTGATGGGACCCGTTCTCCTCCGTTCTCAACACTTTGGGGGAATAAACACCTTCCCCGTCTACAACACCCCTACTCGCTTTGTAGTATGCTACTACAGTCTGCCCCGGCAAATCAAGAAAGGTCGGACCAATAGAAACTGCGAGGTTGCGAAACTTGCAAAGGGCTTGACAGAAGTGCCAATGTACTGAATTACTAAATTAATGTAAAGTGGCGCCTCGTCTTGTACCGTCAGCTTAGTTTTCATTGAAAACTTTTCAAGCAGAGCGCGGTCGAAGGCACCATTGAACTTCAATTTGAAGGGGGTCGGCGATATAATATCGGGAAATGTACAGCCCATGTTTTCGGATTGGAGGGGGTGAAATGGCCCGCAAATCTATCGTGATGCAGAGACCAAATCGGCATCAGTCGCGTTTGAGAAGCATGAACAACCCGCAAACGTAGCCCCGAAGCAAGGCTTAGGTCTACGGTTCCCTGCCTAGCGCTGGGCCGGCCTTCTAAAGGTTTTAAGGACAGGTAGAGCCACATTTAGCAGCTCGATTACCCAGTTCCCAGGGATTTGCAATAGATTTGGGTGCCATGACACCCGTCCTGAAAACCAAAACATGGATGTCCATGATTTCAGCATGTTTTACATGTTTGGATATCTTACTTGGTTTTAGTATGTCTTTATCCCTAACCCTATTCCGAAACATGGGCTGTAGGGCCAGCCATATAATATCGCCGATATTCTTGTGTTTGTACTTGTACACGTAGTGAATGATTTGTCTTCTTCGCGGATCATCGCGTCGCGTAGACTGCTGCCTGGGACGGTCATTTAGGGAGTTATAATGTCCGTACTGCCCCATCGTTCAGGGCAAGGCACTGACGCCTCTGCCGCATGCCGTCATGACCGCATCTTGCTGCAGCAATAACTTATCTAAAGTTCATTTTGATCCTTTCATTTTACTCCTGCTAACTAGCAACTTGCAGTTGCGTGTTGCTTCCCGCTGGTGGACATGTTCCCTTCACTTTTAACTAGACTCAGTACATATTATCCAGAAAGCGCAAATCTCGACTGCATGGCTGTACTAGCTCTGCGAGGTACATTCGACATCGCTATTCTTGATTTGCCGGGGAGATCTGTACCGATTCTCCCTTGTTAGCCCCAACACCCGCCAAATCAAGGACAAAAACAAGGACCAAAAGTCAGAAGCTTAGACTGGCGTTCGTTTTGAAAGATTAGCCATCTCATTGGTACGGAGAGAAAGCCTTTGATTCCCTCTTTCAATCCTTTGTTATGCGTAGTGTCCACCATTGTCCATAACGGCAAAAGCTACAGTTGAAAGGTGTCATTAATAACATATTACATTTCGTTTTTGTCCTGGATTCTAGGAAAAATTCCTTAAAATGACTTGAGTTCAGTATGGGGCTTCAGCCGTTTCACCACTCGAACAGTAGTTGTCTTTGCTATACATGACACCCTCGTACTTACCTGGATCTGGCTGCGAGTGTCTGCATCGTTTTGCGTTGATAAGTTTCAAAATGGTCTTGTTCGTCAGCTACGTGTACAGTGGGATTTGCGATCATGCGCGGCTGTCTGCTTGTACAACCTCTATACCAATTCTCCCGTACACTCGTTCCCAAGTGGGAAAAACTATGGAGATTGAGGTTACGGAGATCGAGGGTACAAAATTTGCATCCTTGACTATTTAATAGTCCGGAGCAAAATTAGCAGACACATTTAGTCATAGATGTTTAAGTCAGCAGCGCTGATCTAAGATGTGTCGTCAAATTATACCAGCGCTACACGAATTAAATGCTAGAGATATAACTGGACTACATGTACATGTACCGGGTACAAAGCAATACGGGGCTAACACGCATGGAACGGTAGCCACGTGTATATTGTGCTTTTTACTCAAAAATTTCCATGCGCGGTTCTTCGATCACGCAGCAATCGCGCAAACATGTATAAAGACATAATCTATGTATTCATGAAGGTTATTTTGTGCGCCAAACCACAAATCTTGGAAGCTGTGAACTTCACAGCTTCACAGTGTGAAGTTGACGACGCCTGTACTCAAGCGCAAGCGGCTTCGCACCGCGCGAATCGCGCGACTCGGTTTCTTCTGATGCGCGATGCATCGAACGTCATATCACCTCGATCTTATCGCCTCTTCTCATGCCTTCACACCAATGATTCATTCTCTGTCTCCTTTAGCAGCTTGGACTACGTGGCGACGCGTGCTATGCAGTCTGTAGCTCAGGACGCCCTTGACCGCGCGCTGGATGACCCGGCCGTGACGCAGGACGTATCGAGGCTGCTGTAAGCCGGTTAGCAGCAAAATCAGCAGCGGCAGGAGCTAGCACTAGCGCAGAAGAAAACCAAGGCCGGCAGCATCGCGAGAGGCAACGCCAGGATGCTGAGGACGCGGCGGTCCGCGAGAAGCAGAACGCGGCCGATCGCCTCAAGAAGATGACGCGCAAGCAGATCGGTGCGTATGGCTTCACGGACATGTTGGGGCTCGGCGACGAGGGCAACGTGGTGAAGATCAAGACAAGGAGAAGTGCTCCACGGCCGATGATGTTGGCCCCGCCAACTCTAACTGTCAGCGCGTGCAGAAGGCGCAGACATGCGCGAGAAGACAAGACGAAGCAGGAGAAGAAGGTCAAGTACGAGAAGGAGCTGCTTACCGAGGACAGGGACCGCAAGGACAAGGCCGAGAAGAGGAACGTGAAGAGGAGATGCAGCAGGAAGTCATCGACAGACTTAGCTCCGGGCTGACCAAGAACTGTACAGCGCAGCCTGACGCCGACGACGCCAGAGCTGACTTAATATGCTTCCTAAACTTCATGCTATTTGAATAAAGTAGTGTTGACCGGCAAGATCTTCTCTAGTGAGATGACTTTGCAGTGGCGTCCGCGAACTAGTCGTCGCTGCTGTCGCTAGCAACACGCCGAGCTTCGGCGGGCTCAGTCTTTCTCAGACGCTGAAAGTATTTTGACCAATCAGAATGAGTGGTCTATTTGCTGTTGGTTTGACAAATAGCGCGAAATTGGCAAATTTGGGCGGAATTCACAATAATGAAGAGGAAAACTAATGTAGATAGGTGAAGTCTGAGCTCACGAGGCGGCGACGTGCTGGTCGCCACGATGGAGCAGATATCAAGATACAGTGGCATGCAAATTCCATTGCCGGTCAGTGGAGACAGTGACAGAACTCTGGTGTTCCCATGGCCAACAGGTTCGCACGAAAGCTATCGGGTGTGGCGGAATACCTACACCTCGCAGCCATATCAGTCACCGATCTCATGAAGCCGCCGTACGCGTTGCCGATAAGTATCTATACTACAAAGAGCAGAGATACAATATAAAGTGGAAATGCGATTCTCGTTCAGGGTAGAAGATGTTCTGAATCGTGCGCTGCGCGGATTTCAGGCGCTTCCCCGTCTCGACGTCAGCTTCCTCAATGCGCCGTGAACGATCTGCCTCAGCACGTGCGTGTTCAGCTCCAGCGCGCTGGTACTTGGCTTCAGCTTTGTTCTAACGCACCTGAAATCAGCGCGCAAATTTTGGTACTCGAATATATTATTTCAGAAGATACTAAACTGACTCACCAGAATAAACGTTTCAATATAACGCAACCGAGCTCAATGACAAAGCTCACCAGTATCTGCGTTGCAGATAGGTTAATTTTTAACGTTAAATGAATTATGTCCCATTTCGAAGAGGTCGCCCAAACATTAAATAAAATTAGAGCCATACTACAAAGTGATTTACGTACACGCAGAAGATTGTCCTCAATTTAAATTCCGGTAAAGTGTAAGTGAACAACATACTGGAACCTTAACACAAACAAGAAGTGTTCACGTCATGAAGTTGCACCTAAACAATTTTTCGCTTCAGCACTACGTAATTTATGCCTCAACATTCGAAGCGCCTTCGGTCGCACACCTTTACCTTATTTTGCATCTATTTAATGCGCCACTAACAATTAGTGAGTATCTACTTCTTTTCTTTTCACATTGAAGTACATTATTGTCATTTATCAAACTATATGGTAACGACATCCCATGACGAAGAGTATCTACTTCTCCGCAAGTACTGTAGTGAATTTTACTGAAAGACCCCCCCCCACACACTCCACCCTACATTGTAACCATGCTTTCGTGAGGACTATAACCCCAATAAAATTGGTCCTATAACGAAGGATCACATCGACTCCCCATTCTCGATTTTTGAAGGGAGTTGTCCTTATAGGCCTGGTTAGGACAAAAATGTTTAGGTACGATCTTATTGGGCTTCTGTCACCGTGGCAACAGCCATTGTGTAGCTATAACGGCCGAAGCGACGTTTGACTTGATTCTGTTACATGTATTAGACGGAATTTTTTGTGCTAAAGTTAAGGACAAACTGCATAATCCGCGTTGTCTGGAGTGACACTTTTGCTCGAGCTGCTGCGCGAACGCAACACACCTTCAGCGCTCACCAGCGCCTCAAGTTTACAGACCAAACACTAGTCTTTTATATATAACCAATACGCTTCAATATACGTTGAAAGTGAGGCTAAGCGAGAGTCGTCAAGTTTAGTCCTTTTTGTCCTTAAAAAAGTTTAGTTGGGGATATTATAATGAGTACAGTGACTAATAAATTGGTACGGAGATTATTTTTGATCACAACTATTTCCCTTTCGCACGACTTTTGTACCCTCGATCTCCGTAACCTCGATCTCCATACAGGCGTCCCCGGGCTAGTCCCGACTGTATATTTTAATGTACCTCGCACAGGAAGTACAACAAGCTCTCAAGATTTGCGCGCTATTTCTGCAAACATATTGATTTAGATGAGTGTACAGCGATACCTACTGCGACAAGTGGTACGTTGCGGGAATACCTCCACCAATCAACAAGATTCACGCGGTCTGAACATAAATGAGTATGTACTGACTTACTACAAGCTTAGCTCAAGAATACGGTGGAGGTATTCCCGCAACGTACCACTTGTCGCAGTAGGTATCGCTGTACACTCATCTAAATCAATATGTTTGCAGAAATAGCGCGCAAATCTTGAGAGCTTGTTGTACTTCCTGTGCGAGGTACATTAAAATATACAGTCGGGACTAGCCCGGGGACGCCTGTTCTACAAAATGTACGTTTCTTGGCCCTTTGCTATTACGCAATCCAAATCCCCCAAAGGTGTACGCTACTACAAATACAGACTAGAGCGTGAGAACGAGACGGGTAACAACTAATACCCGTTTTTACCGATGATATCAGGTATTAGAGTCAATGTAAAATACATAAAGTGGTGTCTGCCACATATGATTCCCTTTTAAATCCGGATATATCAGGCGTCTCGTTCTCACGCTCTAGTCTGTACTACCGATTCTCCCTTGTTAAGAGCGGCCCTGAAGGGATCCAATGTCGCGCTGACGTAGACACATCTAAGTATGACTTAGGTGTCGGAGCCCAGCCATGGCTTAGGCATTCACCCTGTGCTTTGAGTCACAACGCAATTTGCTGCAAAGGAACAAAAGCTCGTATGGGGCAGTACAATATCCATGTTCGGCCCTGATCGGTGTCCGAAGATCAAACTCTCGCCCGAGGACCGCGAGCTGTACGACAAAGCCGCGCGGAAGTTCCTGCAGGACACTATGTCCGAGCGTGCCAAGTTCAACGCCATGAACATCGAATCGCAGCACTGGGCCTTCGTCAAGCGCCGCAAAGAGGTCAGCGTCTTCAGTAGCGTACCCGGATCGACGAACAAGTCGACCACCATCATGGTGGGAACAGGCCTCATTGACGGCCGACTGGAAGACGTCATGGAAGGGCTCTACTGCGATAGGACCGACGATCTTCGCACCGCACTGGTGTTAACGGGCTACAACGTCAAGGACGGGTCCAAGCTCATCGTGCACGAGCGGTGTACGCCTGAAGACCCGTTCCGATGCGCTGGCATCAAGTGGTTCGCCGGTAGGTGTGCGTGGGGGTTGCAACACCGCCGTGACGTGCTAATCTACGAGCGGATGGGGACTACGACCGACGCGCTTGGTAATGAGCTCACTTACCACACGTTGCAGTCAATCAAGCGGCCGGAGTGGCCGTCAGAATCCACGCCCGGCATGCAGCGCCAACACACAGCGTCATGCTACCTCTATATATTGTTGTGCGCTTGCACCAACAAGACAGAGATTTTCCTGTGGGGTTCCATCCTCAAATTCGGCTGGGCGCCCGAGAAGGCCATGCAGCTCGGCATTGCCAGCACGTGGCTCAACGTCGTCCGCAGTCCTCGCGGCGGCCGGGCCAAGAAATTCAGCGCGCTCATGGACGAAGCCGACAGCCACCAGTGGATGCCATTCAGGTACGGTACACAGACCAATCACGAGTGAATGATGCGTGTTGCTGCGTGTTGTTCAAACCCTTGATTCTCACGTCGTATTTCTCATGCGTAGCACGAATTGCCACGGCTGTTACCGCCGCAAACCGAAGCTCGGGTCGTACGCGCTTTGCTCCGGCTGTCACCAGGTGGGTCCGCCGCTGGTCGCATCTGTAAACACACTCGTCGTGACTTTGGAATGGAAGACTGACACTGGTTGTGGACCAATTGTGGTGGACCTTGAACAGAGCGTGTGCGAGGACTGCTCCGAGCAGCACTATATTTTCGAGTTGGGCAAGTCCGGCAAAGCCAAGGAGCAGTGGTTCTGCGCGCTGTGTGTCAAGAACGTCACGGGCGATATTCATCTGGGCCCAGGGCTGAGCTCGTCGGGTTTGGGTTACTACGACGCAAGCGTGTGCTCGACCGTTAGCATGGGCATGAGCAGCAGCGGCCGAAGCAGTCGCAGTGACAGCTTTCTCAGCCGCACGTTCAGCTTCAAGCGACCAATGGATCCGTTCCGCCCACGCGTGTCTCCTTCCGGCGATAAAGCCCCCGGAGAGCTGACCTCGATTGGTAGATCCCCCGGCGGCACATGCGTGCCACGACAGCGACGTGCGTAGGAATCAATAAACACGTGGCCGTCGTACGCTACAATGTATTGTGCCTTTCACTTATTCTGCCGTGATAATTTTGGCATAACTCTAATCTCTTATCGACCATAATTATGCCCCGAGTTAGCTAATTCCCATGTTAATTCGGGGTCGTCCCTCCCTGGCCGCATTAGGAGCGGCGATGGTGACGGCGGAATAAGCTAATCCGGCCTGCGTTAGGCGGAAACAAAGCGATTGGCGGCTTCCTACCCGCCAATCCATACCATTATGCTCGAATATCCGTCAATTGGCTCTCAAATGCTGATCGGGGGTGTTAGGGGAGACGCTCACAATCTTAGGCAGAATAAGCACTAAAAAAGGGTTGATCGCCCTTTTATGACTCTAATTCCGCCTGAATTAACAGCTCATCCGCCAAAATACGTGAAAGGCACAATAGTACATACAGTATATAGCGGAACGCATTCGTTCACACGAGAACCACTCCGTACTGTAGTTGCTAGTCAACAGTCGTGCTGCGGTGCTGAAGGAGCGAGTCGTATGCAACCAGTTCAAGTCTGTATCGGGTGCCCTACATCTAGGATACGAGAATAAATATACAGCTACAGTAATGAAAAGAAAAAAAATGCTGGCGCTCATATAACTCACCTGTCTCTTGGCGTCTCTAAATTAATGCGACAGAGTTTTTGGCTACTACTCTTGATCGTCCCTAGTGGCACGAAGATCGGGGCGCTGGATACGCACGTGATGTTGAGAAGCTTCTAGCTGTTATTCATATTCGTGCTGCTTCTTGCAACATCAATCACAACAAACAGTCTTTTCACCTTTTTTTTCATTGCAGTCATCTCCGCCAAAACGTATGGCTTCTACATCGTCCGCTGGTGTTCATGTTGTCGGTGCAGATCTTGCTTGGCCCGTAGCCTATATGCGGTTTGCCTGTGACCTTCTTGACGCACATGGCGCAGAACAACCGCTTCTTGGCTCGGCCGGACTTGCTGAGCTCGAAGACTTGGTGCTGCTCAAAACAGTCCTTGCACACGCTCTGCCCAATATCAAACAAATGTCAGTCTGCGACTTGAAATTATGACCTTCGCAATGGATTTGTTCACAGATGCAGATGTAGCAGCGGGCGCACCTGGTGACAGCCTGAGCAAAGCGCGTGCGACCCGAGGTTCGGCTTTCGGCGGCAACAGACGTAGCAATTCGTGCTACGCACGGAAGACATCACGACGATCAACCGTTGGCTTTGCATTGGGGCCAGCAAAGTTGACGAGTGACGTTACCTGGAGGGCATCCAGTGGCGGCTATCGGCTTCGTCCATGAGTGCGCTGAATTTCTTGGCTCAGTCGACACGAGGACTGTGGACGATGTTGAGCCAGGTGCTGGCTACGCCGAGCTGGATGGCCTTCTCCGGAGCTGAGTCAAAGTTGAGGATGGATCCCCACAGGAAAATCTCCGTCTTGTTGGTGCACTTGTGTTGTCGGTACAGATAGCATGAAGCGGTACGCTGGCGTTGAATGCTGGGCATGAATCCTGACGACCACTCCGGTCGCTTGATGAACTGCGAGGTGTGGTAACTGAGCTCATGGCCGCTAGCATCGGTCGTAGTCCCCATCCGTTCATAGGCTAGCACGTCACGATGGTGTAGTAACCCCTACGCGCACTTCCCGGCGAACCTCGTAATGCGGACGAAGCTGAACAGATCTTTTGGTATAGGCCCTTCGTGGGCATTCAGGGCGTGGCGGCTCTTGCGGTTGCAGCCCAGGACCACTTTAGCAATGTGAAGCTCGTGGGTCGAATCGCAATAGAGCCCTTCCATGACGTCCTCTAGTCGGCCGTCAATGAGGCCCGCGCCCACCATGATGATGGCCGACTCGTTCGTGGGGCAAGGCGTGCCGCGCGCTGTATGATAAGGCCGTAGTGAAGCTCCTGCAGAACACATTGTCAGAGTGCGCCAAGTTCGCCGCTGATCCGCAGCACTGGGTATTCGTTAAGCGCCGCAAAGCGGTCAGCGTTTACATCAGTGAACACCGATCGGAGACGAACATGGCGCCCGCCCTCTCATCAGCTTTGATTTCTTCGCTTCGAGTTGCAATGTGAGTGCTGGAGCCGTGGCTGGGCTCCGTCGGAGCCTCCGAACACCACCATCATACTTTGGTTTGTTTACGTCAGCGCGACGTTGTAGCCAGCTCTACACTAGAGGGACAGTTCTGCGGCCTAAAATGCGACGAGTGAATGGGAGCCACTTCCCCATGTACAGGTAAGAGTGAGTAAGTTCACTTGCGCGAACGGTAAAAATGATTGACTCACAGTGATCGTTTCAAGTTGTCGATTCTGGTTGCATTACATGGGACACTGGTTGTACGAAGTACCCAACTTGGACGGCACTTCTGACCCGTGTACGTATCTGCCCACGCCCGTAATTCACGCCTTGCCTGCCTCGAAATCGCCGTACATGCAAGTTCAACACACCACCGATGTCGTTGGTCAGAGTCTGTGATAAAAAACATTGGTCTTTTTCATAATTTTTTGTGAGCAATAATAATAAAATTTACAGATAGTTATCAGAGATGGTTTTTGGTCGGGTTGGAGTGACGCCCTCCCGGTAGACGACGCCGAGCTGAGCCTCGGCGTCGCTCTGCGGGTGCTGCCTTCGGGCAGCGTCTAGTCCCTTGAGGGAACTGTGGGGGCGTCTCTGTGAGCAAGGTGGTGAGGTGGCAGCAAGCTGTGGCCAAGGACTCGCCGCGCAGAAGGCTTCACTGCGCGCTATGACCGGGTCCGCCGTAGCGGGCGGGCTGTTAACGGCATGGCCCAGGAAGATGAACTGGACGTGCGACAAGACCAAGGCGTTGGGCGGACTCCCGACTGGGACTCGGCCATCAACACGACGGCGAGCGGAGGGTTCGGCGAGAGGAGCGCAAGGCACAAGAGCAGATACTACAGATCAAGGCGCAAGGCTACGCTGGACATGCTAAGGACCGATGAGCAAGACGTGCAATGAGCAGAACAGATACTACAGATCAAGGAGCGGACGGCTGAGGACATCGATCGGCGGCAGGACCTACAACTACGAAGAGACCCGAGAAGGAGAGCGACGCAGCGAGCTCCATTTTCGTCAAGGACGAGAAGGAGGGAGGGGGAGCACGGAGCAGAGGTTAGGATAACTCAAAAATTGTATTACTCAGTAATACAATTTCGGTATTAATACAGGTTGTATTAATACTTATACTCGCTTTTTGGGCGAATGTATAAGGATAATTGAAGTAATACTACTCCTCAGAACTGGTAATACCAGTAATATTTTACGGTTATACTTCCAGAAGTCCCTCCGAACCCACGCAGGCGCTATTTCAGTGCATGCTCGCGCCCATCCACTCTCTATACGTCCTCCGCGGTGCTATTCGATACCCGTCGAACCGCGGGGCCCGCGCGAGGGCCCGTGCCAACGTCTACCACGACCTTAACAGAAACTTCTATCTAAACGCAAAGGGGAAGTTTGCGTTCGATCACGAAACCAAGCTACTGACAAACTTCCCAACTACCCACAAAAATATTTCCCTGCTTAAGAAAAGTGCCGCGGGACTACCACTACATAGCCACATCTTCAGGTCGCACTACGCTTATCTTGGCTGCCTCGGCAACGTAAGGACCATCGTATGAATACTATGAAGAAGGTCTTCAATGCCGTTCGGATCGTCAAGGTGATAGGAACGCTTCAGCGTTGAACTGTTCTTTGGGCTCAGTGTAGACTTCCCACTGGCGAAGCCGAGCTAATGTGGGCCACATAAGTTTGTACTAGCATAAAGTATTACCCAAAGTATTAATACAATCTGTATTAATACTGATACTTGTTTTCTAAACGAAAATATTGTATAACCGAGATTTATACCAGACCTCCAGTAGGGCCAGTAATACTACTACCTTGATTTGGTCGATTATCCTAACCTCTGGCACGGAGAGCCTCACATTTCCTGGCGTATGCGGAAAAAGGTACACTGGTACACCGTACCCATTTGTGGGTGCAGTACCAGTTGCCTCACTCATTTTACGTTTCGACTAGCCGTATAGAGTCTAGCTTAGTGTTTTGGGTTACGCGAACCACGCAATACATTACATTATCAGAGATGGACACGAAGACCAATCGAAAATACATGTATTGATTTGGTACAGATTTACAATTATTTTGATATTGTGAAAACAAGCTGGTCTGGACATCTTTGCCGGTTTTCACAATAACACTAAATGATATTATATCACTACAAAAGTTAAACAATAATATAATATAATATAATATAATATAATATAATATAATATAATATAATATAATATAATATAATATAATATAATATAATATAATATAATATAATATAATTATATCATATTATTCTTACCAACAGTATATTACAATTCAGTTTCGATTTGTAACTACAAATACTACTGCTGACCGGCCGTAGTAGTAGTAATCGATGACTCTTAACTATAACAGCACTATTCTAATGTTTTTATATAGAAATAGCAAAAATCCACAGCGTCCAAGTCAGATTCATGGACTATCTGGATACCCCCACTGAGAGTGGCGACTGCACCGAGCGCAAAAAGCTGTGCTCAAGTTGAAGCGGATCTTGCTTACCCCGCGTGCACAGCCGGGAATATATCCGAAGTTCGGTAGTCCTCAGCAGATGACGAACTGTGCACCTAGGTGTGGACCCGCGAACTGTGCGTAGGTATTTGTGGGAGGCGACGAGGCAGCCTTACGAACTGTTGGTTGGTACTGTGTATGCACACCTTGATGGCCGTGAACTGTACGTGCATAGACACTGTCATGCGCGTTCAACCCGCAGCATCAACTGCCCGCAAAGCAAAGACTTCATTTCGGCCGTTGTATTATCACGAGAACTCAATAGATACAATCGTGTTGGTGTAGTAGGCGCCTGGGACAGGCTAGTTCCAGCAGACACTTCGCAGAGTCGATACCTACGGCAAGAGCAAGCATGTGAGCGTGGTGCACTCTCAGCATTTGTATACTCAGGGGTTGGAAAAAATAATATCAATACAATAGTTACGGCATTTTTAGCACGGAATAATTTATTATTGCTTTAGGGTGCTCCCGTACAATCGAAAATTGTCCCAATACAATATCAACACTTTCGCCAATACAAAAACTAAGCTTACCGCAATGCTCATGTCATAAAGGGGGGTCAAAAACAACGGTACTTGTGCAACATACGAATTCGCTTATGACATGAAATTTTGCAGCCTGATGTAAGAAACATAATTCTAGACAACAGCACTCTCAACAATGTCGGCTTCATCGACAAGTTCAAATGCTTGTAGCTGCTCAAGTTGACTGGTGACTTCGTTGATAGAAGCCAGCGCCTCATCGTCGTCTTCTAGCTCGTAGCTAGCAGGATCATCCCCAGCTCCCGTTAGACCGCACTTTCTAAAGCCCGCCGAGATGGTAGTTGCGGAAAGCGCTTCTCATGCGGAGACAACCCATTTCACGATAGTCGACCGCTGAGGCGCTGACATTGTGAACTTCTCGGTGCTGTTACTCGCGGTGTAGAGCTTTAGTTGGTCTCGCAGAAACGCTACCCAGGCGGCACGCAAGCGGTCCTTGAGAGGCTTGATCCAAACAGCGTCCACGGGCTGGCTTAGCCACGTAAGTCCGGGAGGCACCTTCTGCAGCACTACGTTTAGCGAGCGAGCATACTCGACCACACCATCAACCCAATGACCGCTGAAATCATCGAGGAGTAGCATAACAGGAGGGCTCAATGGGTCGCGGTGGCCAAAATGAAATCGCAGGAACTCGAAAGTCTCCCCCGTCCACCAGGCAGCCTCGTTTCCGTAAATCTGGACGTCGTGTTCTTGTTGAAGAGCTTCTATTTCTTTCCACACGTGGCGACCAAATCCGTGACGGATACGCGCGTTTTCAGCGCGCACCTCCGGCACCTTCGACGGCTTCGACTTCAACATGAGGAACGGGGTGTACCTGTTGCCGTCTGAGTCGCCCAAAACCATGGCGGTAATGCGCTCTTTGTCTTTCTTGCAGCTCTTCACCCAGACCGTTCTAGACCCCGTCGGCGCGAGCGTCGTTCGCGGCAGTATCTCAAAGAAAATGCCTGTCTGGTCCGCATTGTAGATCTTGGTGATGCCCTCCACGTACGCCTTGTGGCGAACCTCTCTAGCAAATGCTGCGGCACGTAACGCTGCCGCAGGAGGCGTCTCCTGGCCAAAATGGGTTCGAGCGCGGAACGAGAGCCTATGGCGACGCGTGAACCCTCGGCGCCATTGCCACGACGCCGCAAAATGGTCTGGCGGGATACCAGCAGCTTGTGCTATCTCCAACGCCTGCAGCTTCAGCATGAGAACAGAAATCGGGAGCCCTTCACGCCGGAAGTCATTGACCCACCTGACGATACGCTGCTCAACCTCGCTAGGAAGGGTCAAGCCCACCCCGGAAGCACGACCACGGAATTGGGACGCCAACCGGCCATTTTGCGCGCGCTCTTCAAGGGCACACCGCATGCCAAGCCACTTGTAGACTAGCTTTGCTTTGTTGGCCCGCTTTGCCTCGCTCATGCCGTCGAAGAACCGGTCCAGAGTTGCCCTCATGCTGCCTGAAGCCTCGAAGTACTGGATGACTTGAATCTTGAACTCGACAGTGTACGCCTGCCGTTGGTATTGCCGGCGTCTGCGGCCGTCGCCATGAATTCGGCGTCGTCCCCTTCGCATCGGAAAGAGCAAATTGGGTTGTGACAATTGATGCGCAGCCTAAATGCCAAATCAAAGAGTAGAAATGGTTGGTCACCTATACCTTAATCCAGATAAATCTTTGTCCCAAAGTTTTGTCGCGGTGCCAATTCGACATATTTGTATGGGAGCCACCCTACCCAATGGGAAATCCGAGTGCGCGTCATATGTCGCGTGTAATCTGATTGGAGAAACATATCGAAGTCACATCCTACAACTCCTTCTAGAAGCTGAGATATTGTACAAAGTGTCGCTGTCCCAAACCTTTTGTCGCGCAGTGTACTACAAAAACCCCGTATATATTTATTGCCAATAATTGTGAAAATACTGTATTATTGGCTGAGCCTGTATTGCAATGATTATTACTGCGACTCCAAAACCAAAATACACTATGATATTTTATTTTCCGACCTCTGTGTATACTGCATACTTAGGAGGCATACTAGCAAAGAGAAACTAACAGAAACCACCGCGGCGCCAGCCGCAGTGGCTCCATTCAATACAGAATTCAATTTACCTTCAAGCACGGATTCTGAAGCAAGCAAGCAACTTAGGGTCGCGAGACACTACAGTTGGAAATTTCAAGCTTGACCTATCATGCACATTGAACTCGGTATCTACCGACCAACCAGACATCGCTTCTCCTTCCATGAGTCAGTCGTACGTTGCCGCCGTGACCCTCAATTTCGATGGTAAGGCAGCAACTGATGGTTTTCGGTGTCACGCTGACCCTCGTCGGGTTGTGCTGAGTACTGCGAACAAAACGACCGTCTCTGGTGCCGAGCTGACATCAAGACTTCAAAGCGCATCAGCTGGCGACGATGTCGCGATGGATTAAGATGTCCGCCGTTCGCGCCGACCCTCACAGCGCTCGCTCACAACGCAACTTACATTTACGGCGAACAAGTTCTCGATAGTATTACCGTCATGTTCGACCCCGATCAGCAGTGTCCACAGATCGAGTTCGCCCCGGAAGACCGCGCACAGTATGGCCACGCTGCACTAAGGCTCCTTCAGAACACGATGGCCGAGCGCACCAAATTCAACGCCGATCCGCAGGACTGGGCGTTCATCAAGCATCGCAAAGAGTTCAGCATCTTCAGAAGCGTGCGGGGGTCAGCCAACCAGTCGACTGTCGTTATGGTGGGCACAGGACTCATCGATGGCCGGATCGAGGACATTTTGGAAGGACTCTACTGCGGTACGACCCACGAGCTCCGCAATGCCAGAGTACTGCTGGGTTACGACGTGAAGGGCATCTCCGTACCCAACTCGCACGAGCGACTCACACAGGATGATCCGTTCCTCTTCGCTAGCACCAAGTCGTTGGTGGGTAAATGTGCCTTGAAGTTAGTATATGAGCGCGATGCACTTACCTATGAGCGAGTGGGGACCACGACCGACGCGCGCGGCCAAGAGCTTACTTACCACACCGTACAGCCCATCAAACGACCGGAGTGGCCGTCGGAGCGCCAGGACATCGCGTCATGCTACCTCTCCCGCCAAGACAAGTTCACCAACAAGACGGAGGTTTTCCTGTGGGGCTCCATCCTCAGGTTCGGCTCGGATCCCGAGGAGGCCATCCAACTCGGCGTGGCCAGCACCTGGCTCAACGTCGTCCGCAGTCCTGACGTCGGCCACGCCAAGAAATACAGCGCCCTGATGGACGAAGCCGACAGCCACCAGAGGATGCCCTCCAGGTACAGTACGCAGCGTTATTCGCCGATTTCGTCGGGCTGTTGCGACCTCAACTCAAGGCTAACACTTGGTTCTCTTCCGGTTTTCCTGCAGCATAAACTGCCACGTCTGTTGTCGCAACAAGCCGAAGCTCGGCTCGCACGCACTTTGCTCAGGCTGTCATCAGGTGCGTCCGCCGTTGCATCTGTAAACAAACTCATTGTGATGGTCGTAATTTGAGACCATGGCTTGAGTGAACAGAGCGTATGCAAGGACTGCTCCGAGCAGCACTACATCTTCGAGCTGAGCAAGTCCGGACGAACGAGGAGGCGGTTGTTCTGTGCCATGTGCATCAAGGACGTCACAGGCAAGGCCCATCTAGGGTCTGGATCTGACCTGAGCAAGCACTCGACCTGCGGTCCCGACAGCGCGAGCAGCAGCAGTCGATGGAGTGAGTCACTTTTTCAGCCGCATATTCAGTTAACTTAATGCGACTGCCTTTACATACATGTAATAGAGGACAGAGACGCCGAACCGAATGCGAGGCATGTCACTACAGAGAACGACATGCACAAGATCCAATTCATAGAAATACAGCTGCGAAATATGCTCAATCAATCACGTACTTACCACGTGAGTCGTCCTTGAAGATTTGCAGTCCAGCATGGCCATCCTACGGTTGGCATTTTGGTGCAGCGTGCAGTTGACGGCGAGTGTCGTATGCGACTGAATGGTCTGGCGGTACGAATGATCTACATGCCTTTCAACGTGTTACCTGGCTATAACTTCATCCCAAATGTAAGGAAGTGTTAGGCTAACAATGTTTGTATAAGCTTGAGTGAGAACCATTTCCCCGCTTTCAACGTCGAAGAATGGCCACAGGAACGAGGTAGTCCATGAACATGCTGCCATTTACCAGCACAGAACGTTGCACGAGAAAGAATCCAGGAGGCAGATATACAGACAGTAATTCGGAGATTGAATGAGTACAATTAAGGAAGGCACAAACACAAAGAGCAGGTGGGAAATGGTTGTCGTTCGATTGGTTGTTGTTGCTACATGAATACGCAGCGTGTACACTGGCCAGTCCACTGGACTGTCCAGCCCAACTCGTTTGAACGCTCGATCTTCGAGCAGCCAAGAGTACCATCAAAAGTGAACGCCAAAAACTCTGTCGCATTAAGGACGCTAAGAGACAGCCAAGCGCTCACAGTGACAGCTTGCTCTGCTGCTATGCGCTCAAACCTTGGGACCAAGTCGGTCCAGCACCGATCGTTTCTTGGCCTGAGGCTCGCCGGAGCCCTTGCCACGGTCATCGCTTTTCTTGCGCGGGGGTCTCTTACGCTCACTGCCGCCACTTTTTCTTTCGCCTTCCACCTCGATACGGCGCTTGTCATCATCACCACCACCACTACCACCGCCGCCGCCTCCACGACGGCGGTTGCGGCCTCCGCGTGAGCCGCGAGAGGAGCCGGACGTCGTGGTAACTACACGCCCACTGCCGCTACCTCCCGAGGGTTTCTCGCCGCGACGCTCGCGCTCTTTGTCGCCACGGTCCTTCTCCGCGCTACGACGTCGCTTCCGGTCCCCGCCCGCAGCAGCGTCGTCATCTGCAGCATCACGGCCGCGCTTTCCTTCGCGTTCCTTGCGGTCTCGAGGGCGATCGCGCTCACGATCTTGCGCTTTCTCGCGATCGCGAGGTCGATCCTTCTCCCTTGCCCGATCGCGATCACGGTCCCGGTCGCGGTCCCTGTCGCGATCACGTCCTCGATCGCGGTCACCTCGTTCCCGATCGCGGTCCCGGTCTCGATCTCCGCCGCTGCTCCGGTCCTTGACGCGCGATGAGGTGCTGTCCTCTGCGCGCTTGCTTGATGATTCGTTGCGGCGCCGCGATGAATCTCGGCGAGACAGCGAGCGTGAGCGACTGCGACGGCTTCGAGACTTGTCTGATCCACGGTCGCGCTCACGATCACGGTCCCGTCCGCGGCTAGAGCGGCTAGGAGACCCGTCGTGCTTTCGGGAAGAGGAGCGACTGTCGCTGCGGCCATTGCCGTCTTTCTTCTCGCGACCGTCGTCATCACGAGAGCTCTTATCGTCAGCCTTGGCATCTTTGCCTGTCATGATTTCATCGCTCTTCTTACGCTCCAGCTTCGCCGGCGTCGTCGAACGAGGGGTTTCATTATCACTCGGCATGTCTTCATCCATTGGTTCAGCCAGGAAGTCAAGGTCAATGGCAGGCGCCGCAACCTGGTCCAGCTTCACGTCCTTAACCGTGCTTTCTTGTTTCTTCTCTTCCTCTTTCGGCTTTTTCTCCTTATCACTAGAAGCACCAGCGTCCTTGTCCTTGCCCGACTTGGCGTCCTCACGGCTGCTGTCACTCTTGTGGTCACGATGATGGCGGCTACGGCTTGTACTGCGTGACCGACGAGACGAGGATATACGAGACGAGCTTTCGTTTTCGCGAGCTCTCTTCTTGTCTGAGCGGGAGCGCGAGTTGCTGCGGCTGCGGCCATGTGCTTGAGCCGTGCGGCTACGGCTTCGACTGCGCTTGCTGCGTTCCCTGTCTCGGTCTCGGTCACCGCTGCGCGATCCTCTGGAATCTTTCGCGTCGCCGCCACGACGGTCTCGCTCGCTCTTTCCATCGCGGCCAGTTGAGCGGTCTCGAGCACGGGAGCGATCCCTATCACGAGACGTGGAGCGGTTACGTCGACGGTCGTCGTCACGTCCTCGGGGGCCGCCCCGTTCTCCTCCTTCAAACCAGCGATCTCCACCGCCTCCACGGCCTCCAAATAGCGGCATCGGCCCATCAAACCACGGCGGGGGAGGACCAAAGTAGTCTGGGTGTCCAGGGGGAGGGCCAAAGTAATCCGGGCCTGGGCCACCAAAGAAGCCTGGAGGGGGCATTCCCCGGCCTCCACGCCCACGGCCACCTCGACCGCCCTTCATGCCGCCACGTCCGCCAGGGCCAGGGAATGGACCATCAAACCATGGACCAGGACGACCATCAAACCATGGACCAGGTTGCCCACGTGGGGGGCCATCAAACCACGGTCCAGGAGGACCGTTAAAGCCCATCGAAGGACCACGGGGTCCGTCAGGACCCCAAGGCATCTGGTGTCCTGGAGGACCCTGACCATTTCCTGATGGCGGGCCTTGCTGTGGTCCGGAGCTCGGCGATCCCTTTTCTTTACTGTCAGACGCTTGTCCTCCATCCGTAGGTGATGCGTCGCTGGTCTTTCGCGAAGGACCACCCGTCTCGTTGGTGGTTTCAGTTGCTCCTTCATCCTTCGGTAGTGGAGGCTGCTGTACTTGTTGCGGAGGAGATGCAGACGCTGGTGTAGCCGACTTTTGCGGAGAGGAGGTGTCTTCATTTTCGTCACCATCACCAAAAATGTCGCCGCCGAACTCGTCCTCTTCTTCCTCCTCGCCATCTCCTTTCTTGCCCTTCTTGATTTCCAGAGTAGCATCCGCGCTGTCGCCTGACCGACGACTAGCTGAGCTTGCAGCCAATTCAGCCGCCTTCTGCTTGGCCAGCGCCTTCTCCTCAGCTTCTTTAACTAGTTGTTCGCGCTCCTGCTGCTCCGTACGCGCGCGCCGCAAAAATTCGTCCACGGAAGTTCGGAGCACCTTGTTCGGCAGCAGCTTCTCGGGCGACATGTTGCTCACATTGCAAAGCGGGCACGTGAGTTTGCGCTCGATCAACGCGCTACGAAGACACTCGTCGCACGCCGACTAACCAACAGATGCAACACAACAGCAAACACCCAGTTAGCCAACAGCTCACGACACCAGGAACTTGATCAAGCACTTACCTCTTGGCAGCACGGGATGAGCACGGCATCGCTCATGAGCCGTCTGCAAAGGGGACATGCCAAGTGCTCGGGTGGATTCGAGATGAATTGATCCAAGGTGGCCGAGCCGCCGGACCGAGCCATTAATTTAGAGAAGTTTTTATTCTGCGGTTCTATCACAGCTAGCCCGCCCCACGGCGCGTTGACTACCGTTTTGCCCGCGCCTACGGGGATCTCGCTGGGATCACTCACGGCCTTCATGAAAGACTTGGGAATGCCAGTTTTCTTTTTCACACGGTGCTGATCAAATTCGGGATCCCCGTTCGTGGGGCAGTTCTGGATGTAGTGTCCGGGCGTGCCACACCGATAGCACACATAGTTGGGTGGCGGGTTGCCCAACAAGTTCGGTCCGCCCGGGCCTCCCGGCCCGGCGCCGCGACCGCCGCCTCGTCCATTCATCATTCCTCCCCGGCCGCCAAAGTCTCCACCGCGGCCGCCACGGCCAAAGCCACGGCCACCAGCTCCACTTCCTCGTCCACCTGCCTCTCCACCGGCCCCATTGGCCGCGTAGTAATTCATCACATGGTTGGCGTTGCTGCCGCTGGACGCGGTCCACGTCTTATTGCCCAGTCTCGAGCCGCGCATGTCCTCGGCCTGTTCGTGAATGGACTGCAGCGCGGCCAGTTCATCTTCCATCGTCTGCGCCCCAGCGGCCGCATCTCCAGTACTCAACGACAACGAGGCCATCCTGTACGTCACGAGAAACACACACAAAGAGGGGAAAGAAACACAGCACCAGTATCGGATACCAGCAACAACGTCAGCCATTGACCGGGCCACCTGCCTACAGGTCCATACACTACAGAAAAACTCAATGGCCACGTACGGCTGAGTGGGCGTGACCCCCACGGGCAGCACCGGCGACGGGCCGGCCATGGGGGCGACGGGTGGCGACGCGTGGATGGCCGCCGCGGCCGCAGCAGCCGCGGCCACGGCCGCCTCCTGCTTCATGCGGGCCAGCAGGCCGCTGCCCGGCTGCTGGCTGGGGATGCGCTTGACCGTCACGCTCGTGTTGCGCGGCAGCTGCGTGTTCTCGTCGTCGTAGACCTTGCCGTTCTGCGCGTCCGTGATCACCAGGTCGAAGTCCAGGCCCTTGGCCAGCTTCTTCTTGTCCACGATGGCCTTCTTCAGGTCCAGCACGCGGATCACGGCGCCCGGGAACGTCACCGTGTCGAACTCCTTGGCCGACTTGAACTTAAAGTGGATCGACATGTCGATTAATAAGAGACGGCGAGAGAGGGGGGGATTCTGCACTCGCGGAGCTAAGCTAAGCGCTCGCTCCCGAGGCCCAGATCGACGTGGAGGGAGGGCGTTCGGCGGGGCGGCGAGATGGAGCACCGCTTGCCTTGCCTTGCCCTGGCGCTTCTCGAGCTGGTTGGTCAATGGAGGGGGTCGGCCGAGAATAGCGCAAGATCTCGAATTTGACTTGGGTTTAGTAAAGGGTTGTATTTGTAATTGAAGATATTTAGGACGGGCTAGATGCGTAAAACGAATGAAAGTTATCGGTATATTTAGATACACATACCGGTAAAGTGCCTAATTGTTTGCAGTTTATGCTTGATAAACACTGAGAAAGTGGCACACATAAAGTGTATATACACGAACTTTCTCGACCAATCATATCCCTCTATATAGCCCCAACCGTTTGAGAAAGTGCAGATATGCTCCTATGCCTCGTCTCTCGCCAGAAGGCGGTCTCGTTTGAATTCGATTCCCGCACACACTGTGTTTGAATATCTGAACGGCGGGTCCCAAGGTCGCTGCTGCTCCACCTCCGCCGCCGGCCATGACGATGCAGGCGCGCGACCCGACGGAGCTGCTGGCCAGTGGCAAGGAGAACTCCGCGGCGGGCGGCAACCAGCCCACGACGCCGTCCAGTGCGCGCGACAAGCTGCGCCGAAGCAGCAGCGACGCGGCGCGCCGCGTGTACGACAGCGACCGGTTCAAGCTCGTGCAGAGTCGCAGAGGCAGCGGCGCCGCCAGCCCGCTGCCGGCCAGCAGCAACCAGGAGGAGAACGTGGACATGGAGCTGCCGCCTCCCCCTCCGCCTGCTCCGGCCGCGGCCAAGCAGAAGAAGAAGGAGCCGACGCCGCAGCCAGTTGTGGCCGACCAGATCCTCGAGGCGTATTTGGACGCCGGCGGCTACGTCAAGACGCGGACGTACCTCAAGGGGAAATTCCTGGGGAAGGTACGCACATAAGTGACAGTGAATCAATTGCAGAGAGGTGCTGGATGTTGATGTGCTTTGTGGGTTTTGTAATTGAAGGGAGGGTTTGCGCGTTGCTACGAGATGAAGTGCGAGCAGACGGGTAAAGTTTACGCCGGCAAAGTGGTGGCCAAGAGCTCGTTGGTGAAGCCCAAGGCCAAGCAGAAGGTGAGGAGAGCTGTGATGGAGTGGAGTTGAAAAGGGGGCAGCGAAGTGCTGATGTGCTGTACTTTCTCGGTGTGCATCATAGTTTACGTCGGAGATCAAAATCCACAAGTCCCTGCACCACCCGCAGGTTGTACAGTTTGAACACTTTTTTGAAGACTCGGACAACGCGTACATTCTGCTGGAGCTGTGCCGCAACCAGTCGCTGTCGGACCTCATGCGAAGGCGGAAGCGCCTCTCGGAGAGCGAAGTGCGGTTCTACATGCGCCAGCTCGTGGAGGGGCTGGCCTACTTGCACGAGAACCTGGTGATCCACCGCGACCTGAAGCTGGGCAACCTGTTCCTCACGACAGACATGCGACTCAAGATCGGAGACTTTGGACTCGCCACGAGGCTTGATAACCCCGAAGACCGCAAGCGCACGATGTGCGGTACACCGAACTACATTGCGCCGGAGATTTTGAGTGGACAGCGAGGAGACGGACACAGCTTCGAGGTCGACATTTGGTCGACGGGCGTTGTCATGTACACGCTGCTCGTCGGCCGGCCCCCGTTCGAGACGGACGACGTCAAGGCCACGTACAAGCGTATCCGCGCCAACCAGTACGACTTCCCAGAGACTGCGCATGTGTCACGCTCAGCTCAGTCGCTGATCCGCGGCATCCTTCGGAGCGATCCTGGCGCCCGACCATCGCTGGAGCAGATTTTGAAGCACCCGTTCCTGGCCGATGAGTTTGTCCCGACGTCGTTGCCCCGGACAGCTTTGCTTGTTACGCCACCAGCCTGCAAGAACCAGTCTTTCGCGAGCCGTCACAGTGACAGCGAACGCTTTGCAAGCTCCACGGGAGTAAGGGTTCCGCCGCCCGCAGCTGCAGCGAAGAGGTATCCTCTACAATCTCGTGATGTGAACGCTCCGGGTCAGCGGGCCTCCGATCCCGGAGCATCGCCCTCCTTGGGGCAATCCCTACCTCCTGCTTACAAGCGAGACGGATCTGGAAAAACATCCGCGTATACAAGCACCGCCCGAAGGAAACTAACCGAGACTACAAGCACTTCAACCGAACGGCAATTCAACAAGGTACCAGTGGAGGCTTCTCCGCCTCAAAACGTACTAGAAGCGGCGTACAAGTCATTGTCGCGCTTCTTTTATCTGCAAGAACACAGTGGAAATGGCGAAAATGGAGAGCGCAGACTGAGTGAGTCATCTTCTGCTGCTATAATCGTGGCGGCCGCACAACGACTGAAGGAAATCCGTGCTGAAGCTGAAGAGATTCAGCCGCTCGTACCAGCCAGCCTGTGGATATCGCAGTGGGTCGACTACACGTCCAAGTACGGCATCGGCTACATGCTTTCGAATGGTGGATCGGGTGTGTACTTCAACGACTCCACCAAGATGATATCGTCAGCTGACGGCCGCGTGTTCCAGTACATCGAGCGCCAGAGCAGCAACAATCGAGTCTCAGAACCGTGTGCTAAGTACACCATGGATAACTACGACCCGGCGTTGAAGAAGAAAGTGACACTACTCGGCCACTTTAAGGGATATTTGGTGGATGCCCGTGCGGAGAACGACGAAGCCGACACTCTTGAGAGTCAGCTTGCGCGGTCCTTCGTGCTGTCATCTCGTGAAGTTGGTACGGATACGAGCGTGCTTGGAGACAACAGCAGCGGAGACGAGACCATGGTGTTTGTCAAGAAGTGGGTCAAGACTCGGCATGCAGTGCTCTTCCAGCTGTCGAACGGCACAGTGCAGTTCAACTTCTTCGACAAGTCGAAGCTCATGCTATCCTCAAACGCCCGCGTCGTGACGTACCTGGACCGTGAGGGAGACCTGACTGTTTTCTCATCGTCAACAGCGATCCTCACACCGGAGCGACCCGATCTCGCCAAACGGCTGCGCTATGCGAAAGACATGCTGCAGCAAATGGTGCGGACGCCGGACCACAAGTAGAGTAGTTTTAGCTTGAAAGGAGGCGCGAATGCCACATGTAGATATAATACTCCCAGCGTAAGTATAAATTGCCATGTATATACTTTCGGATCGGTGGTGTAGATGCGTATGAACACTACTGTACATGTAGTTGTCATTGCTCGGAAGGCGTACGACGTTCCTCGTCGTAAGGTGCATCCTAGTGTTCCATTTTCCATCCCGTAAACCCGAAGATCGTCTCGTAAACCTGTCATTACTTAAATTTGAGAAGTGAATTATTGGTCGTTGTTTCGTTCACTTGCAACACGGATAATAAATGTGAGATGCCGAGCCAATGCCTGCCAGTCGTGTGGGGCTAGCTCACCTCAGTGTCCGGTTTGTTTGCATTTCTTCATTTCCCAAGTCGACTCGCCGGAAAACAACCAAACATGCGCCTCCTGACAACTCTGGCTTTGGTTGTTGCCGCCAATCTTCTCGTACGTGGTGAAGAGATCCTCTATTTACGTTAATTGCTAACTATAGAGACCTGGATTAAAGGCAGTGCCTACTTGGCCACGGTGGGCGCAGTTCTTGGGGGCTTGATGCCGGCTTTCTAATGGCTTTGTGCCGAATTTCTGGGTTTCTGGTGGCTTGATGCCGGTTTTCTTGGTGGTGCTTGAAATGTTTGGACACATGAGAGGTCACCAGTCTCCCATGCTGCAAAGTCCTTCCTTGTTCTCCTCTTGCCAGCCGCACATCGCCGTCAACACGTCCGAGGAGGTCGTCTCGACTGGTTGGGACACTTGGGAGTATACGCGGATCCGTTGAACCAACTTCCGGGGTTAGCATACGTACCTGATAAATGGATAGGTTGGTCGCTGCCTTGCAGCTGACGCACGTCGCGCGGGGACAGGGGGCAGAGGACCCGGAGGCCGGAACCGTTCACCAAATGTCGGATTTACCCGGTCTAGAACGAGACTGGCCTGGTCCTGCCATCTTCCGATCGCCGAAGTTGACAAACTTGACTCTCTTGTCGACCTTGGAGAAGACGTCACGAACGCAGAACTGGGTCCATTTCAGCCGAGAGCGGAGCTGGGAACAAATACAAGCCGGAAAGCTGGATCTTACGGAGCGCGATCTCCACATAGTTCACTACCGCCGGGCGACGTCCGCCGAAGCGGTCGCCACGAGTCAATCTTCTCGTACGTGGAGATGCCTCCTCCACGACTACCGAATCAAAGATTTCATCGGACAGCAAGAGGGCTCTACGAACTCTCGATTTCAGCAATGCGGGCAATACAGGCAGTGAAGAAGAAAGGGGTTTCAACTGGCCTGCTCTGAAGCGCGCTTTTTCAGGCAAATCTGCCGACGAAGTGGCCATCATTAAGCGCTATGCCGACCACTTTGCGCGCTGGGACGGCGAAGAGAAGATGCCGTATGACGTTTACCTCCTAAGACGGATCAATTTCAAGGATTCCCACGAAGAGGCGATGAAGTGGGGGCTCCGCTTTGAACACTACCAGAGCAACCCCTCGGCTTACCACTAAGCAGGGGATGTGTTGTCGAGAAGGGGCATCGTGCGAATCGAGCAAGACCACCGCTTAAACCCCTCTCATTTATCCCTGTTTGGAGAATCGGAACGTTATTTGGGCCGCTTCATCTATAGTTACCCACGTGCATCCATCCTGGCGGATCGAGTGCGGCCAAGGAATCCATGGGTAGCTGCAAGCCATGATGCGCGCCGTGCAGCCTCCCGCTCGGTACCCGGTCAGCATCTGCACCATTGTGCAGATGACCATTAGCTGAAGTCTGCTCCATGAAACAGTGTTCAAGACGCTTGGCGTGCACTCATTGCATCTCTCGAAAAACTCCACAGAAAAGCTCATCCACAAACTCTGTTCGTAGCGTCATGAGTTTATACGACAGTAGTAAATTATATGTTGCGTCAGTACTTTGGTATCGGCGGTCCTCGAATCTTGTTCGCAAGGATGGAGGCTTGGAGGTTCGTCATGACAGCAGTGAGTTGCTCCACTTGAGCCTGAAGGTCTGCGAGCTGCTGTTGTTGCTGCCGATTTTGCTGCGCTTGGGCCAACTGCTGATTGAGCATCTCGTCCTTCTGCCCTTGTCCTCTGTTCGACTTCTTTGGCACTTCGTAGCGAACGCCATCTTCCAGAACTCCAAGCACAGGCTTCTTCATTGCCACGTTTAGGGCAACTACATCTCGTGCCAGTTCATGGATCGCAATTCGTGACGGCGACGGAGGCATCTTCTTTAGTACGGGAACTTCCGGCTCAGGTGCATCTGTAGCATCAGTTACAGGCACAACACGACCTTGGTTGAGGTTCAATCCTGGTGTAGGCTCGGGCCGAGGCTTGGTCACGATCGACAGTCGCCTCATCTTCTCGGCCACGCCCAGTATAATATTCTGCCTTCGAGTCGCTCGAGCCGTCGTCAGAGTATCATTCTCCTCCACCACCTTCTCCTTTTCCACGGCATATTGCCGTTCACGGGTGCTCTTTGCACTCGCCTTCGGCTTCGACTTGGCCACAGCAAGAAGCTGGAGAAACTTATCACGACGAGCTTTCGGCGTCAGAGCCTTCTCGAGTCGAACGATTGCCTGCGCGTGTGACTGCAGAGCTTCGGCCTCGGCCGCATCCCACACCTCGGCGTACGTCGTGGCCATCATGGCGATGAGGATGTTGAGCAGCACCACGACAGCGCTCAACAGGTGAACCAGCAGCAGAAAATTGCTCGTGTACCAGGTGTACCCGGTGGCCTGCTTAAAGTTGTCGTATGTGAGCTGGCCGTAGAGCATGAGGTAAACCGTAATGAAAGAGCTGGTGAACGTCTCGTACCCAGCAGTTCCGCGCAGCAGAAGGTAGAACGCGCCACTGAAGCCGAGCAGGAAGACGGAATACAGCAGGAAGAAACGATAAATATCCTTCACCATGTGGACCATCATGGCGATTATCAGACCGCTGTCCCGGGACATCTGCAGGAACTGCAGCAGGTTGATCCACAAGCACACAATAATGAGAGCGAGCACGCTGTTTCGCGCCTGCTGGGTCAAGTCAGAGAATGCGACGAACTCGAGCGGGATCGAGCAGATGATGGCCCCGTACGCCAGCACCCCGATCCAGTTCCAGAAGGACGCAAAGTATCTTCGCGCGCCCTCGCCCCGACACTCGGCCCGTTCGACATGGAGCAGCAGGAAGATACTGAGCAGCCACGACACGAAGCGCAGCGCGGCCACCATCTTGTCCATGCTCGAGTTGAGGTGGATCCAGTTCGGGCTGCCCCACACCGTCGGGATGAAGTAGCTCGTCACCAGCAGCGTGTACGCCGCGAGCTCTCGACGGAACATGGCGCGCGCGAAGCTGTGCCACTTCGCGTGCAGTATCATGCGCATCAATCGATGCGACAGAATCGCGTGGGCCGCAGAGCTCTCGGCCACCAGCGCCAGCGCCGTATCACCCACAGGCACTGTCGGCTCTCCATAGATGACCCTCAGATCCGTGTACTTGACAGCCTCGTACCCCTTGTGCGAGTGGTTGAGCACCGTCGCGAACGCGTCCAGGTAGTCGATCACTGCGCCGGGGGCCTTCTCCAGCATGAAGGCGAAGAAGTCTCCGTCGTAGCGCCTCGGCCACGTCCCGGGCTGGCGGAGCAGCCACCTGACCATCTCCTCGTTGCCCACCTCCACCGCCGCATGCAGCGGGGTCACGTCTCCACAAGGCAGGTCCGGGATGGCCCCTGCGTCCAGCAGCGCTTGACACACTGCAAACTGTCCTTCCTGCGCGGCCTCCAGCAATGGCGTCCACTCGGAATCATCCTGCAAAGATAACACAACGACATCAAGGAATCAGCTGACGACGCAGCTCGGGTAGCCACCGGAATTTCTAGTTCTACGTTACGCGGACGTCGGGCGGCACCCCGGCGGCGAGTAAGTCGCGCACTATCTGCTCCGAGTGCTTCCAGCCAGCCACCACGTGCAGCAGCGTGGATCCGTCGTCTCTCCGCCGCACTAACGGTGCATCGCGCGCGGTCTGCGGCTCCACGCTGGCCGAATGACACAAAATCCACCATTAGTCGGGGCCATTCATGTGGCCAGCAGAGGAGGGCACAACCACCACCACCTACAGAATCTGGGCCACGAGGTCGTCGAAGGCCGCGTCGGCCAGCAAGCTCCAGGCCGAGCTCGAACTCTCCGTAGTCATGGAGCAAAGCTTCCCATCGCTGCGCAGCGATAGCCGCGGGTGGTCACGTAACATGTAACACCCTGCGATGTGCGCGAAAAAGCAACCAGCAAAGCGTGCGTCGCTTGGGAATAAAACTATATAGGTTCAACTCAATAGTTAACAGTCATGTTTCCAGAGCTGATGCTATCGACTTACTCAGGATATGCAGTCCCGACAAGTAAAAGCACGAACCTAAAACGTATTTAAGAGAAACTTAATACGAACATAAGGCAAGGGGTATAAAACCGGATAAAACCAGCTGGTATAATACAGAAATGAAAGTCGAAGCGGCGTCGCAGAAACTGCCGGGCGTTACTTCAACACGATAAGCCATGGGTTCCCGGGGTGGCATCGCACCGAACCGGCCCATGCTCGCTCATTCTACGATCGGAGACCTCTCCACCACTGCTAATAAACTCCATGGAGCTGCTGGACCTTTCGCCCGCCGTGCTGGCCGCGTGCGCGCGCTTCGACGCCGACAACGACCTGGTGCTGCAGCACGTCAACTCGTTCCTGGACTGGTCGCCCAAGTGGAGCCTCATGCGCGCGGCGCTGGCCGGCCACCTGCACCTGGTGCAGCGGCTGAGCCGGCGCAACCCCAGGAAGTTCCAGCGCTGCTGCCAGGAGGCCATGGACTCGGCCGCCGAGTTCGGCCACCTCGAGGTCGTGCAGTGGCTGCACGAGAACCGCAAGGAAGGGTGCACGACGGACGCCATGGACATGGCGGCCAGCAACGGCCACTCGCAGGTCGTGCAGTGGCTGCAGACCAACAGGAAGGAGGGGTGCACCTCCAACGCCATGGACTTCGCGGCCCAGCACGGCCACTTGAAGGTGGTGCAGTGGCTGCACTTCAACCGCAAGGAGGGGGCCACGCACTACGCCATCGACAACGCCGCGTCCTACGGCCACCTCGAGGTAATCCAGTGGCTGCACGCCAACAGACACGAGGGTTGCTCGCAGTCGGCGGTGGTGAACGCCATCAACGCAGGACACGAAGACGTCGCCAGGTGGCTGGTGGCCAACCGCAAGAGCGACTGCATCGGCAAGCTGGGTTTTGTGGAGTACCTGGCACGGCGCGGGTACTGGGACGTGACCGCCTTGGTTGACAAGCACCCGTACCTCCAGGAGCTCATGGACGAGCTGGTGCTCACCGACGACGAGGAGGAAGTACGAGAGGCCGAGACGATCGACTTCTTGCGGTGGTGAGAGCGGCTAATGCTAATGCTAAGCTAAGCTAAGCGCTCGCGAGTGGGGCGCACGTATTCAGTAGACTAGGTAGACTAGGTAGACTAGGTAAGGATAGATACTCTAACAACAATCAAAACCGCGTTGACAAATGGCATGAAGCTTCCTGTAGGACCTAGAGTCCGGAACGTAGGCGACAGCTTCGTGGCCTGCATTTGCCCGCGGGCCGGACCTCAAGACTTGAGTCAAGTCTCCCATGTCACTCCCTCCCTGCATCAACTTCGCTGGGATGGATTTGCTACTGAAGCTGTCCACAGTCACCATCGTGGTGGCCGGGATCTTTGAACGCAGGGTCGACCATTCCTCCCCCCACGCGCGCCTAAGTTCCTCGCGGTCGCGGCCCAGTCGCTCTGGGATGGCGGCCGGCATTTGCGAACACGGAAGCGCTGTCGCATCGCATCGAGCCCATGGCGATCATCTCTCCGTCTGTATACGCCGTGTGTCGGGCGCACGACGCCGACAACGAGCTGGTGCTGGCGCTGGTACAGCAGTTCTACGATGTCACTGCCAGTTGGTCGCTGGCAGATGCTGCGGATCACGGCCACCTGGATCTGGCCAAGTCGTTGAGCGCGACGGCGTCAGCCGGGGCCGTCTCGGACGCGCTGGACTTTGCAGCGGAGGCGGGGGAGCTTCGAGTCGTGCAATGGCTACATGCCAACCGCGGCGAGCACTGCTCCGTGGACGCCATGGACCTGGCCGCAGCTAATGGCCACCTCGAGATGGTGCAGTGGCTGGCCGAGCACCGATCGGAGGGCTGCACGACGGACGCCATGGACCTTGCGACCGCCCACGGATTCCTGGCCGTGGTCAAGTGGCTACATTGTTATCGCGAGGAAGGATGCACGCTGGCCGCTATGGACGCGGCTGCTGCTAATGGACACCTTGATGTGGTCAAGTGGCTGCACTCACACCGGGACGAAGGCTGCACGAAGAACGCCCTAGTCGACGCGTGCCTTGCTGGCCATTGCAGTGTGGCCAAGTGGCTCATGCAGTTTCGGTCAGAAGGCAGCGACACTGCTGCAATCAACGCTGCGACGCAGGGAGGTCATGATGAATTGGTGCAATGGCTCGTGGATCACGCGTTTCTGCGAGACTGCTACAGCTACCCTCCACATTGGAAGAGTGTGTCGATGTACTATGAACTGGAGAGCGAAGGCAGTGACGGCGAGAGTGGTGGCGAGGTGGAAGAGTACCCCGTGTTTTTTGCGTGAAATATGTAGCGGATTGAGATCGACGTTGGCCATTGTTGTGCACGTTGAAGTGCACATTGAGGTGAGCGTTGGGAGTTGTGTGGGACCCCACCGCATACGCGTTGAGAGTGAGACTATCGCCGAGGTGGAGAAACGAGCTGTGAGCCGTCTACAAATACACGAGTACTATATCGGATACGCCTCACTGGTATTAGCGGTACTCTTAAGTGATGGATTGTGGCGTTCTGAACAGAGGTCGGAAAATAAAATATCATAATGTATTTTGGTTTTGGAGTCGCAGTAATAATCATTGCAATACAGGCTCAGCCAATAATACAGTATTTTCCCAATTATTGGCAATAAATATATACGGGGGTTTTGTAGTAAGCTTAGTTTTTGTATTGGCGAAAGTGTTGATATTGTATTGGGACAATTTTCCATTGTACGGGAGCACCCTAAAGCAATAATATATTATTCCGTGCTAAAAATGCCGTAACTATTGTATTGATATTATTTTTTCCAACCCCTGGTTCTGAAGGCTAGTAAAACGCCCGAGAAAGTAATCGCGAACCCTTTTTCATAAACAAACGGGATGAAGCGAACCGGAACACTTACCTCAACCAAGACTGAGTCAATATACACCCGCACGGTCAGGGGCGAGAAGGCATTGCCCAAGAATTGACATCCAGTGCCATAATCTCCGTGAAACTGAAGCCATTCACTCACAAGCAAAATGCGATGAAGCAAGCAGATAGATCTACCAGCTCTCACTGCTAAATGCTTCCAACGCAGGCAGGCGAAGGTCACATCTGCTTGGTTTGGCCCGAAGATCACTTTCCAATTCACCAATTCCTTCCTGCAAGCCTCCAAGTCTCTTCCTGCCAAGCAACCTCTTCAAGCATGGTGGAACCCGACCTCTCCAGCGTTGATTCCCTGCTTTCGGGCGGGGTTGTCGCCATGCACGAATGCGTGGCCACGACAATGGAGAAGGCGCTGGGGAGACCCATTCCCGAGGTGGAGATCTGTTTCCATGACTTGCGGATCTCCGCGCGTCTACCGCTGGCCAAGCCAGGATCGGAAGGACCCCACGTTCCCACGATTTGGACGCAAGTGACTCGCGGTGTGATGAAGTGCTTCTCGCATCAAGAGACCGCAGAGAAGTGGGGTCTCGGGTGTATTCAAGCCAACCCGTATCACGCTGGTACTGGGCCAACCCGGGTCGGGCAAGTCTTCACTGCTCAAGATCCTCAGCGGTCGATTCCCAATGGACAAAACCATCGACGTCACCGGAGAGATCACGTACAACGGCAGACCCCGAGCCGAGCTGCTGCCCCGCCTGCCTCGGTTTGTCGGCTACACCAACCAGAAGTACGATCACCAGCCGCAGCTCACCGTGCAGGAGACGTTCGAGTTCGCGCACGAATGTTGCGAAGGGTCTGAACCGGAGCCGTGGATTGTGAAGGCGATGAAGGAGTTGGCAGGCGAGAGGCACGAAAACGCGGTGAAGGTCATGACTGCGCTGCACAAATTCGCGGCGGATCTACGCATCCGAACCCTTGGACTCACTCGATGCAAGGACACAATGGTCGGGAATGCCATGATCCGCGGGGTTTCCGGGGGCGAACGAAAGCGCGTCACGACTGGAGAAATGACGTTCGGCCACAAGAGAGTCGTGTTGCTGGACGAGATCAGCACGGGCCTAGACGCGGCCACCACGTTCGACATTGTCAACTCGCTCAAGAGTTTAGCGAGGAGCTTCAAGTGCAACGTCGTGGTGTCTCTCTTGCAGCCGCCACCTAAGGTCTTCAACGTGTTCGACGACGTGTTGATCCTCAATAGCGGTCGCATTATGTGCCATGGCCCGCGAAACCAAGTGCAGGAGTACTTCGAACGCATGGGATTCCAGTGTCCTCCGCGCAAAGACGTCGCCGACTTCCTGCTCGACCTCGGAACGGACAAGCAGCACGTCTACGTGAGTGAAAGTCACAAGGACACTCGAGTTCCATTCAACTCGGCGGATTTCGCTGAGCGCTTCCGACAGTCCGACATTTATCAGAAGACGCGGGAGTACCTGCAGACTGCACGTCAACCGACTTCTACAGGTACCGAGGATTCGGATCCACTGCAAGACCCAAGATTGTTCCGTCAGTCGCTCCTGGAAGACCTGATGACAGTGCTGCGCAGACAAGTGCGGATCTCGCTGCGTGACAAGATCTTCCTACTGGGTCGAGCCTTCGTGGTGGTCGTGATGGGGTTGCTGTACGGCTCAACGTTCTGGCAGATGGACGACGCCAACAGCCAACTCGTCCTCTTTTTAATAACGTTGAGGTGTATTGAGTTACTGGCCTTGTGTCCGAACTTCTAATCCCCAGCCAACTCGTCCTCGGTCTGCTCTTCTCGTACGTTGTTCCTCTCCATGGGCCAGGCAGCCCAGCTTCCGACGTTTATGGAGTCCCGCAGTGTCTTCTACAAGCAACGAGGCGCCAACTTCTTCCGTTCACTGGCGTACGTGTTGGCCAGCTCTGTGACGCAGATCCCGCTGGCCATTGTGGACACGGTGATCTTCGGCTCGGTCGTCTACTGGATGGGCGGCTACGTCGTGCTCGCAGACCGCTACTTCTCCTTCCTGTGCACGCTTTTCCTGTGCCAGACCTGGTTCACCAGCTTCTTCTTCTTCATTTCAGCTGCTTCCCCGAGTATCACCATCGTGCACGGCGCGTGGATACTGGAACCAAGTCCGAACGGCAACTGTGTTTTTCGAAAGAAATCCGAGTGCTTTCGAAGAGCACTCGGAGACGCTACAATGCCTAGAAATGCACGACTCCGTCCTTCTTCTCGTACTCGTCCGCGCCCTCATCGCTCTCCTCCTCGTCCATCTCCTCGTCCTCTTCGTCCTCGCGTTGCGCCGCCGCCTTCTTCTCCCAATACCTCGCTTTTCGCCTCTGGCGGGCTTTTTCGAGGCACTCCTCACCCACCCCCGTCCTTCAAGGACTTGGCCTTTGCGGAGTTCCCGCATTGGCTGCACAAGCCGGGTCGGCGTGGACGCTGCTGTCGGATCCCGTGCGAGGCGTTGAAGTCCAGCTTGGCTGGACTCGGACTCGGCACCAGCCACACATTGAGTAGAGACCGCCGCCCTTCTCCCGTGGTTTAGTCGCGCATGGCAAGTGGCAGTGGCAACACTGCCCGGGCGTCTTCTGTCTCTTGGTGCCGAGTGCGGCGCGCATGGCTGAGCACCTCTCCTTGCTTTCTTGTGCGCGTTTGCGGCATAGGTCGCACTTACTGTAGAACCCACCGCCGGCCTTTTCAGGCTTTTCAGCGCAATTTCGCTTGAGGCACGTCACGCACTTCCCACTGGGAAGTTCCCAGGCTCTCTCGACTGGATAGCCTCGTTTCGGTTCGCCGCGTCCGTGGCCCTGCATTCAGCGCAGCTGGAGTGCTTGTCGCTTGCAGGTTTCTTCTTGTTGCAGCGGCCGCACCTGCCGCTCTCCTTTCTGTGATGATACTGGAATTGATTCTTGCGCTGGTGACGATGTGAACCACCCCAGTACACGCTTACATGTATCCATGATTCAGCGTACGAACATTTCCTCAAGGGGCTTGTGTCATGCTGCTTTAGCGGTTGTGTTCGAGTTTACGGCGGCAACTCCGTTCGCGTCAACGCGGTGGGGCTCGACAGGTGAATCAATCCAGTGTACGAGAAGCGTCCATCCGCTGCAGGCTGCGCTTGTCTGTTGCCCCCGACCAGCACGCGGTGCACGTGCTTTCACCCTCGGCGAGAGCTCCAGTCCTGCAATTCACACAGATGCCGGCCAGCTTCAGCCTGATGTAATCGGCCGCGTTGGCCTTGCGGGCCTTCTCCTTCTTCTCTTCCTCGATGATGGCGCCCCCTTTCTCGTCCACGAACTCCCCGAGAACCAGCTCTTCGGGCGCGAGCTCCTCGCTAACCAGCTCTTCGGGGGCGAATCCCTCGCTGGCCTGGGCGGCCGCCAGCTGCTTAGCGGCCGTGGTGAGGGCCTCCTGCTCACTGACCCACTCGTCGTCGATCTCCATGAACAGGGCCTCCTTGGCCTGTGACTCTTCGAGATCATTCCGAACTACATAGCGAATCGAGCAAACAGGTTAACAACAGTGCACAAACAAAGAGTTAACATCACAAGTTACCTGCATCAAACATGAAGTGGTAGGTGATGCTCTCATAGGACAGGTTTAATCCTTGGAAGGAAGGGTTGACGGATCCACTCGACGACATGACATCGTCCACAATAATCAACTGCAATAACAGAGTTAACACAAGACAACCAAGGCAACTTTAAGAGAGAGCATTACTTGCCTTGATGTGTTGAACCTTGCTCCGCTTCTTCGCCACGAGGATCCTGATCTGGGCCCCTTTCTTCTGCTCGGCCAGCAGCTTCTTCACGAGCGGCAGCTCGAACGTTGCCATCGTCTGCCTCCAGTCGAGCATGAGCGTGATGTCAACCCCCAACTTCAGCAGCACCAAGAGGCGCCCCAGCACCCCGAGGTCTGTCAATGAGAACGCCTCGATGCGCAGCGTGTGTCGCGGTAGCTGGAATTGGTACATATAGTCCGGGCAGAACTGGGTTTTTTTACGCGAGTAGTCCGTCCGTTCAGGCGGCAGCGCCTCAACCTTCTTGTAAATGGAGTAGAATGTAGACGGCTTGATGTCGAGCCAGAGGGCGCACTGCGTCAGATCCGGCTTCTTGGCGAGCAGCTTCTGGAGCTCCATGTTGACCCGGATGGGCTCGTGCTTGGGCTCCGGGGCGGGCCCGCTCTTGCTCCATGGCTCGCCCTTCACGTACTTCTCGTAGATCTTCCGCACTGTGCGGTAGTCGCGAGTCGGTTGCAGATGAGCGGCCACTTCCTTGAAGTCGCGCGGCGTGGGGGCCCGCTCGGCGCGGATGAGGGGCATGAGCTTCCGGGTGATTTTCAGGTGCTCCGCCGGAAGGACGGGGGGGGCGCGAACGGCACGCGCGTCTTCTTGCTGGGCCGCTTGCCCGACCCTGCGCTTGCCAGCCATCTTTGCGCTCCAGGGAAAATTCGATCCACATTCGGCGAGTACAGCCTCAAGTTGTCCGGGTTACCGACTGACGAAGCGTGGATCTACTTCGGCTGGCTCTACTTCGTCTGCGGATACGTCGTACTCGCCGCGAATTTCGTACTCGAATACAAGCGCTACGAGAGTCCCGAAAGCACCACGTTAGTTCAGGCCGATATCAACGCGAAAGAGGGACCTCCAGCCAACTCTCCTAAGGTCAGTGCTGCTCCACGCGAGGATGTTCTAGTCCAAGTGATGAGGCCGAGAGCGCGCGCCCCGCCCGTGACCTTGGCTTTCCACGATCTGTGGTACTCGGTGCCCATGCCCGGAGGCAAGAAAGGTGAGGACATCGACCTTCTCCAAGGCGTCTCTGGGTTTGCTCGACCAGGAACAATGACGGCGCTCATGGGGTCTTCGGGGGCAGGCAAGACGACACTCATGGATGTTATCGCGGGCAGGAAGACCGGCGGTAAAATTCGCGGCAAGATACTGCTCAATGGTTATCCGGCGACCGACCTCGCCATTCGAAGGTGCACGGGCTACTGCGAGCAAATGGACATCCACTCGGAGTCGGCAACGATTCGGGAGACTCTCGTGTTCTCCGCCATGTTGCGGCAGGATTCCTCTGTCCCTATACCGGAGAAGATGGAGTCGGTGGGCGAGTGTATCGCGCTGCTGGAGCTGGGGCCATCGCCGATAAGATCATCCGTGGGTCCTCCACCGAGCAAATGAAGCGCCTGACTATCGGCGTGGAGCTCGTGGCGCAGCCCAGCATCATCTTCATGGACGAACCCACCAGCGGATTGGATGCTCGCTCGGCCAAGCTCATCATGAACGGCGTCCGGAAAATCGCCGACTCCGGCCGAACGATCGTGTGCACCATCCACCAGCCAAGCTCCGAGGTCTTCAGCTTCTTCGACTCGCTGCTGCTGCTTCGTCGTGGAGGACGAATGGTGTTTTTCGGTGAACTGGGAAAGGAGTCGGCCAACCTCATCAACTACTTCGAAGCTGCTCCAGACGTGACGCCGATTGGGCCGGGATACAACCCCGCTACGTGGATGCTGGAGTGTATCGGAGCGAGAGTCGGCAGCGGATCCAGCAATGGCTTTGACTTCGCTGAATATTTCCTCAAGAGTGAGCTAAAGACGCTGCTAGACGTCAATCTGAACCAAGACGGAGTTCTTCGACCGGCCGCTAACACCCCAGAGCTGAAATTTACGCACCAGTTCGCCTCTCGCCCTGTGACGCAGTTCAAGCGCCAACGCTTCATCCACATGTACTGGCGCACGCCGACGTACAATCTCACTCGACTGATGATCCGCATGATGCTCGGAGCTCTGCTGGGCGTAATTTACCAGGCCACCGACTACTCGACGTTCACCGGTATCAACGCAGGCGTCGGGCTCGTGTTCATCAGCACGGTATTCCTCGGTATCATCGGCTTCAACAGCGTCATGCCGGTGGCGGCCGAAGAACGCACCGCCTTCTACCGTGAACGCTCGTGCGAAAGTTACCACGCGCTGTGGTATTTTATCGCCGGCACGCTGGTCGAGATCCCGTACGTTATGCTCTCGTCGTTCTGCTTCTGCGTCATTTTCTTCCCGAGCGTCGGCTTCAGCGGCTTCACCACGTTCATCTACTACTGGCTGGTGCTCTCCCTCAACGCGCTGCTCTTCGTGTACTTCGGCCAGCTCCTGGTGTTCGCACTCCCCCAACCGGGTACAAGTGGATCTACTACATCTCGCCGCCCACGTACAGCATCGCGGCCCTCGTGGCTCTGATCTTCGCTGACTGCCCGGGAGGAAGCACCGATGGTCTCAGCTGCCAGACCGTCAAGAATGCCCCACCAACCATGGGTAACATTACGCTCAAGCAGTACGTCGAACATGCCTTCAACATGAAGCACGAACTGATCCTGAGGAACGTCCTCGTGCTAATCGCGCTGATCGTGGCCTTCCGGCTTCTCGCGCTTCTCTCGCTGCGCTACATCAGCCACCTCAAGCGCTACAACCACGAAAAGAAGTAGAATATCGTAGTTTTCTTTAACTTGGTCAACTTTTAGCAGCATTTCGCAATTTCTTGCGATCTTTCGGGAACCGTCGCGGTTTTCAGAGTATCGAAGTATCTATCTATTGTGCCGAATGCGTTTGCTGCTGCATGTCCTCTTCTGTCTGTATTCGTGGCTGCAAGTTGTTTCGTGTTGGCGGCAATGGACCTGGAGCGCCAACATCTCCAGCCCCGCAGCTCGACGAGGCCACTCGTTCGTGACGTACGACAACCAGTTGGTAGTTTTCGGGGGTCGAACGGAAGACACGACCAAGACCCACGTCCCCAAGACGTACGAGATCACGCGGGTCAATGGATCGCTGGAGTTTCTGTCGTACGAGGACAAAATCGCATACCCTACGGACTCAACGGAGGTGCCGGTCGCGGTCTTCTTCAACGACGTCTGGAGCTACGACATCAGTAAGTTCTGAGCATTGGTACAGTACGTATTGCTACATTTTGAGCTAACTTTTGATGTTTCTGCTGCTAGACTGTACCAGATTCGCTGACAATGGCTGTGTGGACAGTGGGTGGGTGGTTCTGGATGAAGGGGCTGAGTGGGGAGGCTGTAAGATGGTCCTGGGTGCGTCGGTGTGCACACATCCGTCCGAGCGGTGGATGCACAGCGCCGAGGTGTTTAGCGACAACACAATGGCCATCTACGGAGGATTCGGACCAATGTGCGATGACTACTGCGACGATTTGTGGCTCTACGACTTCTCCGACGGATCGTGGACCGAGATGATCGCGCTGGGGAGTAGCCGACACGGCCCCGGGAAGAGATTCAAGTACTCGAGCGTCGTTCTGGACGACAAGTTGTACGTTTTCGGTGGGTTTCGACTCTGGCAGGGGTTCGCTCATGAGAACAGTGAGGAGAACGACTGGAGTGACGTCTCTCAGTTCCCTTTGGGCGGATATCTCAACGATCTCTGGGTCTATGACAAGGTCACGAATGCCTGGACGAATATTACCGAGAAGGTAGAATGCCCCACCGATCCGAAGATCCTCGCGGATGCACTGCTGAATGAGATTGAAGTAGAATGCGTGGTGACGTGGCCGTCAGGACGTGCTGGGCACACGTCTGTGGTGTTCGACAACGCTATCTTCATCCACGGGGGCTACCGCACGTTCTTCCCCTACCCAACCACAACGAGTGCCGGTGCAGGACGAGGAACGCTCACCACTCGTGAAGTTGGCTTTACGCCGTTCCCAGCGCACCCGTACTACTTGAACGACATGTGGAAATACAACCTGAGCACTGAAGTTTGGTCGCGGGTTCTAGCAGTCAGCGATGCGATCCCTGAGCCAAGAGTCGACCACAGTCTCATCGTCGCCAACAACGTCTTCCTATTGTTCGGAGGCTACATCTCCAACTACTACTACGACGATACATGGCAATACAACGCGAGTACGTCGGCGACTGGCAAAATATTGTGAATTACGAGGCAATTGACACGTTTTGTGGCTGTAGGCGCTAATCGTTGGGTCAAGCAGCATTCGTTTGTGTATCCAATCTACCCGGACTCGTGCACCGACGATCTCGAGACACGACGGCTGCCTTACAGCGGAAACTACGCCGCGTACGTGGCTACCAGCTCAGATAACAACACGGACGATTACTACTTTATCGCAGAAACCCACTACGGCACGAAAACGGTAAGTTCGTCGCATATTTCGGCTAAAAAAATGAAAAAAAAAAAGCTCACGAATCCATTGACTACAGTTCTCCGTGTACGCAGAGCCGACTCGAGGAACAACACAACAGCCTGTTCTCGTCCAGCAAGCGCGACGTCAAGCTCCTGGGTGGGATGGCTGTCGACATCGTCAAGACGGACGGGAGGATCTACCTGCCGAACTGCAATGGGAACACCCCTCTCAACGCTCCGGCCACATGAGCGTCTACCACGAAGGTTTCGACAAGGTTTTCGTCTTTGGGGGCTACGGCTATGAGCGCGCGGAGAAGTACCAAGACGCCGTGACGTTTGCCGCTGCCTCCCTCGGAGATCTGTGGCAGTACGACCTCAACAACTGCATCAAGAACTGCTCGCTGCACGGCAAGTGTCTGGCTGGGAACTGCCGCTGCGACGACGGCTACTACGGCGAGGACTGCTCCAACTCGTCGTGTCCCGGTTCGTACTGCGCCTACGACGACGCCCACCAGACGCAGATCTGCGACCACTGCTGCTTCTCGGGCTTCGAGCACACGAGCAACGACTCGTACGTGGAGAACGTGCAGAAGTTCCCGTGCACGGCCGACAACGTCCGCTACTCGAACGGAGTCTGCGACGGCTTCGGCAAGTGCATCTGCAAGCCGCCGTTCATCGGGGACGACTGCTCCATCCGCAACTGCGGGTTCAATTGTTCAGGTCACGGCTACTGCTCCGTCGAGTTCCCCAACTCGCGGTGCATGTGCGACGAAGGCTGGTACGGCAAGTACTGCGACGCGCGTGAGTATCTATGGACTCCTCGATATTGAGATCAGCATACTAACCATTACTTTTTTGCCGACAGAAATGTGCCTGAACAACTGCTCGTACCCGAACGGCGAGTGCGTGAACGGCAGTTGCTACTGCTCGATGGTGTACGAGCCCTACAACAACACGCTCGAGTACTTCCCGTTGATGGGCGAGGACTGCTCCTTCCTCATCCCATTCGCAGGAGCAACACGACCCACATCGACGATCACCTTCATCATAACCGTGCTCGTAGCAGTGTTGTTGGCTCTCAGCTTTAGCGTCGGAGACGACTGAACTTGGTTCAATATCGTATTGAATTTCCCTGTCTTCCTTCCATCGCCATGCAGTCAGACTTTCGGTCTTCAACCGAGCCGAAGTCGCGTCGTTTCGCTGGCGACTCGTCACAACTGCCCCAACGCCCCGCGATCCCGTTGCGGCTGCTCGCTCGACAGGAAGCTCCTCCTAGGATAGACAGACAGACAGCAGAGCTCCATTGCGGTGTGTGTTGGTCTTGGACGTCTGGAAATGGCAGGCTATGGGGGCGGCTACGGCCAGTCGAGGCACGGACTCATGGTGGAGGAGGAGGACGACGAGGATCTGTACGAGGGCTTCAACTTCAGCATCGACCTGGCGCCTCCGCAGACGGCGGCTACCACCAACTACATGTCGTCGTCCTACGGAGCGCCGGCCTCGAGAGGGGGCTACAACCCGCCAGGAACCGCGTTCAGGTAGGATACTACCCCCGGTTGGTGGATAATCGAGTAATCCTGACTGAAAGTTGAGTTTTGTACTAGAGCTCCACCTTCACAAATGGGCCGACAGATCCCAGGCTCCAGGATGGGCACGGCCCAACAATCCGGTGAAGCGAGACCCATGACATCCGTCTCCGGTGCAGGATTCTCAGTAAGTTTTGAGCTCCTTGATCTGCTACAACCTCCATTTTTTTCTCTAACGTTATTTTATTTTTCCTAGTCAAATCCACGCACTGCGTCAGGTCAGCGGATGTTTGACCCCATGGGGGAAGCGCGAAAATCTGGAGCGGCGCCTGCATTAGTGGAGAAGACGGAGAATTCACCGAAGGAAGTGGCCAAAGAGCTGGAGCGTACCGTGAACTCGCTCATTGAACAGTCTGCCGAGTTGATCTCCAAGGAGCAGTACGAGGAGGCGCTGCACTTGGCCAAAGACGCGGGACGCAAGGAGCGCGCGTTCAACAAGCACTGCGAGCTCAACGGACTGGCGGACATGCTCAACATCGACCTGACGTACGCCGTCTTCTTCAACCTGGCCAACGCATATCACTTGAATGGACTATGGAAAGAGGCCATCCAGTCGTACACTCCGATAGTCAAGAACAAACAATACGCCCAGGGCGGCCGGTTGCGCGTGAATATGGGTAACATCTACTTCGAGCAGCAGCAGTACCCGACCGCCATTCGGATGTATCGCATGGCGCTGGACCAGATCCCGAACACGAGCAAGGAGGTGCGCTACAAGATCAAGCGCAACATCGGCGCGGCGCAGATCAAGTTGGGCCATTATCAGGATGCGGCCGCTACGTTCGAGGACGTCATGGAGGGCAACGCGGACTTCCAGTCGGGCTTTAATCTCATCATCTGCTACTACGCTATCGGCGAGCACGAGAAGATGCGGCGAGGCTTCACGAACCTCATCACGATCCCGATGGAGGGCATGTCGGATGAGGACGAAGAGGAGTCCGGGCTCGCCAACGAGTCCAAGCACAGTGACGACGACCACACGTCGTCCAAGGAGCACCTCCATTCACTCAAGACCGACGGACTGAAGGCCGAGATCCGGGCCAGGAGGAAGAAGGCCATGGAGTACATTCTAGTGGCTGCGAAGCTCTGCGCGCCTGCACTGGACAAGAAGGACTGGTTGGCGGGCTTTACGTGGGTCATCGACGCGTTGAAGCAGGAGAACCACGAGAGTTTGGCCAGCGAGATGGAGATCTGTAAGGCGCATTGGTTCCTGAAAGAAAAGGAGTTCGACAAGGCCATTGAAGTTCTCAAAGCGTTCGAGAAGAAAGACCCGGCCCACAAGGCCATGGCAGCAACGAACCTCAGTTACCTGTACTTTGTGGAGGGCGACACAGCTCAGGCGGACAAGTACGCGTCGTTGGCGGTGCGACACCAGCGCTACAACGCCAAGGCACTCGTCAATAAGGGCAACTGCCTGTACGTTAAAAACGAGTGTGAACGTGCCAAAGAGCTGTTCCTCGAGGCGATTGGAGTCGAAGCGGACTGTATCGAAGCCATCTACAATCTCGGTCTGGTGAATATCAAAATGAGCGTGCTAAATGAAGCTCTCCAGGCGTTCGAGAAGCTGCACAGCATCGTCCCTACGAACGCAGAAGTACTGTATCAGATCGCAAACTTACACGATATCATGGGCAACTACCGACAGGCGGCGAAATGGTTCAACATCTTGTTGTCATGCTTCGGAGGGAGTGACAAGCGTGATCGCAACGCCAAGAACGTCGCGGATCCCGGCGTATTGGCTCGACTGGGCCAGATTTTCAACAAGGACGACGACGAGACGCAGGCTTTCCACTACCACCTCGAATCCTACCGATACTTCCCCATCAACTTGGACGTCATCTCCTGGCTTGGCGTATGGTACGTCAAGAGCGAACTCTATGAGAAGGCCATCCAATTCTTCGAGCGCGCGAGTCAGATTCAGCCGAACGAGGTCAAGTGGCGACTTATGGTCACGAGCTGTTATCGACGCATGGGTGCCTACCAGAAGGCCATGGTGCTCTACGAGCAGATACACCAAGACTACCCGGAGAACCTCGAGTGCTTACGGTACCTCGTGGCTATTTGTAAGGATTTGGGCCAGCGCTGCGACGGATTCCAGGCCAAGCTGGCCAAACTTGAACGCGACAACGCGATGAACACCAAGATGCCCCCGCAACAGCAGCCACCCCCGCAGTCTTTAGGTAATGGCCACTCATCGAGGAATTCGAACGCGGATGATGACGACCCACGGGCGCCCCCTTCCTACCAGCGACAACCTCAAGAGATCCAGTATCAGCGACAGGATAGCGGGCGAGCACTGCAGTCTTCAAGTTATGGGAATGGCAACAGTGCCCCGGACTCGCGGACACGAGACAACGAAGATAACGACCGCAGCGAGTACGTCGCGCCACCTCAGATGCAGATGGCTCGGACGATGGCAAGGGCACCGCAGCCTCAGACGACGGCGCGACCGAGCAAGCAAGACGGTAAGTTACGAACATAGTGCGTTTCTGGTGTAGGTGTTTGCCTAACTTTGTTTTATCTTGGTTGCAGACACGGACGAATGGGGAGACGCGGACGTGGGGAACCTCTTAGGAGACTAAACATTCTTCGATTGGTTTGTGCTAGGTGAAAAGATCTTGACCGTAATGGCAAACACGAACTATTCGAACTGGAAACGGGCAATCAACGATTACGAAAAAATTGCTAATACCCCCAGCGAGTTGACGGTAAAGTGCTAAATGGTGACGATAACGCCCTAGTCCGCTTGCTAGTGCGAGCGACGCATCTCCTCGGCATTCGGAGTTCGGGTCCGACGGTTGTCTTGGTAATACATGGACACATCGATAGTGTATGCGGCTTCAGCTTCAGCTTCAGGGACTACATGGGTTTCGCGGAGACCTTCCTCCATCAGACCTTCCTCCAGCAGCCGATCCAGGTCGGCTCGCAAAGTCGAGAAGTCGAGTCCGTCATGCAGATTGTCTCGGTACAAGTCACTCTCATCTTGCATGGCGACTTCGACGTTCACGGTGGGAGGGGTGTTTGTTGGAGTGTTTGAAGGGGGCGACGGTGGAAGACTGCGTTGCGCGTTGATCGGTGCCGCGTTAGAGCGAGACAGAGCGTAGGCGAGCATGATAGGGGTGGAGGTGGTGGTTGTGAATCTTGCACGGGAAATTCGGAAGTGCGTTGAATGGGCATATCGGTGAATCTGATTGATAGTGACTACTTCAGCTATACGAGAGACCGAGATGACAAGTTGACTTGGATGCCCCATTTTGCCAGTTTAACGTCAATCTTCATCATTACTTCTTGAATCACGGAAAGATAGTATCGACACGTTTTGTTTCGATAAAGGATTACAATATAGATAGCAATTAGCGAGGGAGCAAGTAAATGCGAGTACCAGCTACGGACCTGCCCATTAAAGTCGATCTCGGCGGCTAAATAAATTCCACACGGCTGACAAGGACACGAAGCGTGGGCAAGTGCATCTTTAGTTTATAGAAAAAATTCCCAACCTCCTATTGAACCTGTTGGTGTACGCAGACTTCTAGCCATCACTGTTTCGGGATAACAGCGTTTATGGAGCTGCGCAGCTCCGTCAAATTGAGCGCGACCTCATCACCTTCGTGTTTTTGGAGAGCGTCCGGCAGATCTACACCAAAGTAGAGCGCGCACAACGGGAAGCAGACTTCATGATCGCGCCCAAAGTCGAAGTCCACGACCTCTGAAACATAGTGGTGCGTTTCGACGCCTTTGTAGTCGATTCTAACTTTGCGTTAATGATCCGCCTACGGATAAGCCCGACCTGTAGACCGATGGCAATCTGCACAGTCCATCCAGCGTTGCAGTCTTTCGGTACGTCCCCGGAGGAGCCCCCGCTGGGATGAGGCACTGATCTGGAGCTTGAAGTCGATCACCGACGTCGTATCTCGCACCTCCGCCAGCTCTTAGCGTCCGCATGAGGCGAGCGGCTGGAGCCATGAGCACTATTTGCTCTCGAATGAGATCGACGACCTCATTCGCTGCAATAGTGTGCACAATTGTCGGCAGACTGCACACCACAACACTTCCTCTAGTTATATCAAACCCACTCCTCTTGCTCTTGAGGATGGAAGGGCAGCCCGGCCCCGCTCTTCCTGACCCATCGATTCAAGTCTTGGCGGGTAACTGATTCACACACGACAATTGGAGTGCAGTCTGTATCCTCCTCGGCTGACAGTGAACAGCATTTCGTGGATTTGAGGTCGTCTTGGAGTCTCTTTTCCAGGTCGGGCAGTGCACGCATGAAGTCAAGATCAAGGCTGGCTGCGGCCATGGCTCCGTTTTCAGAAGTCGAGCCGCAGACCCTGGTCTTCGCTTGACGAGTAGAATGGAACACTGAAGTAGACGGGATAGCTGAGCGTTCGGTGGATGGATGACTCTGATTGACATCACGCATCCAAGTCTAATCTTTTTTCCTATTGTTTCGTACTTCAAAGTAATGGTCAAGTTGAAGCTGTCATACAAAATCGTTGTCCACCAATCACACAGTACCCTACTGAGAGCACTCCGATGGCCCAGAGCGACGTAAATGTGTATGTCTTTCAAAGCCTCTCATAAGTTTAGCTGTTGAATCATGCTGTAAATCATCCACCGCCCGGCGGGTAATACGGTAGGTATATCGACCGCGACGCGATAGGACCCAAAAATAACGACGGCGAATGGTTTCAAAGATTCCAGACAGCAAAACTCAATCATTCGTGCACCCACTCCACATCCAGCAGCGTCAGTTTCCGACTTCCCCAGTACGCGGCGCACACTCACTCACTTACTCACTCACTCACTCACGATGGCTGCGCGCGCACCCTGGAGCGGCTGGGCCTTCGTCTTCGGCGTCGTGCTGCTCTTCTTCTCGGTCTACCGCGTGTCGACGCTCACGAGCCTCATCACAATGTACGGCACGCTCAAGGACTGTTCGCTGGACGTGGAGATCGGGGCGTTGATCCTCGGGGCGCTGCAAGACTCGGTCTGCGCCACGTACCTCTGCACCGCGCTCTGGATCGTCGACTACTGGCTCCGGCAGCGTCGACTGCGCTGCCAACAACTCGGCCGAGTCGACTCCAATGTCAACGGTGTCATTGACGTGGAAGACGTCCAGAAGCCCCTGGACCTCCGACAGCGTCGGCAGCAGCAACGACAACACCCACAAGCTGAAGGGGCCCCTGCTGACGCTGTCGGAACTGTCGGCGTAGTCCAGAACCCCCTGGATCTCAGAGTACGCCGACAACAGCGGGTCGCTAGAGTTGTTCGGTTTGTGACGTCGCTAGTGTTGTTCGTGTTCATGGCCGCGCCGTTTGTCGCCGATCTGCTGCTCGTGCGGATCCGGGACATGCGCTTCAACTTCAGCCTGGTGGAGATGGCCATCCACGAGTCCAAGGATGTGGGCGCGGCGGAGATTTCGAGCGCCGAGATCAACCAGGCGTATGTCAGTGGGGCGCTGGCGGCGATCACTGCCACGGTCTTCGCTGCGGTACGAGCAACTAACGACTGGGCGGACCTGACGAGGTGGAGTCCGACGACGGCAGTGATCCAGGCGGTCGAGGCCCGACTCCAGCGGAGGCTGAAGAGCGCGGGCGATTCCAAGGAGAGGAGTCTGGAGGAGGGGGTGAGTGAGACCATTGCGTTCCTCGGATCAACGATAACCAGCGACAAGGCGGTGGCTGAAGATGAAGGCGACGAGAAATTGGTCGGTATGGTGGCGGTCAAGCCCCAGCAGAATGGGGTCAAGTATTGCAGCGGTCGTGTTGGAGAGATCGTCGTGGCTGGGACCAACTGCTGCAGTCGTCGAGTTGGAGGGGTCATCGCCGCGTTGGTGGTTTTGCCCATACTTGTGCTGGCGTTGAGTCAGGCGAGCTCGGCGCTGGTGGCGTACGCTGGACTAAATGCAACGCTGAACGAGCTCTTCACGCACGCGCTGTTTGTCTCGTCACAAGGATTCGTGCCACTTATCGCTGATGGCAACATTGCATCGGCTGAGACGTATATTCATACGGCGACGGAGGAGTATGAGCTGTTTGAAGAGGACTCGTTGTATCGACGCACGACGGGTTTCCATGGACCCCTCGCGTTCGACGTCAAGGTGGAGAAAGACAGCCCTCCCAATGTGCTGGTCGTGGCGGTGGAGTCGTTCCGGTTTCACGACTCGCACTACCTTGTGGGGGACGACGATCCGTCGAACCTGTTCAGGGGTAGCAACATCACGGTCACGCCCAACTTCGACAGGTGGGCGAAGCGCGGAGTAGCGTTCACCAATATGTGGTCCAGTTGGCGCACGAGTCGTTCCGTGGAGAGTCTGCTCTTCGCGCAGGTGCCGTACGATAGCGTGGCGGACTCGGGCATGACTGGAGGCAAGGTGAAATACGAGCTGAACGGCCTGCCGCAGTTCTTCAAGGCGAAGGGCTACGACTCGTACTTCACGACCGGTTGCAAGACCGACTACGACGACTGGGACACATTCCTGCCTTCGCACGGCTTCGATACCGTGTTGAGTCGGGATGAAATGGTTCAGCTGGCGGAGAGCAACCTCGGCATCATGCCTGACCAGTGGCTGGGCAAGGAGCACCGCGGGTTCCACTGGGGAGTGCACGACGACCTCAGCTTCCAGCTCCTCGGCGACCTCATGGTGAACCAGACCAAGGCGCAGAAGGAGCGCATGGCCAAGGGAGAAGCCAAGAAGCCTCTCTTCATCACGCACTACACCATCTCCAGCCACGGGCCGTTCAAAGAGCGCCCGAGATGGTACGCGGAGCTCGAAAAGCCCGACTTCTCGGCGCTCTATGACGGCATGGAGTTCGCGGACTTCATCAAGGATTACCTCGAGATTCGCTACTTCTCGGACCTGGAGCTCGGCAAGTTCTTGGACCGCATGTCTGCCGCGGGCGTGCTGGAAGACACCATCGTCGTGGTGGTGGGCGACCACGGCCACGCTCCTGAGGTTGGGAGCTACATCCCAGAGGCGCGTGACGTGTCCGTCCATCACGTACCAGGGATGCTGGTGGCTGAGGGCCGACTGGGCGACGCGGCTGGGACGAAGATCGAGGACGCCTCGGAGCAGTACGATATCCTCAACACGCTGGCCGACATTGTGGGCGTGCCGGAGGGAGGCTTTCTGCAGGACGGAGTGGGCCGCTCGCTCAAGCGCCAAGTCAAGTTTGGCGAGCGCGCGGTGTACAGCAACAACCCGAGTCGGAAGATGTCGGTCATCCGCGGCACCGAACGCCTGCGCTACGACCGCGCGGCGAGCTCCGTGCTACTCCACGACGCCAGAGCCGACCACGACATGCACGTGGATCTGTTCCCAGCGCTCCCAGCGGAAGAGCAGGCGGAGTGGAACAAGTGGCGCGACAATGGCCGACAACTCACCGAGTACTACACGAAGCGATGGGACAAGAGGTGTCTGTTTGCAGGGAAGTGCTAATGTGCAGCACTGCAACCGCAAGAGCAACTTGACCATCGTGATCAAGTTGAAGTTGCCATACAAAAGTCTAATCAAACTATATTTTGACAAAACGGGCGTACAACGGATTTAAGACCAATCATGCCATTTTGACCAATCGATGTCTTTTATGAGGACAGAATCTTATAATCTGCGATTTAAGCGAACAGGAGCGCAATTCCGGTCGCTAGGGCGAACATGGAGGTCGCCGACTCCACCACTGAGCTGTCTGCTCCAGACGTAGTAGTGGTGGTGGTAGAGGTGCAGTTGATGTTAGCCCACAGCGACGCGTCGGACGTCTTGTCCTTGAGAGACGGGTGTGAGACGCCAGTTGTCCAGCGAGGAGTGGCCCCCGTCGACCATTCACAGCACGGATCACCAAGTTCCTGTCCATTGGTTTGGCCGTCTCCGTCCGTGTCGGCCTGGCACAACTCGACGGTCCACTTCTTGCCAGCCTTTTCGAAGGCTTCGCCGAAGTCGTTAGTCGACTCGTCCTTCCCCGTACCGTCAGGGTGCCCGATGGCTGCGTAGCCCTCGACATTGGCGCCGTTGGGGATCCAGCTGACGAACTTTTTGCTTCCCTCAGCAGTCGACCCGAGGACCACCAGGGCACCAAGGAGTACGAACGAAGCAGACACCATGATCGTTTCTTGAGTAACTGGGACGTAAGACTGGGTAGTGTCGCTTGCTCGAGGCTCGAGGCTCGAGGCTTTAGGGAATGAGCAATGAAAGCTGTCAGCCGAAGCTGCTACGGCATAAGAGCTGAGGGAATGTACACTATTTCCAGCGAGCTGCGATCGGGCTCAGCACAATCCGAACTCTTCTTGCCGCAATGGCTCCCTTTCCGTCTTATCCCACGTTCTATTGCCGAGTCCGCATCGGCACTGGCGACTTAAAGGTCAGTCCCACGCGGCCAACAACCGCCACATGTGTGTTATCATCGGATATCTCGTAGATGTTGGGGAGAGCTCAACGCGATAGCTGCAGATAGCCCCTGCACCTTGCAGGGAAATATTGAGCAGCAATAGCCATTAAACACGGTGCACTGGGACCGATAAAGCCTTGGAGGTATCTCGGCTCGCAATGAGCACATTTGCTGTCTGCGCACCAGGTTTCCTTGATCGATCTCTTCATTGGATGCATGCTAGTGAGTGAACTCTTGACTGATCAAGTTGAAGTTGCCTTACGAAAACCAAAGCAAAATTTATATTGACAAAATGGGAGTAAATTTATTTTCAACCAATCAGGAAACTGGTAACTATTTTATCCAATCGATGTCCTGAATCAAAATAACACCCACTGGGTAGTACCCAGCGCCAACATGGAGGCCACGGCGGTTGTGTCTTCGAGCGTCGCTGCGGCTTCCCCACGCGGCGAAGCATCATTAGCAATAGACGATGATGAGCTCCTGCTTGCTCCCGACTATGCTGCTGCTTCCCGCGGTTCTGGAGGCTCTAGGGGTGCCACAATCGACGCTGCAGTGCACCGCTTCCCGTTCTGCATCGTGTGGTCTCCCATCCCCATTCTCACGTGGTTCCTGCCCTTCATCGGCCACTTAGGCCTCGCCGACAGTAAAGGGTGAGGTCTTAGCTTCAATATGAGCAGCTTGTCAGTGGTATTGGGGCTATATTGACGAAGTTACTGTCTATTCTATTCGTGCAGGGTCATCTTCGACTTTGCTGGGCCTTACACTATCGGCCGGGACGACTTCGCGTTTGGTGCCCCCACGCGCTACTTGCAGTGCACAGTGGCGCCTGAAGACGTGGCCAAGTGGGACGAGGCTGTGGCTGCAGGCTGCAAGATCTACGAGAAGCGTATGCACAACTTGTGCTGCGACAACTGCCACTCGCACGTGGCGGTGTGTCTGGAGCACGCGGACTACGCCGGCCGCAAGCGGTGGAACATGGTGGAGCTGTGCTTCTGGATGTTCATCCGAGGCAAGTACGTGAGTGTCGCGGGATTCGTCAAGTCCTGGCTTCCTTTCGTGTTCGTGCTGGCGGTCATTGCGATTGTTCGATCCACGGCCTAAGACGCTTCAGGCGCGTGCTGCGAACTATAGGATGGATTACCACGAAGAATTTATGTGAATGAATGCAGGGGAGCCTTGCACTAACACGTCCTATTCCTACGACTTTGTTGTTGCTACTATAGCTCTGAATACAGCACTTCCTCGCTGCGCTTGACGTTGGTATCACCGTAGTGCCGCTTCCAGCTGCGAATTTCATGGCGCTCACTGCCATCAACAGTCCATTCGATCACGCGAGCTCGCCGAGCAAACTTCGCGTCACCATACGCTCGCCCGAAGCCAGCACCACCGCCATAGCAGAGCTGTACACCATCCACTAGACAGCAGTACTCGTTCAGGTGGTCGTGACCCACGAATGCCGCCTTGACCTCGTTCATCTCGGACAGAGTCCGTAGTAAGCGCATGTTCATGCCTTGTCCGTGCACCACCTCGTTCTTCTCGCCATTGCACTCTCCGCCAGAGTTCGTAAACTCTATGAGCGGGATGTGGAAGAACATGAGAGCAGGCAGGACAGTCTTCGAGCTGCTATGCTTCGCTGAGCGTCCGGTTTCCGATAGCTGACGGTAGTAGTCGATCTGACTCGGCTTGATCCAATCGTACTCCGCAAACACGTACGGGAACGTCTTTGTCAGAGCGTGTGCCCCCGAGTCCAGGAAGTACATCCGGAGCACTGAGTCCCCGGCCTCTCCCCAAGGACCTGCAATAGGTGCCGTCACGTTAAGCATGTAGTTGCCAATACCATCGACGTCTTCGGGTCCACTCTCCGTGTACGAGTGGTTCTTCTCTGACACCATTTCCACGATCTTCGCTCTCGGGAAGCCTCCTTCCTCGTCATGGTTCCCGAACACCATCCCGTACGGAATGCCGCGTTCTTCAGCGGTTTTGGTTACAGCGTCAATAGCTCGTTGTTGCAAGCTCGGGGTCCACGCCTGCACGTTGTCTCCAGTGAACGCGATGAAGTCGGGGGCTTCCAGGTCGACTAGCTGCTCGATGAACTCGTAGGTCAGCGCTTCAGAACATTCCGTTCCCGACGGTACACTCTTGCCGCAGCCGACGTTGGGGTCACCAGTGATATGGACGTCGGCTAGCTGAAGGATCTTGAATACCAGCGAGGCATCACTCGAGCTTCTTCGCGCCTGGATCGGCGCCTTCTGTGCCGATGCTAACGCAGTTAGCAGGGTTGAACACCACGCCAATGATAGCCGCATCGTATTAGTAAAAGGAGCTTCTTTGACAGATCACTTGTGAGACCCATTTCTCTCGCCTCCAAACCGCGGTTGGGGATACCAGCCTTAGACAAGATTAATGGAGAGGATAACGGCTCCACTGCCAAGAAAATGTCTCCTGTGGGACGGTAGCACCAACTCCAAAAATGCCGTCGTTTTGAGGACCCAAAGCGTGTAACACGATCTCATGCACAGTCTCACTTTTCTCTTTTTTATGCTTAGTTGTCGATTTCATGGCAGACATTGCTCACTTTGGATCTTCGTGTCTTCCTCGTTGCGGACGAAATGCCAACGCTTCCTCCCCCCAAAGTATTTTGCAGATCCACCACCGCGCTGGAAACAATTCATCAGAGGCTGGATGCCCTGGATGCCGCTGATCTCTCGGCGTTCTACGGTCGTCTTCTGGTACTAACGGGTTTCAGCTGGGCTGTTCGTACCGCGGAGCTTGTGCTCTTCACCTTCACCCGAGATCTTATCGACAGCGACATCGGCATGGGAACCACGGCATTGCAAACACTAGGCATGGGCGAGTTCGTCGGAGCTGCCATTGGAGGACCGCTTTTCGGCTATTTGGCGGACTACCGAGGCCGGCGTTTGGCTCTGTTGCTGGCTATGGCATTGTCGCTGGCAGGGCTGGCACTGTCTGCCATAGCCACCCGCGACTACATCTTGATCATCGCGAGGATTGTTGCGGGAGCTGGGCTAGGTGGAGAGCTGCCGGCAGCAATTGTGCTGGTGCAGGAGCTGTCCCCCAAATCGATGCGAGGTCATCTGGTGGCATGCCTCGAGGCCTTCGGAGGTATTGGGGGGATTGTCGGTGCGGCGCTGGCCTTTGAGTTGGCGCCGCAGTTTGGGTGGAGAAACACGTACTGGATTATCTGTGCCTGCGGATTATACACGGCGGCGCTGCGGTTCGGCATCCCGGAATCTCCTCGGTGGTTGGCGAGTGTGGGGCGTGAGGATGAAGCCCTCAAGGCTGTGAAAAAGCTGGAACAATTGAACCGAGTGCGACCGAACTATGAAAACGCCAAGTTGCAGGATACTTCGATGCAGGTGGTGGTGGAGTCCGTGTCTTCGATGGCTAAAGAGCCCTCTACGTTTGACAAGCCCGTGCATACACTGGCGCTTTGGACACTGTGGTCGGCGATGACTTTATCGTCGTATGCGTTGGGCGTGTACGTTCCGACGCTTATTAGCATGTCAGGATTCAACATGTACGAGGGCTGGGTCGGGATTGTGTTGCTGCATGGATCGCAAATTGTTGGTTGCATCCTGGCTTCAAGGCTATTGAGAGCGCGTGGTCACAAGCAAGCTCTGGCTTGCTTTGCGACGCTGGTGTCGATTGTCGCGATCATCTTGAGCTACGCGCCGTGGAACTGTGCTGCGGTAGTGGTGGGCACTTGCTCCGTGTCTCTCCTGCTGGCGGGTGCGTGGAGTTGCGTACTTGCCTACAGCCCCAGCAACTACCGAACTGCCGTGCGCGCTCGTGGGGTGTCGTATGCTTTCGGCTTTAGTCGCCTTGCTGCTGCTGGAGGACTGCTGCTCTACCCTCACATGTTCAATGTGTGGCTGATGTCGGTGTCTTCTATCATCTGGGTCTTCACGGGGTTGCTGGCTGCCACGGTGTTGGGTTTTGTAGTTCCGTGGGGGTTCAACGCACCGAATTATGGATATTGCTCCATACACGAGGCCCCCCAGCTTGAAATTGACCCGTAGAAAACTCCACGCACTTCTTCCGGGCTTCCTGTGCATTGAAGACGAATTCGTTTAACTCAGTAGTTGGTAGCATGTCTCTAGCTAGCTTGCATTGAAGAGCAATATCCACTGCAACCGGATTGAGCAAGAAACAAAAACCTGACATATAAACAGTGATATATGCATTATTATGCATTACAGTCGAGACATCGAGAAGTTGGTTTCTGCACTCAAATGCGAAATGAACATCGAGCTATGTATTATAAAATTTTGGGATACAAAGCAACAGTTCCCAGCCAAACAACAAAAAGATCCACTGCATTTGGCGTTGCAGTGAGGTAGAACCAGCGCTGGACCAATCGTCCATGGGCCCATTGGCCGCCGTTAGCAATGTGCCCTCGCCCAGGAACACTCCCCCACCAGGTAAATACAGCTTGAAGTTGCCATGCCATCATCAAAAGTAAGCCCTTTTTGGAATTTTCTTTTGGGAATTTCCTTTGGGATTTCTGGTAAATTTTTATACTTTTAGTGACTTTGTGCAAAATATCTAATTTTCAAGCCCTGAGTTAGGATTCCTAACTGAACATTGAGCGCCCGATGAGACTTTTCACGTGGTGTATGGCGTTGGCCGCCTCATGCAGCGCAACCACGTCGGCGCAGAAGTCGCCGATCCAGGCGCGTAGCCGCTCGGACGACGGCTCGCTGGTCTTCAAGATCCTGCAGCTCGCCGATCTCCATATCTCGGGCAACCCGCTCATCATCTGCGGCTTTAGTGTGCCCACTGGCATGGCCAGCGAGAACTGCACCGAAGCGCTCACCTACGAGTTCATCGAGCAGTTGGTCGACCTGGAACAGCCTGACTTCATCGCGTTCACGGGAGACAACGTGCACACCTACCGTCCGAGCCAGCACCAAGTAGCTATTGACACCGTGACCAAAACAGCCGAGGAGCGCGGCATCCCGTACGGGATGGTGTTTGGCAACCACGAGGAAGAAGGGGATTTCCCGAGGGAGAAGATCGTCGAAATGGTGGCAAAGAAGAACTATTCCTATACGGAGAGGGGGCCGAGGAGCGTGGACGGCGTTGGCAATTACATGCTCAACGTGACGGCACCAACTGCAGGCGCTTGGGGGCAGGCAGGAGACACTGTGCTTCGGATGTACTTCTTGGACTCGGGGGCAAAGACGCTAATGGACCAGTACTCGTACGTGTTTGCAGAGTACGACTGGATCAAGCAGAGTCAGATCGACTACTACCGACAGCTATCGGAGACTGGACGCTCAGCGAGACACATCAGCTCGGACTCAGTCCTGCCTGCTCTCATGTTCTTCCACATTCCGCTTGCGGAGTACGAGTATGAAGGCGACGAGTGCAATGGCGAAAGGAATGAGTGGGTGCAGAGACAAGGCATGAACATGCGGCTACTGTCGACTTTGTCCGAGATGAACGAGGTCAAGGCGGCATTCGTGGGTCACGACCACCTGAACGAGTACTGCTGTCTAGTGGATGGTGTACAGCTCTGCTATGGCGGTGGTGCTGGCTTCGGGCGAGCGTATGGTGACGCGAAGTTTGCTCGGCGAGCTCGCGTGATCGAATGGACTGTTGATGGCAGTGAGCGCCATGAAATTCGCAGCTGGAAGCGGCACTACGGTGATACCAACGTCAAGCGCAGCGAGGAAGTGCTGTATTCAGAGCTATAGTAGCAACAACAAAGTCGTAGGAATAGGACGTGTTAGTGCAAGGCTCCCCTGCATTCATTCACATAAATTCTTCGTGGTAATCCATCCTATAGTTCGCAGCACGCGCCTGAAGCGTCTTAGGCCGTGGATCGAACAATCGCAATGACCGCCAGCACGAACACGAAAGGAAGCCAGGACTTGACGAATCCCGCGACACTCACGTACTTGCCTCGGATGAACATCCAGAAGCACAGCTCCACCATGTTCCACCGCTTGCGGCCGGCGTAGTCCGCGTGCTCCAGACACACCGCCACGTGCGAGTGGCAGTTGTCGCAGCACAAGTTGTGCATACGCTTCTCGTAGATCTTGCAGCCTGCAGCCACAGCCTCGTCCCACTTGGCCACGTCTTCAGGCGCCACTGTGCACTGCAAGTAGCGCGTGGGGGCACCAAACGCGAAGTCGTCCCGGCCGATAGTGTAAGGCCCAGCAAAGTCGAAGATGACCCTGCACGAATAGAATAGACAGTAACTTCGTCAATATAGCCCCAATACCACTGACAAGCTGCTCATATTGAAGCTAAGACCTCACCCTTTACTGTCGGCGAGGCCTAAGTGGCCGATGAAGGGCAGGAACCACGTGAGAATGGGGATGGGAGACCACACGATGCAGAACGGGAAGCGGTGCACTGCAGCGTCGATTGTGGCACCCCTAGAGCCTCCAGAACCGCGGGAAGCAGCAGCATAGTCGGGAGCAAGCAGGAGCTCATCATCGTCTATTGCTAATGATGCTTCGCCGCGTGGGGAAGCCGCAGCGACGCTCGAAGACACAACCGCCGTGGCCTCCATGTTGGCGCTGGGTACTACCCAGTGGGTGTTATTTTGATTCAGGACATCGATTGGATAAAATAGTTACCAGTTTCCTGATTGGTTGAAAATAAATTTACTCCCATTTTGTCAATATAAATTTTGCTTTGGTTTTCGTAAGGCAACTTCAACTTGATCAGTCAAGAGTTCACTCACTAGCATGCATCCAATGAAGAGATCGATCAAGGAAACCTGGTGCGCAGACAGCAAATGTGCTCATTGCGAGCCGAGATACCTCCAAGGCTTTATCGGTCCCAGTGCACCGTGTTTAATGGCTATTGCTGCTCAATATTTCCCTGCAAGGTGCAGGGGCTATCTGCAGCTATCGCGTTGAGCTCTCCCCAACATCTACGAGATATCCGATGATAACACACATGTGGCGGTTGTTGGCCGCGTGGGACTGACCTTTAAGTCGCCAGTGCCGATGCGGACTCGGCAATAGAACGTGGGATAAGACGGAAAGGGAGCCATTGCGGCAAGAAGAGTTCGGATTGTGCTGAGCCCGATCGCAGCTCGCTGGAAATAGTGTACATTCCCTCAGCTCTTATGCCGTAGCAGCTTCGGCTGACAGCTTTCATTGCTCATTCCCTAAAGCCTCGAGCCTCGAGCCTCGAGCAAGCGACACTACCCAGTCTTACGTCCCAGTTACTCAAGAAACGATCATGGTGTCTGCTTCGTTCGTACTCCTTGGTGCCCTGGTGGTCCTCGGGTCGACTGCTGAGGGAAGCAAAAAGTTCGTCAGCTGGATCCCCAACGGCGCCAATGTCGAGGGCTACGCAGCCATCGGGCACCCTGACGGTACGGGGAAGGACGAGTCGACTAACGACTTCGGCGAAGCCTTCGAAAAGGCTGGCAAGAAGTGGACCGTCGAGTTGTGCCAGGCCGACACGGACGGAGACGGCCAAACCAATGGACAGGAACTTGGTGATCCGTGCTGTGAATGGTCGACGGGGGCCACTCCTCGCTGGACAACTGGCGTCTCACACCCGTCTCTCAAGGACAAGACGTCCGACGCGTCGCTGTGGGCTAACATCAACTGCACCTCTACCACCACCACTACTACGTCTGGAGCAGACAGCTCAGTGGTGGAGTCGGCGACCTCCATGTTCGCCCTAGCGACCGGAATTGCGCTCCTGTTCGCTTAAATCGCAGACTATAAGATCGAAGGATGGCAGAAAGTGAGCTGCCGAAATGATTTCTAAATAATAGACATCACACGAATAATTTCCTAGACGTGAATTAGTTTCATCTTATTTTACATATACTAGAGAGGTACGCCAAGTGAAAGTCGAGTACGCTGATGGGTCTAAGTAACTGCGGGAGGGATCGATACACTCAGAGGCGACGCAACTTGAGAGAAGAAGAGGAAACACCGCCGCCACTAAAGATAAACAAGTTCAAAAGCTATCTTTGCAGTATGCTCGAGGGCGTAAAGTCACCTGATCACATTCAACAACTCTCAGTCAACGCCAGACTCACCACTTCTACGCCTCCACTAATGGTGTCAAGTTCGCTCGCATTCGTCGGTGGTATGGCACTGCTCGTGTCGACTGCACAGGGGTATCGAGATTACCTCCAACTCATTCCAAACACTAAGAACGTGGACGGCTATGACGCCATCGGCCACACTTACGACAATGGACACAAACCCACAAACGCGTTCGGGAAAGCCTTTGAGAAAGCCGGCAACGAGTGGACGGTATCGCTGTGCCAAGCAGACACCGACGGCGACGGACAGACCAACGGCCAAGAGCTGGGAGATCCGTGCTGCGTGTGGACCGAGAGCTCCGGAGACGCTCCATGCTGGACCACGGGCGTCTCCCACCCTTCCGACGCGACACTGACATCGGACCCGAGCTTGTGGGCGAACATCAACTGCGATGCAGACACAAGTGCATCCTCTGCGGCGACCGATACAGACTCAACTTCCACCACAGCACCAACACCGACACCGACAACAAGCGCTTCGACTGGCGCCGGCACCTCAGACGCCGACGCCGCCAAACCGGCGCAGTACTTAGCGTCCATGCTGGCTCTGGCCTCGAGCGTCGCTCTCTTCTTGGCGTAGGTACCACCGATCCCGCTCAAGTTGAAGTTCATGTAGCCATTCCACACACTACTCTCTAATAGGTCCAAATCCTTTCTTCTATTTTATCCAATCATATCCCCTCCTCGCGTCCTTTTCGCTGCTTCCCACAAATTTCCATACAAATTCAAAACGAAGATGGCCGTCGTCGATGCCGCCCTCGATGCGTCGCTGTCTGCGTCGATATCTCACGCCCCAGAGCCGCTGGAGTCGTCGCAGTCGCTGGAAGACGTAGATGAGATGCAGACGCACCCAACCGACCACGAAGAAGCTCTGGAAAGACGCAGCTGGGGCTCCGAGGCGTCCCACAAGAGCGACGACGAAGAAGAAGACGACGACGACGGCTGGATGGTCACGCCGATGGCTACACTCGCCGCGCGCGGACGCGTGCGCGTCAGCTCCGAGGACATGACGGCGGCGGAGGAGGCGGACGTCGAGGCCAGCGTGCGCGAGGCTCTGCGGCTACTGGAGGACTCTGGGGAGGGCGCGGAGAGCGAGGGGGAGCAGGAGGACGAGCCGTGGAGGGCCGGGAGGGCCGGGGAGGGCTACCTGGACTTTGTGCACGAGGTGATGGAGGACAGGTGGACGCTGGAGGACAGAGAAGAGCACTCGGGACGTCATTGGATGACGCCCGAAGGACAGGCGGACTCGGAAGAGGAGCCGATGGAGGACGAAGAGGAGGACAGACACGACGACGAGGACAGGGATGGAGGTGAACAGGTGGACGATCAGAATGTCCAGGAGGACAAGGAGGTGGACGCTGAAGATGAGCAGGTTGAAGAGCAACAGGGACAGGAGAAGGTTCAGGAGGACGAGTGGCAGGAGGCCTACACGGCCAAGGGGCGGGTTTACTACTACAACCGACGCACGCGCGAGTCGTCCTGGAAGAAGTACGTGGCGGAGTAAGGCTGATACAATGCTGGAAAGGAGGTGCTAACTTGCTTTTGGGGTTGACATGATGGCGCAGGCCGAGTCACTACAATTCGAGTGAAAACCAGCCTCAGCCTGCTGCGGCTGCTACTGAAGAGGAGTCGAACCTGCATCAATCTGTGCTGCGACAGAGTCTGGGGTACAACCCGTCGGCGTCCGTGGCGGGGTCGGTGCCTGCGGTTTCGACGATGGAGCGCCAGGCGACATTGTACTGCAGCTTCTGCGGCGAGCAGCAACCGGGCGATCAACTTGCCGCGCACTTCCACGAGTGCGCGTCGGCCAAGTTCCATAAGCGACGCATGTCCCCGCTGTACGTGAGTTTTGAACGGGCGCTTGGGCTGATGTCGGAGGATGCGACACTGCGCTCGCTGCATTATGCTGCGTCGTTTCCTGACCCCAAGCCTCACAGACGGCCAGAAGCTACGTCGATGCAGGATAGCCTACTGCTGCTGCGTCCCCGACGTCGGCGTAGTAGCTCGAGGGGGGCTAACTCGACGGAGAGTACGCCGCAGAAATCGGCGAATGCCTGCAGTAGAATTTTCGGGACGGATGAGAACGGGTTGAAGAATTCACCGGATCGCCACGGACAGCAAGATCCTGAGCGAGTATCAGCTCGACGGGCTACTGATGTCGAGGCAGCTCGCCGACGAAAGAAACCCGTAAACAAGAGGAAAACATCGCAGCCTACGAACAGTGCATTTGGAGCAGGTCCAGCCGCGCAGCAAATGGAGACGTGCCGGTACTGCAGCCGAAGCTTTGCTGAAGGTCGGCTGGCCAAGCACGAAGCAGTATGTCCGCGTGTGTTCGGTAATGAAGGTTCCTGGGGACGCGGCACTCCATCAAACCAGAGTTCCCCTCCGAACCCGAGGAATGCCCGAATCGGAACGCCACCAAGCTCGACAGGCTCGGTGGCGTCCAAGTTGCACAAGCTCAAGGACCACACATTGCAACAGAGCTACAAGGAACACCAAGCGACCCTTGTGCTATGTCCGTGCTGCCGTCGGAAGTTTGCCCCCTCCGGCGCGCAACAGCACATTGCGATCTGCAAAGGTGTCCAGAACCGCCCCAAGAATCCCATCCCGCTCCTACGCGACTATGCTATCGCTGGCTAAATGAGAAGGCCCTAGCAATATGTCAAAGCTTTCGAGACAGCGCATCATGGATGGAGAGAAACGGTATGTGGTCATTCATGATAGATATATAGATGAATGCAACTGCATCCTGCATTTGCTTTTGGCTGCGTTGTTGTGGACGTTGCATTTAGGGTCGGAACCCAGCGTAAGCCTTTTCAAGAATCTCCTTGCGGATCTTCGGGTAGTCTGGGTACTGGTCCAGCACTTTATTGCAGACGTCGACAGCCAGCACGAGTTTCTTCGCTTTGAGGTAGTTGAATGCAAGTTTGAACCCGATTGCTGCGCTGGCCTCGCCCTCGCAAGTCCAGGCTTCCTGATAGCACTCGGCAGCATCGATATACGATTGCTCCTTCTCCATCACCAGTCCAAGCAGCTCCCAGGCTTTCCCAGACGACTTGTTGTGGGTCAGTGCCCGCTTGCACAGCTCCTGGGCAAGGTCGAACTTGCCTCGGTTGATGTAGATGTCTGCCAGCAGAAGGTAGCTGCGCTCGTACTCATCCGCGAGGGTTTGGTCGTAGTTCATTTTGGCGATGCGTTTGAGCTGATTGCGAGCCTTGGGCTGCTGTTTGGTCAGCATGTAGCCCGTGGCGAGTCCAAGCAACGCAGGTACGTAGTCGCGGTCGACCGTCTCGAGGATTTCCATGAAGAGCTGGATGGCTTTGTCCAGCATGCTCTTCGTACGGACTGCAAGCACGGCGTAAGCTTCAAGCACACGGAGCTTGGCGTCGCGCTCGTTCCGGGCCACGGGCAACTCATCCAGCAGCGTGTTGGCAATGCGGAGATTTTCGGTCTGCTCCTTCGTGTTGCCTTCGTTCCCGTCGTTGCCGGCATCCCAAAGGTTCTCGTTGTCGGGGTTGAGATAGATCTCAATCATGTTGATGAGAGCTCGCTCGCCCCACTCTGGATCACGACGGGCGAGATTGAATTCGTCAATGGCTTCCACGACGTTGTTGCGGAAGCGCGCGTACAACCCCTTGCAGAAGTGAAGTCCGGGGGCATGTGCCACGCGCACGTTCGTGCTGCGTTCGGCCAAGCGCAAGTACCGTTGAGCCAAGCTGCCTTGTTCCTTGTCGGTCGACGAGGTGTGGAGCTTTCCAGCGCGTCGCAGCATGACTAGGAAGCGGCTGAGTGCAGCGAAGTTGTCCGGGCGGCTGTCGAGAAGCTGCTGGAAGTGGTAAATGGCCGATTCGTTGTCTTCCTTCTGCAGGAGAATGTCGGCCAGCATGAGCGCAGCTTCTTCGTGGGCAGGATTGAGTCTCAAGAGCGTTGAACAGCGCACTTGGCACTGGTCAAGATCGCCGATTTGCTGGTACGAGCGAGCGAGGAAGAGCAGCGAAGGCTCGTGCGTCTCATCCGACCGCAGCGCCAGCGTGCAGTATTTCACGACGTTCTCGCGCTCCGTGTTACCCGACGACGAGGCGTAGATGGCTGCGATCTGGTAGCAAGTGTTCGCGATAGCGGCGCGCTGTTTGCTGAGAACGTCGGGCTGCTCGTCCTTCTGTCGATCCAAGACCACTTTTTGGATGGCGTACGCCTTCAGCAACGCCTGGACTGCCATTTCATCACTACCAAGTCCGCGATGAATGGTTGGCAGCACGAGTTGGAGGTCTACTACCTGCAGAAGATGACTCAGGGCTTCGGAGTCGTTGGACGGTGCTTGTTGGACGACTCTCAGGGCTTGGTCGTAGTGGCGCAGCTTGGCGTACAGCTCGGCGAGGTCTTTGCGCAGGACCAGGTTACCCGGTGCGAGCTTCAGCGCTGTCTCGTAGTAGTCCACAGCCTTGAGGTAGTCGTGCTTCGAGATCAGGACGCGTCCAATACGGCCAGCGATCGTCGGATCACCCGGACTGAGCGCTTTGGCACGCTCGAACGATTCGACCGCCTGATCCAGCATTTGAATGCGCAGGTATGCTTCGGCCAAGCTCACGTGCGTGGCATGACAAGGATTTAGCGCCACTAGCTCTTGATAGCAGCGTGCGTACAGGTGCTTGTCCTTGCGATACTGGAGGTAGATGTCCGCCTTGACCATTTGGGCTTTCGTGAAGGCAGGAGAGCTGACGGGGACGCTGCTCAGCATGGCGATGGCTGCGTCGTAATCCCCGCGTTTGATGGCAAGCTCGCTGTTAGCCACCAGAACACGCACTTCTTGCGATGTGCCTCGGAAGACATCAAGCGCCTCGCGCACCGTCTTAGTGGCCTCGGAGATGTCGTTCAGCTGCGAGAGCACTTGCGCCAGGTGAATGTACACGGACGCCTTGTCGAAGAGTGACACGCTGCTGCTGTTGTTCTCAGCTGCTTGCTTCTGTCTGCGGTTGCTGCTTCCAGAGGTCGACGAGCCACCAGCGCTCTGGATCATTTTCATCGCGGTTTGCAGCGTCTGAAGTGCCTCGCGGACATCGCCGGCATTCTCGAGGATACGCGCCTTGATGATGTAGTACGAGAGCGACTGCCGAACGGAGAAATCGTAGCTGAGAGCTTGGTCGAGGCACGACGAGGCGGCTCGGAAGTGTTCACGCTCCAGACTTACGCGCGCCTGCATCAAGTGGGCCTTGGAGTGTCCAGGGTCCATCTTCAAGATCAAGTTGGAGACCTGATAGGCGTCATCCAGTCGCTGCGAGTCGAAATACGCTTGGGCTAGCACAAACTGGGCGCGTAAGAAGCCCGGAGACTTGTTGACAAGCTTCTCCAGGATGCTCATTCCCTTGAGAACAGCATCGGATAAGCTGTCATTGGGGCTGCCTGGCTGCGGGGTGTCGCCTTGGAGAAACTCAGTTGCCACTTCGACGAGGAAAATCGGATTGAGAAGGCTCATCGTGTCGTGCGTCGACACGTCGGGGCCCTGGATGGCTTCTTTGAGCTTGTCCATGTGAATCTGCATGGCTTGCTGCAGCAGCTTCACTTGCTTGGGACGATCACGATCTTTCTCCCAGCAGAGAAGCGCCTGCAGGAAGGCGAAGCTGGCACTAGCACCGATGGATTCCTGGATCACACTGAGGAACTCCATCTGCTGCGAGGCGTCTTCGAGCTGTCCGAGCTTGATCTGGCAGTAAATCATGCCGTGCAGCGCCATCTCGTTGGACTCGTCCAGCTTTAGCGCTTCCTTGTACGACTCCATGGCTTCCGCGTAGTCTCCAAGTAGTCCACGCTGATACCCGCGCTCGGCACGGAACGCGCCACTGTCCGGGTTGAGCTGGATCGCGTGCTCAATGAGCCCCAAGCTGCACTGCAGCACCTCCGAGTCTCGATCCGACACGCGAGCAGTGCAACGCGATATGGCGCAAAAGAGCTCCGGGTTGGCCGGCTCGACCCTTTTAAGCGCCTCAAGCAAGTCACGAATGCGCTCAGCAGCTTCGCGGGCGTGGCCCTCTCGAGACAAGAGCAGCAGGATCATGATGCGCATTGCCTCGATCTCCCGAGAGTTTTCACTCAACGCTCGCTCCACGCTGTCCATACACTGGTCCCAATTGCCCATTTTCAACAGCACCAAGGCCTTCTCGCTCAGCGAGTGCTTGAACCAAGGGAACTGCACAGTGATCTCGTCGAAGGACTCCAAGGCCCTCGGATACGCCTTCTTCATGTCGTAGTACTTGGCCATCCCAAGCACCAGCTCAGCATCCTTCCGCCTGGCCAGCAACACGAAGACGTTAGCGTGGAGATCTATCTAGTCAGAGTTAAAGGGCGTCCGCGTACTCAGTCACTTGGTCGAAAAACTGGATCGCGTTGTCCCGCAAGTCGGCGTCGCGTTTGACCTTGGGGTCGACTGTGAGGTCTACCCAGCCGCGCAGGATGAGAGCTCGTTGACGGAGAGCTCCGTCCGAGCTGCTCTTGCCGCTGCTGCTTAGCAGTTGGTCGAGGATCTTGCGGGCCTTGGCGTGCTCCCCGAGGTGCCAGAAGAAGGTGGCGCAGAGCATGAGGCTCATACTGGACGCGTTCTCCTCGGCCATGACGAGCTGAAGCTCCAGCTGCGCCACCTCGTCGTGGTCCACGTGTTTGCACTGCGAGTGCGCGTACACCAGCGCGTGGAGACACGGCAGCTCCACGTCGCGGCCCGTTCTCTTGAGGTTCTCGAGCTCTCGAATGGCGGACGAGTAGCTGCGCTCCAGCACGATGCCGAACGCGCGCCAGAACAAGATGGTCGAGTCGCTGCCCTTCTTCTCGAGGATCTGCTCGCACAGACGCTGCACGTGGTCGTACCAGCCCTTGCGGATGTAGTAGTTGATCAGCACGCGCGGGTCCACGGAGCTGCTCATGGCGCTGAGTGTGGATGGATAAACCTAAAGGAGTGTTTGAGTCTGCGACTCTTGAAGATCATCGCTTGGATCGCGGCTGAAGTTGAAGTTGTCAGCCAATCAAATCACGTGTATTCTCCACTACATGTACCTGCTGATGCCTTACAATGGCTTGGTAGCCGTCAGGAAGAATCGTTTAAAGTTGAAGACGGTGCTGCCGTCGCTCTGCTTGGGGTACGCGGCCGCGACCAGCTCGCGGTACTTGCGCTCGAACTGCGAGGCTTCGGTCGACGGCTCGGCCAGAGCTTTCATGAACGGGCGGAGGCCTGTGGAGCTCGTGAAGTCGGTCACGGGGTTGTCGCCCTCGAGTATGTGCGCGTACACGGTGACCCACGTGTCGAGCTGGACGTTGTTGTCGGCGGACTTGAATAGGTCGTAGTAGAACTCCGGGTCGTGTTCGCACGTGACGGAGCGCACGCCTGCCACGCGCTCGCTCAGGCCCAATTCAGCGGCCGCCTGCACCATGAGCTGGTAGTTCGGCTGCAGCCGAGTGTCGGGGATCTGGAAGGCCAACACGCCCCCGGGCTTGAGGAACGAGTACAGTCTCGACATGATGTCCTTGTGCCTGTCCGCACGAGCCCATTGCAGCGCCGCATTGGATCCACTGGATGTTCGGGGTCGTATGTCTCGAAATCAGCTTGGACGTAGGTGAACTGCTGCGTGTCGAGCGAGTCGTTCTCCTTGTGCTCGCATTGAGCGACGTCCAGCATGGAAGCGGCCGAGTCCACGAACGTCACGTGCGCGTTTGGCCACCGGTTTAGGAAGGCAGGGGCCATGCTGCCCGTTCCAGCTCCAAGGTCAATGATCTCGATTGCCCGACGGCAGTGAAGCCACGCGGGCTAGTAGATCGAGTGCTGGGCGTAGCCGTTGCTTCTGGAACTTGAGATACTTCTGCGGCTGCCACGTCTGGGTAGCGCGGAGAGCACTCTGGGCCATGGTTGATGTCGAGATGGTTTTCGGGTGTCAGGAAGGACGTAAGTTTGAAAGTGTGATGATTGACATGTTTGTGCAGTTCATCAAACAATTGGAGTGATGTGCAGGTAGCAAAAAAATATCATTTGCGCAAGTGCGCAAGTATACCTTCACCCAATCGGCTCAAATGATTGACCGCTCTCTCCGAGTCTGTAATGGTATGGCGGTCGTGATCAATGCTCATTCAGGAGCGTTGTTTGCGTGAAATGGCCATCTTATGTAAACAGAATCATGAGTGCGCTCGACTGATGAGTGGCTGCATCGCTCCTGAATCCGCCACCAAGGCCACAAGACCACAAGCAGTGAGTTCACCATGACAGCGACCAACCTTGTATACCGCATCAACGACCGCACGTCGCACCACAACCTGAAGCGCCAGTCGGAGCCGCTTCCAACCGTCCGCGACCATGAAGTACTCGTGGAGATTCGCGGCGTCACGCTCAACGCGCGTGACCTCCAGATCTGCGGAGGGTCCTACCCGGCCGCTGCCGTTGAAGGAGGACCTAGTCCCCTGTTCGGATGGAGCTGGAGTGGTCGCCGCTGTCGGTGACGCTGTTGACGATATTCACATTGGCGACCGTGTCATTGTCAACATCGCTCTCGACAATTTGTACGGCCCGCTGAAGAACCAAGCGCACATGCTCGGAGGCGGCGTTGATGGTACGCTTCGACAATTCGCTGCGGTACCAGCTCAGGCTATCATCAAGTCCCGCAAGAGTGCAAGCTAGACTACGTTCAATTGGCGTCGCTCGACTGCACGGGCACTACCGTCTGGAACGCACTGTACGGCTACGTCTCGATGAAGCCCGGCCAGACTGTTCTCTTCCAAGGTATGTTCTTCTCCCTCCGTGCTTCTACTGTACAATCGGCTCTTAACTTCATGTTGCATCTGTCTGGGCAGGTACTGGCGGTGTGTCTATCACGGGCGTTCAGCTAGCTAAAGCTGCGGGGGCTGTGACGATCGTCACTTCCTCATCCGACGAAAAGCTGAAGTTTGTCAGGGAGAAATTTGGCGTGGACCATGTCATCAACTATCGCACGACGCCCAACTGGGCGGAAGAAGTGCGCCGCCTTACCCACGGAGAAGGAGCTGACTACGTCATTGAGATTGGCGGTGCCGGCACCATCGAGCAGAGCATCAAGGCTACAGCATCTGGAGGGATGATCGCAGTAATCGGCTACCTGGCCGGCATCAAGCAGGAGGACATGCCCAATGTTCCACTTCTGGCCTTGATCCAGGGATGCGCGATTCGGGGCGTGCAAGCTGGCAGCAAACAACTCACCATCGAGTTGCTCCGGTTTGTTTCAAGGAAGAACGTCCAGCCGTACATCCACAAGACTTTTGGATTCGACCGAGACGAGGTTATGGCTGCGTTCGACTAGCTGAATTCGGGCAGTCATCTCGGAAAAGTTGGCATTGCGGTGAAGGAGCAGGAGTAACGGGCCTTGTCTTCGGACAGACACTCGTCGATTCAACGTTTTGCTTGAACGCACAATGTGCGATGCGATGGGATGCGATAAGGCTCGCAAATACACCTTTGGATATTCTACAGGCATCCCGTCTGTCGAACTTACCTAGTCCAAACGTTCTGTCGGATCTCATACGCACCAAATTATCTTGAATCAAATCGCACCAGTGCAAGTCGCAGTCTGCGAACAAGCAGACCAGCAAATACTCTTTACTACTTGGCAAGACCAATACTAAAAGCTGCATGGGGCGTGGTGCTGTATATTTCGTCTGTATATTTCTGTTGAACATTCAACTCCATCATAGCATTTCCAGATTTGTTGTCCCCAACAGAGAGCGCTGGCCACGTACGGGAAACAATGGCACGCGAAAACAAAGTCGACTCTAAAACTGATACGACGCTCGTGGCTATTACCTCGCCTTGCGAGAACGACTGCTTGGAGGAGCCAAAACGCAATACGAACAAGGAGGTCTTCGTGTTCCTCAAGCTCGTTGGACCAGTTGTACGTGCGGAACTTTTAAGTATTTGGGGGAAATTCAGCGCACTCTAACGGTGTTTGTTTGGCCACCTTCAGGTGGTGATGTCATTCCTAGACTTTCTCCCGGGTTTAGCATCGATTGTCCTTGCCGGCAAGATGGATTCGCCACTAGCGCACATTACATGGACGCAGCAACCTTCTCGATAATGGTACGATAATCACCTACTCTTTCCAAAATAAGCGTCTATCTAACACTATGTAGCTGCTCAACGTCAGCTTACTCACGGTTGGGTTGGAACTTGCGTCGGCGCTCGATACTCTTTTGTTCACAAGCCTACGGGGCTAACCGATCTCTTAAAATTGGCGTCTACTTCCAGACTGGTCTTTTGGTTCTTTGTGGGGTACTTCTACCGCTCTCCTCGATAAGTTGGTTCGCTGAAGACTTACTGGTTTGGTTCGGTCAAGATGAACAAGTTGCACGCTTGTCGGGCCAGTTCTCGAAGTGGATGCCCGTCGGGTTGCCCTTCTTCTTCGTGTATGAACTTACTCGGAAGGTGTTGCAAGCGCAAAATATTACGGCTTCTCTTGTCGTCGTTGCAACGATTCTAACGTCACCAACGTCGGAGCAAATTACCTGTTCGCTTACCACACGTCTAAGAAGTATCGGAAATATGGTTATTCCGCTGCTGCTCGTGCCGTGCTTCATGTGGCGGCCCCATCACTTGAGTCAGTGGTGGGGCCACCCCTGGGATTTCGAGGCTGCAGCGAGCTACGTTGGCCTCTTCTTGCGCCTCGGTATCCCCAGTATACTTCATGGTGATCATGGCAATTTGGGCATTCGAAGCGCTCTCGATCTTTGCCGGCTTACTACCACATAGCGTGGTCGCTGTAGCTGCTCACTCGGTGCTAGTGAATGTCAACCTGGTGATCTACGCCACCTTCGCGGGCCTTTCGGTGGCTGCAAATATTCGGGTCGGCAATTGTCTAGGAGCTGGAACGCCCGATAAAGCGAAGATGGCTCGGACTGTCGCGCTGACGATGACCTTGGCCCTCTCAGTTACTTTTGCGACGTTGCTCTACTGCCTCAGTGCCGAAATTCCTCTACTGTTTCTCGATCCCGGTGAGAGTGCAGACCTTGCTTCGAAGGTGATGGCAATCTGGGCGCCGTTCACGATTATGGACGGTCTTAATGCCGTCACGCAAGGGGTATTCCGAGGTGCCGGTGAGCAGAGGGCTGCTACGACAGTCAATGCGCTAGCGTACTACGCATTCGCTATCCCTTTCGGCGCATTTCTAGCCTTCCAGTGTAATTTTGGTGTTGAAGGACTATGGCTGGGCCTCGGGTGCGGTAGCAGCGCAGCTGTGATCGCGATGAATAGTTTAATACACTGGCGCTGGAGCTGGGAAAAACGCGCAGATGATGCGCTGGCTCGCACAGACGAATAACCCCGTGGTAATGTTGTAACTTTGGGTGGAGAATTTCGCTAGTTTAATGGGATTTTAACCTGCTATCCAGAGCTTGCTTCGTTGTCGGAGCGACTAGCTTTGAGCTATAGCATTTCGTATCGCGGGATGATCGTACAAAACCCACTGGAGTATGAGCTTCAATGCCCAATCGCTTCTTCATTATGGTACTAAACTGCTAGAATCGTCTGTAGACTGCGACAGACTATGGCGTGCTCTTCGTTGGTGTGCAAACGAGTCAATTGTGATGACAGCAATAAAATTCAAGGACATGAAGTATTCAACAGTACACAAGTTTGTCGAGAAACCATAAAACGAATGCACCATTCATCACACTCGAAACAGAAAGCTCCGGACAGGCTAATCCGACACTGGTAAGTATCGTGATACCGTGTATGATGCCAGATTGTTGGTGAAGATCCCACCGCAACTTCGTGGGTTCCGAAGTTGCCTCTTCCGATTCGACCGTGTTGCTTTATAGAACGCGTTCTACCCGGCTACTGCGGGCTTTATTGTGGAAACACCTTCCGACTGAAGTCGCCGGCAGCTATCGGCCGCTGCGGTGAGGTCATTCTCCAAGTACGCGCCGTTCTCTCAAGCAACGCTCAACACCATGCCCAAGGTTTCTTTCTTCGTCTGCGTTGCCGTGACACTCACCGTGGTTGGTGCCAGTCTCGCGCCGCACGATGCCCCTCGTTACCTGAGACTGAGCGCCGAGGAGACCGCAGCCGATCCATGCACGATGCACCCGCTGAGCTCTAGCAGCCTCGACACCGACAGCGGCTCGTTGCAAGAGTCGGAAACGATGTCCATCGGCAACACGGTGTTCGACGTCGTCGACCCCGGTGAGACCGACACGATGACAATCGGGGACAAGGTGCTCACTGTCTCCGACGTCGAGGACACGATGAGCATCGGCAACACGAAGCTCAAACTCTCGGACTAGGAAGGGTCTCAACTCATTTCACGTTTAGTCAATGTTACTCGTAAACGAGCTTTTACCTGTTCAATCGTGTATTATCGAGTACTTTCATCCAAGACTTATACAGTTCCCGATCGCTTGGCCAACGCAGCGAACACGGACTGCGGCCTCGCCAGCAGCTCCAAAGGAGAGCCGAACTCGGCCACGCGGCCCGCATCCATCACCGCGATCTTGTCGCAGTGCATGATGGTGTGGATGCGGTGCGCGATGATGAGCACCGTCTTGGCCTGGAACGTGTCCTGGATGGTCGACTGGATGAGCGCGTCCGTGGCCGTGTCGACGTTGGCCGTGGCCTCGTCCAGCACAACGACCTTGCTGTCCTTGAGCAGCGCGCGGCCGACGCAGATCAGCTGACGCTGGCCCACCGACAGGTTGTCTCCGCCCTCGGCCACCTCGAAGTCGAGGCCCGCGCCCCAGCGACGCAGGCTCTCGGCCATGTGCACCTGCTGCAGCACGCGCCAGATGCGCTCGTCCGCGTACTCGTGGAACGGGTCCAGGTTCTCTCGCAGCGGGCCGCTGAACAGCACGGGGTCCTGCGGGATGATGGCCAGGCTGCGGCGCAGCTCGCGCAGGTTCACGCTCGAGATGTCCACGTCGTCGATGAGCACGCGACCGCTGTCGAAGTCGCAGATGCGGAAGAGCGCGACCATGAGCGAGGACTTGCCGGCGCCCGTGCGTCCGCAGATGCCGACTTTCTCTCCGGCGGCGACGTCCATGTCGACGCCCTTGAGCACGAGTGGGAGTTCGGGTCGGTAGCGGAGACAGAGACCTTCAAATCGAATCGTGCCACGCGACGGCCATGACAGAGTTGCTCCTCCAGGTGATTGAGGATCCTTGGGAGTCAACTCACTGATTGTTTTGCCAGCAGAATCCTCGTTTTCGATCTTGCGGAAGTGCAGTAGTCGCTCGACACTGGTCATGGCATTGTCTGTACGATCAACCGAGCGCATAACCCACTGCACCATTGACGTCAACATCAGTGAGTACGTGAGTGAGAGTCCAGAGGTCAACGAACCAACCGATCCAGCGGTAGCTACGAGGTAAAGCGAGACAATAAATATTATCGCGACCGACAGGAAGTCCAACCGCGTGGCCAGCCATCGACTCGCAGCCCAGTACGTGAGGTACAAGTTCGCGTTGGTGTCCACCACTCGTCGGTTTTGCTTGGTGAAGTTGTCCTCCATGCGGAACGCGCGAATCGTGTCGAGACCCGACAGGGTTTCACTGAAGAGGTTGTACACGGGCGTCCGCGTCACCCCCTCAAGTCGCTTGATCTCGCGTGAAGACTTTTTGAAGTACTGGCCGATGTAGAGAAAGATGAGGAAGATCGGAATGTACGCCACTCCAATCCAGTAGGAAGCAAAGGCCGAGACAATGAGCGCGCCCAGGGCCAACGATGCGTTCTGAAGCAGCAACTGGTACTCTTGAGGGAGGATCGAGTCCATTTGGTCCAAGTCATTCGAGAAGCGGTTCAAAATCTGCCCCATGGGCGTCACGTCGAAGTATCTCGTCACTGGTGCTCGTAACACGCGCCTGAACAGCTCGTCGTGCATATTTTGTGAAGAACGAACGCACGACTCGATGATCATCAGGGCACGACCGAAGGATAGCACCGTGCAAAGGACGAGGAAACCGAGATACCACATGCCGAAGGTAGTTCCCGAGTACGATGGATCCACACCCCGGCGCGGCATGTTGCGAGCCCAATGGCCAGGCCACCAATCCACCACTGTGCGCGCGGCTTGCCCAGCACAATATGCCAGGACAATCACTAAGATGACAACCAGACCGTTGTATCCTGTTTCGTCGAAGTACGTCTTGTACACGCGCGCGCCCACTTTTCCCTTCACTCGATCTTCAGCTCGGATAAGTCGCCCCGCAGCTTTATCCTCTTTTGCCTCAGGCTCTAATATGACCTCAGCCTTTGCGATTTCAGTTTGGTCTGTCTGCGTATTCTGGTTGTCGCCGCTAGCAATCTGTAAAACATCGTCGTTACCTTCTTCGTCAACTCTAGAAGTCTCGTCATTGGAATTCTTGCCATCTCCTTCAATGCTGGTGCCGTGCGTTGCCAAGTGCGGGAACTGGGCGAGTACACTATTGTAAGAACCTTGCGCGGCGACAGCTCCGTCGTGCACCATCACAATGTGGTCTGCGCGGGCCAGTAAATCGTAGTGGCTGTTCAAAACCAACAATCGCGTTTGACCTGTCGCTAACTTCACAACGCATTCGTCAAAAATCGCGTGGGCAACGTGCGGATCAACTGCACTCAAGGGGTCATCCAGAAGCAGCACATCCGTTCCGGATCGATACATCGCGCGAGCGATCGCCACACGAGCCTTCTGGCCGCCACTCAAGTTGATTCCACGTTCTCCAATCTCCGTCGAGTCTCCATTCGGCAGCGCTTTCAAATCCATCGCCAGTTGTGAAGCCTCTAGCACTCGCGCGTACAATTCAGGGTCGTATTCTTGCTCAAAGAGGATGTTGTCACGCAGAGTAGCGTTGCGGATCCAAGTGTCTTGGCTGACGTAGGCCACGCGTCCACTGATCTCGAGCATACCCGACGTACGCGGCATTTCACCGAGGATGGCATTCACGAGGCTCGATTTACCCGACCCGACTTTTCCAACGATCATCACGAGCGAGCCTCGCTCGATCTCGATATTTACGCCCTGAAGCTGGAACCCTTGTTTGCTGCTGGACAGAGGTGATTGTTGATCCGCATGGCCACTAGTTCTGAGACTATTAGCAGGTTTTTCAAGTGATTCACGTCGGGTGTCTTCTTCTTCTGCTGGAGTCACCACTACGACGTCACCTCCATTCAAATTTGCCGGCCATTCGAATGATCCGTCCCGGATGGAAATATACCCACGACCAACAGCAACTTTCTCCTCTTCGGTGTATGCTGAAAGAAGAGGTGCTTTGCTTGTCGGGGTAGACTGAACCGCTTTACCTGAACTCGATGGTACAGTCGCCACTTCGCTACTGGACAGGAACGCATCAATGCGGGAGTAGGCAATCTTCGCCTTTGACAAGCCGCCGATCGCTAGTGGTAGCTGGTTCAGTGCTGCTCGACTGATGTTGACCATGGCCACCAGCGTGAACGCCTCTACCACCGTGATCGTGTGTCGAATCAACACGTACGTGCCCAGCGTAGCGCCCGATAGGAACGTCGGCGTGATGAACAGCATGACCGTGTTGATCACCTGGTACGAGTGGAACTTGCGCAGCAGACCCACTTCTCGGACTCGGAGCTTCTCCACGCGCTGGGCCAGGGAGTCTTCCCACGCATAGAACTTCATGACGCGGATGCCCTGCAACCCCTCGGACGTCACCTTCACTCGTTCATCAATAACTTGCAACAATCTTCTCTGCAGGTCAGCAATGCGGTCTCCTTGTTGAACGGAAATGACCATAACGGCAGTGAGCACGACCGCGCCGGCCAGAGCAGCGTAAAAGTCGAAGAGGAACCCAATCAACACGCACGATACAACAAACGCTAGCGGTCCCATAACGAGCCACGGGCCCTGCACCATTGCAGTGAAAACGCGCTCCGTATCCACACTCATGAGCGTCAAAATCTCGCCCGTCGTGTACTCCTGCCTGGCCGCACTGGACAACTTCAGCGCCTTCTCGTACACCAGGGACATGGTCAACGAGCGCATGTTGGAGCCGATTCGTGACGCCACGAAGAACAGATAATTAAGTGCGCACACCGCCACCAGTGAGCTTCCGGTCATCATCGCCACCAGCCAGTAGCCGCTCTCAATTTGAAACACATTCTCCTCGCCATTCAGGAACCCCAGCAGAGCTTTCGTCACGTACGTCTGCAGCCCCAATGCCAGTACACCCGAGAAGCACTACACTGATCTGCGTCTGGAATGTCCTCAAGTACGCCACAAACACCGGTGACAGGCCAAACACTTGTCGCCGATGCGGCTCGTACACTCGTCGGAACCGTTGCTCGAGTGCCTCGCAGGCGTCGGACGGACACACGGGCCACATATCGTCGAGCTCCAGAATCTGCCGCGAGCCCAGTGAGATCATGGGCTGCATCCATTGCGCCAGCGCAATCGATGGCAGCGAGGCCGTGGCCAATGGATTCGGCACTTGGCTGAACGGGGTCCGCGAAGCTTTCGCGGATGCACTGGAGCGGGTAAGTGGAGGCTCCACATAGTGACCGCCCATTGCAACCGAGATGCAACACCCACGCCAATGTCTCGCGCCGCGGGTCAATTCACGAGTGAAGGCACGCGCTGACGTACGTGGTGGAGCGTTGCGCAAACCTTCACAGCAACTCGCCGTCGTACACTTGTAAAATAGTTTGAGGATATGCAATATAGTTTGAGGCACAACACCCTCTAGCAAAACTTAGTTTGAGGTAGTTCATATCCTACTTAATTGCATATTATGCTATGTCAGCGTTCTCACCATCGGAGTAACAATGGCGTAACATTCCCATATTCGCATCGGATTGCTTGGTGCCGAGCCCTTCTTCGACCTCCGCCGCGCCGATCCTCGCTCGCCAGGTACGGCCCTCGGCGGCCAGCACGCGCATTGCTTAGCTCTGCATCTGCTCTCTCGAACGTGCTGCAATTCGTCACTTAATTCCAGCTTCATCCCTGCTAAATCCGTGCTGACGCGCGACGTATCTCCTTGTTGCAGCAGATTGATTGATTGACACCATGGCGGACGTGGCCGAGTTCGAGCGCGCGGTGCTCATCGCCTTCCAGTACGCGGGCGCGCGGGCCACCGACCAGCAGGCGCAGGCGCTCAAGCTGCAGGCTGAGAGCTTCTGCGCCGCTGTCAAGGCCCAGGCGGACGGCTGGCGCGCCGAGCTGCAGCTCTTCGAGCACTCGGAGCACGAGCAGGTCAAGTTCTACGCGCTGCAGGCGCTGCAGGAGGCGCTGGCCGCTGGAGTCGCGGACGACGTGGCCGTGGCCGTGAGGGTGGAGCTGCTGGCCTGGCTGCAGAGCCATGTGGCCTACGTCGAGACCAAGGCGCCGTACCTCAAGACCAAGCTGGCCGTCGTCGTCACGCTGCTCATCAAGAGAGACTACCCGGACCGCTGGCCCACGGCCTTCACGGAGCTGCTGGCGCTGCTGCCGCAGGGCGCGTCCATCGTCGAGATGTACTTTCGCATCCTGCAGGCCATCAACGAGGAGATCGTCGAGTTCGACGCGCAGCGCACGCAGCAGGAGGCCGCGCACAATATGCGGATCAAGGACGCCATGCGCGAGGGCTCGTGCATGCGCGAGAGCTTCGACGCCATCGCGCGCGTGCTGGTGAACGCGGATGCGAGCGACGTCATGCGCGTGCTGAGCGCCAGCGCGCTCGAGACACTCAAGAGATACATCAGCTGGGTGGATATCGGACTCGTGGTGAACGACACGCTGTGGCCGCTGCTGATCAAGTTGCTGAGGGAGAGCGAGACGTTCCGCTGCCAAGCGGCCAACTGCGTGTTCGAGGTGATTGACAAGGGCATGACGCCCGAGAAGAAGCTGGCCATGCTGCAGCAGCTGCAGATCCTCGAGATGCTCGCGGCCCTGCCGATTCGTGAGGATGACGAGTTTGCGGAGGAAATTGGAGAGGTGATTAACGCGGTGGGACTGGAGCTCGTGACGTGCATGGACGCCTTCCGACACACGAACCGGGCCGACTTGCTGCAGGCCAGCGGCGCGATGCTGTGCCAGCTGATGCCACTCGTCTGGGAGCTTTTCGCCCATGAGTCGAAGGATGTGTCGGAGGAGGTTTTCGAAATTGTGAATGCGGTGGGCGGCGCTATGCTGCGCACGGAGACTCAAGCAGCTGGCAAGCCTCAAAGCGAGGCGGAAGTTTTCCGCCCGTCGGAGTTTGTCCCGCAGATCCTGCACGGAATTTACCGCCAGACGCGGTTCCCGGAAGACTCTGACTCGGACGCTGCTGAGTTTGAAGAGTACCGACGCAGTCTGTACACCATTTTCCTCAACATCGTGCGCCAGCGACCGCACGACACACTTGTGTTCCTCACCAACCTGGCGCAGAGTCTGCCGGGCCAGTTTGCCGAAATCGACCCCCGCGACCTCGAGAGCTTCTTGTCCCTTGTGCACCGATTTAAGGAGGGACTCGCCGCGCTGAAGGCTGTTGCTGTTCCGTTCAACGAGCCCACGAGCCCACTCACGCTTATGGTTGTGCAGATCCACAGCAGCATGCTTGCCGCGTCTTCCACTGCAGCGTCACTGCACCCGAAGGTTCTGCTCACGTACTACGATCTGGCCGTGAGGTACAGCAAGGTGCTGCAGAACGAGTCGGCGCTCATTCCTGCTGTCCTGCAAATGATGTTTGGCCCGCATGGACTCGCTCACCCGGCAGCTCACGTTCGATCCCGTGTGTGCTATCTGTGCCTGCGTCTCGTGAAGGCGATTGGTGCCTCGGTTAATCCGCACGCCTCCAGTATCCTGACTGCACTGCAGCCTCGCCTTGCGATTGCCACGGAAATTGAGGAGATCGAAAGCCAACACAACCCGACGTACCTGGCGTACGATGACCAGTTGTACCTGTTTGAGCTCGCTGGTCAGATTATCGCCTCGCTCGTGCTCCCTGCGGAGACAACTGGTATGAACGCAAAGGAGCTCCGGTACCGCTACACGATCGCTGTGCTGGACCCGTTGCTGCAGGGCTTGAATACGACATTGAATGAAATGGCAAACGGTGCGCTGACTGACGAGGACTACATTATTGAGCACTGTGCCTCTCACCTGAACGCTATTGCTCACGTGCTCAAGGCGTTCAAGGGCACAGACTGCATGGTGAACCACCAGGAGACGTTTACACAGGTGCTCACAGCCACGGCGTGCGTTCTTCGTGCGCTGTCCGGTAGCCAGCGCGTGCGTTCGAAGGTGATTTTCACGCTGCACCGCTTGACTACCGTACTGGATCGCGAGCACTTCTTGGGCAACGTGCAGGAGCCTCTGCAGACGCTGATGATGGGCTGCGAGCAGTCCGAAGTTGTGGAGATCGTTCAGCTGGTGGACCAGCTTATTATCAAGCACAAGCAGGCGCTGGGTGGCTTCCTGGACAAGACGACGCTGCCGTTCGTGCAACACTTGTGCGCGCTGATGCCGGAGCGAAGCGCGGTTGCGAGCGGCGAGACTAAGGACGCTCCGCAGCTTGAGCGTGAAGCCACACAGAAGTATCTATACACATTCCTGCTGCACCTCGTCACCCACGGACTGGACGCGGTCTTGATCAGCGCCCAGAATGTTGCGCAGCTGGAGAACATGCTGCGTCTTGTGCTGGAGGGTTGTGCCGAGGTTCAAGACGCAAACATCAATCGCGCCTGCTTTTCGATCGGAAGCATGCTGGTGGAGCGCTGGATCAGCAACGGAGCCGCTCCGTCTCCCGCGAGTGAAGCGTCAGGAGCTGCGACTGCGGCCACGTCGGCGGCATCTATCGCGTTGCGTGCTGAGCTGCATGCCGAGCTGTCGGCCGAGGGCAGGGCGCGCTTCACGCAGATTGTGGTGCAGGACTTCACGCGTGCCATGTTCGCCGTGACCAAGCTGCGCCACTTCGACATTGACGACATGCAGACCATGCTGGCCGTGAAGGAGATCGTCAACATGCAGGCCGTGTTGGTGGGAGCGCTGGGCGTCGAGTACCTGACCTTCATGCGGGACGTGTTCCTGCCGTCGCTGGGCTGTCCGCCGGAGCTGGCCGGCCCGTACACGGAGCAGGTGGCCACCGGAGACCGCAAGAAGATTCTGGCCGCGTACAAGGCGCTGGTGAGCAAGATGTAGCAGGGTTGGCGAGGACATTACAATAGCATTTTGAAGAGCAATAGGATAATAGGCATGGAGGACCCCGGGCCACGACCGCCGACAGCAAATAGAGAGCGTCCCCCATAACAAACGCCTAGACCGTGCCATTTCTCGTCTTCTACGCGGCCCGATGGCTCGACTAAGAGCTTTGATCATGCCGTCACCGCGATGCCCGCGCGTCACCCATGATCCTGTCTGGCCCGTAGACAGTTCAACGTGGACGGTCTCATTTCGCCAGAGGACACTCATCGGCCAGCCACGTTCGACAAGCCGACCCCATCATCGAGCATTCCGTTCATTCCTCGATTTGCGGCGGCCTCGTCACTTGCGGAGCAATGGACGACAGGGACTCGAGCTACGCGGAGGCGCCGGCCACGCCGCGGGCCAAGCTGCCGGAGGCGTCGAAGCCGTTCAGCCTGCAGCCCAATCCGCTGGCCAAGGCATCACTGCCGTCCATCATCATGGCCCAGTGGATCCAGCCCATGGTGTCGCTCGGAGCTCGCCGCGTGCTGGAGAAGGAGGACGTGTGGCCAATTTGCACGAGCGACGCGTGTGCGTCGCTGGAGCAGCGCTTCCGTCAAGTGTACGACCCGAGTCGGCGACACCTGTTTAATGTGTCGCCGCTGGCCGCGGCGTATGCCCGAACATTCCAAGTGGAGCTCGCGTTCGTGCTCATGAGCTGCGTACTGTACGTGGTCGCGCTGGCCTTGCAGTCGTACGTGGCCCAGGCCATCCTGCAGTTCCTGAACGATGAGGAGAATCTGTTCCACATCTCGAGCGGCTACTGGTTGATGGCCATGATGACTCTCAGCTCGCTCGTGGCCGTGTGTGCTCTCAACTACGTCTTCTTCTCGGCCTCGCGCATCGGGGCCAACATGCGCTCGCTCACCATGTCGCTGATCTTTGACAAGGCGCTGAAGCTCTCGAGCGCTGCACGGCAGGACTACACGACGGGCGAAGTGCTGACGCTCATGAGCGTGGACACGGAGCGCGTGTTCCTGCTGATGATCCAGGGCCCGTGGCTGTTCATGGGCCCGCTGTCGTTCATCATCTCGGCCGTCCTCATTGGCATCCTCTTCGACTTCTACTCGGCCCTTGGCGCAGCGGTCGTGCTCGTGGTGGTGATGCTCATCTCGGCCCGACAGGGCCGTCGCATTGCTGGCTTCCAGAAGAAGCTGCTCAAGGTCATCGATGAGCGCGTGAAGGTGACGTCCGAAGCGCTACAAGGCATTCGCGTCATGAAGTTTTACGCGTGGGAAGACTCCCTGGCACAGCGCGTCGAGAAGCTCCGCGTGAAGGAGGTGGGCCTGCTCCGCAAGTTTCACATGTACCAGGTGATCAACACGGTGATGCTGTTCCTCACTCCGAGCTTCGTCTCCGGCGTGACATTGGGCATCTACGTGCTCATTCACCACACCATCAGTGTTGTTGAGGCCTTCACACTCGTGGCCATGGTCAATATCTGTAGAACGGCGCTGAATCAGCTCCCCCAGGCAGTCGCTGGTATTTCCAAGGCCAAGATCTCGTATGCACGCTTGGACGCCTTCCTCACTAGCGACGAAGTTGCAGCTCGGCCACTTCTTCTGGCCGAGGAAGGGACGACCACGCCTACGAACAAATCTCCTCTGCTTGCCGACAATATTATGGTTTCTGGGGCCTCGATCGGCCGCGGGTATATCTCAATTCGTGATGCGAGCTTCGAGTGGCCCACGACTTCACAAGCTGAAGTCGTTGTTGTAACGCCAGCTACCGAGGCACATGAAGGCGAAAGCCAGGGCCCAGAAATGCCAACTGTGACCGCTGACAGTCCAGGCTTCAAGCTCGAAGGGGTCAACCTAGAGGTTGAGCGTGGTTCACTAGTGATGATCGTCGGTAAGGTTGGTTCCGGAAAGTCTAGCCTCCTGAACGCGCTTCTCGGCGAGATGTCGCGCACGTCCGGCGTGCTTGAGATTGGCGGACGAGTCTCTTATGTAAGCCAAGACACGTGGATCCGCAACGCCACTCTGCGTGATAACATTCTGTTCGAGGAGGCGTACGACGCGGAGCGGTACGCGCAGGTGCTGGACGCTTCCCAACTAGCGATGGACCTGAAGTCCCTACCGAACGGAGACTCGACGGAGATCGGTGAGCGTGGCATTAATTTGAGTGGCGGCCAGAAGGCTCGAGTGGCGATTGCTCGTGCGATGTATCGTTCCAGTACGGATGTGTTGATTCTGGACGATCCGTTGAGCGCTGTTGACCCGCATGTAGCTCGATCGATCTTCGACAAGTGCATCGTTGGCTTGGCCGCCGGCCAGACTCGATTGTTGGTGGTTAATAGCCATTACCATCTACTCGCTTATGCTGACAAGGTCATCGTTATGAGCGACGGTGCGATTGTCGGCCATGACTCGTACGGAAAGGTTTTGGCACAGTTCCCGCATCTTGCGATGGAAAGTACCACTACCAAGAGCTCAGTGCAGGCCGAAGACCGTGACGACGATGAAATCGACGCCCCACTACCAGCTAACGACAAGGTCCATGAACAAGTGGAGGCCGTTCAGACTGAAAGCGAAGAGAAGAAGGACGCAGCCTCTAACGCTTCGGCCGGACGCTTGATTCGCGCTGAGGACCGAGTGAAGGGTACTGTTGGATCGCACGTTTACAAGGCATACTTTGACGAGACTGGCGTGAATGGCTGGGTGGTGGTGCTAGTGATCAGTATCTTGTACGGCGTCGGTCAAGGCGCACGAACAGTGGTTGACTGGTGGCCCGGCCATTGGGCTCGTAACATGCATCGACGCGGAGTGGACCCAGCGTATTCCGGAACGACTTTCGGAATGTGGTACCTCGGCCTCATCGTGCTCTGCTCGATCCTCACATTGATTCGTGGAGTCACGATGATTGAGAGCTGTATGCGGTCATCTCAGCACATGCACGATGAACTGTTCCGACGCGTGCTGCGCGCTCCAGTGACGCGCTACTTCGACGTGACTCCGATCGGACAGATCCTGAATCGGTTCTCGAACGACTTGGATCAAATGGACACGACACTGCCTCTGGAGTATCAGCTCTTCTTCCAGAATGTGTCGATGGCTCTCGGCTCGCTGGTGGTCTCCGCTTTTGCGTCTTACTGGATCGGAGTGTCGTACATCCCCCTCATGGTACTCTTCGTTATGACGGGCCAGTACTTCAAGAAGACTTCGCGCGAGCTCAAGCGACTCGAAGGCATCACGCGAACTCCCGTGTACAACTTGTTCAGCGAAACTCTGTCGGGACTGCCCACCATCCGAGCCTTCCGTATGGAGGAGCAGTTCTCCGCGCGCAACCGCCAAGTCGTGGATACGAACGCAAACATGTACCTCACGTACTGGTCTGCTAGCCGGTGGCTCGCGACGCGGTTGGATCTCATGTCTGTGGTGATCATCTTTGTTGTCACGCTTTATCTCGTGTCCACGCGTGGCGAAATCGGCTCGATGACGTCGGGCCTCTCGCTCACGTACGCGCTGATGCTGACCTCGGTGATTCAGTGGGTCATGCGCTCCGTGGACCGTGTCGATAATGCCACGACTAGTGTTGAGCGTCTGCTGTTCTTCCGCGAGATCGAGCGCGAGGAAGATGGCGGTAAGCGAGTCGCTGAACTTGTCAACTCGAATAGTTCAGAGACCCATTCGTGGCCATCGCAAGGAGCAGTTCGATTTGAAGGCCTGTGCCTCCGATACCGACCGGAACTCCCGCTCGTGCTCAAGGGCGTCGACATGGACGTCGCCGCCGGAGAGAAAGTCGGCATCTGCGGACGCACGGGCGCCGGCAAGTCCTCGCTCATGGTCGCGCTCTTCCGCATCTGCGACTTCGACAGCGGTCGCGTGCTCATCGACGACGTGGACATCTCGAGCGTGAACCTGCGCGAGCTGCGCCGCAGCCTGGCCATCATCCCGCAGGACCCCGTGCTGTTCAGCGGCCCGCTGCGAGAGAACCTGGACCCGTTCCACGAGTACGCGGACGAGCGCATCTGGCGCGTGCTGCAGCAGGTGCACATGGCCGAGAGTCTGCGTCGCTGGGGCGCGGGCCTCGACTTCGAGGTGGCCGAGGGCGGAGACAACCTGTCGGTGGGCCAGCGTCAGCTGATCTGCATCGGCCGCGCGCTGCTCAAGGACAGCAAGGTCGTTGTGCTGGACGAGGCCACGGCCAACGTCGACACGGCCACGGACGCGCTCATCCAGACGACCATCCAGGACACGTTCCAGGCCAAGACGGTGCTCATCATCGCGCACCGTATCCACACCATCATGCACTGCGACAAGATCGCGGTGATGGATGCGGGCCGCGTGGCCGAGTTCGGCTCTCCATCGGAGTTGCTGGCGAGGCCGCAGTCGGTGTTCGCGAGCCTTGCAAAGAAGTCAACGTCGGAGTGAGTTTGGTGAATCTGAGAAATGGGCTTGGTTTTCGGTTCATCGTGAAAGGCGTTGTTAACGTTTGTTTGTTGGCTCCCGAAATTACCCTTTATTCTCTCTTAGAGATTGGTACGAGCTCGCGCGTCGTCCGCTATGCAGTCCCAATCCCAGTAGCGCTTCATGAGCACAGCCATCGTGCTTAAGGCCAGGAAATTTCCCAAGGTCATGCCAATCCATAGGCCTATGACGCCGAGGTCACACTGGAGAGCTAACAGTGCACCGAACGGAACACCGAAGATGTAGTACGCCACCGCGTTGGCAATGGCAGCATCGCGTTGCTTGCCCGCACCTCGAAACACGCCTTGGGTCACAGCATTCAGTCCATCCACGATCTTCTGGGGTGAAATGATCGCCATCACATGAGAAGCCAGGTCGGCACTTTTGCCTTTGTCGAGGAAAAGCAGCGGGATATAATCACTTAGCCCGAAGATGAGCCCCGTGAAGAACAGCGTCAGAGCCAACGTGATGGTAAGCGCGACGGTGCGAGCCAACTTGGCAGTTTTCGGCTTGTCAGCTCCAAGACAATTTCCAACTCGAATGTTGGCAGCGACGGACAGACCCGCAAACGTTGTGTACACGAGCAGATCGACATTGACCAGGACGGAATGAGCCGCGACAGCAACAACGCTGTCCGGTAACAAGCCAGCGAGGATGGAGAGCGCCTCAAACGCCCACATATCCATCGCAAGCATGAGCATCCCTGGGACTCCAAGGCGCAAGAAGAGGCCGACGTAGCCCATGGCAGCCTTGAGATCCCAGGGTTGACACCACCACTGCCTCAAGTGGTGCGGTCTCCACATGAAATACGGCACCAGCAGCAGCGGCAGAACAAAGTTGCCCAGACTCCGGCCCATAGCGATGCCATTGAAGCCGGTAGGCCAGGCCGTACCCCGCAGCGACATTGACGACGTTCCCGATCGCTGCAATGGTGACGAGTGGAGTCATAATGTGTTGGGTCTGTAGCACCTTGCGCAGGAGCTCGTAGAGGAAAAGACACGGCACACCAGGCAGCATCCAGCGAGAGAATTGTCCAGCCAAGTGCGCGACCTCGGCGTCCTGGCCCAGCCCCTTCAGAATGGGCTCGGTGAAGGAGTTGATAAAGAGCATCGGCACGTGGATTACAGTGAGGACCACGACTCCGGTCTGGAAGTAGACGCCAATCTTCTCAAAGCGTTTGGCCCCGTAGGCTTGCGAAGAAAGCGTATCCAACGCCGAGGCGAGGCCCAATCCGACTGAAAGCGAGGTGATGTTCAGCAACTGCATGCAATGCGAAACAATGTTAGTCTAATTCCTGAAAAAGGGCATCCCAATGCAACTGCGGTACTATGATGGAGAAGGTTGCGGCGTCGATGTAATGCTGCGACAATGGCGAATCGATGTTGCCGGCGAGGATGATCGACATAAAGCCCGGTAGAAACTCCAAGAACGTCGTGATCATCTGCAGCAAAGTAGAGCACGAGTCGGTGAGCTTACTATCGAAAGTTGCCCATTCAACAACCTGCTTACGACGGGGCCAACGAGCTTGAGCAGAGTCTTGACTTCCTCGACGGTTTGTGGAGTAGGCTCATCGTTTCGATGGAAGTCGCGCTCGGGTAGAGGTGAAGGTGTGGAGATTCTCGCGAAGGACTCGCCCAGATCACTTTTGTCGTGATGTGAAAGTTGGAGACTCATCTGCGCCTTAGGACGCAAAATCGGTTGTGAGACGAAAGCATTCTAAGGTACATTTTGGTATGAGTCACGCGTTCAAATGAAACCTCGCTTGGTTGCAGACACGTGGTAATCAAGATTTGTCCGGCGACGATTTCGTTGCGATGTTAAAGCCCCGATCACCATACACTGTACGAAAAAGTCGTCTACAGCTTCCACGCATCTATACGTATCTTCTTGGATGCCCCCGCAATAAACAGCGAGTGGAGTACCGCATCCACGCATCATTGGTGAGGCCAACCCAAACTTCACTCTGTTTCATCAGAGCGACTCGTTTACACGCCCACGTCATAGTCTGTAGGCTACAGCGGCTTGGTGGCCATGACGAAGAAGCGCTTGAGGTTGAAGATCGTGTTGCCGTCGCTCTGCTTCGGGTACGCGGCGGCGATCATCTCACGGTACGTTTGCTCGAACTGCGAGGCCTCCGTCGAGGGCTCCCCCAACGCCTCCATGTACGGCCTCAACGCTGTGGACCCTGTGAAGTCGGCCACCGGGTTGTCGCCCTCGAGCACCTGCGCGTACACCGCGGCCCACATGTCGAGCCCCACGCCGGCGTCGACAGCCTTGAACAGCTCGTAGTAGAAGCTCGGGTCCTTCTCGCACGTGACCCACCGCACGCCAGCGACGCGCGCACTCAGTCCCAGCTCTTCGGCCGCGTCGACCATGCGCTGATGGCTGGGCTGCAGCCGCGTGTCCGGGATCTGGAAGGCCAGCACACCTCCAGGCTTGAGGAAGGAGTACAGTCGCGGCAGAATCTGCTCGTGCTCCTTGGCGTTCACCCACTGCAGGGCCGCGTTGGAGAAGATGAGGTCCACGGGTCGCTCAGGCTCATATGTCTCGAAGTCGCCCTGCACGTAGGCGAAGCGTTGAGTGTCGAGCGCCTCGTTCTCCTTGTGCTCGCGCTGCGCGACCTCGAGCATCGACGCCGACGAGTCCACGAACGTCACGTTGGCGTTCGGCCATCGCTTCAGGAAGGACGGGGCCATGTTGCCCGTTCCGGCGCCGAGGTCGATGATCTCCACTGAGGCATCGGAGCTGGGTAGATCGGACACTCGGGCCAGCAGCTCTAGCGCCGGACGCAGACGCTGGCGCTGGAACTTGAGGTACTTCTGCGGCTGCCAGGTCTGCGTGGCGCGCGCGACGTGCTGGGCCATTGCCATCGCGTCGTGATGTAGTTGGTGAGGTGGGGAAGAGGTGAATCGACAAATGCGTTGCGTGAACTTCGACGTCGACCACCGCGGAATAAATGCTCGTACATCAGCTCATTGGGCTGATGTACAGCTTTACAGCTTGGCGCGTGGATCCCTTCGGCCAATCAGATACCGTATAGGGCTAACTCGCTATGACGTGATTGTATTGTGCTTTTCAGTTGTTTTGGCAAATCGGACGTGTAAAACAGCTACCTACAAAGATGGGGCTAGGTTATCGGAGCAGATTAGCAGGCCCCTCGTAGGGAATTAGGACCAAGAATTGCTAGTCCGATGGAAGCACTTGCGCAGGTCCTACAAACAGCCGAAAGCCCGAATGTCGCCCATTTTCACGGCATTCACGAAGGACTCCTACCAAGTCTTGTGGCAGGACTTTCATACGAGCTGACTCTAATACGGTGTATGTCAAACGCAGAATAAACCTATGAAAACACGATGCAGTCGATACGTTAAACACTCCAGTCGTCGCCATTCGCCTTCGCGGGTTCCGGCATTGCTTGCTTCCCCAAACAAAGATTGCTTGACTTGGACTCCAACCGGAGTCCATTGAACGGAGAGACTCCATGAGACCACTCATCGGACTCGTCCGAGATTTGCATCTCAGATTTAGAGACCACCAACCTCAGATTAACTGACCTCCAAAGTCCAACGTAGGACTCGGCAAAATGACCGAAAGGCACAATACACACAACGGAGCAGGCATGCCGAAAATACGATATATATCTATTTTTCTCAAGTTAACGAAATACGTATTTGTTTGTATACCAAGAAGAGAAGAAATAAATATCTGAAGACCCGGTGCTGACGCAGTAAATTATTCAGTAAATTGCTGCACCTTCATGGGTTCTTACTAACACTGCCCACGGTCGCCACATCCGTGTTAAGGTTGCTGAACAACATCATTTTAGCATAAAGGGAAAATTTGATGGCGTTAACACAATGAAAATTAGGGGGGAAAACTTCTCAATCATGAAGGATATATTCAACCGCAGAAATAAAATCTAGAAGTTTTGATCTAAAGCTGGAATAAATACCGGATAAACCAAGGAGGTATACCTACAATAAATATTGATTCCGAAAATACAAATATATTTCCGGGCGTATTTATTTTTCGGGATCCCTGCCTGTACGTGGCGCTGGCCATGCAATCCTTCGTGGCCCAAGCGTTGCTCCAGTTCCTGAACGACCGAGAGAACCTCTTCGGAGTCTCCAACGGCTACTGGCTGGCGGCGATGATGACCGCCAGCTCGATCGTCGCGGTGTGCACCGTCAACTACGTTTTCTTCACGACTTCGAGGATCGGCGCCAACATTCGGTCGCTAACGATGACGCTCGTCTTCGACAAGGCCTTACGCCTATCGAGTGCTTCAAGACAAGAGTACACACTCATGAGTGTGGACGCCGAGCGAGTCTTCACTGCTACGCTACAGAGTCCGTGGCACGTTATGGGCCCACTGGCTTTTGTCGTATCAATTGTGATGATTGGAGTGCTACTGGACGCGTACTCGGCGTTGGCGGGTGCGGTGGTGCTGGTTGTGGTAATGTGGATCACAGTCAAGCAGGGAGATCGTATTGCGCACTTACAGCGGAGGCTGCTGGAAGTCATTGAGAAGAGGGTCAAGGTCACGTCGGAAGCTCTTCAGGGCATCCGGGTCATGAAATACTACGCGTGGGAAGAACCGTTGGCCCAGCGCGTGGAGAAACTACGCGCTCGAGAGGTGGGCTTCCTGCGCAAATTCCACTCGTTCCAGGTGGTCAACACGGTCATGTTGTTCCTCACGCCGACGTACCTCTCAGGAGTGACGATGGGCTTGTACATGCTCATTCGGAACTATGTCACGGTCATCCAAGCTTTCACGCTCATTGCAATGGTCAACATTTGTCGTACGGCTCTGAACCAACTGCCCCAAGCGATCGGGGGATACTCCAAGGCCAAGATCTCGTTCGCGCGTATTGATCAGTACCTCGGAGCAGATGAAATTGCGGCCCAATACCTCATTCCGGCGCCTTCGTCACAGCCCTGCGGTGTCGATCGAGCTGTCGGTAGCGGGGTTATCTCGATTCGCGACGCTAGCTTCCGCTGGCCGGGTGCTTCGCCTGTGGAAAGCGTTGTTGTGGTTACCCCATCGATGGACGACGCACATGACGATGAAGTGGACAAGGCAATCGAAATCTTGGGCGTTCAAGATCCACAACAACCAAGCAGCCCAAGCGACTCGCTAGGCTTTAGGCTCGAAGGCGTCAACTTGGAGATTGAGCGCGGTTCACTAGTAATGTTCGTTGGTAAGGTGGGATCGGGCAAATCGAGTCTCGTGAACGCCATCCTCGGAGAAATGCCGCGAACTTCCGGCGTCCTGGAAGTCGGTGGGCGAGTGGCCTATGTCAGTCAAGACACCTGGATCCGCAACGCTACTCTCCGCGACAACATCCTCTTCGAGCAAGAGTACAACGAGGAGCGCTACGCACAAGTGCTGGATGCGTCGCAATTGGCCATGGATCTGCGGGCGCTACCCAACGGAGACGCAACGGAGATCGGTGAGCGTGGCATCAATCTGAGTGGAGGCCAGAAGGCTCGCGTGGCGATCGCGCGCGCGATGTATCGTTCTGGGACGGACGTGTTGGTTCTGGATGATCCGCTGAGTGAGTTGACCCGCATGTGGCTCATGCGATTTTCGACAAGTGCATCGTTGGTTTGGCAGCGGGCCAGACGCGGTTGCTGGTTTTGAATAGCCACTACGACTTGCTACCACACGCCGACTACGTCGTGGTTATGCAAGACGGTTTGATCGCATCGCAAGGATCGTATTCAGACGTGCTGGAGGCTTTCCCGAGTCTTGATGCACAGTTGAACTCGGCTGGTGTCGGTGAGTCTGGTGGGTTTCTTGAAGCCGCTGATACTCTGGAAGCCGTGTCTGTAAGTGCCGACGAGCTCACAAGTGAGGAGGAAATCGAAAGCGTGACTGAAGCGAGTGAATTCGAGCCCGCCGGACGATTAATTCACGATGAAGATCGAGTTCGAGGGTCTGTAGGAGGCCACGTGTACAAGACGTACTTCGACGAGTCTGGATTCAATGGAATTCTCGTTGCACTCGTGCTCAGCTTGGCGTACTGCGTGAGCCAAGCTGTACGAACCGTCGTCGACTGGTGGCCCGGCCACTGGGCACGAAACATGACTCGCTTCGGCGTCGATCCGTCTTACTCTGGAACCACATTCGGCATGTGGTACTTAGGGCTGATTGTGCTTTGTTCGGTCCTGACAATGGCGCGCGCGCTCACTCTGATCGCTTCGTGCATGCGTACGTCGCAGCGCCTGCACGACCAACTATTTCGCCGCGTGTTGGCGGCCCCGGTGACTCGATATTTCGATGTGACTCCAGTTGGCCGAATCCTCAACCGTTTCTCCAACGATCTGGACCAAATGGACGCCGTCCTCCCTGAAGAATACCAGCTCCTGTTCCAGAATGTGTCGATGGTGGTGGGCACTCTGGTTGTGTCAGCCTTCGCGTCCTACTGGATCGCTGTTCTGTACATTCCTCTCGTCGTCGTCTTCGAGTTCATGGGGGATCACTTCAAGAAGTCGCTCAAGCGGCTCGAAGGTATCACTCGGACGCCTGTTTACAACTTATTCAGCGAAACGCTGTCGGGTCTGGCCACGATTCGGGCCTTCAAGATGGAGCGCGCGTTCTCGGCTCGCAATCGGCAGGTTGTGGACCGGAACGGCAGTGTCTTCTTGAGCTACTGGGGCGCGGGCCGCTGGCTCGCTTGTCGTCTCGATCTGCTATCAGTGGTGATCATTTTTTCAGTCACCACGTATCTGGTGTCGGCCCGAGGCAAAGTGGGCGATCTCACGTCAGGAATTTCGCTAACATACTCGCTGATGCTCACGTCAGTCGTCCAATGGGTCATGCGGTCTGTTGACCGTACTGACAACGCCATGACGAGCGTCGAGCGTTTGCTACACTTCCGAGACATTGAAACTGAGGCCAACGATGGTGAAACGGTCTCTGACCTGGCCGGCTCGAGCTCCAACGCAGAGGGTTCACCGTGGCCGTCACAGGGTGCGATTCGCTTTGAAGGCCTGTGCCTCCGATACCGACCGGAACTCCCGCTCGTGCTCAAGGGCGTCGACATGGACGTCGCCGCCGGAGAGAAGGTCGGCATCTGCGGACGCACGGGCGCCGGCAAGTCCTCGCTCATAGTCGCGCTCTTCCGCATCTGCGACTTCGACAGCGGTCGCGTGCTCATCGACGACGTGGACATCTCGAGCGTGAACCTGCGCGAGCTGCGCCGCAGCCTGGCCATCATCCCGCAGGACCCCGTGCTGTTCAGCGGCCCGCTGCGAGAGAACCTGGACCCGTTCCACGAGTACGCGGACGAGCGCATCTGGCGCGTGCTGCAGCAGGTGCACATGGCCGAGAGTCTGCGTCGCTGGGGCGCGGGCCTCGACTTCGAGGTGGCCGAGGGCGGAGACAACCTGTCGGTGGGCCAGCGTCAGCTGATCTGCATCGGCCGCGCGCTGCTCAAGGACAGCAAGGTCGTTGTGCTGGACGAGGCCACGGCCAACGTCGACACGGCCACGGACGCGCTCATCCAGTCGACCATCCAGGACACGTTCCAGGCCAAGACGGTGCTCATCATCGCGCACCGCATCAACACCATCATGCACTGCGACAAGATCGCGGTGATGGATGCGGGCCGCGTGGCCGAGTTCGGCTCTCCTTTGGAGCTGCTAGCGAGGCCGCAGTCGGTGTTCCGCTGCGTTGGCCAAGCGATCGGGCACGGCGTAAGATGCTGGTGAAAAACTTGTCAGTGCGTTGTGAAGAGTAGCGATGTGCTTGAGAGTGCTGATAATAGCGCGGCTACACAAGCTATATATGGCAAAGAAGTCAAACTTCTTGAGCTTCATACGCTTTCATTGCCTCTGTGTAGACGCAATGCTCTGTCGTGCTACTTACCAAGTGACCGCGCAGATGCCTCATCCATGACATGATCGTCAACACATCGATAGGATGACCGAGGAATTGATGAACGGAGTGCAAAGGTAGGGCGCATTATAATCGTTTCAAGTGATAACCTGTGTTCATCTCATCAAATGCTGCGAGACAGGCTACTCATGCTGCCCAACAGCCTGCACACGGTGTGTCTGTGGTCCCCTCTCATTTGACAGAGCAGACCACTCAGTTCCGAATTTTCGTTTCACAACAAGCACTCGTCAACAGGTCGCTGACCCCAAGGAGGTTCCTCCCCGAGCTACTGCCATGAACCAGGCCCACTACGTCGAGGCACCCGATGCCCATGACTCAGCAAAACCATCGGCCACCCCTTTCAGTCAGCTACCGAATCCCCTAGCCAAGGCTTCGCTACCGTCGGTCGTCTTCGCTCAATGGATCCAGCCCATGATTTCGCTGGGCTCTCGCCGTGTGCTCGAGATCGAGGACATGTGGCCCGTGTGTCCTAGTGATGAGTCCGAGTCTCTGGAGAAGCGCTTCCGTCAAATGTACGAGCCGCACCGTCGATACATGTTTGGCTTGTCCCCGGTCTTTATGGCGTACGTGAAGGTGTTCAAGGCGGACCTCGCTGTTGTGCTTGCTGGGTGCGTCGTGTACGTGCTGGCGCTTGGACTTCAAACGTACGTGACGAGGGCTCTGCTCGAGTTCCTGAATGGGGAGGAGAACGTGTTTCACATTGAGAGCGGCTACTGGCTCATGGTGATGATGACGGGCAGTTCGTTCGTGGCTGTGTGCGTGCTGAACTACCTCTTCTTCGTCGACTCGCGCATTGGGTCCAACATGCGCACGCTCACAATGTCGCTCGTATACGACAACGCGCTGAAGTTGTCCAGTGCAGCCCGACACGACCGGCGAGATTTTGACTCTCATGAGCGTGGACACGGAGCGTGTCTTCACTGCCATGGTGCAGGCCGTGGCTCGTTATGGGACCTCTGGCGTTCGTTGTATCGTGCGTGTTGATCGCGTGTTGATCGGCTTCCTCTTCGACTTCTACGCCGCGCTTGCAGGTGCGGTCGTGCTTACCGCCGTTATGGTCATTTCCGTTCAACAAGGAGACCGCATTGCTGAGCTTCAAAGGCACTTGCTGCGAGTCATTGATGAACGCGTGAAGGTGACGTCCGAGGCGCTGCAGGGCATCCGCGTCATGAAATTCTATGCGTGGGAAGACTCGCTGGCCCAGCACGTGGAGAAGCTCCGAGTCCGAGAAGTGGGTCTGCTGCGCAAGTTCCACTCGTACCAGGTGATCAACACGGTCATGCTGTTCATCACGCCGACCTTCCTTTCGGGCGCTACACTGGGCGTGTACGTGTTGATTCGGCACACGATCACGGTGGTGGAGGCGTTCACGCTTGTGGCCATGGTCAATATCATTCGAGCTCCGCTCAGCCAACTGCCGCAAGCTGTCGCCGGTCTGTCGAAAGCCAAGATCGCTTACAGCCGCATCGATGCGTTCCTTGCCAGCGGTGAGGTTCCCTCGAAGTCAACTTTGCTCACAGCTTCAACTGAGAAGAGAGACAGCGCCGATGAATAAGGCACCGCTTCTTTCAGCCGATGATGCAGAAGAACGCGCTGCAGTCCGTCGTGGATACATCTGCATCCAAGACGGAACCTTTGAATGGCCAGCGAACATGACCGGTGGCGATATCGTTGTGGTAACACCAGCTGAAGACGACGAGATTGCGGACGAATATCAAGGGAAGGCTGTTTCAACAACCAGTGACAGCCCCGACGACCGGAGTGCCGGTAATGGCGGCTTCGAGCTAAACAACATCAACGTCCACATCGAAAGTGGCTCGCTAGTGATGATCGTTGGCAAGGTTGGATCGGGTAAGTCTAGTCTCGTGAACGCCATTCTCGGAGAAATGCCGCGGACGTCAGGCGTTCTTCAAGTCGGTGGACGCGTAGCTAACGTCAGCCAAGACACCTGGATCCGCAACGCTACACTGCGTGACAACATCCTCTTCGAGCAGGAGTACAACGAGGAGCGCTACGCACAAGTGCTGGATGCGTCGCAATTGGCCATGGATCTGAGAGCTCTTCCCAACGGAGACGCAACGGAGATCGGTGAGCGTGGCATCAATCTGAGTGGAGGCCAGAAGGCTCGCGTGGCGATCGCGCGCGCGATGTATCGTTCTGGGACGGACGTGTTGGTTCTGGATGATCCGCTGAGTGCAGTTGACCCGCATGTGGCTCATGCGATTTTCGACAAGTGCATCGTTGGTTTGGCAGCGGGCCAGACGCGGTTGTTGGTTTTGAATAGCCACTACGACTTACTACCACACGCGGACTACGTCGTGGTTATGTAAGACGGGGCAATCGCATCGCAGGGATCGTATGAAGAAGTTTTAGTCCAGTTCCCGCAGTTGACGATGGACCTTGTCAACGTTAGTAGTGATGGCAACGACACTGAAGTTACTGCCGGGCCAGATTCAACTACCAAGGCGCACGCGTCGGCGGATGATCAATCCAACGAAGCTACCGGTGAAGGTGAAGTGAAGGGTGAGACGGCGGAAGGAGAGACACATAAGTCGTCGGGACGGCTAATCCGAGCTGAGGATCGTGTGAAAGGCAAAGTTGGTGGGCACGTGTACAAGACCTACTTCAATGAGACCGGATTTAATGGGTTGGTTGTCATGGCCGTCATCATTGCTGCCTATCTCGCCGGCCAAGCTGCTCGTACTATTGTCGATTGGTGGCCGGGTCATTGGGCTCGCAACATGCCGCGCCGGGGTGTGGATCCGTCGTACTCGGGAACAACCTTCGGCATGTGGTATCTCGGCTTCCTCGTCCTTTGCACGGTGCTGTCCTTCGGTCGTGCGCTGATGATCATCGAGTCATGCGTTCTCTCGTCGCAGAATATGCACGACGAGCTGTTCCGACGGGTGTTGCGAGCTCCGGTGACGAGGTACTTTGACGTGACGCCCATGGGGCAGATCTTAAACCGCTTCTCGAATGACTTGGACCAAATGGACACGATGCTGCCGCAGGTACCAGTTGCTGCTCCAGAATGTGTCTTTGGCTTTTGGTGCGCTTGCAGTGTCGGCCTTTGCTTGGTACTGGATCGCGTTGACGTACATCCCGATCTTCTTCATCTTCCTCTACATCGGCCAATACTTCAAGAAGTCTTCCAGCGAGATCAAGCGGCTCGAGGGGGTGACGCGGACGCCCGTGTACAACCTCTTCAGCGAAACCTTATCGGGTCTGTCTACCATTCGAGCCTTCCGCATGGAGGACAGCTTCATCGAGCAGAATCGGCGTGTGGTCGACGCCAACTCCAATCTCTACTTCACCTACTGGGCTGCGAGTCGCTGGCTGGCAACGCGGCTGGACTTGCTGTCGGTGCTCATTATCTTCGTCGCCACGCTTTATCTCGTTGCTACCGCCGGGTCGGTCGGCTCGCTGACCTCAGGGCTCTCGCTCACGTACTCCCTGATGTTGACCTCAATGGTGCAGTGGGTCATGCGCTCGGTTGACCGCACCGATAACGCCATGACCAGTCCTACACTTCCGTACGATCGAAAACGAGGATTCTACCGGCAAAACCATCCGTGAACTGACATCCAATGATCACCGAGCAGATGAGAAGGCAACTCTGTCGTGGCCGTCGCGTGGCACGATTCGGTTTGACGGCCTGTGCCTCCGATACCGACCCGAACTCCCGCTCGTGCTCAAGGGCGTCGACATGGACGTCGCCGCCGGAGAGAAGGTCGGCATCTGCGGACGCACGGGCGCCGGCAAGTCCTCGCTCATGGTCGCGCTCTTCCGCATCTGCGACTTCGACAGCGGCCCCGTGCTCATCGACGACGTGGACATCTCGAGCGTGAACCTGCGCGAGCTGCGCCGCAGCCTGGCCATCATCCCGCAGGACCCCGTGCTGTTCAGCGGCCCGCTGCGAGAGAACCTGGACCCGTTCCACGAGTACGCGGACGAGCGCATCTGGCGCGTGCTGCAGCAGGTGCACATGGCCGAGAGTCTGCGTCGCTGGGGCGCGGGCCTCGACTTCGAGGTGGCCGAGGGCGGAGACAACCTGTCGGTGGGCCAGTGCCAGCTGATCTGCATCGGCCGCGCGCTGCTCAAGGACATGTGCTGGACGAGGCCACGGCCAACGTCGACACGGCCACGGACGCGCTCATCCAGTCGACTATCCAGGACACGTTCCAGGCCAAGACGGTGCTCATCATCGCGCACCGCATCAACACCATCATGCACTGCGACAAGATCGCGGTGATGGATGCGGGCCGCGTGGCCGAGTTCGGCTCTCCTTTGGAGCTGCTAGCGAGGCCGCAGTCGGTGTTCCGCTGCGTTGGCCAAGCGATCGGGCACGGCGTAAAACTTGTGAAAACTACATGTTCATGTGGCCAAGTACTAGTTGGTTTGATTGTTGGAGTTAACGTGCAATGAAAGGCTGACCTTACATGAATGACACCGCCTTCCTGGCTCCTTAGGGTTCCTCCGCGGCTAAGTGGAGATGGAATACGTCTTGGCGTTGCCTCGGGTGATGTCGGACGTCTTGTACAACTTGCCGTCGATAGTTATCGTGTTGGACTCACTGGGGTCGACGACGTTGAACACCGTGTTCCCGATCGCCATTGTTCCCGACTCTTGCAACGAGCCGCTGCCGGTGTCCAGACTGCCGCTGAGGCTCGAGTGCATCGGGCACGGCGCGGCTGCGGTCTCCTCAACGGTCGGTCTCAAATTTCGAGACGCCTGGAGGGGTGCCGAGCTGCCACCCGCGACCGCGAGGGCCACAACAATACAGACGACCATGAAAAGTTTGGTCATCGTGGAGAGGTTTGGTGGAGAGGACGGTGCGCGCACTTGGAGGTGTTTTGAATAATGAACGCATCGCGACAGATAAGCCCCAGACGCCTCCTACCCGGAACGCCTTCCACGATTAAGTCGGTGCTATCCTGGTAGAACCGCATTCTACAAAGAAACCAGCGCTAGCCAGGTTGAATCGGAAGGGCACCGTCGAAAGCTGTGCATACGCGCAACTTTTTCTGTCAGGTTGAAGTTGAAAGTACCGTACACGACACAGTTTAAGCCCGCACAGATATTCGGCCGGGCGTAACTTTCCGTCCTGACTTGTCGCCCCAAAGCGTCATTACGTCGGACGCGAACGATGGACGCCGAGCTGCTGCGGCGCGTGGGCTTCTTCTGCGCACTGTGGACGCTGCAGAGCTGCGCGACCGTGCTGGGGGCCATCTCGCGGGACGCCATCTTCCTGCGCTCCTACGCGGCCTCGAGCGTAGCGGGCCTAACTCTGGCGCTGTCACTGTCCACGGCCTACGCGCTGACGCTGGCGACGCAGCTGCTGGAGCGGCTGGCGGCGCGTCCTGTGCGTCCTGGAGTGTACTACGCAATCAGCCCGCTGGTCCTAGGCTCCGTCCTATTATGTCTCACTCTTCTGTCGCTAGTCGCGCCCCCATTGGCCCGCGCGACCTCGGTCCTACTGTACCTCTGGCTTGAAGTGTCGACCCAGTGGCTCACCCAGCAGTTCTGGGACCTGTGCGCCAAGGCCTTCGACGTGGCCCAGTCCAAGAAGTTCTTCGGGGTAATTACATTTGGGTCGACGTTCGGAAGTTTATTGGCCAGCTTTTTCGTCCTGCCAGTTATCCAGAGCAGGCAGCTGCCTACGGAGATGAACCTGCTGGTGGCTGCTGCAATCCTGTTCTTCATCGCCGGGGTCCTGCTGGTATCGGCCGGACACTTTGCATCTGCAGGATCAGGCCAAAATGCGTTTTCAAAGACGACGAAGAATAGGGCCCAGGATAAGTCCAAGGATCCTGCAGATGCGTCCTCCTCTGCGGCTATCATCGGGGATATCCAGGCCAGGACCTACTTGAAGCACATTTGCTTCTTCGACATGATGGCTACAGTCATGCGGGTTTTGGTGGACAATACGACGCTCTCGGTGGTGTCGCTGCAGCCAGAAGAGGAGGTCAAGGCCTCGCTGTCGATGATCAACGGACTGCAGAGCTTCCTCATGATCCCCATGCAACTTCTGTCGGGCTCGTTCTTCACGCATTTTGGAGTCATGTACGGCATTGCGATGCTGCCAGTGTCCATTTTCCTGTTCGGAGCTTCGACTTATGTTTCCAGTGTGGGTTTTGTTGTTTGTTTTGTTTTTGGAGTTGTGGAGCTATATATTTTTTTCTAATTGAAACCATTGCTTGTTGTATGCAGTCCGCTTACTCGCTGATTTTCACGCGAGCGCTGTACAATGCCGTCTCGCAGGCGATTTTCAACCCGGCGAGGCAGTTGCTGTGGCTGCCTTTCAACGAGAACGAGCGGGGTCGTTTCCAGAATTTCGTTTGCGGCCCGTTCCGCTCGCTATCTCGAATCTTTGGCGCTGTGCTGTCCATGGTTTTGACGGCGACCATTGTCGTCCACTTCATTGGAACGTCGTCGACGAGGTACGGGGCCAGAAACTTTTCATTTATTACGATGTAGGGAAATTCTAACATCTCCTCTGTATTTAGTGTGTTAATGATCGCGACGTCGGCAGCGTGGTTCGTTGATGCGCTGGCGGCCAGGAAGTCGTATGCGTCGGAGTTTTACGCCTCGTTACGACAGGGCTACTTGGATTTGACCTCCCCGCTTGTTGATTTCACACCTGACCAGGTAAGTCCTAAGTCTGATTTTATCCTGTCTGACTGGTTCTTACATTATTTTGCTTTGATGTGGATGTAGATTTTGCTGGTGAAGGAAACGTTGGTGAACGGCGAGCAGAACCAAGCCAACTTTGTGCTAAGCTCGTTATCCCACGAGCACATTGGTCTTTTCTCCCAGGTTAGTCAACTTGACCGTGTCCTGTACAGTTCACCATAGCTGACGCCTACCTTTTCTTGTATGAATAGGAACTGCGATCGCTGTTCTACAAGAAAAACCGAGATGGTCTACCTGTCACACCCATGCACACGAAGTTGCGCTTGCTGAACCTTCATACGGCCGCGAAGCGTGAGTTTGTGCTGCATGCCCAGGAATCGTATTTGCTTCCTGACTCGAGCACGTTCCCCACCGGAATATTCAACACGATGGACCTAATGATGCTGGTGAAGGACAAGTCGGTCGCGGTGCCACGCCAGCTCCGAGTTGCGGCGATTTTGGCGTGTGGCTACGAGAAGTTTAACATGAACGCGGACCAGTGCTCGGAGATGCTGCACAAGTTACTTCGTAGCGGCGACGAAGACAAGTCGGTGGTTGTATGCGCTGCTGTGGCGTTGCTACGGATCTCTGACTGGATGGATGAAGAGGCGAACGTTATTCTTCAGCGACTACTTCACGAAGAGAAGGTTCGTTCCTATCGTTTCTGGCTTAAGGATCGTCATAGCTTATGAGTATGATCCTTCTGTGTGTAGGTGCTGGAAGCGCGTGTTGTGGGCCTGAAAATTGTCGGCAAAGAGTTACCGGAGCTGTTAGGCGATGGGTTCCTGGTCTATCTTCTCCACCACTCGTCAACTCAGATTATTCAGGCCGCGGTGAAGTGTTGTACCAACAGCTCGCGCAACTCCCGAATGCTCATCCCGGCGTTGATGAAGCACCTGTCAAACTCGGTGCTGCGCTCTCAAATCGTGGCAGCGTTAAAAGGGTTTGAACCCGCTGCGTTATGGGGACCGCTATGCCAGTACACGGAAGAAATTCTGCAGTTGCCAACTCAAGGCCTGAGCAACTACGCGCTAGCTTCTGACCGGATCCACAGCAAGAGAGAGGGACTGGCAGGCGCACTCAAGGTTCTCGACCTCGGAGATTTCCCGTTTGAAGACAAGCTGGACTTCCTGCTACACCTGATTGAGACGCTGCTAGTGTCGTCCAAGTCGCCTGATGAGGAAGTGGTCGAGCCGAGCAGCAATACTGATGTCTTGCATCACCTTTTCGGGAAAGATGTCGTCATGGAAGAGCTGGTTGTTGACGCACTGCTATCGCTGGTAGGCAACGTATTACACCTATCCTGCATTGGTTTTGGTTGTGTGATTTTAACAGTGTTGGGCAATATGCAGGTTTCGTCGACAGATGAGAAGACTATGAACTCGTTTTCGCAGTTGATGGATCCTATTCACCACGCTTTGAGCATCAAGATCCGCGAGGCACATGAAATGCGTCACGTTCTGGAGCTATTTTTCCAGATTTGTCCGCGCACTGTCACAAACATCGAGGAGACTTCTCCGCTGCTATTACAGCACGTCGAGCACAGCTTGAAAGATACGCTTCGCCTCCTACTCAAGTTACTGTCTACAGGGTTTCCGAAGGAATTTGATGTCTCTGTCATTCTGGAAGGCTTGCAGTCCGATTTGGGCCAAGTCCACTCCGCCATTCAGGTATCGTGGAGTTTATCATATTATTATTTGCACCCTTAGTTGAGCGTGGTTGTTCACGTATTTGTTTTGTAGGAGGTGCTGGAGAATCTTCTCCCTTCGGCTTACAAAGGCTTGGTGCTACCTTTGCTTTTCCCGAAACTATCATCGACAAAGGCAGCGTCAAAGGTGCGCAATAAAGCGTTCTAATATGTTGTTATTGCTGTGCTGCACTAATAAATTGTGTTGGCGTAGATGGCGAAAAGCATCGTGGCGTTATTTGGTGGCAAGGACGGTGTGGACATTTTGCTGGACGTCATGAAACACCAGGAAACGGAGCTGGAGCTGTCAGCCCTCGCTCTCCAGTACTTCCTGCACATTGCTGGAGACCACAGCGAGCACCTCAACGATGCCGCGAAGCTAACGTTCCAGGACGAAATCATCCCGAGCTTGCTCAACTACGAGCTCACCAAGGAGCTGCTGATTGAAACGTATCACAGGTACGGAGTCACGTGCTGCGAACCCATCGATGACGTGCTACTGATCGTGACAATGTTATGCTGTGTAGCCGCCCGGAAGTTTTACCGTATGAGTCTGTTACGTCGCTTAAGGAGTGCGAGCCCCCACTACTGTCGCGCATCGCGGTACGAACGTAACCACATTGCCAACAAGATGGATAAAATACTCACAACTGTTGTGTTGTTACAGGTGGCAAACTGTCTGCGAGTGTCTTCGCTGTTTGAGAATGTGTGCGCGATCAGTATTTTACGGGTGATATCGCACCACTTCGTGCCGATGTCCGTGAAGCGCGGAGAAACGTTTGCTGCCGAAGGAGATATTGGTAACTTAGTGCTTGTATCCCCTCGTATTGATCCTAAGCACTAACCTTACATCTGTTGCCCATGCAGCATCTGCGATGTATGTCGTTGCTACAGGCACCGTCCAGCTCCACAAGGAGAGGAGGATTTTAGCCGAGCTGGGCTTTGGCACTTGTGTTGGGCAGGCTGCTCTGCTGCAGCACTCTCTGCACGCCGGAACGCACATTTCCTCCGCCACCGCCCTCACGGACTGCACCCTGCTCAGCATTTCACGGGAAGAGCTCGACGCTTTGATCAAGGAGACTCCGCAAGTGTCGCGAGGCGTGCTTAATGCAGTGGCCTCGTCTCTTCAGCTGCTGTACTTCGAGGTAAGTGCTGTCATACTTCTGCCGCGTAAGACCATTACTGACTTAGCCTTCACTCTTTGCCCAGCCTCTTCGCGCTATTGCTCAGTCTGGAAGTCTCCCTCGCCGTGACCGAAGGGCTTCTTTGACTGCGGAGACCGCACACTCGGACAGCGAAGCCGACCACCCGATGCTCAAGATGACCGAGTCGCTGACGACCAACATCAAGGCCGCGCTCTCAGTCGACCGAGCGGCCAAGTCGTTCCTGTACAACGTTGGCCGCTCTCGTACAGCCCCTCGCAGTGCGCCGTTGTCGCTACCAGGGGCCAGAGGCAGACGCCGGAGTCTCAGCAACTCGCAGCCGATCGGCCGGAGCTTGAGCTCGGATACCTTGACGTCCAAAGGGCTGCTCACGCTCTCAGACCCCGCCGACTACACAACGTTCGAGAAGTGCATCCACCTGAAGGCGTCGCACCTGATGAGGAACCTCGACGACGAGAAGGTCTCGCTTGTGGCGCTATTATCAAGAGTTGTGGTGTTCGGGCACGGAGACGTGCTGTACTCGAACGGCGCGAAGGTGGACTGTGTCTATGTTATCATCGACGGCACGATGGAGATTGCTAGCGCACAAGGCGACGCAGCTAGTGACTCGGCACAAACGGCGACCTCGATCAAGCTTCACGATGGCGACTGCTTCGGAGAAGAGGTACGTACATACGCAGCTTAGTTGGCTTATCTTGTGTGTTTCTGCTAACTGAACTGGTGCCTCTGCAGTCCTTCGTGCCCAACGCCACTGCGCATGGCGTGGCGTCAACGGTTGGCCGATGCACGCTCTTCGAGATCACGACCAAGGAGCTCATCGACTTGAGCGAGCTGCACCACGACATCATGCACGTTCTGCTGGCGTGGCTCTCGCAGACGCTGGCCGAGTCGACCAAGACGATGATCGCCCCTCTGCTCTCCCCGACGACTGCCAGTGCCCCCGCCGTGTTCTGGGAAGACGAAGAGGAAGCTTCGGAGCTCAGGAACCGCATCGGCAAGTGGAGAGCGGAGACGGATTAAGCGCCATAAAGTCTAGATTCAAATAGAATGGGGAGCTAGTGCATTTTACTCAAAGGAGTACATCCGACGGGGGTTTGTCCTCAGTCAGCGGTGTCAGGTGCAGGTTTTCGTAGACTGGCAGGTACGACACGAAATGCTGCAGCAAGTCGAACGCGGGGTCGCAGTAGCACGGGAGGTCGAAACGCGTGGAGCCGGCGAGGAAGACGTCGACCCCTTCGTCCGTCTTGCTCACGCGCGCGGCCATCACGAACTTGTTGTGCATGTTGAGCTTGCTCATCTGCAGTCCGAGGTCCAGCTTCACGGGCGGAGCGGTGTTCGGGATGACCGAGTCGCCAGTCGCGTCCGCCACAAAGGTGCACAGGTAGTGGTCGTGCACAGCCTCCATGGAAACTTCCCACGAATTTTCCTCCCCATTATCGTCGCGAGTCGAGCTGATAGCCTCCACGGTCGCTACTGCCTGTTGATTCATTTCTTGCGAAAGCTGGAGCACTCGACACGTCAGAGAGCAGTCGGCCTCCTGGTGGGTGACGATCGAGTCTTGGACGAGCGGCACAAAGGTGCGGAAGATTTCATCACTTTCAACAAAGTTCCACACCGCCATAGCCACCTCCTTGGCCTTACTGTCCAGCTCAGCAGGCAGCACCCGGTGGCATTTAAAGCCCATGTGGTCGTTCACCAGTGTCCCCGTTGCGATCTCCCACCCGTGCGACTCGAACTGCAGCGCCAACCGGATGAAAGTTTGATCGCCCGTTGCATCTCGCAGGAGTCTTGCAGCATTTTCTTGGCAGATGATCACGGCAGCTCGCAGGCGTTCGTCCAGTATCAAGCGAGAATGAGGGGGCTCACCCCTCCACTCGTCAAGTGACTTGAGACTCCGTTGCCGCATTGCGTCTGCGTCCCCTTGCTCGTCGCCCGCAGCTACAGCAAAGTTCAGAAGCGGCGCCGTCTCCATCAAACTGCTAACGCGTTGCAGCCAGTGCGCATGCTCAGCCAACTTCCGCATCATTGTGGCTACAGTTTGCTTCACTTCAATACAATTCTTCCCGATTTCATGGGTCGAATTAGTCGGTGAAGAGGCCAACCGCTCCTTCACCTCAGCGATCTCCTGCTGCAGCTTGTCAATCTGCGCCTGGTATTCGTTGGGCTCCACCCTCTGCTTCTTCTGCGCGTGCTGACTGGCGTCTTGCTCATAAATATCACTCTCCTCCTCTTCATCCTTCTGCTCTCCCGGGCTAGTGTGTTGCGGCTCCGGTACATTCTCGTCCACAATCTCTTCGTGGGCCCTTTGCAGCGTTTCCGAAGGCAGGCTGTCCTGGTTGTTGGGATTCGACGACGACGAAAGGTACTCCATGGTCATCGAGCTGTTCGAGAACTGAGCCCAGCATATCGTTAGGTCTCTTCCCTTCGGCATTTTTACTGCGATTCAATCCTAGCGATACCTGGGACAAGCATCTCGAGTCTGGGACGAGCGCAATAGCGCCATCACGCTATCAATAATGATTGATGGACATCTAGGCCAATGGCTTCTTTCCTGTCCGCAACACATTTGTCGTTGAACAAGACGTAGTGTCCCCATGGCAAATTTTCGCACCTGAAGACATCTCAGCCGTTGAACATCGCCGCCGTTGAAATCGTCAAAGCCATCGAAATCTTCGGGATTCGTCGCTTCAAATCAACGCATGGCGCCATCCAGCTCAACGGTAATGGCGGCTCCCACGACGCAAGAAAAGCACTGTCGAAACTTGTTGCGATGAACACAGCCGCAACCTCCGCCGGTCCCACCCGTTGGGAGACAAACACTTTCGATATCTGGCAATTGTTAGAATCGGATTGCACAATACGCTCGCCGGCTACAGATCTCAACTAATGATGCAGCTACTTGCGCTGCCTGAGGCAGACAGCTTGGACTGCTGTAGCAGCTCCTCTACCTGCGCCTTGTCACTGGCAGCTTCCTCCTCCGTGCTAGCTCCGTTGCCGGTTGCATCCGACGGCTGCGGTGGGAAAAGCTGCTCAATCGATACTTTAGCGGTGTCACGTCTGCGATAAAATAGTATGTACGCCATCGAGGACACAACCTCTTTCTCGTCGATGTCCTTGCACTGATGGTCATTGAAGCACTTCCACTTGCCATCATGATCGCTCAATATGTATGCGAAGTAGTGTCCTCCCCCCAAAGCACCAACGTGGTTCACAACGGCATACAAATCGTACAGGAATCCGTCATCACCACGAACTGCAGCTGTAGCCGAAGCTGGTGCATCCAGCACTGACGACGACACTCGGCGCGGGCTACCAGGTCTTGTTTGCTTTGAGTTCCCACTAGCCGATGGAGAATCAGACTTGCTTTCGCTTGGCTTCGCCTTTAGTTTGCCACCTAAGAACAGCCAATACTCCAGGCCAGATAAGCGACCGCGCGCTTCACGCTTCCGAGCAACAAAGTCATCAAACTGTAGCCCTTTCAGCGGGAAGTCCACAAGATGGTGCAACTTGCGTCGCGACACTTGAGTGAAGCAGAACCGCTTCAGATGGATCACCAACAGCGGAGGCAGGCGCCACAGATCCATCTTCTTGGTAGCGGGACGCAATGTTTTGCAGTGTCCACAGTAAGCTTCCGGGATTGTCTCCTTGGCCGTGAACATCTCCATACAATGCGCCAGGTTGAGAGGCTGGTTGTCTTGTCGCTGGTGTTGCTGCACAGACGCGTCAAAATCCATTTTACTAGCTTGAATCGGGTCGTACTCTTCCTTAAGTGTCCGGATATCCCAATCAATTGCCACGGTTTCCTCCGCCGCTAATGGGATGACAGTCTGTGCGGATGGTATAAGCACGCAGCCCAAACACCCATCGAGCCACTCACAGCGAGAACATCCAATTCCATGAGACGTCACAAGTCGCAAACAGAATCCAAACTTTGTCAACGCGAGGTGTTCTCCAAGCGCCAATGACGATGCATCCGTCCGGACTCGCTTGTGATTCTGGGTCTTCGTATCAAAATATGACGGTGGCGGAGGCTGTTGCCAGTTGAAAATGCGGCGAAGTCGTTTCCATACGAGCACGTATAGGTTGTAGGCCGTTGTAACGCGCAGGGATACGCGAATAACCAACGGAGCACCAAATAGCCGGGTGATATGCGCGTTCGTAAAACTGTCTGTCGAACGCTCCACCCGGCGATGTACAAGGAATACGAACGCATCGCTTTGACGACGCTCGATCACTTTCGATAGCGGGATATGATACCGTCGAACGCCCGAGGGATATGCCACATTAATCGTGCCGGAGTTGGTACTGCTCCCGATGACACGAGCAGGCACCAAATCTTTGGTTTTGTCAACGCGGACGTAGACCGGCGCCCCCAGCGGCAATAGTTCATCTTCGTCTTCTTCTTCACTCTCACCTTGCAGTTCTTCTTCAGTTGTGCTTTGATCGCTAGCTCTTCGATCCACCATTGACGAAGATACTCCGTTCACTCCATTTTGCGGTTCATGTTCAGCATCGCCGTCGCTTATGGCTTTTAAAGGTAGATCCTTTACCATCGAGTCTGACTCATTCGTTTTGTCAACGTCATCGGGTGTTTGCTCAGTAAGCGCTTCCGCCCTGTTCGTTGCCCCAGGAGAAACCAGCCGCGGTGGAAGTAAGTCCTCGTCACGATCAAGTTCGAATGCAGTCAGCTGATCTTTCTCGTGAATCTGCGTTAGCGGAAGTTTGTCATCCAGAAGCAGTTCCACTGTGTGCGCATTTGAGGTCCGCGCGATCACAACTCCCATCCAGTCCCCTTCACTGGTGGATCCATCAGCGCTGCTAGCTTCCTCATCTGGTGGAGTTGGATCCGTGTTCTCCTTCTCGGTTTTCTTCAAAAATGCTGCGACCTGTTCCTTCATTTGCTGGACTGTATCACCATTCTGTACTCGCACCGAAAAACGCAGGGGTACGCGGTCGGTGCGGAAGATTATCGTCAGCACAATAGATCGCGAACTGCTCTCAGGCAACGATAGCTGAAGAAAGGTAAAAGGCTCGAAGCGTGCCGACTCGTACCGACATATTGAGCACTCCAACAAGCTCTTGTACTGACCAGTAAACAGCGCAACAATCACCGAGAATTCCCGTTTTTGGTGGTTCTGCCACCACTCTTCTGCTACCAAAGCGTCCGGTCGACCATCGCTATCGGGTTGCTCGGTGTAGGGTTTCTTCACAACTCGATTAAGATCTTCACTGAGACTGCTCAGCAAACATGCCAGCAACTCCTGCGCATCGTGCTGGTCCGATCCGGCAAACTGCGGGTTGCATTTTGCAAGTACCTTCTTAAACTCGTTCGGTGCGAAGCGTTTGCGGTCAGAAGTCCAGAGAACTCGAAGCAACTCGCCGAACGCTGCAGTCAGCTTTCCGTTGGTGCCGTCACGATTACGCAGATTAATGTCCTTCAGATATGCTTCGTTCTTGAAATATTCAACCAGCAGTCGCGTGTGGCTCAGACATTGAAGCGCACTACTCATGTAGCACGTGTTGCCAAGATTGTCCAGCCCCACCAAGCCTGGGCCTGTGAATGCATCTTTAGAAAAACGTTTTCGCACAACAGGTGATGCAAGCACTGGGTCCACTTCAATTGTTGGAGAGCCAGCATCGCTTCCAGGGTCTGCATGCGATAACAAATAATGTAAGTTGACAAAACATTTCCAACGCTACATTGTTGTGGCAATAACCGCACGTACCTCGATGCGCCAAAGTCTCGCCGAGGTTGCCTCGGGAACAAATGTCAGAAGTTCGTAATGAAGGACGGTGTTGGAGCTGTCGTTTCCGTGAGGAAGCACCAGCTGCGTCACTTTCATTAACATTGCCATTGCCCTGTGTTGGCTGTCGAACACCGTTACTCGATGGCGAAGAAGTAATTGTGTCACTGGTTTGGGAGAGGGGCCATGACCCGTCATCGTCTTGCACTTCAAGCAGAAAGACACTGTCTTGAGTCAACTTTCTCAGTTCAAGAGGGTACTCGTCACGTAGTCGTATCTTGTGCTCTGGTGTCTTCTCGTTGAAATACCACAATCGCGCCTTGTCAATTAACTTCTGCAACAGCAGCGCGCGGCAAGTAGCCTCAAGAAGACTAGCGGGTGTACTCAATTCACTGAGCAGAATCTCTTCGCCGGATCGCATCACACTACCGTTTGCGGGATCAACTCGTGCGACGCGCAGTACCAACGGGAACAATTCGAGTTGAAGTTCTGGCTCCGACTTCGTAGGAACTTCGACGATTGAACGCACCAAGTCAGGTCCTCCATTATACCACGAGAATAAAACTGCGTAGACCGGCGATGGAATCATCTGCAATACGAGACAAAAATCGTCAGGCCTAATTGCATCAATATTACCAAAGTACCTTCAATCGCGCTTACATAATAATCGTGGGCCAGAACAAGCTTTTGTTTTAGCCGTCGGGATCCGCTCTGCATGAGAAGACCCCAATTGGCAATCGGCCCGGGTCTGGGCGGTCGACTTGCACCGCTATCACCGCTAAACCTAGCGGCGCGTAATGCAATGTTGCCACGGATGTTTTGGGCCATCTCGACGGCAGTATTCGGGGGAATTCGCGGTACAGGCAGCGATCCATACGGGCTCCCATTCCTCGGATCCATGTTCACGTAGTCACACCATTTTCGCCACCACTCCGCACCAACCAAATTCCAAGTCTGACCGCAACAAACAGTAAATGAACATCACGCACACCTTCGTGGGTCAACTAGCAATAATATCGCACCGCTTCAGGAAAAAATAACGTACTTGTCCGATGCCAAACACACGAGTTGCATCTCGCCAGTGCCACTCCACTATCCGCTTCTCCAGATAAGCTGACTCTGGCTTCAGGCCGAACACGATGCACGCTGCGAAGGCCAACTGGTCAAGCAAGCGCTGTACTGCAACTGCTTCCGCCGCCCACCGAGCAAACGCTTCTTCGTCCCACCCTGCCTCTGCAGTCTGCGTCGCCGAGATCTGCACGGACGGTATCAGCCACACCCATTTGTCAGTATACGACCTCAAAAAGTCAGCTACGAAAGCGCTTCACCTCTTCGACGAGTCGTTCTTCCTCTTGTTCTGCATCAACCTTGGCCTCATTCGCGTCGCAATGCACTCCAACATGAATCAGCTCCTGCATTGCGCCAAAATCCACCCTCACGGTCGTGCTTCGGTCACTGTAAATCTGAAAGAGGTGGTGCACTTTGCTGTCCCTCGATCCCCCGCGGCAGAAGTCGGACAAGAACTGGCAAAACTCCTCGAACAGCACGAGCTCCGGCATGGCCGTGCACGCGCAGAACCTTTGTAGCAGCTCCTCGGGGAACAGTCCTCTCGCGCTCAGCACCTCCACGAACTGGCTGCTGGGTATCCTGGTGCTGGCGCCTCCCTTCGGGTCGAACATCTTCTGGAACTGCCTCTCGAGCGCCGTCACCTCCGTCAGCGAGAACCTCGTGGCCTGCGCGATCCTGCGTCTAATAGCCACGGGGTTGTACGTCTTCTCGAGCGCCAGGATCTGCGGGTCGTCCTCGATGCCGATCTTGGCGGCCAGCACGGCCAGCCACTTGACGAGCAGCGCGTCGCCGCGCTCGTCCTTCTCCTGCACGACGCGGCGGAACTCGTGCAGGTCCAGCACGGCCCGGCCGTCGAAGAGCCTGTCCAGGAAGCGCACGGTGGAGGCGTGCCTGGCCCGCGTGCGGCCGTAGATGACGTCCATGAAGCGGTCCAGCACCTCGCGCGAGACCTCGCCGGCCGCGTCCAGGTCGTAGATGATGAAGAGCAGCTGCACCTGCTCCTCGTACGAGCCGTGCTTGAGCCAGGCCAGGCCGCTCAGCACGTTGGCCAGGCTCAGCTCGCCCGAGTGCTCCGTGTCCAGCACCTCGAACAGCCGGTCGGACAGCGAGTGCGGGATCATGGTGAAGGCGCCCAGCACCTTGTTGCGGAAGAGCTTCTTGGTGAGCAGCGGGCCGTTGGCGGCCGCTTCCGTTGCTGCAGCGGCGGCGGAGGCTCCGCTTAAGTTGCTGCTACTGCCGTTGGACGCGGACGAGCTCGCGCGCCGCGGCAGGAAGGCCGGCGCAGGAGTGTTGGTCGCTGCAGAGGAGGAGGACGCTGAGCCCTCCACGCGGCAGATGCGCCGGTAGCCGTCCGTGAAGCGCTTGACCTCGGCGTCCGACAGCCGCGCCACGTACGCGTCCATGAGGCGCGCGTCGCCCGCGGACGCGGACGCGGACGCCCCCTCGCCCATACTCATGACGTTCCCCATGCCGGACGGACGGCCTTCTTCGGACACTGATCTTTTGTATGAGGGAGGCGCGCTGCTCTTCAATACACAAGAGAACACACCAAGCGTACATGAAAATGGTGTGGGAACTATGTGCGTGTCAACAATATTGTGTGCACTTGGTGTAAGATCACCTTGCTGCATTTTTTAACACATTTCCCCCAACCCTGGCTCAAAGGCGCCCGAGAGCCTCCCATTCCATTGCCATCGTCGCAGTGATGCTGGCTCGGCGAGGAGGACGCGCGTGCGCGCTGCGGATCGCCAGCGAGCTGCTGCGGCCGTCCGCGACTCACGCGGGAGTCGCTAGCACCCGCGCGTGGGGGGCGTCGTCGTCGCTGTCGGCGTGGAGTCGCTCCAGCTTCGCCTTATTAGCGTCAGGATCCCCGTCGACACTTCCGCCGTTCGGCGCGCGCTTTGTGTCGCAGAGCGTCGTCAACTACGAGGAGGAGCAGGACGCCGCGCACCAGCAGCAGCCTCAGGACGAGCCCAAGGAGTCCAAGCGCCGCGAGCACAAGCCGCCGCGCGACACGAGCCTCGTGTCGCTCGAGCGCCTGGAGGACGAGTACATGACGCGCCTCACGGAGGCGCTGGAGACCACGGACGGCTCGGCCGCCTGGCGCACGGCGCTCGACATCTTCCGCGAGATCAAGCACTCGCGCGGCCGCGGGCTGTCGCTCGAGGTCGCGTCCTTCCTCGTGGAGGTGCTGGGCGCGCGCCGCCGCGTGCAGGACTGCATGCGCGTGCTGGCCTACTCGCGCGAGCAGGGCGTGCGGCCGCGCATCCAGTCGTACTCGAGCGCCATCGGCTGCTGCTACAAGGAGGAGCAGTACGCGCACGCGCTGCGCGTGTTCGAGGTCATGCGCAACGACGGCTACATCCCGCAGACCGTCACGTACTCGCACGCGCTGTCGTCGGCGCTCAAGGCCGGCCAGCACGAGCTCGTGCTCGAGATCTTCGACGACATGATCAAGAACCGCCTCGACCTCAATATCGTCATCTACAACAACATCCTCAACAGCTGCGCGCGCGCCGCCGACGTGCAGTCGGCGCTCGGCGTGCTGCGGGCCATCCGCCAGCGCCGGCTCGAGATGACGCAGGCCACGTACCATTCGCTGGCCATCTGCGCCGGCAAGACGGGCAAGTGGGAACTCGCGCTGGACGCCATGAGCATCATGCAGAAGGAGGGCTTCGAGCCCACGTCCACCATCTACAACTCGGTCTTCTCGGCGTGCGCCAAGGGCAAGCAGTGGGAGACCGTGGTGGAGGTGTACGAGACGATGCCCAAAGAGCTGCGCGAGAGTCTGCGCGGAGTGTACCTGGGCGCGGTGATCATGGGCCACGCCAAGTCCGAGAGCGAGGAGCTCAAGCTGCGCGGCCTGGACATCTTTTACAAGTATAAGGCGCGACGATCGAAGGACGAGCAGCCCAACTTCTTCGCGTACAACGCCGCTCTCATCGCGCTGCTGGAGACCAACCAGCTCGAGAAGATGCACCCCCTCGCCAACGAGATGAAGAAGCAGGGGATGAAGTGGGACACCGTGACGTACCAGTGCTTGATCCTGTCCTACATCCGCGGCGGCGCCGTGGAGACGGCGGTGCAAATGCTGCAGAAGAACGCCAAGCGCATGGGCAAGACCACCATGTGCTACCGCGAGGCCATCGAGTTCTACGACGAGAAGCGCAAGAACCCGCGCGAGGCCGTCCGCCTCACGATGCAGATGATGCAGGTGAACAAGCGTCTGAGCCGCCTTGACTGGCACAATGCGCTGCGCATCGCGCTGCAGCTGCCGGAGCGCGCGCCGTACTGGAATTTCCGCAAGTGGATGGACATCCGCGCCAAGAGTATCATCGACGACGTGCCGCCGCACCTCATGCTGCCCACGCACGCGGACCAGCACCGCGCGCTCCTGCAAGAAGCCGAGTCGGGCGAGGAGCTTCCCGAGACGAAGCACGTGCAAGACGACTACCACTCGCGCAAACGCAAGCTCAACCGCAGGAACACCGACTTCGACGAAGTAAAGCTCCTGTAAAGCGTTAGACCTTTTGCCTATTTCAGTGTTACATTGTTACAGTACGCCACCCGGGTGGCTCACCCCGTCAAGCCTATCGCTTCTCTTCGGCGGGGCCATGCATGCTCGCTGTAACCCGAGAACTACACTACCAACCACAACTGCGCTACACCATTCACTGCGTAAACCGAGAGAGAGCCCGCGCACACGAACCGCAGAATGTTATAGGCCGCGTTCTCGTCTCGTCCAGCCAGGAAGCCGTAGTGCGGGCACCGGAATACATCTTCGTTACGCCGTGTGAGGTGGAGGCGGCAGCAGCGGCCACAGGTGCGGCTCGAGTACATTTCAGAGCACATCACCATGGCCCTGCCCGCCACCTCGCACTTCGCCTGCAGTTTCTGCCGGAACTGGTGGTGGGCCAGCGTGTTCATCTGGTCGTTAAACGCGTGTGTCCACGGGGCACTTGAGCGCAACATGGACGAAGTCGAGAATTTGGGCAGCAGTATCACGTCCGTGTTGTGGCACAGGTGCGAAGCTGCCTTGCAGTGAAGGTCCTTCACGTAGTTGTCCAGCTTGGCCGTCACCGTGTAGAACTCGCGGCGAGCTGCCACGAACTGCTTCCACTCTCGGCCTGTGTGGCGGCCGAGGTGGTGGCGCTTGCGGTTGCTCATTCGGCGTTGGGCCGCTCGCTGGCGGACCTTCAGCTTCAACAGCCGCTCCCAGTTGGCGCGGCCAAGGTGGGCGATGTTGCCCTGCAGGTCCATCGTGGTCAGGAACCCCTTGAGACCCGGGTCCCCCGCTGTGCAGCGCCCTTTGTCCTCCACGGGCAGAGGAGCGACCACGTGCGGCATTTGGGCGTACCAGTATCCACGATGCGCACCTCGCCCTCGATCTCCGTGCCCTCGTCCGCTCTGATGAGGATGTTGGGTACGGAGGGGATCGTTAGGTACTGATCCACCTTCTTAAGCTTGCGGTCCCGGGGAAGTGGCGCTGGACCAAAGTGCCGCGTGCCCCTGCGGTGTCGTGCTGAGTTGAGGTGAGTCTTCTCCGCGTCTGCGTATATTGTCAAGTAGTTGCTCTCCCGTCTGGACTTGAAGTGCATGTTGATGTGGGTGATGTGGCCGCGCGCCAGGTTCGTGAAGGCCGCGCTGGTGGCGGACACGAAGTTACTGACGGCGTGCTTTCTCACGGAGGAGGGTGTCTCCAGCACCCACTCGGGGACCGGCCCCTTGTCTTCCGGGTACTCCAGCGGGACTTGGCGCTGCCTGGGCCGCGCTACGAAGAGCTTGCGCCGGTAGTCGACGCACTTGTTGTGCGTGTACCGGCACGCGTCCATCGTTTTCTTGAGCTGCCGGGCCTGCTCGGGCGTCGGCTTCAGTCGAAACTGGCGGACGTGCCTGATGAGCAACGCGTCCTCGGACTCGAGCAGCTTCATCTCGTTCCTGAGCTGGGACTTCTCCTGCTCGAGGGCGCTCTCCTGTGAACGCGTCACGCGTGATGCCTTCAAACGCGCGTTCACAGTTTTTATCTGGGCTCGAACTTCCTTTTCGCGCTTCTTGCGCTGCACACGCGTGTTGTACGCGTCGATCTTGAGCTGCTGCGCTTGAGGATCAACGCCCCAGTCAGCACGGTTAAGACGCTGGCGGACATCTTGCCGCGTGTTCTCAATGGGGCGAAGGTTGCTCCACTCGACCATCGCAGCCCAGGACCGAAAGCGCAAGTTGGGCTGCAGCGCTGCCTCGTCGACCTCCAGGAGTTCCCCGCGCTGTAGCACCGCGCGATACGGGTCACCGAAGATGGCGTCCATGCTCTGCTGCGTCTCCGCGCTCAGGCGCTGTGAGAGCGGGGCGAACGCCTGGAACGAGCCCAACAGTGAGTGCACAACCAAATGGCTCAGTACGTCCAGTAGCACCGCCCAGTCGAAAGTGGGCTCTCTCACTCGATCCTGCTCCTCGCGCACTGCGTCGTCCTGTTCTTGGCCTCGTTGCTGGACTTGCTGCCGTCGGTCTCGCTCAGCTTTATTTCGTGGGCTGCCCCGCCATCACTGCAAGCAGGTGAATCTGGTGCCGACTCTCTTATTCCATCCAGTCTTTCTCGACTCCCAGGTGAACGCCACCCAGGACGCGATTCGAACACCACCTTCATTTCCAGATTCGCCCTGGAAGGAACGCACACTTTCCCGACTTCATTCGTTCAAAGCCACTGCCATACAATGCAGAAGAGCATAGCACTCTTCTTAGCCTTGATGCTCTGCATCGCTGTAGTGCAGGGGCACAGCTGGATCGACTGCCTCGACACCGACCGCACCGTCGTCTACAACCGCGGACCCGAGTACATCTTCGGCGGAGACAAAGCGAACGGCATGTGCGCAGGCTACATGAAGAACTACCCGGGCCGGGGCGACACCGACATCAACAATGACATGACGTTCAAGATCCTGATCGCCGACGTGGCCAAGAACGCAGCGGTGTGCACGACCGCAGCCTGGGACTATTCAGGTTGGCGGCATCGCCTCTCGTTGACCGCCGGCTCCACCTTCTACTTCGGCTACACGTCCAATGGCCACATCGTCAAGGAGCACGCGGCAGGCAAGACCTTCTACGGCGTGTACTGGACGGGTGTCCCCGGCACAAGTCTGCAGACGACGTTCGACCTGACCTCGGACAAGCTCATCGACGGCCAGCTCCACAACTTTGACGACGGCAACTGCGGTGAAGCGTACAGCGACGAAGCTCAGACGATTCCGTCGGGACGTGCTGGAGGCGGATACCCGTGCATTGGCACGTGCACGATGCCTGTTGGCACTGCTCCTGGGGTGTACAACCTCGTTTGGTTCTGGAAGTTCTACGATGCCGACACCAACACGTCAATCCCCACGAGCAGCGGAATCTACGGAGGCGCCGCTTACACGAGCTGCTTCCAAGTCGAGGTCACTGCTTAGGCAGTCAAGAGCCGAGCAGATAGCCTCGAGATCACCACCGTAGCGTTCGATCACGTGTAGTACTTCGTCTAATGCATTCTAACTAGTCCGACAAGAAGACTGTGAGTCTGCATAGCAACCCAGATAAACAAAAAGACCAATGAATCTAACTATCGTCCGATAAGAAGAATGGAGGAGCAAAGCTCGCTTAGCTCTTGTGGGCCTTGCGCAGTGCGATAATGGCGGCGCAAGTGCAGATGATGACGGCGCCCACGACACTCCAGAAGTTGATGTTCTCGCCGAGCAGCAGGTAGTCCCAGATGAAGACGCACACCACGTCCAGGTAGCGCATCACCGACGCGATACCGGCCTTCTCGAGCTGGAAGCCCTTGGTCAGCAGCAGCTGCCCCACGAACGTGAACACGCCGCTGCCGAACACGCAGAGCCACACGCCGAGCGTCGACGGAACCACGAACACGCGCTGCACCAGCAGCATGTAGGCGAGCGATCCGAGCATGCTGAAGAGCATAAAATAGTGAACAATGACCATGAAGTCGATCCCCTTGAGCTTGCGCACAGTGATGAACACGAACGCCTGGCCGATGGCGCCCAGCATGGCCGATCCGATGGCAATCCACGAGCCGTCCGACTGCGCAGTGGCGTGGTCGTATCCGAAGATGAACCCGGGACGCACGACGCAGATCAAGCCGGCGAAGGACAGCACGGCACACGCGAAGCTGGGGATGTCGATGCGCTCATGCAGCAGGCATGCTCCCAGGAAGAAGGTCCACACGGGGGAGGTGAAGACGATGCAGCTGCTGTCCGCGAGCACCATTTGCGAGAGCGCGTAGAAGGCGAACGAGATGGACGAGAAGCCCGCCAGGCAGCGGTAGAACAGCATCTTGCGCTCCTCCGGGGCCACGTACAGCGTTTTGCCACTGCACCTGATGCACACCTGTAGGTCTCGTCAGCAATTGAATCCCCTCCATCGCATCCACATCCAGTGTAGTCACTTACATAGTTGAGGGCCATGGCCACGATGGAGCGCCAGAAGATGGCCTCGATGGACGTCATGGTGTACGTGTTAAACTTGACCATGGTCGACATGAGCGAGAAGCACACGGCCGAGAGCGCCACGCATGAGATGCCCAGCAGCTTGTGCGGTTGGTTCTCGTCCTTGACGTCCGCCGCAGTGGTCGGCAGTAACGGCCGGTCCTCCGATACGCGCTTCTCCGTTCCGATGGACATGCTTACTGTAACGCGATCAATGCTTCGAGGAGAGGGGAGCTGTCTGCGCTGCACGCGGCGGATTGATGAGTGACGACGTACTTGGTCCGTGACAATCCCAACGGCTGGGGAGTTTGGCCAATCAACTGGTGTCGTATTCGTCGATGGCATTCCTCGTGGCTTGTCTTGCTTGATGAACACTTTGTTTGACGAATAGCGGAAGAGGGTGTGTAGTGGGGCGACGGTATTCACGACCTGACCACGCATCGGGCTGGCGACCGAGGACGGTCCCAGTCGAGGCTGGTGTAAGATAAGACTCGGAGGTTGGTAGGCCCCAGGAGGATAGCTACATAGTGCAGTGGAGGTATCTGACGAAGTCCCTGCCGATCTCAATCTGGAAATTGCAGACTAGAATACAAGCAAGAGTTTACAGGAAGCACCAGCTTCCCTAGCGAGTGTGTTCATTCGGATCCCACTACAAAGTTAACTTTAGTGTCGAAGGAAACGACATGGACAACGGAACGACGTCGACGGATGCGACTCCTGCTGCCGCTGCGACTCAGCAGGCGGCTAGCACGGGTCGAACCCTGCGGCCAAGGAAGACTGCGGCTGCATCAACGAAGCAAGCAGGCCAAGCCAGGCCAACAAGAGGCAAGAAACCTGTGCGCACTGCTGGCGCGAGTAGAGCTCGGCAGCAGGAGACCGAGTCGGTCCCGGTGGGGTTGGGAGGTCGCTCGATGCCGCTGACGACCAGTCAGGAGACCGACTACCCTTCGGTCGCGCACCTGATCTTTATGGTCACTGCAGCGCCGAAGGTCGAAGACATCTCGCACGAAGCGCTCACCCGCTGGGTCGACCTTCGGCTCGAGTACGAAGAGATCATGAGGGCGCGCTGTGTGTCGTCTGGGGAAGACCTGAAGTCTGTCATGCGTTCGATACGCAACTCGTTCGACGACAGCTTCCTCGAGACACTGTGTGAGACGAAATGCGATAAGTCAAAGGACGAGCTCTCCGATGAGTTCATCTGGGAGTGGATCATGGCGACCGTACGGAACTTTAAGAACAACGCTTTGCCGAACATCGACAAGTTGTTTCAGGCTCAGCTAGTGATGTCAACAACCAAGTCTGATATTGATGCGAGAGTCGTGGACTATTTCCACCTCTGCAACACGATAGTGAAAACGAATGGGCTGACGGCTTTGTTCTCAGAGGAGGACGGGACCAAGAAGAAGTGCAAGGTCCTGCTCAACTGTCTACCTCGAGAATTGAAAATCCGAGTGAAGAACGAGATTGATTTCGCTTGCCTGCCGCAAAGTCCAGTGTGTCGCTGCTGTTCAAGCTCGTGAGTGAGAAGGCGTTGGAAATTGATCGCGAGGACAAAGCTCACACGAAGAACTAGAGGCGACCTCACACGCAGGAGTCAAAGCAGGAATTGGCCTCGAGGCCCCCGAAGCGTGGCAGAATCGTACGTGAGAAGCAAAACCCTCGCGAATCTCAGGCACCGGCAGCTCAGAGGACTATATTTCGGACCGACTCGGAGCAAGCCCAGCCAGGACCTAAGGGTGGGTGTTGGACCTGTGGTGGCCAGCACCGTCAAGCCGATTGCCCCGACAAGCCAGCCGACGATTCCGCTGGAACACGGAGGCTGAAACCGGGGAGGAATCGTAAAACTAAGACGAATTAGAGAGTGCCTACCCGATCGAGTGGGCTAAGCCCGATTACTGCGTGTTGGTGGTGTCGTGGATGTGGAGCACTGTCCGGACTCGGGAGCGGAGACATCGTGTATCAGCTCTACGACTGAAGAAAATTGGTGAGCGAGGTGTGCATTTTGAAGTAATGACATTGAGCGCTCGAGTGCAAGCTGCCGGGTGGAGGGAAGGCGTGGGCGCGCGAAATGACGAAACTAAGGCTCTCGCTCATGACCGCCGCTGGCCCTGTCAATATTCTGAAACCAGTGCCGTGTTTGATTCTCGATAATAAGGAAGATGTTTTTTACTTGGAGATGATGTGCTGAAGGCTTTAGGAATCGATGTCGAGCGCCAATTGGAGCTGCTAGCCACACCAAGAGGCGACGACGGAGATGACGATGAAGAAGTTCCTGAAGTAGCAGCAGGAGACAATGACGCGGAGGCGATTCGACAGGCAGTAGAGGCAATGATCCAGCGGGCTCTAGATGAAGGCTTCCCTGCTGACAAAGTCGAGCGACTGCGCACGATTGTGTACGCCTATGATGTCTGGAGGCTAGTTCTCGGCGATGATCCACCTGCAAATGTGGAACCGATGAAAATTAGGATGAAGACGGGCTGTAGGCCGTACAAGGCGAAGGCTCGCAAGTATGCGCCCGAATACCAGGCATTTCTTGAGTCGTTCAACGAGATGTTGGTGAAGCTCGGGTGGGTTTACGAGAACCCGACCAGCCGTTGGGCGTACCTGTGCGGAAGCGTGGCGCTGGTGATTTTAGGCAGACTGTGGACTACAAACCTTTCAACCCACAGACTGAGCCTATGGCTGGACTAATGCCCAACTTGCACGTTGATTTGGAGAATGTGAGAGGCAGCAACCACTTTGGGTTGTTCGACTTCATTAAAGGCTACTGGCAGCTCCCACTTGCCAAAGAGTGCCAGGAGCTGTTGTCCTACATGACTCACCGCAAGATCTACACTACCTCAAGGCAGTGTCGACGCTGCGTTGTATTTCCAGTCGACCATTGAGCGGTGCTTTGCAGCACCGCTGTACAAGCATTTGTTAGTCTGGATAGACGACTTACTGTTGTACGCCGCCGACATTGACACATACCTGGACAAGTTGCAGGAAATGCTTGAGTTGACGGCCAAGTTCGGCTTCAAGTTGAGTGTTTCGAAGTCCTGCGTATATAAACGTGAGGTGAAGTGGTGTGGGAAAGTGATGAACGGTGAAGGTGTGAAGCATGACTCATAGCGCATCCAGGCCTTACGGTCGATGCCCTACCCGACGAATGCCGGAGAACTCCAGCAGTTCTTGTGCTCTACAAACTGGATGAGAGACAGTATCGTAGACTATGCGCGATTCGCACGTCCTCTGCAGAACACACTGGACAAAGCGATGGCTCAGGCGTCAAGGCGAACGAAGCGTGCGGCTGCGGGTATACCGATCGCACTTACCGAGCAGGAATGCGCGGCGTACGACGCGATGAAGCAGACTCTGGCTGATGAAGCCACCCTCGCGTTCCCAAACCCGGATGCAGAGATGGTTTTGCTGACGGACGCCTCAGACGTTAGATGGTCAGTGGTCGTGAAGCAAGTGCCCAGTTGGAAAAGTGATGCAGACATCCAGGACCAGCAACATGAGCTGCTTATCTGTCTTGGTGGTACTTTTACTGGAGCACAAAAAATTGGAGCGCTATCGAAAAAGAGGCCTTCCCTATCATCATGGCGCGCGACAAGCTGAGCTACTTGTTGTTGCGGCCGGGTGGCTCTCGCATGTACTGTGACCACCGCAACCTGATTCATGCGTTCGCGCCGGGTCGTGAGGTGAAGAAGCATGTTCGTGGCAAGCTGTTGAGATGGTCCATGAAATTGATGGAGTTTCGGTATACTATTGAGCATATCGATGGAGCACACAACGTGTGGGCTGATATGGTATCTCGATGGGCAGGCACACGACCCGCACCAAGTGTGGCAGTGAAGCGCGTCACACTGCGCCGCCAGCGTGATGAGGACCAGTCCGGTGACTCAACTAGTCGACCGAACGACCGACCGCGAATTCGGCCGTTCAGCGACGGCAACTTTGAATGGCCAACAGTTGAAGAGCTGCAAGAAGCTCAGCAGCGGCACATTGTCGACCGGCCACAAGGCCTGACACGGAGTGATGCAGGTCTACTGTGTGGTAATGAACGGATTTGGGTTCCTAGTGCCGAAACGAGTCTGGTTCAACGACTTTTAGTGATCGCCCACTGTGGGGCGCAGGGTCACAGAGGCCGCGAAGCGCTGATGAACGTGGTGAACCGCAGGTTCCTCACACGGAATCTCTCCGCCCTAGTCAAGACTTTCCTTGCTAGCTGCCTCATGTGCCAGCATGTAAAAGGAGGGAAGGTGGTGATGAGACCATGGGCAGAGACATTCCGATGCAGCGAACGAAATGGAGCTTTACATTGGGACTACCTACATCTTGGTGAATCATTTGGCGCCTTGCAGTACCTACTGGTGCTAAAGGATGGTGCGACCCACTTTTGCGAGCTAGTGCCGTGTGCTGTACCTACAGCAGCGGTGACAGCTGAAGCAATCCTCGACTGGCACAGCCGCTACGGAGTACCTCGGGTATGGATAAGCAACCAGGGCACCCACTTCAAGAACCAAGTGGTGGCCGAGGTGGCGAGACGTCTTACCTGTGGGCAGCGCTTTACGGTGGCATACAGTCCGTGGACTAATGGGTCGATTGAGAGAGTCAACAGGGACATTGTCCAGGTCCTCCGCGCTATGTGCCTCGAAGCCAAGGTGGACATTCGTGATTGGGTACATTTTGTTCCGGTGGTACAGTCGAACTTAAACCACACCCCAGTTCCGTCGCTAGCCAACAAAGCACCAGTGGAGTTGTTCTGCGTCCTACCGGCTGCATCCCCGCTTGACTTTGGATTCAACGGCGAGGACAACACATTACTAGAGCTCGGTACAACTAGCAGCCAGATAGAAGCAAAGCTGGCACTGCTGCGTGCCAGGGTGCAAGAGATGCACAAGCGAGTGCAAGTGGCAAGGTCGGAACAAGCAAAACGGAATCAGAAAACGCAAAGAGGAGCCAGAGTGGCGAATTTCGATGTCGGTGACTACGTGTTGCGGTCTCGAGTGGACCAAAAACAGAATGACAAGCTGCTTGTCACTTGGATAGGCCCGTATCAGATCGTTGGTGCAGACGAACACTCTTTCCGCGTGCAGCACCTAGTGACTGGCGCGGAATCAGACGTACATGCGTCACGCCTTAAGTTCTACGCGGACGCGTCCTTCGAGGTAACGGAGGAGATCCGTGAGCACGTGGCTGCTCAAGGCATTGTCCTGACCGTTGCTGAGCTGAAGGAGCACCGGTGAAACTCGGCGAAGAGGTGTTACGAGATACTGGTTGGGTGGAAGGGTCTGGAGCCAATTGAGGACTCGTGGGAGTCGCTCAGTTCACTGTACAAGGATATCCCTGTGATGGTGAGGCAGTACGTAGCCGCGACGAGTGAAGTGCAACTACATATAACATTGGAGCAACTTTAGCACTTCAATTTGAAGTGACTATGTTGCGGGTACATGGTACCATTCCATTGGTACACTGGTACATTCGAGCAACGTTACCAACAAATCCCAGGTTGGCCACTTCCAAACGCGTGGTCAAGTCTTGGTGGGGCGGTGTAGTGGGGCGACGGTATTCACGACCTGACCACGCATCGGGCTGGCGACCGAGGACGGTCCCAGTCGAGGCTGGTGTAAGATAAGACTCGGAGGTTGGTAGGCCCCAGGAGGATAGCTATATAGTGCAGTGGAGGTATCTGACGAAGTCCCTGCCGATCTCAATCTGGAAATTGCAGACCAGAATACAAGCAAGAGTTTACAGGAAGCACCAGCTTCCCTAGCGAGTGTGTTCATTCGGATCCCACTACAGGGTGGCAGGCAAGGTGTCGCAACGGCCACGATGACTCATGGACCATGAGCAAGTTCTGATGGTGGTCAAACGGTATTGAGCATTGAAGCCCCGGGTCAGGAACATCTGCCCTAGGAACGTGAACAGCCCGCACCCGGATGTCGTTGCATGTACAGGCTCAATCGATTCCGTGGGGACACGCCGATCTGACTCGATCGCAGGCTGTTGTGGTGTTTCCGTCAGGTTAGCCAGGGAAGGATACTCGTCTTCCTTAAATATGACATTTCGGCTGTAGACAATGGCATGGGAGTTGAGATCTATTAAGCGATAGCCCTTCTTGTGGTCGGGGACGCCTAGATACATGCACAGCCGTGCTCGAGCATCGAGCTTGTCGCGGTATTGCTCTGTAACATGAACGTACGCGCTACACCCAAACACCTTCATGTACTGCATGGATGGAATGCGGTTGTACCAGAGCTCATAGGGTGTACGGTCGCTAGTCTTTGAGCTAGGGGTCATGTTGATCAAGGTCGTGACATGACAGACACACTCTGCCCAGAGTTGCTTCGGAAGTTTACCGTCAAGCAGTAGGGCCTACCCGTTCCATGATAGTTCTCATGCGACGTTCCGCAACTCCGTTCTGTTGCGGAGTGTACGCGTTTGTGAATTGCGCGTGTGTGCCGTACTTCCTGAAGATTTCACGTCCAAGCTTTTTGTATTCCTTGGCATTATCTGCCTGGAGAACCTGGATGTCGTGTTCTTCGATAGCACACGGACGCCACTCAAGCACACTGATGTCGTGTCTAAAGATGTTCAGGACTTTCTTCCTGAAGCCTTCATAGTATTCATAGAGCTGACTTCGGTTTTTCATCGGATATGTGAACATGAATCGGGAATAATCATCGATAAATATCACGAAGTAACGGCAACCAGTAAGACTAGGCACAGGTAAAGGACCACAAATGTCTGTATGAACCTTTTCCAATGGTGCTGTGGCACGGTCAACTACTCTATTCGAATAGAAGGGCGAGCGGTGAGACTTCGCTAGCGTGCATGCCGTACAGAAGAACAGCTCCTTCGGGTTTACCGACGCAGTGCCGTCGAGTCCACGGATGGCTTGGCTCCTAGATAGATCATGCAAGATGCGAACGTTAGGATGTCCAAGACGTTTGTGTAAAAGCAGAAGAGAGCGTTGCTTACCCGACGTGGCAATGAGTGCCGATGCGCTCACCGCAGGTTTGGCCTGGAACTGATACAGAACCGTGTTCGTCGCCATTGGCGCCTTGATACTGAAGCGTTCATCAGTCTGCATGGCCGATCGAAGCTGAAGCGAAAGTCGTGCTTCACGGCAGCCGAGACTGAGAGTATGCTGAAGTGCAGCTGTGGGGCGTAGAGGACGCCGTGAAGGATGAGCGTCTTCATGTTGCCTTTGGAGTCGATGACTTCCAGCTCAACGCGTCCAATACCCTCAATCGGGATTTGATTCTTTCCGCCGACGGTGATGGAACCACCACTGGCAGAGATGTTCGAGAACCACTGGGCTTCATGCGTCACATGACGCGTACATCCAGAATCAATGGTCCACATGGTGTCCATGTCAACGTTGGCTTGAGCCGTGAGACTCAGAGGCAGGTTGATGGCGGTGGCTACGGCAATCAGGCCGGACTCGCGGCATTCTTGGCGAAACACCTTTCAACGGTTGCCATCGGCTTCATCATCATCGTCCGAGTCGTCCTGGTAGCGTTTGCGTTCGCGGGACTTGCTCCGACGGTAGTCATCATCATCAGATCTTTCTTGGCGGTTTTGGCGCTGTCGATTCTTGCCACGATTGCCGTTGTAGTTGCCACCAGCACTGTTTCCATTGCGCTTGTTCTTGCCCTTGTTCTTCGGTTACTCACGCTTTGAGTTGCCTTTGAAGACAAAGTTCGCAGGCAGTACAGTACCGGCCTTCACGTGTCCAGTCCGCAGGTCCTTCTGTAGGCTCCTGCAGTGACGGATAGTGTGGCGCGGGCGGTCGCAGTACGAGCAGGTATTGTTGTAGTTGTTGCCATGGGTAGGCGGAGTGATTGTAGGTCCAGCCGCAACCAGGGCACGCTCGCTCTTGGTCGCTGTCGTCTCCGGTGTGCCCTTCGCCAATGTATAGCGCTCTTGGGCTTGGAGGTCGCGCACCTTGCCCTCAATACCCTGCTTGAGGTCCTCATACGGGATGTACTTCCGTTGGCCCTTCCAAACGCGGAGATCATCCTTCCACGACTTGGGCATGGAGTGGAACAGGTAGATTGACTTCTGTCCCTCCGTCATCACCGATTCCGTGGCTTCCGACGCGGATTTCATCGCGTTCTCAAGCTTAAGGAAGAACTCTGTGAGATCAGAGCTCTCCTCGTACTTGATCTCCATCAGGTAGTGCTGGATGAAGTAGGGGTCGCCGTGGAAGGCAGCACCCTCGTACTTCTCGCAGATGAAGGTGAAGATGTCGTAGGACGTGACGAGATTTTTGACCAGCCGAACGTGCGTGTTGTCCATCGTCTTCATCAGAAATGCCTTGGTCTTGGCTTCCTGGCGACGGCGCTCACGCGGGTTCAAAGGCTTGGTCTTAGGCTTCTTCAACGGCTTGCGCGCTTGTCGTGCATCACGGCGGTTAAACGGCCGGATAACGGGCAGGTCCTTGCGCTTGATCGCAGAGTCCGAGTCACCACTTGAGTCTTCGTCAGAGCCTGATTGGGGCTTGTCATCGTCGTCACTCTCGTCGTAGTCGATCTCAGCCGTCTTTGCCGGCGTGGTCTTCGGCGGGTCGTCGGCGTCGGATATGTGGCTCCCGCTGTCCTTGCTGTTGTCCTCGGAGACACCATCATAGTTGGGCTTCGTCACGAAGCCGAGTAGATGCTTTCCGTCGAGGGCTGCGCACACGCGAGCCTTCCAGCCGTGAGAGACTAGGAGGAGAGGAGTGTGGAGGAGTCGTCAAAAGACGAAGTGAGTTAGATTAGAGATGGCGCACTGCCAGCAGCAGGGTTTAGATGGTTGGTTCTAGCAAAACTACACTGGTACAGACTATACAGCATAGTTACTCCTTGACTAACAGCTTTGAAGGGACCTTTTGTATCAGATCATCCGCTTCCAGAGGTAGTTGGTACTATGTGCCACTATGTAAAGGGTGCAAACATTGACAGACATGATGAGATTATTCGGGTAGTCCATCCTCTTTTCGCCAGCGTCGTTGAAGCACCAGCATGTTGAGCCATGCCACCAGCAACGCGAAGTTCGGGTTGAACAGCGCGCCATATACGCCATTGCTATTGAACAAAAAGTCCGTCTCTATCACGAACGCGATCGAAGCAGCACCGACATCGCGATTGATGCGCCGCCGACACAAGAGCACGGAGCACTTCGTCGCCCAAGTACGCTAACGTTCGCGGAGCACCCACGGTGAATTCTCATATTCCCGGTGGTCGATGGTGGTTCCTTCCACGATAGGAATGGATTCTATTACCTGTACTACAGCCTGCACTACAGGTCCTGTAGTCATTGAAGACCACAGCGCACATCTCGATTACATGTATTTCATTCGTAAGCTCAAGATTCCGCGCGATGTGTTTCCGGTTCCTGGTCTCGAGCCCTACAATGCTTGGGGTGCAGTCAATGGCGCCAGTGTTGCAATCTGCAACAGCGCTTGGTTATCGTAGCACTCTAGGTGTCGATCTCCCATGCATAACCGGTGGTGTTCTGAGACCATCCAAGTGTGACATGTGATACAAGTGCGTGGCTCGATGAGTGTGTCAACGCTGGCGCGCTGATCGAAGTCCATTCGAGTATTTGCCATCAAAAGACGAGATGGGGGCGAGCCAGTATCCGCACTCTACAGAAGGTGCTCCTTTGCTGCCCACGACATCGACCGGGTCGGTCGCTGTGAAGGTCGCAGTCGAGACGGAGCCCCAGCACCATGCGTTGCTTGGGATGGCGTGCGTGGCTTGCTCGGCCCTTTGTTTCAGCTTCATGTCGACTTTCATCAAGTACTTGACCTTCACCGTGACGTCTATGGAGGCCATCTTCTGGCGCTCGATGGTCGCGTGCGCGTGCAACTTCGTACGTTAGTTGCTTTATTATTGTTTGATCAGATAGGGGGAACTTACGGAACGACGTACGCACGTGGAACAGGTTGCCATCAAGCTGAAAAACCAACGCCTGTACGTCGCGCCCGAGCACCGCAAAATGCTGCTGATCCGCTGCTTCGTCGGGTTCTCGTCGATGGGCTTCAGTTTTTACGCTGTCTCGCAAATGGTGTTGGCCGACGCAAGCGTCATCATCTTCACATCGCCCGTCTTCACCTTCTTCATGGTGCGTTTTGAGCTCCGTAGAATCCTTTCGTGTTGACATATCCTCACACAAAACTTTTGTGCATAGGGAGCGCTGTTTCTCCACGAGAAGATCGACCCCGTCAGCCTCATCAGCGCCATCGCAGCGTTCGGAGGTCTGGTCTGCGTCGTGCGTCCGGGCTTCCTCTTCGGATACAACCACCCTACCGCTGCTTCGGACGGGTCGTGGGTCGCCGTGTGCTCGGGACTGCTCGGCGCATTGAGCCAAGTGTTCGTATTCCTCGTCGTTCGGCAGCTCAAGGGGCTGAACGTGTTTGTGATCATCCACTACTTCACGCTCTCCAACGTCATCTTTGCCATGGTGTGGATCGCCCTCATCCAGCAGGTAAGCTACGCTCAGCGTTCTACCTGATCTCCAACCAACTCTACGTGTGGTATTCCCTTCCCCGCAGTCCTTCACCATTTCCTCTGCTCTCCCGTTCTGGGGCGCCGTCTTCGGCTGCGGCTTCTTCACGTTCCTAGGCCAGTCCTTCCTAACCCGGGGCTTCCAGCTGGAAAAGGCGGGCATCGCCTCCGTCATGCGCTACTTGGACGTGGTCTTCGTCTTCATCTGGGACTCGGTCATCCTCGGCGAGCACATCAACCACTGGAGCATCGTCGGTGCCTTCATCATCGTCTCCTGCGCCGTGCTGATCGCGCTCCGCAAGATGCACATGACTCCACCGCAGTAATACATCAGAGTGTAGGTCACTTCAACTTCATTGATCTAACTGGAATATGATTGGTCAACCTTCTTTTCCACCAATCATATCGCATTTAATTTAATTTACCCCCTCGAACGTTAGGTAGCTCAAGAAGAAAACCTCGAACATGACGGCGACCGGAGCGGCTGTGCGGTGCGAGGTGTTTGGGCGGCAGGGCGACGGCGAGCTGGACGAGGTGCTGGCGTTCCTGCGCGGCTTCAGCGCGCTGTACGGCGCGGGTCTAACGCTGCACAGCGAGACGCGCGCCACCGCCGAGGAGGTAGGAGAACTGGCGGCGCTGGCGTTCACGACGCCCGGCGTCGTGCGCGTAGGCGACGACCCGGACGCGCTGCCGAACCAGGCTGAACAGAATTCGCCGCAGCTGTTCGCGCGAGTGTCCACGCCGCAGCAGGAGCTGGTCGTGGTCGGCGCGGCGGCGCTCAAGCAGTGGATGCGGCTGCAGCTGCTCGAGGCTCGGTACTCCGCTGCTGCTGCTGCTGCTCCAGAGGAGACTTCAGAGCGCGCGCCGCTGCGGCTCTTTGTGAGCGGCGACCGCGCGCAGGTGGGCAAGTCGACGACGTGTCTGGGACTGGTGGGCGCGCTGCTGCGTGAGGGCTACAAGGCCGAGGACCTGGCGTACATCAAGCCGGCCACGCAGTGCGAGAAGCCGCAGCTGGTGACCAAGTTCTGCCGCCAGCAGGGCGTCGCGTGCTGCGAGGTGGGGCCCATCCTCTTCTACAAGGGCTTCACGCGCGAGTTCCTGCGCGGCGAGACGGAGTCGGCGCCGCAGTTGCTGGAGAAGGCCAGGAAGAAGGTGGAAGAGGTGGGCACAGGCAAGAAGGTCGTCATCGTGGACGGCGTCGGGTACCCCGCGGTGGGGTCCATCTGCGGCGTGTCGAACGCCCACGTGGCCAAGAAGCTGGAGGTGCCCGTGGTGCTAGTCGGTAAGAAGGGCGTGGGTGACGCAGTGGACTCGTTCAACCTGAACGCGACGTTCTTCGAGAGCCACGGCGTCAAGGTGCTGGGCGGCATCTTCAACCGCCTACCGGAAGACGGGTTTTACAGCCTTGAGCACTGCAAGGAGAACGTAACCGCCTACTTTGAGCAGTTCCAGCCCGACAAGCACGTCTACGGGTTCCTCCCAGAGCTGACTGATGGCGGCCACAGTGCGCTGATTGCGGAGAAGGGGAGTGAGGAAGGCCAGAGTGAGCCTGCACCCGGCGTATTCCTAACAGCGGCGGAGGATCAACTGGCCAAGAAGGTGGTGGATGCATTTGCCAAGCACATCGACTTGACGAAGCTGTTGGCGGATGCTAAAGTGTACCAGGGAGGTGCTGCTGCTAAGCTAGCGAGTTCAAGTTCCGCACAGACCCAGGCTGCGAAACCGAAGCCAAAGGCGAAGAAGCCGAAGCGCGCTCGTAACTTCGAGATCCCGACATCGTTCGAGACCGTTTCGCTCCCCGCGTTCGACTCGGTTGCTGCTCCTACCTCGCTAAACTCGATTGAGATCCCCTCGTCTACGGAGACAGTAGCGCTTCCGTCGTTCAACACCATCGAGATTCCCTCATCCACGGAAACAACGGCAATCCCTAGTTTTGATACCGTCGAGATCCCAACGTCGACGGAGACGATGGCGCTACCTCCGTTCGACACGGTTGAAATCCCGACGTCGACAGATACCGTTCCAATCTGAGAACAGCAGTCTGAACGGAGGGTGCGCGGAGATGATATAATACGAAAGCGCTGAAATATACTTAAGTTTCGCTGGAAGAAAAATCATTCGCAATTCATAAAAACGGGCATTTTCCGGTTTTGGAGCAGACGCCTCGAACCGACACAAAGAGAAACCCGGCAGCACCTTTTCAGATGAAGCGTGCGTTGGCACCCGCGGCTCGACTCACAGCGTTGTTGGGTCTGAACGCGCTCGACCTACTGGATCTGTATGGCAAGGCTGTCTGGATCGGGTCCACCGATTCCTTTTCATTTAGGGTGGTTCACGAGCAAGGCTTCGCGGTCGAACCGCTTCCAAGGCCAGCGTTTTTGAATTCGTCTTCGGTTGAAGTGGGTGCTGCGATAATTCGGGCATCTGGATGGACGTCGTTTTACGACCGATGCAGCGAGCTGTACGCGCCTAACGATGGCGAACACTTCGATATGGTCAAAGCGACCGACTGTGACCTCCGCGCGCCATTTTCATCGTCACCTCACCATTTTATTCCTGAGTTGGTGCTATCGGCTACTCTGAGTGCAGACTCGGTGGCTTGGGCAAGTTGCCAGCTCCTGTTCTCCCATCGTCGACCTCAGATCTGTCAAGAAAAAGTCGTTACCCAGTTTCCCGAGCGATACCAGTGGCAAGTAGACGAGATGGAACACGATAAGATGGCTCCGATCCATTCGATGGCGGAAGCTGAGCTCCTGAAGATGCTGGACCTGCTCAGTCGTAGTCACCCACTGTCTGATGTGGTTTGCGCGCAAGGGTTTGAATCAACTGCTGGTCCCGGGCATTACACGGCAACTACGTTTGCTTGTGGAAGCCCCAATGTCTTCGAGAGTGCATTCGTTGGTGCATACGCGACTTCGTTTGCGGAGTTTCATGAAGATCTGGCGGGGCTAGCGGTTGACAAGCTGAACGTTATGGGCTTTGAACTGATATCGAGGCAAAATTCACGATCGCAATTCGTACTTCGTGAAAAAGATGGAGAAGTTGTTGTTGTGGAGGAGAATGCAGTCAATTTTGTCACATTCGGGCATTTGTATGTGGCTCTGATCGTTACGGACATCGTGCTTCTTTTTGCTCACGTGCGCGCTGCATTTGACACGTCTCGCATGTTCGGATGGCGTGCACTCGTTGGATTCGAAAGCTTGGGCGATAATGTTTTCAGTGACTCAAGGTGGTTGCTGCTGTATCGATCTTTGTATCACAGCAGCGCCATTGTGATTCTTACGATATTCTCAGCTGCCACCTCTTGGTTTGTGAGTTTCCCGCTCGCTTTCATGTGGTGCAGTAACTCCGAAGGCAGTGCGTATGCGCTATTATCCGCCGTACGAGTGTGGATGTTCGTGCTTTGCTTGCTTAACGTGTTCTGGGGGTTGTTCGCAAGATTACGTGAAAGCTTGGCATACCGGATTGTCAAATGCACCTTTGTCACCCCTCTCGAGGTGCTTCTGGCAACTACATTCGTAGTGATACTGGAAACAGACGGGCTTTTTGGTATTGCTGAGCTCAGACGTCATTACGAAGGTCAACAGAATATTGACGGTGCTGCTTTCCCCGGTCGCCTTGCTGTTGCGAACGCATACAACGAAGAGGTTGATGGGTTTGCCACTACTTCGCCTGATATGCTGCACACACTGCTCTCTCCGTTCTTGATTGTTGTCACGGAGAGCCTGGCGCTAGTCGTGCTAGTGCTCCTTGCGAAATCAATGTACTACCGGCGCTTGCTGCACCTGGAAGAACGAGAAGCAGCGAATGCAGTCGCAGTTGTTGACAATATTGACGAGCACTTGGATGATCCGGTACCCGATCAACCCGCCTCAACGGCACCTCTATTGAACCGACCACGCGCGAAACTGTACCATCGGCTACCTCTGGAAGAACTGATCAGAACGCCTGCCCGGGTGAATAGCTTGGTGCGCTGTTGCTTCGATGTTGACGTTATGGAGGACGACGGTCTCACATACATGCTCCCTCATGTGTACTACGACTTCGGTGTTATGATCAGCGACGCTGGGTTCCTTCGCACCCGACGGGGATTCTCCAACGTGATTCATCGGCGTCTCGATGTGGAGAGATTTTTTGCACCTACCGACAGTGTATCCGCCGTCGCGCCGACGCCACTGAAGCGCCAGCGAAATGAAGTCACGGACAGAGGAGTGAAGTTTGCGTTGGATAGCGTTCCATCTCCAGTCGATTCTGTTGCCGCTGCTCAAGGAAGCCCGTCGCCACCGAGGACGCGGTCGGAGTTTAGAACGATGCCGTCGGCGAGGTCGATGCGCAGACGCAAGAGCATGGAGGAGCTGCTCGACAACTTGTCGCCCATGTAGCCGAGTCCATTGCGCTGGGAAAACGTCAAAAGGTGTATGAATTTGAAACGTTTTGTCAAAAGCGGTTAACTCGTGTCATTAGGTGTATGCTAGGTTGTCGGTATGACAGTATGTGTATGTGGTTCCAAGCGCACTAAGGTGCATGATAAAGCTGCATCAGCAACGAATGCGGTGACTGGTGTGTGGGCTTAGATCCAAATCCATAAAACCCGGGGTTAGGAAGGCTTCTACCTGATGCAACTAGCACGGTTCGTGGTGTCCATGACTTTGATAGCGAATTGTACGACTGAGGGACTATAATGAACGTCGTTATCCATTGTAGCCAGGCCTCAGCGTTGCCACAGTTCTGCAATACCTACACTCTCTTCCGGTTGGGGGCTCTCACTAGAGCTCCTTCACCTCCGAAATTCAGATGCAAAACCTACCTAGTACAGCCATGCTATAGACGCTTGCGGTTTGCGTTGGTAGTTCCTTGTAGCCACAATAGCGAAGTTGTCGAGTACAGTTGCTCTATATGCTATTATTAGTTGACCGTGTTCGCTACGAGCGTGTCGTTAATAAACTACTGTGCTTGGAAGCTCGATCCTGGGTCTATATGACCCGACCTCGGCCGAAATACCGCGGCAACCAAAACGTGTGTCAGTACGTGTATGATGAGACATGACGCGACGTGACGCCCACGACCACTACACCTATTGACAAACGTTTTCCCAACGCATACACCTTTTGACGTTTTCCCTATTGCGCTTCAACTTCAGTCTGCGTGTACCACACCAACTAGTGGTTTTCACCGCGCGTTTTTCGCCAATCAAATCGGAGCTGATACCGTCGGTATCGACTCGGACGGTGTGAGCGGGTCTTCTGAGACCGTCCAGCGTCACTCGTCAACACGCCGCTGCCCTGCAAAGCCCCCAAGGGTTCAAGATGAGTGTCACCGACCCTAAGAAGGAGAACGAGTCAGCGCCGCTGCTGCCCACGACGACCTCGGACCCCGTTGCCGCCAAAGTCGAAGCCGAGCCGAGCCACCACGCGCTGCTGGGAATCGGATGCGTGGCGGTGGCGTCCGTGTGTTTTAGCTTCATGTCCACGTTCATCAAGTACATGACGTTCACCTTCTCGTCCATGGAGGCCACGCTCTGGCGCTCGTTCGGCGTGCTCGTGTGCAATTAAATTGTGGTGAAGCTGTCGGGCGTCAGCCTCGACGTCCCGGAAGAGTACCGCAAGATGCTGCTCTACCGCTGCATCACCGGCTTCTCGTGCATGGGCTTCGCGTTCTACGCGATGTCGCAGATGGTGCTGGCGGACGCAAGCGTCTTGGTCCTCACAAGCCCCGTCATGACCTTCTTCTTCGTACGTCGAGTTGGCGGAGGGTGGTGAGAACAGCGTGGAGAGAACTTACTTAGTGTGTGTGTTTTTTGCTGTTAGGGTGCCCTCTTCCTGCACGAGAAAATCGACCCCGTGAGTCTTTTGTGCGCCATCGGGGCGTTCGGCGGCCTGATCTGCGTCGTGCGGCCCGGGTTCATTTTCGGCTACGATCACCCGACGGCTGCTACCGATGGCTCGTGGATCGGGGTCGTGTCGGACTGCTGGGCGCTCTGAGTCAGGTGTTTGTGTTCCTGACGATGAGGCAGCTCAAGGGGCTGAACGTCTTCGTCATCGTGCACTACTTCGCATTGGCTAGCGTCATCTTGACGTTGCTGTGGCTGGCGCTGATTCAACAGGTACGTCGTGGCTGAGAAACATTGCACAATGTCTCTACTTTAATTTAACTAACTGAATTGTGTTATGGTGCCAGTCATTCTACATCCCGACGACATTTTTGCTGTGGAGAACTATCATCGGCACCGGCATCTTCACGTTCGGTGGTCAAATGTTCCTCACGAGGGGTTTCCAGTTGGAGAAGGCTGGCGTCGCGTCTGCCATGCGCTACCTGGACGTGGTGTTTGTTTTCATTTGGGATTCGACGATTCTGGGCGAGCACATCAACCATTGGAGTATTGTAGGCGCCGTGATCATCCTGATTTGCGCGGTGGTGATCGCTGTTCGCAAGATTCAGACGACTATGCGAAGTTAACATCGTTTGGAGAGCCACTACAAACAAGGCCAACGTACAAAATGAATGTACAGACTTAGGCACAACGGAGCTACGGCAGGGTTGTACTGTGGCTACACGTTGGCACAAGGCAACAACATGTAATAACGTCACACACAAATGTCTATGCTCTACTGAATACTACGTAGTAGTACTAAGCATACATGTAGGAGCATAGGTCATTCACCTTCGCATGGTTTCAAGGAAATTAGTTTACCGCAAGCTTCGTTCGGTCAGCGTATCGTAACTCGTGCCGTTGTTTGCCGTCGTTGTTGAATAGTGTCTGCATGCATCAGCTAGACAACTAACTACTATCGGTAGTTACCCGCATGCATTGGCCATATTGCTCATCAACGAGCAGTCTTGGCAAGAGTTCATTCTCCAATTGTCCACGATGACCCCAAGCCTATTCTCGACCCTCTTCGCTGTCATTCTGGCGACAGCCTTGGCTGCCATACCTGCTACGGCTGCATCATCCAGCAACAGCAGCGCTGCGCATGCCCCCTTCAGAAGCATCACTTCTCGCCCTGGCGAATGCGTCATCGGTCATCCAACCACCAGCGTCAGCGCGGAAGACCTCCAGTGTGTTTGGGACAACCGCATGGAGCCTGAGGTGATGCCCTACAATAACTGGATCATGGATCAAATCGTGGCCAACAACGGCACTCTCAACTACTGCGTCCGCTGGGACAGCAAGACCACGAAGCTTACCAAGGCTACAGCTGCCAAGTTTCAAGCGATGCTGACTCGCCAGTACGCTGCTTGGAACCGATGGCTTATCGGCTACAACTGCTGGCCGTATAACCAGATCAAGGTGAACATCGTGGGTTTTGCTGCACGAAGTGCCTCCGATCTCGGCTGGTCGGGCGCCTCACTCGGTAAGCTCTACATTGGGGACCTCGACAAGGATGGAGCTCCACAGTGTCCCGAGAATTGCTACCGCGCCCTGGACGGGTCTCCCGGTGGGTGGTCCGAGTCCAGCGGCTGTGACGGCAAGCCGTTCGACGTCTCCCTTTGGCCGACCCAGGGCCTGGGTGGCGGTTTAGGCACTTATTGGGGCCAAAAAGTGGATCTTGACGACATGCTGGCGCACACTGAGGAGGATCAGCTTACGATCGTCGCCCACGAAATTGGCCACGGCTTCGGACTTCCGGACTTTTACTCGGACGAGGAGAAACCGAATGGCAAGTGGCCCAACTGCATCATGATGGCGGGGAGCTCCATGACTATTGCGGAGGGTGACGGGTGGATGCTGCGTCGTTTGTACGAGAACCTCAAGTCTCGCTACAACTTCTAGTTTTTTTTCTGCTCGCTTTTGATGCGAGCATGTAGACGTTTTGTGTTGAAAATCAATCGATGTTCATTGCCCAGGAACCAAATACGACACTTCGGCTTGGTGGTGCGTGTGAGTAAAATTCAACAGGTAGAAAGCACGACTCCCAGTCGCTTCACGTGCTGAAATTGGTGCAGTGCACGGATGCCCCAATCGCTTCAAGATTGGCACACGAATCGCTTGCCAATCAAATCGCCCAACCTCTGCGCGTGGTGAACGCAGCCGCGATGGGGAAAGGTCCTTGACCAGGCAAGTTCATTCGCCAAGAAACCGTTGGCGCCAACGAATATGAGCGTCGGCCAGGAGAAGAGTCCGTCGGAAGCCGCGCCGCTGTTGCCCACGACCGCGGCCGACCCCAAAGTCGAAGCTGGGTCCGGCCACCATGCGCTGCTCGGCCTCGGGTGTGTCACCATGTCGTCGCTGTGCTTCGGCTCCATGGCCGTCGTGATCAAGTACATGACCTTCACCTTCTCGGCCATGGAGGCCACGTTCTGGCGCTCTGTGGGCGTCCTCGTGTGCAACTACGTACGTCAATGCGGCGCCTCAGCACGGATTGTGCTGCCTCGACTGACGTAGCGCTGCCGATTTTGCTGGTGTAGGTCGTTGTTCTGCTTACTGGGACGAAGCTCTACGTTCCCCCTGAGCACCGTCGGATGCTGATCTACCGCTGCCTTACGGGCTTCATCTCCATGGGCTTCTCGTTCTACGCCATGTCTCAAATGGTGCTTGCGGACGCGAGCTCGCTGATCTTTATCAGTCCAGTCTTGACCATGTTCTTCGTACGTTGTCTTGGGATGGATGGATGGGTGGATCAATGCTATCGTGAGGTGGTGCTAATGTATATTTGTCTGTTGTTAGGGTGCGATCTTCCTGCACGAGAGGATTGAGACTGTGAGCCTCATTTGTGCGATTGCATCGTTTGGTGGCCTCGTGTGTGTGGTGCGACCGGGTTTCCTGTTCGGCTATGACCATCCCACGGCTTCAACGGATGCTTCATGGGTCGGGGTGTGCTCTGCACTGCTCGGTGCCTTGAGCCGAGCGTTTGTGTTCCTGACTGTGCGTCAGCTGAGGGGGCTGAACGCGGTCGTTATCGTACACTACTTCGCGGTGGCTAGTGTCATCATGTCCGGCCTGTGGCTAGCGCTGGTTGAACAGGTACGCTGCCTTATATGATCCACTGAACCCCTCCCCACTCTAACTCTCGACATACTGCACAGTCCTTCTACATCCCGTCGACGTTCGTGCTCTGGAGAGCCGTTATAGCAACCGGAGTCTTCGCGTTCGGCGGCCAAGTGTGCCTCACGATTGGCTTCCAACTTGAGAAGGCCGGCATCGCTGCCGTTTTGCGCTATACGCAGGTGGTCTTTGTCTTCATTTTGGACTCGGCCATTCTGGGCGAGCACATCAATCACTGGAGCGTTGTCGGAGCGTTGATAATCCTCATCTGCGCCGTGGTGATTGCCGTGCGCAAGATACACACGAGTGCCTAGTGACCATGCAAGCTGGATAAAGACAATAAGTACAGTGCTTGTGTTTACACTGTATCGCTTCTGCTGCAGCAAAATCTCCCGAGTCGAACAGGAGGTTCACGGAAGATTTTTTTCATGTCCGAGTTCCAACATGACATGGATTTGGCTTCCTTGTGTGCTACAATAAACCGCTCATTTCACGTAGGCTGTGGCTAAATTGTGTTTTCAATAGGTGTGCCAGGAACAACAATATCATATACAGACAATCCTCTTTGGAGTGATATCCCGAATAGGGATACCCTCTGGTTAGCACTAATGGAGGCTCTCCCGATGACCGACGACATAACAATTCAAGTCAAAACATCCTCTAACCTCTGGATAGTGCTTAGTGATACGCGATTGGGCTTTATCACTATCAAGAGACCGTTAACTATGAGAATGTCCATTGCGTAAAGCATGTCCGACGTGGGTTCGCTTGCGACCTTGAATGGACTTGGATTCTCCGAGTTCGCGGACATATTATTTTTGTAAACTGAATTTTTTTTGCATGATGCGATTCTGGAACGTGCATTTATCGTTTTTGCCTTGGCGCTAGACTAGATTTCGCGTTGTAGCTGCCTGTGCAGTCCTCCCAGTTCTATCTGAATAGTGCCCAGTGTCTCACCACTTCTCGCGCCATATACTAGTATATATTATAATGTCCAGCGCAACAACTACTTGTATGTAGCGCTTCGACCACATATCAAGTGCAATACAAGGTCACCAAGTGCCTGAATGGTGGTAATGTCACTACCCTGGTTCCTTGGACGACAATGTACCGCCAATATGGTACAGATCTAGATAGTGATGCCTCTGCATAATGATAAAAAGTGGTCTCCCCCTGTCATGCATATTCGATGTCCCTCGGACAAATTAAATGGATATGCGGGACAGATTCTATCCATTCGCGGCGGGATTGATTGGGACAAAATGCATGGATAGCAGTTATAGAAAGGCGCAATGATGTACGAAACACCTTTTTGGAGCCCCGTAGGGCTGCCCAGATTACGCTCCTCGTCGCCCCTCTGTGGGCCTCCAAGACTGGTTTCCTAGCCTAGAGCTTTTGCCGACCCTCCTTAATGTATATCCGACCACCTTCACGCATTAAACCGCAAGTGCGGTTTTTCTTTAGCTTGCTTAAGGTCTAGAAAAGGTGTAGTGATTGCGAGACGGCGGCCATGGCGGCCATAATTGATGCTGTGCGACTAGATCTCCGCGTATCTGGGTCGTGTACAGTATGTGAAGTATGCATGTTGACTCGCCAGAGACGCGGCCTGAAGCGCGGCTGCCTGCACATCGTAGGATAGAACAGAGTACAGTACCTACGGTAATTAGTCTGACCTGATGGGAGGATTAGGGTATCTACGTTACACGCTATTTGACGAAAAACTATCATTTTCAACGAATTCTACTCAATGAGAAACGTCTATTACAGGGGTCTGTGGTG